TACGGTTAAAGATCAAATTATCCGTACAAAATACATTTTTGTATCGTATATAAAAGTCGATTAAGTTAATTGCATTTTAAATTAAAACGAAAATAATTAATTTCTTTAATATTTAAACATTAAGTTAACTTTCATGTTTCAAATACTGAAAAATCATTTTTTTTAGATGACCTTAAAGTTGAAAGCTTTTTAATTATTCACCAATAAAATTTACTTATCAATACACTCAAATTATTAATACAAATAAAAAGGGAATTTAATTTGCAAGTTGAAAGTAATATTGCAAAAGTATTGACAATGCATTTTTAATGATGATGGAATTTATTCATTTTCGTTTCGGTATTTGTAATCTTCACAATTCTCACGACTTTTGTTAGAATTGAACAGTGTATCTACATGTAAATAAAAGAAATTGAAAGAAAATTATTTTATTAAAAAATTATAATATATATTATCCGACTATTAAATAACTTTGTTCATCGTTTACTTCGTTATCATTGCAAGCAGAAATTGAATTTTCATTAAACACCATTTTGCACTCAATCTTGCTTCACTCCGATCTTCTCTTAGAGAAATTGAGAGGAATTTCAATTTCTGAGAAGAATCAAGAGTTCTAGAAGTAATTTTCGATCTTCCACCTCTTTGAATTGATCCATTGATCATATAAATAATCATTTTAAATCTTTCACCTAAATATTCCAATTATTTTCTAAAATTATTATATTATTCTATATTATTATTATTATTATTATTATTATTATTCATTGTTAATACCATTTAAATTGTTGTATTCTAACTAATATTATTCGTTATTTAATATTGGATATAGACTTGTAAGTGATCTAGTGACTAGTGAAGAATGATGATCATATTTATATTAGTGCATGGTGTGCATTATATTAGGTACTATGGTTGATGGCAAGGCAAAGGTTCCAACGTGGAAAGTTGAGAAATTTGGGGATTAAGTCAGTAACCGTAGTTTTATTGCATTTCCTTGAAAAAGTCATCAAGTTAAAAATTTAGAAAATTTTAGTAAGAATTAGAAAGTTTAAAAATTTTATTTTAATTGTCAGTAAATTTTTTTTGTATTAATAATAGTTTTGGTTTAATAATTTTATTGTTAATATTGGTAAATCATAAAGGTTTCCAACAAAATCTTTCAATATTCCATTGTTGAAAATAATAATTAAACTTCTACTCAAAGACTAAATAATATTTAGCACCATTTACATCTAATATTAATGCATGAGCACAATTTAATTTTACTTTTAATGTTTCCTTTTGTTAAGAATTCTTAAGATTAATAAAATATTATGATCAAAAAATTTTATAGTGCATCTTCAAGAAGACTGAAGATTATCATCTATTGATTTTAATTGTAATTTTTAATAATTAAATATCGAATCAATATTATATCAGTTAAGTGAATTATTTTTATTATCATTAATTTCCCATTATATTTTTTTGCGTCATAAAATGAACATAGCTATCACTTATGCAAGTACATACTTGCTGTGTAGTTAGTAAGTAAGTAATCTAAATAGAGAGTGGGAATATCCAGAAATAGCATAGGGGTTTATTGGAGGACATTAGCCCGATATCATGTTATGTCTGATGATGATTATATGAAAAGTGTCACTATGTGTTTTCTTTCTTCTGTACCAAGTATTTATTTTTATTTGTCTTTTTTTATTACTTATAAAAATTCATGATTCAATAATTAACTACTTTTAAAACCTGGATTAACGGAAATTCATCAACTATTATTCATTTATTAAATAATTTAAAACTTTGCAAGCTTGTAAAATTTATTATTACCTCTATGTATTTGTTTAATTATTTATCATCACCAAAGAGTATTTTATTTTCAAATAAATCTTTTAATGTTAATTATTCTTTCAATTTAAAATTATTTTTAGTAGTAGGTAGCTACAATCACAAGACAACCTCATTTCATAAATAATTACTAAATAGTCTGGGATATTGAATAAAATAATTTTGAATTGAATTAATAATGCTGTTACCATACCTCCATAGCACTAGTTGCTATTTACTAATATATATACATATATATATATCAAATGACTTTTGAAAAATTTTATTTAAAAAAAAATAAATAAATTCAACTTGATGAATTAATCAAACCTTAAAAAATGTATTGTTGTTAATTTCAAGGGTGTTGAAATGGATGATATGAATAATAAATAAGTTTCATAATTTTTACTGATAAATTGATTTTTCTATAATGTTGAATTAAACTTGTAGAAACGTGACTTGATGTGAAATGCGTTGCTTGGAAATGTTAAAGCTTGATATAGTAAAGGAAGACTGAGAGGATATAAAGCAAGAGAGAAGGAAAACAAGGGTACGTGATGTGTGCTTCATAGATTGCGATTCCATGCGTGATGTCAACTGCGACTGGCGACCACGCGATATGTTATTTTGACTAATCAATCCATATTTACTTGCTTCACCCAGCTTGTTTACTAATAATTCGCTAGAATAGATATCACGTCATCCATAAATAAATAAAATTTATACATATATATATATATGTTTAAGTAGTTATTAATCTTTATTATTATTATCACATCAATTAATGACTGGTAATTTTTATCTATGAGAATTTATTTTCTAAAAAATGAATTTTTTCAAGTAACAATAGTCATTGCTTTTATATCATTTGGGATATTAATCAATCATATTTATAGTTGATATTATCAATGGACTATTAAAAAATAATTTTGATTTTTTTAATATATATATATAACCATTTTAATAGGACAATTTTAATTCTGCTAATGATTTGGATTAAATTTAATTATAGTCTTGAAATAGTTTATCACCTAAGGTATCATTGAGAATAGATTAGAGTCAATCTGACATAAAAAATTATTAGACACTGATCATTTGTGTCACTTTACTTTCAATCTTTCATCAATACTTTATTCATTGTTTTCTCTTTTCAATTATCAATACATTAATTAGTTTTTTTTTATCATTATTAAAAGAATTATTATTTAAATTTAAATACTAATCTTGATAATAATATTAATCCAAACTACTATTTAACATTATTCGATCAAATATTGAACCTCAGGAATATTTGAACATTGAATAAATAATTTAGAAACAAAAACATACTAAACGGATATTCATTTACGTGTTGAAAAAAATTAATAATGATAGTCATTAAAATTATTTCATCACTATATTGATAAAACATTTTTAAAATCAATAAAATCCTCATTTATTATTTTATTAATAATAATAAATTAAATTGAATTAGTATACTTTTCGAAGAAGTAAAAAACAGTCATTGCATAATTTTTATAATGATATTATGAATTATTTAAAAAAAAAAACACGCAGAGAAATGTATAATAAATGATATACATTCTGTCTATATAAGAAAAAATCAATTATTAGAAATGAAATATTTCAATATTATGTAGCAAAGTATTAACATCAAATATTTGTCAAAGGTTATAATTACAGTTTGAGAATAGAATGAAAAAAGGTCACATCAGATAAAAAAAAAACAACTAAAAGTGACCATGAAATGCAAGAATAAAAGGATAATCATAAGGTGAAATGATATTGATGAGCATATTCAATGTTAAGGTTTATTGATTTTTAACATAAATACGTGGCATTTGAAATATATTAGAAATAATAATTTAAACATTTCAAAATAGCTCATTTGTTGAATTAAGTCGAATTTTAATGATCTGTTATCTTAAAAATAAATGCAAAAAAAAAAATTCATCATATATGAATGAAATGAGCTCTGCAGGTGACTTATCGATCCGATAAACAACTCTTTTTATGGATCGATTTTCATTTATATGTTAAAAAGATTCATCTTCATAAGGAAATTTTACTTTTTCAGGTTGATGTTTGTTCTATTTAATTCCAACATCTTTCCACTTCGTATTCATTAATGAAATTTTTTTTACTATTACCTTATCTATATCCGCTAATTCTTCATTTAATAAATTTAATTAAATACTTTTACTTTTGACATTATTAAATAGAAAATTACAAGGCTCAATTACTTATTAATATTACTATAATCATTTTAATTCTTACAATTATTTTTACTGGCTCACCGATATCATCTATTCTAGTTATTATAATTATTGTTTTAAAATAAAACATTTATGCATTTAATAAATAATATTTTCTAATTTTTATAAAAGAATCATTTTTAAAAATTGATGTAACGTTCATTTAATTTCTCTCATAAATTTAATTTGCAAATGAATTGTCAGAAAATATTTTTTAACATTCTATAAAATATATACAAATAATTATACCTGTCACTCGCATAATGTTGCATTCAAATAATTATTTTTTTTTACAGCTTGCTGTCATAAACTGAACTTTTAAATTTCATTTCACTAAAGAATAAAAATGATACTTTTTAAAACGAAAACTTTGAAAATATTTGTAATATTTTTATCATATGGATTTAAATCAATTTCTTAACTTTTCAACTCATATAATAATGTGTGATATATAATTAAATATCATCTCATGTAAAGCTTAATCATGGAAACTAATTATTTCAACCCTTATCATCTACAATAATTAGTCTCATGTAAATTAATACCAAACATTACTGTATTAATGGTATGAAAATGTTTAAGCCATAATTTCATCAACAAAATTACTGAAACATTGTCTTTTTCTAATTAATTAAATAAGATAATTGAAGTTTATACATGTTCAAGGTGTTATCAAAAGTTAATCAAAACTGGTGAACATAATACAGCAATCGGAGTAGAGATGATACGTGTTTAGTCCGACGAATTCTCTTTGCATTTCACCTCTCAAACCTTCATTCCTATCATCCTTTAGACTCATTATTTCCATCAAACACTTGTTTGACTCAACTTCCTATTTTAATTTATTCCACTACATAATTCATTACAAATTGAAAGAAAAAAAAATTCCTTACTACTACTACTAACAAATAGAATAATTCTGATGCTTACCAATTTCTCTAGTATGGATGTCGAATAAGAACTAGGTTTATTTTTTTGGTAACAAAGAATCACTATTTTCGCGATGTATAATGCAAGATGAAAAATTAGATAGAATTTCGTTAAAGTGATGTTAACAGAAAATATACGAACCGGTAATAGACAAACGTATGTCACGTCGTCGCGTGCCAACTGAAAGCGTCAACGCCTCCTTGTGCAGAGCGTCGCGACGCTCATATCGGACCGGCGCATCTCAAACCTCCCACTACTGATATCTTTCACTGCGTACGCGTATGTATCCACGTGGAACGCAATTGTCGAGTTATCAATAAAAAGAAATAAATTGCATGGTTAAGAGAGAGAGAGAGAGAGCGAGAGAAAGAGAAAAAGTTATATAAAGTTGAAGGTGGAACATTAAAAAATATTTATAGAGTACATGATATAGGAAGCTTCTTCTTGGATGTTATTTCATTTTTTCAAGTAGTTGTCAATAAATAGATTCAAGTTTTTAACCAAGAACATATGATTGATTTTAAAAGCTTACATTTCTATCAAAAATAAATCATTTTATGATACTCGTTATTTTATCTTACAATTATTTTTCTATCCTTTAAACTACTCTCTAAAAAATAATTCCCTTTTTATGGTTAAATAAAAGAAGACATTAAAATGTCACTAAAACTAATGAGAAAGATATTTATTCGAAATTAATTAAAAATTCATGAGATTGTTTAGAAATAAAAGATAAATAAAATTTAGAATAAATTTTTAAAGAGTACCCAAATTTAGGGTAATTATATCTATCACGCAAACTTGTTATTTAATAATACACCTCTCAATATTTTAATGTTGTTCTGAATTCCATGTGATGAAAATAAATATCAAGTTCACTGAACTGAAAGAGAAGAGGGGTATTTGAATAACATAAAGTACGTGTTATTATGATTATTTTATCAAAGTGAAAATTTTTCATTTCCTTTTACAACTGATCAAATATATAAAAAGCATCAAGATGATTTTCCTATTTTACTACTCAAAAATACTTATATTGTGAGTAAGTATACCGTACATGAATGATAGAAGATAAATGAATGGTTCAAATAAATACTTTCGATGAAAAATCAAAATCTACCCATCCTCATATACTTCTTACGATGACGTGTCTACTCTTTAACTCCTACGTATTTAATTGAAAAAAAATATTTTCAAAGTTATTCTCTATTACGTTATCCATGTAATGTCCAAGTATTTAAAAATATATTCTTTCTCTTGCTCTAGATATTTTTAAAACAAAAAGTACACTTCAATAGTGAATTCATTGAAATTCTTCAAAAATACTTTTGTCAATTTAATAAAATATACGTTGACAAACATTCAAAAGACATCTTTTGTTTTTTGTTATTATTCTTCATCCTTTATTACTTTTATTTTTCCATATTATTCAAAGTAAAATTTGATATTTTTTTAGTAACATTGATTTTCTTTAAATTCGCAATTTCTCTTCTTTCAACTATCCTTGACCATCCGACGTAATCCAGACGTTTTATATTACTGACATCACATTGCCTATTCTACCATTTATTTATATAGATAATATTTCCGAAGTAATGTTTCATGATGGTGTGATTTTATGCAGAAAATAAAAATTTTTTACGAGAATATTGATGCCGTTTGAAAAATATTTTCTTTTCATTTATTTTTATCCTTTAGTAAATAAAAAGCATCACAATGAAGTTCATGAATTATTTTTTGAAAAAAAAAAGAAAAAAAAATATCTATTTATTTAATTTTGTTCACAAAATGGCAAGAAAAATCTGCTGAATTTGAAAAAAATAGAACGTTGATGTGTATAAGGTGAAAAAACCCAGAGGGGACAAAAGTTTACCAGGTCACAGTATTATTGAGGAAAAGAAATGAATGTAATCAAGATACACATCAAGTAATGTCGAGTGAAAGATTTGTTAAAAGACAAAGCCTAATAAAAATATCAAAGACTTTGAATCATCTGTTTGATTAATCAATCTTTGATTAAGAAATACAAAATCCATATCATACGAAAAAAGAAGGTTCATTGATTTGTATTAAATTTCAAATACTTGCAAATGATATGATACTTGATCAGATTCTAATTAATCTCGTCAAACATAATGACTAATTAATCAGTTATCTGTACTTATTCAAGTATTTAAATAATGATTCAGAGTTTAATTAAATTTTATTTCCGCACTATTATTGTAAATGCTCATTAGCATTACCAACTGTCTTCAGTAAAAATGTACTTGCAAAATTGAAATGGAAAAAACTTGGAAAGCACTTACCTATCAACGAAAAATTTTCATCAAAAAAACCAAGTCAAATGCAAGTTTTAAATGTTGAGGATGTAATTCAAAGTGCGGTGATCTTTTTCCGGACTCAGTGATTTCCCTCAGGCCTGTGAGTGCTCTTCCGGGTCTTGCATCTCCTTTTATCACTGAAAAACAACATCCGATGGCTTCAGGAGCTTCCTCTGCATTCTGACGTCATTTTATGTCACTGTAAATAAATAAAATACTTTAAATGACATTAAATAAAAAATGTTATATTTTTTTTAAACAGTATGAAAATAGTTATCTACCTACATAAAATTAATCACTATATTAATAAGATATATTTTTAAATCTTTAGATTCTATCATGAGACGATAATCATGTTTGCTTTTTTGCATCATTACTTCATTATTCTTCAGTGTAAATAATGTGCTAGATGGCAGCTAGAATAGAATCAGTTAATGTTCCATCAAGAATTTTTTTCTAGCATACACGTAGTGCAAAAGCCGTTGGGTACTGTAGAGATACGAGAATGTAATAACAAGCATGGATATCTCAGCAGGATTGACGCTCGTTAAATAGTAATTGGAAATTACAAGCGCACAATTTAATAACAAACCATACCAGCGTTAGTGTCATCTACATCATTATTGCTTTCTCTATCTATCTCTTTTGCTTTGCCATCGTATGTTGTGTGTTTCATCCAGATCATTTTATTTGCATTAGTATCAACCGTAATATCGCCACAAATCCTTTTCGAACACAATTATGAACGTCTTTACAGCTAAATTCCATTATCTGTAATAATTTTGAACATGAATAGTCAGATGTGAACACAATGCAATTGTAAAGTTAAATGTGATAAATTAGAGCTGTCGAAAATTCTCTAGAGGAAGTTATTGCTGATGGAGCAGGCGCTCAGACATAGGAATTTTGTAGAGAAAGAGACAATGTCCCTCTAGGGATACAATCGAATACACTACTGTACCATTGTTAAGGGAGAAACTGACCTCAACAACAAGTGGCTGTAATCTATGTTTTACATTATATTTAAACTTATCTTAATAGCCTATTTTTATCAATTACTTTCGTCATTTTTTTTCTATCCTTTTCAAACAATTTCGGACTAATCAATAAAAATTTCTTGTCCAATGCCATTAATTATCACATTAATTATTAATCTATTGTATTCAATTTTATAATGTAGAGATTATAATTTTGATTATCAATTATTACATCAATTGTTTCATGGTCCCTTAACTCCTACAGTTGATAGGAAAATAATTGATTAATTCATATAAATGATTATGTTTCATAAATGAAAACAAATGTAATATTCAAAACATTTTTCCAGCTCCATCAGCAAGCTGGCTAATTGACAAGATTTTTGTGCTACACAATAACCAATTTGCTAATTAAATTGATCGTAAATATTTAAAAGTAATTGTATTACTTGAAGCTCGGGCAATTTAATTAACCGAACCAATCGAAATTTTCCCTCAAATCCATCACGTGTGCCAAGTGTCGTCCTCCAAACAACTATAACGAAAGTAAAATAAAAATAGGCCAAGGTCCGTTTAATCTAACGATGAAAATCATCTTCAATGGCTTTTTACTTACACTACTCATAACTTAATCGCTATTTCTATTCTTATATTTTAGCCCTCTTCTATTTCATAATGTTTATTTCACTTTTGTTTCTACTTATATCCTATTTAATTGATCGATACAAGTCAATAGGTTTGATCACCGGTCTACATGTACAACTTTTGGCTTCTTTTCTTCCCAGTACCATTCATTTAATCCATAATACAACAAAAAACACTAATAATGTCAATATAAATTTAAAGGTTATAAACATAAACTTGAATATTAATATTTTAAGTTTTCGGTTTAGATTATTATTGAAATTCATTTAATATATGAACATAGCGGTTCAATAAATGATATCGTTTTCTAAACTCTATCAAAGAAGAAGCTTACCATTATTATTGTCTAACTGTAAATGTGGTATTTATAAAGAATATTCTATTTGTTGTAGAAGCTGTTCTTTAATAAAATTTTTAATTTTTATTATTAAATTGTCAATTATATTAGACTTTTCCTTGTTTAATCGAATTGATTCAAACAATAACAATCTAAACATGAATTGAGAGAAGACTCTTTGTTACAATAAATGGCTTTTGTTGTCGGAACTTGTTTTTACCGATAGAAATCAAGCTCAGTCGGTAATTTACCATCAAGGATACCGACCGTAAAATTTGGTAGTAGTTTTCGATATTATCACCAGAGTTATTTTAATCGTCTCATCAACCCCATTCCAAGATGGCTACCACATTTGTGTAATTTCTGACGCGTTTGTACGCCCCATACGTGATTTAGGTATATATAGTTCAGTGTTTGGCTCCCTTTCCCCTCATTTTGCCCACTGGGCATAAGAACAAACCTTTTCATGTCTCGTTTTTCTTCTTACAAATGTGTTTTAAGTAAAATAATAGACATCCCATCTCCTAGCTCGAGATTGCGGATAGGTAAGTCCGCCAACACTTTCTTACTCTTTCTCCTTTCTCTTTGCTTTCCGTAGTCTCGGCATTCACTTGTTCTTTATTTTCTACTTTCTTTCATATTTTATCCATCCAATTATCAAGTTAATACAGCCTTGCAAATGTTTATAAGAGTATATTATTAAACTATTAACAGTTAAATTGTGTTGTCATTATTTTTTTTTTTTTTTCACAGACTGACATTACTGGTTCGAGCTTGGATCAAATTTATTTTTATTTATTTTTTATTCTGTTGTGAAACTGTCGTATTCAAACACTATATCGAAATGATGAAAGGTGGTTCTTTGCCGAAAAAGGAGAGCAAAATGCGCATACGTGCTTTTCCGGTAAGTTTATTTATTATGTTTATTATTATCATCATCTTACTTTCTTTTGTGACAGTGAAATTCTGCACTCGTGGTTTTAGCTTATATGTATTGTTCCAGTTATCGTTTTCACTATAATCTGAATATTCTTCGATTAAGTACAGTACTTTAAGTTAATAAAGATTTTTTTTCTTTGTTATTTGACATATCTTTTATTTATTTTCCATCATGTAGTTTAATATTAATTTTATAATCATATCAATTAAATTTAACGTCAACAAATGAATTATTTATCAATTCATTGCGAGTTTGTAATAAAGCGGAAAAGATTTTTTATTAATTAGTTATTTATTTAGTAACTGAAATTGTCTTTCAATTAAATAAATGACTGTTGTGACAAAATGAGGTTATTTTATATAAAACTTGAGCTTGTCAATTTTTCAAAATTAATTCAAGTTAACGTTAGTGTTTATTAAATATTTTTGTATAATATTTATATTTATTAGTATAAGAACAATAAACTATGATAAATTAAAATTTAAATAATAAATTTATTCGAAGAACAGATCAATGAGATCTGGCTGCCAATCATCAATGGCGATGTTTCACATGCAATTCTTTGTGTATGAACGTGACAAGATTTGTAATCAATAACAAGTTTGCTCAAGTCATTATTAATATTTTCAAAATATGGATCGAAATTTATGGAGAACAAATAGCCACAAAAAAATTAAAACTGTCAAAAAATTAAACAAATCTCCTAGATCTAAAATTCTTTTTGTTCCTGAACCTGTAAGATATTTTATTAATATTAATACCCTAATATTATAAATTAAATAATTGACACAAATTGTATAATAAATAATAATTATGACAATTAACTTATTATTAATTTATTTTACCATTTTAAAATTAATTATTATTTTAATAATTTTCTAGACCTCCGTCGACGAAAAGTACGTTGAAAGCATTTGGACGTTGCTGAAGAATGCCATTCAAGAAATTCAGAAGAAAAACAATTCAGGTCTCAGCTTTGAAGAACTTTATCGAAATGCATATACGATGGTTCTTCATAAATATGGAGAAAGACTCTACACAGGTTTAAAAGAAGTTGTTACACAACATCTAGAGAATAAAGTGCGTGAAGATGTTCTTCATTCACTTCACAATAATTTCCTACAAACATTGAATCAAGCATGGAATGATCATACAACGTCCATGACGATGATCAGGGATATTTTGATGTATATGGATCGAGTTTATGTACAACAAAATGACGTAGATAATGTATATAATCTCGGTCTGATTATTTTTCGAGATCAGGTATATAATAATTTAGTTTTTCATCGATTTAATTAAATAATAGTGTATAATAATTAAAATTAATTAAACATTTTATATTTCAGGTTGTTCGATATGGTTGTGTAAGAGATCATTTGCGAGAAACTTTGTTAGGAATGGTTGCACGAGAAAGAAGAGGAGAAGTCGTTGATCGTATGGCTATAAAAAATGCATGTCAAATGTTGATGTGTTTAGGAATCAACAATCGTTTAGTTTATGAAGAAGATTTCGAAAGACCGTTCTTACAGCAGAGTGCTGAATTTTATAGAGTTAGTTTAATAATATATTTCTGTTTTTCTCACGAGCATCAAAATGAATATTTATTTTTTATTAATAAAAAAAAAATCAATCGTATAAAATTCATTTCTAGATGGAATCTCAAAAGTTTTTAGCAGAAAATAGTGCGTCGGTGTACATAAAAAAAGTAGAAGCTAGAATAGCTGAGGAATCTGAAAGAGCAAAACATTATCTGGATGAATCGACGGAATCACGAATAGTAGAAGTTGTAGAAGAAGAGCTCATAAAAAATCACATGAGAACCATAGTGGAGGTGTATCAAATTTGCTAGTGTTGAGTATTCTTATTGAAACAATGTGAAGCTAAATATTCCATTGTGTATTTTTAGATGGAAAATAGTGGTGTGGTACACATGCTCAAAAATCAAAAGACAGGTGACTTGAGCTGTATGTATAAGCTCTTCTCTCGAGTAACAGATGGATTACGTACAGTTTGTGATTGTGTGTCACAATTTTTACGAGAACAAGGTCGATCTATGGTCCAGGAAGAACAAGATTCCACAACAAATGCTGTCAATTTCGTACAGAATCTTTTAGATCTTAAAGAAAGATTTGATCATTTTCTTCATTACTCTTTCAATAATGATAGACTTTTTAAACAAATGATTGTGTCAGACTTTGAATATTTTCTTAATTTAAATTCAAAAAGTCCGGAATATCTTTCATTATTTATTGACGACAAGTTAAAGAAAGGTGTCAAAGGGGTATGTTTTTTTAACAAAATAAACTTTAGTCATTTTTTTGGCATTGAGTTTTTTGTTAAATTTTCATATCAATTGTAGATGACGGAACAAGAAATAGAAGGAATTCTTGATAAAACAATGGTTTTATTTAGATTTCTTCAAGAAAAAGATGTATTTGAGCGATACTACAAACAACACTTGGCGAAACGTTTACTATTAAATAAATCTGTCTCAGATGACAGTGAAAAAAACATGATATCAAAGCTAAAGGTATTAAATATTTAATTTTTATTAAATTAATTCATTTATGAAAACAAAATTGATATTTTCTTAGTTTACAATCTATCCGAAAAGACAAAAGAGATTTTATCGTTTCAAAGAAATTTGGAAACGAAAGAGTAAAATTTGATCGTTACTATTATGAAGATTGCGATCTAGTGATAAAATTCTTGTTCATTACGTCTTTATATTTTTAATGTAATTAGAGAAATTTTTTTTTTCTTCAATCATACGCGTAACTCAAGAATTTGTTTTTTTTTAGACTGAGTGTGGCTGTCAATTTACATCTAAACTAGAAGGCATGTTTAAAGATATAACAATTAGTAATACAATTATGGATGAATTCAAAGATCATGTTCAAGCATCTGGGGTATGTAATGTTTTTTTAAAAATAACAATTACGAAAAAATTTTAATGGATACAAAAGTTAAAAGAATCTTTTTATTGTTTAAAGTTAAATCTCCGCGGTGTGGACTTGAGTGTACGAGTGTTAACAACAGGTTTTTGGCCAACACAATCAGCTACGCCAAAGTGTAGTATGCCGCCCGCAGCTCGTGACGCCTTTGATACTTTCCGTCGTTTTTATCTCGCCAAACACAGCGGTAGACAACTGACACTTCAACCGCAACTTGGTTCAGCTGATCTTAACGCCGTTTTCTACGGACCACGGAAAGAAGAGAATTCCAGTTTACAGACACCATCATCTACAAGCTCAATTAGCAGTGGTAATGGCACCAATCCTAGTGGTAATCTCCTTAGTCAACGCACTAGTTGTAATGGAAATACCAGAAAACATATAATTCAAGTTTCCACCTACCAAATGTGTGTTCTAATGTTATTTAACAATAATGATCAATTGAGTTATGAGGTGAATTTTTTTATTCATTCACTCAGTAATAAACTATTTCATAAATTAAAATATTGGTTAACATTATAGGAAATACAAAATGAGACAAACATTCCGGAGAGAGACTTAGTAAGAGCGTTACAATCATTAGCCATGGGTAAAGCTGCACAAAGAATTTTGCTTAAACATCCACGGTCAAAAGAAATTGAACCAACTCATTGGTTTACTGTTAACGATAGTTTTACTAGTAAATTACACAGGTATTTGCTAACAATTTATTTTGTTTAAAATTATAATTTTAGAGTATTTCCGTATAATATTATTTATATTATTTCAGAGTTAAAATTCAGACAGTAGCAGCCAAAGGTGAGTCCGAGCCAGAAAGAAAAGAAACAAGAAATAAAGTTGATGAAGATAGAAAGCATGAAATTGAAGCAGCTATTGTAAGAATTATGAAAGCTCGTAAACGTATGCCGGTAAGTATTAATATTTGACAATCAAATGATATTTTGATGATTTGTGATATTTTTAATAGAACTTTTCATTAATTTTATTATTTTTATAAATTTTTCAGCATAATATTCTTGTAACTGAAGTAACGGAACAACTACGTGCACGATTTTTACCATCACCGATGATTATCAAAAAACGTATAGAAGGATTAATAGAAAGAGAATATCTAGCGCGAACTCCAGAGGACAGGTAAATATTAAGTACAATTAAAAATTTATTTTCTATTGAATGATGGTTTATCATTGTTAACAGAAAAGTGTACACTTACGTCGCTTAATATGGAACTCGCATTTGTACAAACACGTGAGTAACCGAGCCACAACCACTCAATTCTGAAGGAGTGAAGTGAATGATAAAATATAAAAAAAAGGGAAAAATATAATAAGAGATTGAAAAGAAAAAAAAATTATAAATTGATACGTGAAACATGGTGTCGTTTCTTCGTTTGAAAATTTCACTACATTCGGACTCAAGTAATCTTTGTCCGTGTAATAGTATAACAATTTACCAATAAGATTAAGAAAAAAATTTTAAGAATATTATTAAATATCAATGAAATAATTATAACAGATTTAAATTATTCACGACATATTGAGACGAATATATCATTTTTACATATTATTACCTTTCCCATTTCCCTTGGGATCTATTAAAATGAAAAAAAAAAAAAAATTTATGTGAATAAAACAGGTAAATACACCATTTCTTCGAGTCTAATTTAATATTAAAGTAATATTAGCAATATAAATGAATTTTTTGTTTTAATTGATAAAAAAGAATCGCTAAACGTACTTTTCAATAATTTATTATTTTCATTACGTACTAAATTATTTGAACTGATAAATTATTGATAACAGCTGTAAATAAATGATATATAAAATATTATTTGAATATTTAGATATTGAATTTTTAATCCAACATTTGGATTTTGTCGGATTATTCGTTAAAAAATTCAACGCTTTTCTCATTTAGATATGTGCTTTTATGTATTGTTTAATTACATTAATTAATGATTAATAATTATTGTGTAAATAAATAATTATAATTTATTATTTATCCCTTCAAACGGTAGATCATGATTTATCATTTTTGAATGAAGTAAAATATATTTTTTCTATGTTTTTATTCTTTAGTAAAATTCACAATTGTATGAAATATACTATTTATAATAACTATCTGCAGATTTATTAAACAAAAAAAAAAAAGTTTTATTGTAATTTATGAAGAATTTAATTTTTTTAAGAACACAAAAAAAAAAAAACGTAGTTTTTTATTTAAAAAATTATTTAAATTTTGAAATCAACTTTCGTATTTATATAAAAATCATGAAAATTTTTACAAAATAACATTTTTAATAATGAATAAATATTCATTGTTGTTAAAAAATTGTAAAATAAAATAGTTAAAGTTATTTCAAAATGATAACATTACAGTAGCGAACTCTATTACATAACCTTAGATAAAATACCGACCAGAGTTTGTTATTGAAGTGTACGGAAATAATATTTTTTCATATCACTGAATCTTACTATACAAAACTACATCCCCTACTTCTTTTATCAAAGTAAACACTCTACTGTTACACTACTAGCGCCATTGTCTTTATCTTTAGACTTCAGCTGATAGATTTACAGCACAGCTACTGCGGCTTCACGAGGAGCTGTCGCGAACGAGGGAAAACGTTAAATTGGAGTAAAAATTACGTGCAACTGTCACGTTATTTCGGTTAGCTTTTTTTTTATTATAAAATTAGTATATACATAACTATGTGTTCTATTTATGTTAGACATTTTTAGTCTTTTTTTTTTCATTTCCTCTAAAGAAATATAACCATCATTAAGCTCAAGAAAATTTTGAGTATGTTCGTGCATGACTAATTTGCCTTAAAAAATGTAAGCTGTGCTAAATTGTATGTTTTTTGAATAATTTTATTCAAGTTTTAGTGATAAATTGAGAAAAAAATTATTAGTGAAAGTATTATCGTGAATTGAGTAGTAAACATAGCGTCCTCAAAAATTGTGTCATTTTTTTTAGTGCTAAATCATCTAAAATTGGTTTGTGAATCATAATTATCATGTCGAAGATGCTGACTAGCCTAATATCATTCACAGAAGATGATTAATTATAAATATATTTATTTGTATCGTACCAATGATATTGATGTCATCTTTTATCGCAATACCAAATGAATAACCTTAAAAATAGTCAACCTATTCAGCTGAACACCTGTAATCAACTTTATTATTCAATATACATAATATATATATATATATATTCATGTGAAATTAATATCAAGGGAGTCAGCAAGTCTCATTTGCTTGCGTGTTCGTGACATTTGAAAGCATTTGGCACAAAGCTTGATCCCATTTTAAACGCTATTGTGACATATTAATGAAACATTTTCTCAAGCCTTTTGTCTTGCCAAAATGTTAATTATTAGTATTTTATATCCATTATTTACACCTTAATTATCTTTTTTTTTTAAGTATGGTAAAGCGTCTGTAACAGTCGATAATCGTTTATGAGTATTAGTGGCATTTATAGAAAGAAGAATACTTGATTCTTCGATTTTTAAATAACACTCTTATAACACTTGGTGTCTACTATATTGTTGAAATTTTTTATGTTTAGCTTTTAGTTCTCAGCATAAACTGGGTATTTAAGTCGATCCCGGGAGACAGAAAAGATAAATTCGGAATTTTCGGTATGATATTTAAGGACGGGGTAAGGAGGGAGTGTCCTCTACTCGCGTTACTTATGTAATTCCACGTGTTTCCCCTCCAACCCCACGCATTTCCTAATCTATGCACTTACACGACGTAAAAGTGTCAGCAGTCCTCATGCTTACTCACGCCGGTCTTTACCGCTTTAATTTTCACGTGACTTAATCGGCTGTTTGATAAGAATGTGAGGCCATTCGAAAGAATCAAAAAACATTTTCAAAAAAGAAATACCTTAGTTCTATTGTTAAATCAATAATTATCTTCGTCAATGTCAGATAAAGTTGTAAGAATAATAGGCATTGAATTCATGCAAACTGACGCAATCGTTTTTTATATCAATGTATACGATTTTTATACTGACCTTACGATTGAAAATGATCTTTAAAAATTTGAAAATTATTTTCTTTTTTTTTTCAAATTAAACAGTACTTATAAAATCATAATTCATTTGATTGATTGTAAAAATTTGATTAGATTCAATGTTTTAATTTTATTTGGTTGTAGTTATAAGGAGTAGTTATATAAGCTTGCACTTGAACCAAAGAAGGAAATAAAACTTTTTTTACTAAAACTAAAAATTGTCTTTTCAGATCGAAAAACGTGATTAAACAGAAACGAGATGGCTTCTTTAAGACTTTTGGCTGCAGGAGCAAGTGCTGTTGGAGCTGGTGCACTTTCTTCATATTTTCTAACATCAGATGCTCCAGTAAGTAATTATTTAATAAAGTAACTATCATTGAATGAATTTTTTATAAATTATTTTTCCAGGTATTAGCTGATAAACCAGTTCACAAACAAACCAAAAGAACATTACCTTCACGTGAAGATCAAATAAAAGTACTAAAAAACCAAGATGAAGAATATGATGTTTTAATTATTGGTGGAGGAGCAACAGGAGCTGGATGTGCTTTAGATGCATGTACAAGAGGTTTAAAAACAGCATTAATTGAAGGAGATGATTTTGCTTCAGGCACCTCTTCAAGGAGTACAAAATTGATTCATGGTGGAGTTCGGTACTTACAAAAAGCTATTATGCAATTAGATATTGAACAATACAAAATGGTTAAAGAAGCTCTGCACGAACGAGCTGCTATGATTCATAGTGCTCCTCATCTTGCTCATCCTCTGCCTATAATGTTACCCGTTTACACGTAAGTAAAAATTATGAAGTAATTATTTCTTAGCTAAGATAAAAGTTTTTATGGCAATCAACAAAATAAAAATGAAATTATGTAATCTTTAGTTTTATATATATATAATGAAAACTCATTGCTTATCAGAAATCAAATCAGCAATTCATTCGTTATGATTTTTTTTATTGACCATGATAAATAATAAAAAAAATTGTCTATTGGAGTATGAAGTAAATAGAGCTTGATAAAAACATTTTAATAAAAAGATTAAATTTTTATGCATTATAACTTTTTTTTATTTTTTATAGATGGTGGCAAATTCCTTATTACTGGTTTGGTATAAAAGCATACGACATCGTAGCTGGTAGTAAAACAGTTAAATCTTCATATTTTTTAAGCAAATCAAATGCACTCGAGCTATTTCCGATGTTGAAAGGCGACAAACTCACCGGGGCAATCGTTTATTATGACGGTAAATCAAATGCAATATGAATAGTTTTACTTTGTGTAATGACATTTTAAAAATTTCCTTATTACCAGACGACCGTGAATTAGACAACGTAGTTTGCTTACCTTTGTATAATTGTTGCAGGTCAACAAGATGACGCTAGAATGAACCTTGCAGTGGCCTTGACTGCTTCACGTCTGGGAGCAACAGTAGTGAACCACGTCAGTGTTCTTAACCTTATGAAAGGACTAGACAAAGATGGAAAACGTGTTCTTGTTGGTGCACGCGTAAAAGATGAAATGACTGGAGATGAGTGGAACGTCAAAGCTAAATGTATTATCAATGCTACTGGACCATTTACTGACAGTATCAGAAAAATGGATGATCCTACTGTAAAAGAAATTTGTGCTCCAGCTTCTGGTGCACATATTGTACTTCCTGGATATTACAGGTATAGATAAAAAATAATTTGTTTAAAATATTATTTATTAAAATAATTTTATTTAAAATAATAAATCAATTTATGTGTCAGTCCCGATCAAATGGGTCTTCTAGATCCAGCAACGAGTGACGGCCGAGTTATCTTTTTCTTACCTTGGCAAAAGCATACAATCGCTGGTACGACTGATCTACCTTGTCAAATAACACACAATCCAAAACCTACCGAGGACGAGATCATGTTTATTTTGCAAGAAGTCAAAAACTATCTCAACCCAGACGTTGAAGTACGTCGTGGCGACGTATTGTCTGCATGGAGTGGTATTAGGCCATTGGTCTCTGACCCAAATAAACCAAATACTCAATCTTTAGCGCGTAATCACATTGTACATGTGAGTGATACAAATCTTGTCACTATTGCTGGCGGTAAATGGACTACTTACAGAGCAATGGCTCAAGATACCATTGATATAGCTATCAAAGGTATGATTAATTATCACTGATTATTATAAATCATTTATTTTTCATAATAATATTTATCTCTACTTATATTCAAGCGTGTAATTTGGAACCGAAAACTACTTGTCAAACTGATGGAATGCTATTGGAGGGAGCACATGGTTGGAGTCCAACAATGTACATCAGATTGGTCCAAGATTTCGGTTTAGAATGTGAAGTTGCACAACATTTAGCTAAAAGTTATGGTGATCGTGCATTTGCTGTTGCAAAAATGGCATCTCTTACAGGAAAACGTTGGCCTATTATTGGAAAAAAATTACATCCTGAATTTCCTTATATAGATGCCGAAGTATGGTCAATTATTATTATTAATTATTTATAATTTTTTTTATTTTTCTTTTTCAAATAATTATTATTTTTTAGATTCGTTATGGTTGCCGAGAGTATGCAAGAACTGCGATTGATATGATCGCTCGACGATTGAGACTTGCTTTCTTAAACGTCCAAGCTGCTCAAGAGGCTCTTCCAGCTATTATTGATATTATGGCAGAAGAATTACATTGGTCAGCAGAAGAGAAAAAGAAACAACAGCAACAAGCCAGTGATTTCTTAGCAAATGAAATGGGACAAATGGTTAATCGTGCATCTCGAGATAAGATTCCTATTAATCTTACCAAAAACGAAATTCAGCTCTACATCAAACGCTTCCAAATCATTGATAAAGATCGCAAAGGATATGTATCAATTAACGACATTCGTCGAGGACTTAAGGTTTGATTCTATATTATTTTTAATATTTTTATTTACAAAAAAATTTTTTTAATTTTTTTAATTTTTTATCAATACAAAATTAAAAAATTTAGACTCTCGGCATTAAACTCTCAGAAGATGAACTGCATTTATTGCTCAGTGAAATAGATCTCAGCTACAATGGCCAAATGGAACTACAAGATTACTTACAGGTAATTTTATGATAACTTTATTAATGAGAATCGTATTTTTTCTGCCTATGTAGCTATTCGGCGACAAGGATGTTCCCGGTGAAGAGCTACACGAAATACTTCGCGAAATCGACACTAATATGAACGGTCAAGTTGAACTGGACGAATATCTTCAGGTCTGTTCGAGTTAATTGCTCGAGAAAATCAGACATTTTTATGTTTCTTTGTAATTTTTTGCAACTTTACGCACTTCGATACCATATTTACCTCCATATCCATTGCATAAGCCCATTTTATTCTAACGTTGACAATACTTTGTTCAAATTCATTATTACCAATAATTCGACCTCTAATTGTTATTAATGATAATTTAATCTTATTTGCTGTTGGCAGAATTCCACATTTATTTACTGTTAACAATTAATTTCCCGACATATAGCACATCAATGCCGATGCGCATGACGCTTTTACTGTTCATTCAATTATTTTAATAGCTAATATTTTATCTTTGATTTTCATTGTTTATGGTATCGGTATTTGCTGATCGTTAACAGGGCATGGATAATTATTTTTGTCGATGTACTTTCAATCTTGATGATTTTGTAGTACTTTATTAGTAGAACCTTGTACCTTAAATCACTGTAAAAAATGTTAACTGCTAAGTTTAAATAGTAAACATTTACTAAATAATTTTATTTTATTTTAATTTAGATGATGTCAGCAATCAAATCTGGTCATGTGGCCTATTCGCGGTTTGCAAGAATGGCGGAAATGGAAGAAGCACAACACGAAAAAGACATCCTGAAAAAACAAATTAGTGTAGAGAGATCAGGAGGTGGTCTGTGAAGTGCCTGCAATGGAATTAAAAGAATTTGCAAGGCTTTCATGATGCATTCTTCTCACAATAACATTTTAGGAAAATTTTTATCTACCACACTATTTAATATTTATGTAGACTTATAATTTGCCTGGTTGATTTGTTAACTCAGGGTGCTTTGTTAAAACACAAATCTATCGGCAGGTGCGCAGTATTATTTTCAAAAGTAAAACAAGATAATACTGCTTCGCAGTGGCTTTTTGGCTAATGGCCAAGAGGCAAATAAACATAAATGTTTAACTAAGTATTTAAACAGACACTCTTTTAATACAATGAGGACTAAAACTTTTAATTCTTGAAGCTTTACCAACTGAATTTAAATATCAAAAACAAAAAACAACAAATATTGTACTGATTTTTGGTGCCGTCTTGCGCTTTTATTTATTTCTTCACGCGCGAATATGATACATAAAAAAATATCTCTAGTCTTTTATTAATTTATGACATAATCTAATAGACAATTCATACAATAATGATAGTAAAAATCGATCTGAATGTTGTAAATCAAAGAGTGTTACATCGTTAATTATGTGTACATATTATAATTTATTTCATAACTATCAATGACACGTTGCGTTTACTTAATATAACATTTCTCTTCGACGTTATTGATATTAATCTATTCTAATTTATCTATTTAATGTTGAAATTTAATAAAAATATACAATCTAATTGTAAATTAAAATTTTATCCGAGTTATTACTATCTAAAATGTTTCCAATTGATGAAAAAATTTTTATTAATACCCATAATCTATTTATCTGAAAGATAAATTAATTTATTCAAATGATAAATTATTTAAATATATATTATTCTTTGAATGATTGACAACAGTTGCTTGAATCAATAATAAAGATATTCTGAGTAGATTTGCCCACTTACAATATATATTGTGATTCCAGAAATAAATAATCCTACGCCACTGGGTTCAACAGAAAGGTTCATCCAGGTATACAGTCACAAGGGGATTTTATTTTATAAATTCAATGGGCAATTCTTGACCCTCTTATTTACAGTCTCGTACATATTTACAATCCTCTTTAAAAATTTTTCAGTTCCATCTACGTTTTTAATTTTTTGCATGAAAAAAAAATATGTATATATATATAATATACATACATGTATAAATATAGTAATAATAAGCAACATAACATGAGTTACTTACACGCAAGCTCAATTATACACTTAGGAGAGCATACAACGTTTCTCTATCGAGCGTAACGTTGAACTCCGAGATATGAACAGCTGCTACGATAATTTAGGCCAGGTTATCCCTTGAAGGGGCGGCAGCGGCCAGCTCCTCCTCTTGTTAAGGAAGTGTTTCCTGGTAACCGATGGACAGGGCTAGTAGTATAATATTCTATGTATTCTGAAAGAAGAAAGTACAATAAGGAAGTGAGTTTCGGAGCAGCGGGCGTAAAAGAGGCCGAATGGTGACGTAATAAAAGAGAGGTTGAAATTCAAGTGTGAGCTGGCATGCACCTTTCTCCCTTTGATGATCATTGAATAGGGGAAGGATAATTCTAGTCCTGGCGTCCCCCTCGTTGTCAGGGTGGGCGGCCAGCAGCCCCTGCGTACGCCCCTGTTAACCCGAGGCCGGGGCCGGCATAATTCGACTCCACCAATGAGATATCTGCTTTGTTATGAGCCAAACAAGGACAGAGAATTGTATCAAGCACTGGCGTCGCGCGCAACACCCCACCATTGGGTCTAGCTTGCCGCCAGAGACGCACTTGGTCGCTACGCAGGCCACAAACACGCTTCCCGTCCACAAGCAATTGGCGCGAGTGAGTGTGAGAGAGAATTAGTGCGTCGTCGTGTCCGTCTGTGTGTATTTTACCACGAGTTGAAGATCATTCTCCTCCTTCGCGTCCTCCTCCCGGCTATTTTGCAGACTTGTAACCGTGGATATCAAGAGGAAACGCACATTTTTTCGACTAATTGCGCACGCTCGTGTCATCGACAACAAGGACGCCAACAATATCCCCTCTGTTGCGTTCTCCTGCTTTGTCTCTCTCCATTCTCGGTAGATTAAGTAGGTAGAGGGAATAAGAGAAACGTTTTTCTCTGCGGGAAATAGCATTTTGAGAGCTGAAAACCGGTGTTTGTGCAGCCTTATCGATCCGTTCACATCGACCGATCGCATCCTCGAGGTCTTTAAGTGGCACGCGCTGGCGCAATAATATCACGAGCACGCCTCTTTGTGATCATTTTAAAGAGAAAATACATCTATATTTGTACTCATACGGATGCGCTAAGTGAATGTATTTTACGCAGTGGATCTTTGGAATGTGGCGAGACCACGGAATGGAATAGGAAAATAACGTGCGTCAGAGCATTGCAAGGCGAGAGTTGGATTTTAAGGTTATGGCTTCAACAAAACTCAAGGTAAATATTTTTACATTTGACATCTGATACTGCTTGCTTAGAGTATTTTTGATGAATGATTGACAGAGAGTGTCTAAATGGAATGTTTCGGATGCTAGGAGGAAGCGCACGTGTCGATTCGCGTGTTAGGTGGAGTCCAGAGTGAAAAGTGGGTGGAGGCTGAGGCCGTGGAGGCTTTCCGCGGCGTATATACATGTTGAGCGGTACGGGGGCCGCGTTGTCAAGTCGTCGTCGAGTGGGCGGGTGTGGCGCGGAGAGGGTGTGCGCGTCCGCACACTCGCGACCTCGCCATCGACATTACCAAGACGTGCACAATTGTTGTATATTCAGCGAGACTGAGAAACCGCAGGTCTTGCGAGGGACTATTCGGGTGGGGCACGATGCGCGACAGGGGCGTAGGGAGGCGTTCCTTGATCGGGTCCTCGAGGAGGGCCTTCTTTGTCCCGCGATTCCTTGGCTGACCCCTTCGCACGTGCATTCTAGATAACTCACCGGGAAATCATTGACTTTCTTGTATCTTTCAAGCTATCATCTATTTACTTGTGTTATTCTAATAATCAACATGATCAAAAATATATTGAACAACGAGCAAGTGCAATTTCGAATGGTTATCGATACTTCGTTTAGCAGTGACGCGTTGTGAAAAGTTGGGTGTAAACGAAAGTTTGGAGTGAGAGTGAAAATTCATCAGAATTCATACTTTAGATTTTGTAAATAAACTGAGAATGGATGGAAGAACTATTGTAGTGGTTAGGAATTATATGAATTCATATATATATATTTTTTTTTTTAGATTCTTATCTATAGAAATAAATTTTTTTTTTTTCATAACATTAGGAAACCGTTGAAGAGGATCAGGATGCTTTGCAGTCTTCATCTCAGCCTCAAGAAAATCAAGATCAGCAGCAACTTGATCAGCAAGTACCTCAAGCACAGATTCGTTTTTTAAGTGCTAATGTCCTTCAACAACTACAACAACAACAGCATCAACAACATCAACAAGAGGTTCAGCAACAGCAAGTGCATCAGCATGGCCAACCTCAAGTTATTACACTGCAACAGTTGCAGAATTTTGTACCAATGTCACAACAACAACATGATCAACAAAGAACACAGACCATTTCATTACAAGCTTTACCTCAACAATTTTTGCAAGTACGTTTATTTATAAATTGATAAATAAAAAAAAAATAAATATAAATTAAATAAATTTTAAAGTTTATAAAATTATTGTAATCATTGTGTAGGGTGCTCAGTTGATAAGTAGTCAGGCTGCACTCCAACAACAGCAGCAGCAGCAACAACAGCAGCAACATGGACAACAAGCTCAATCACAAAATCAACCACAATCTCAACAACAGCAATTGAGTTATAGTGTAATTCCTCAAATGCAAACGGTTAATATTGATGGTCAGGATGCTTTATTTATTCCTTCATCGCCAATGACTTCAGTGAGTCATCATCAATCTCAACCAACGATGCAATTCGCTACTGCTGGTGGGCAACAGGTTCAATTAGCATCTCAGCAAGTTCAATTGGCCAATGGCCAAACAATCATTACTCCTCAACCTGTTAGTTTAATAAGAGCACCTAATGTTTTTCCAACGTCAATAATTCAAAATATTGGCGGTCAAACTGTTCAATTACCAACAGGTAAGTTTTAATAATCTTGCTGAGCTTTTAACATCCTTTTCCTTAACTATTTACACAACTTTATATACTTTCAATTTTTAAATTTTACAAATTTAGTGTAAATTCTAATTGATAACAATTACTCACACTTTCAATTTCCACGCTCACGCTTTCATTCATTAACCACTGCCTTCTTCGCCTGCTATTACAAACGGGCAGACTCCAAGGCAAACGTGGATGTTTCAGGACAAAGTGTTCAAGTAAGACCACTACAATTTCCTGTTCAGCATGTGCAGCAAACGGTTCCTGTTCAAGTACCAGTCACTGCCAATAATGGTCAGACGATCTACCAGACGGTGCATTTTCCTATTCAAGCATTGTCTAATGTTTTCAACATGGGTGCAGCACAAATGATTCCACAAATTACTCAAGTAACTTATTAATATATAATTAACATTATTAGTCACATGAATTATGATGACTCTTTATTTATAAATTAATTTTTCTTTCAGCAAATACCACAGATGGCGCAAATAATAACACCAAATGGACAAATTCAACAGGTTCAAATTGCAAATTTACCCCAACTTCAAAGCTTACAAGGCCAGCAAGTAGCTGCGCAAGTGGCTCAACAAGTAGCTCAACAGCAGGCTCAGCAGCAAGTAGTTCAGCAAGTAGCTCAGCATCAATCTCAACAGCAAGTAGTTCAATCGGTGCAGCAACAACAGCAACAAGCACAGCAACAACAACAAGTTCAACAAGTTGTTCAGCAAGTAATTCAACAACAGCAACAAGCTCAACAACAACAACAACAACAGCAGCAAGTTCAACAACAACAACAGCAACAAGCTCAACAGCAGCAGCAAGCACAACAACAACAACAAGTTCAACAAACTGCTTCTACACCTACATCAGGAACTACGTGGACAGCATCAGTTTCTTCACCAGGTAGCATCGGAAATGTTCAAGTGGTAGGAATTGGTCAACTTGGTCGTCCAGCAACGTCAAATGCTAATGTTATTACAACAAAAGATGGCCAAAAAATTGAATTATCCGCATTATCAAGAACTGCAGATGGAGTGGAAACAGATATAAAATTAACAAGTATTGATGCCAGTCAGTTGGCTACTGGTCAGGTTATTCATATACCAACCGCCCAAACAGCTCAACAAGCAATTCAACCTATCACAATTACTGGTGCTCAAGGTCAACAGCTCACTCTAATATCAGCATCAGCTTTAACGAATTTAGCAACACCTCAAGCCGGAATGATGAGAGGACTTAATGTTAGCAATGGTGGAATTATGCAACTTCAACCTGCCAATGCGCCTAATGGTTTTCTCCAATCAATTCCTTTACAAAATATTCCTGGTTTAGGTAATGTACAAGTAATTCCTGCTAGTGCTCTTCAACCTGCAACCGTCCAAGCCCTTCCAGCTGCTTCTACAGCCACACCTATTGTAACTGCACCTACGACAGTTCATGTCGAGTCTGCTGATCCAACCAAATGGCAAATATTGCAGACAATACAAGCAAATGGAAGTATAGCTCCATCCACGCCAGCTCCTCAACCACAACAACAACAAACAAATTCCACGACTATAAATACTACTGGTGAAGGTGATACAAAGCAACATAGACGGCGTGTTGCATGTAATTGTCCTAATTGTAGTGATGGAGAAAGGATTCGTGATATGACGCACAAACGACAACATGTTTGTCATATTGCTGGTTGTAATAAAGTTTATGGAAAGACAAGTCACTTGAGAGCACATTTACGATGGCATACTGGAGAAAGACCATTTGTTTGTAGTTGGGTCTTTTGTGGCAAGAAATTTACACGATCTGATGAATTACAAAGACATAGGAGGACACATACTGGAGAGAAGAGGTTTCAGTGTCCTGAATGTACGAAAAAGTTTATGCGGTCTGATCACTTAACGAAACACATCAAGACTCATACGAAAATTCGTAGCACGGTGAGTTGAATAAATAATTTTAATTTTGTTTTTAAATTTTAAATTCTTATGATGGCTCTTGTATGTGCATTTTAGGAAGCTGCTACATCTACACAAGAAGGATCGTCGGACAGTCAATCATCCGGCGAAGAAAAAATCATAATAGCAATTCAAGAGACTGATCAAACGAAAATGATGATACCTACGGCTATTGAGACTATAAAAACTGAATCATCAGCGCAAGTGGTGAATGAATAAAACTATTAAAATTATTTATTAATTTTTTGTAGTGTTTTTTTACATCTTTAAAAATCATGAACAATCATAAAATTTTCTTAAAATGTTTAACTGGATGATCCAGTAGTCATATTAAGTATTAAGTTTTTCATTTTTCTCTCTATTTTGACATTTGAGTTTCAAGTAGCAACGTTAATAAACTTACTACAGGAATTGCTAATTATATATTTTTCTAAAATCATGTATAAAGTGTTTGTATATAATGTACATGAATGTAAAAAAATTTACACAAGAAGATTATATATCTGAAATTTTTTAAAATATGAAAAAGTATTTGTATTCATTTTATATTCGAGAGGAATGGATATTAGTTATATGGAAGTGTTACCTTAATGACACACCTTCCTAACTCGATTGAAATTAGTAAATTGCTAAGTTAAATAATTAAATAAATAAACAATAAAACGAATTTTTGATAAAAAAAAAAACAAATGAGTAAAATTAAATCATTGTTAAATTGGATAATTCACTTTTTAATTGTTTTTTTTCATTAATAAATTGTAATAAAATGCTATAATTTTTAATTATATTAATTACTTAAATGCTCCATTAAGAAATTGTGTCATAAAAATAACAAAATATGAAATTAGTTTAAAAAGCACTGTACGAAAATAACTCCATATATTTTACAGTATAGTACAATTAATCACAACGCGATATGCCAGCATCGCATAGTGATGGTTATTACAATAACTGGAATAATCAGTCTTGATCCTTTAAAAAAAAGGATGCTATTATAATTTTCGTTTTTTTTTCTTTTGTCATTATATTAACAAATGACACACTTTAATCACTCCGAGGCCATGGAAAACACAATTTTTTTGACTAATAAATTTCAATCGTCGAAGTTTTAGATAAATAAAATTAATAAATTATTATTATTGTTATTATTATTATTATTATTATTATTATTATTCACAATATATCACATCTAAGATGGAAAACAGTTGTGCCAATTTTATTGGCACAATGGAAGTGAAAACTGCACACTTAATGTTAAAGCTGAACTGTTGGAATAATTTAAAAGGTTTTGAGTATCAAGGATCACTTGGTTCTGTAAAAATTTCACACCAAATTGGACAGTGAGTACTTGCAGGACCTCCCCAACGCCATCCTTGTGGAATACCTAAATGTGTAAGACCTTGCCTTACTATTCGATATAATCCTGTATTAAATAATTTCTTCGAACCCTTCCCCCAAATTATTTTATCTTTGAAAATATATTTTTCAGGATCAAACGCAGTATTAGTCTCAGAGAGTACGTCGTTGTAAATATTCGAGGATTCGTCAGAAAGGGAAAAGTCGCCCAAAAAAATGGAATTTTTTGCATCGACAAAACGTTCAATGATGTTATTATCTTCTGGGTCATGCATTTGAACATTTATAAGAGTAACGTCTAATTTGTTAATCTAAAAATAAATATTAACTGTTAATTTTTCATAGTTATTAAGAAAGAAAAAAATAACATGTTGATTCTTACATGAAAGATAATAGAAGCAAGAACTGGAAGAAAGACTCGTGTAGCGGGAGGTTGCTCTCTGAGACTGATACATAAATCTGGGCTAGAATCCCATAAAACGGCAAGACCAGCACCTAAATGTATTGACCGCCATTGTCTTTTATTTCCTCGCCAGTCTCGAACACGTTTCAATGTTGGTAAGTTTAATTCTCGAGTTAATTTATCTAGAGCTTCTAAACTCTTAACTTCTTGGAGAGCCAATAGAGAAAGTCTGAAAGTATAATAGTTGAATAAGAGTGTTGTTACCACATTAAAAATAATAGTGGTTTAGTTTGCTTAGGTAAAAACAAACACATTCAAATTATCATAAGAGGAATGTAACGGGGATGAAACCATAATAAATATCTAAAAAAAACTGACCTATTTTCTAAAATTGTTCTACAGACAACTTCCATCACACCAGGATTGCTAGCTTTATCACTATTGAATCCATTTAAGTTCCAAGAAGCCAGCCTTATTGATGTTCTGTCTAAAGATTCATCAAAATTATATTCAATACAGGGTCGTGGACTAGCAATACTCAATAACTCCCAAATTTCTTCCTCTGATATTCCCGGACTGAACTCTACATTTTTTTCATAGTCATCTATACGTGGCCTATAATTATTGAAGTAAAATATTACATTCAACCAAAATAAAAATGAAAAATTATAAAACAAAAGAGTAATAAAATATTTTTTACATTCTAGGAGGTGTAACTCTATCACGATTGAAACGAGTGATCTTTCTTCCTACGCTATTGACGCGTGGAGTACTAGAAGCTTGAGGAATGTTCCAAGAGGATGAGGGACTCCCATTACTGTAGGTACGCACGACTGACCCATTTAAAATACTGCTTATCTTGAGGTAAGGTCTTATCATAGCTAAACGATACTTTCCCATTCCTCGCAGTTTTGCAAGTTCGTCTAAAGTGCCAAAACGTCCATATTTTAATCTTTTTTCTACAATTCTTGCAGCCAATTCCTAGAGTTAAGAGAAAAAAAATTTTTTTATTAATTAGATGATATTATTTTAATTAAAGGTAACATTCAAAGATGCATAGTAGATTTAGTATTAAATAATTTTTAAACATAAAATATTAACTGTTAATAAATAAAAATTAAATATAAAAGACCATCCTTCTCTGTTAGTTAAATAAATAGAGCTTAAATAAAAGTGAAACAAAAGCTTCTTAAATTATTAGTGTACACATAGATAATTATCGATATAATTTTTGTTATCATTAAATGTGTTAAGAGGTGTAGGTAAATAAAAAAGCGGGTAAATTGGTACTAATTATTTACCACACGTTTTAAGTCAAATTGTCGTAAATAAAATGGCAAAGAAGATTGACAGCATCATTAGGAAGAAATACAACACTCCGTTGATTCAAGGGACAGGGTCTGACTTTGAAAGAAATAAAAGCGAGTCATTGAATAATGAGTAGTTATAATGAATGAATATTCTCTTCTATTAAAAAATACACACTACATTACCGTTTTAATTGATTTAATATTTTTATCGATAAATTATAACTCACCTGATCTATTCCTGGTACACCTTGAAGTTCAAATATACTAGCAGAATTGACGTCTACTTGATTTAGATTATTAGCTACTGAATCTAAACTCGTTGAAGCGCGAGAAGAAGCACCTGAATCGTTTGTTGATGAAACATAAACTTCCATCTTAATACTCTCTAATTTTTCAGCACCAATTCCAGATACTAGAGCCAAATCTTCTACTCTGTGAAATCTGCCAATTATTCTTCGATGATTAACAATATTGTTTGCTAAGTTACGATTTATTCCGGGTAATGTCATTAATTCTTCTTCAGTTGCAGTATTTAAATTTAATAATTGTGGCTGAAATAATAAATATTTTTATTAATCTTATATCTAAATAAAAAAACTATAAAATATTAGAATTTAATGAATTTAACTACATAATAACTTTGAAGATAATCCTACCATCTTTTACAATACAAAAAGTAGTTTAATGATATAAACCAGCGACAAGAATGATTAAAAGCTTTATTGAAGTAGTTTTGAAGATTTCAAAAAGAGATAATATTCTATTTAATTATTGTTTTCATTAAGGAGAGTAATGACTAATCTAGTAGTAATATAACAATATAAATTCGTATGTATATATATTTCATTAAAGTGATTTTAAGATTAATTAACCGATAATAACTTTATTGTCGTAAAAATAATGACTTTTTTTATCTTTCTTGAAAAATAAATAATGAGAATCTTTATATGAATTCTATGTTATATAAAGTCATTAAAAATATTGTTCAATTAGATATTCTTTTTTCATTGAATTGTTTTCCTTTATATTTGGAAAAAAAAATTCTTTTACCTAATATATGTATTTTACTGTCAGCTATTTAATAATAGTTATCTATGAACTGTAATTATTTTCAATTGGAAATCAACTGTGATCAGATAATAGTAATAGTACGTGTATGGAGTAAAAAAATACTGTGACACGCTATGTTCATATACTTCAAAAGAATTGAACTCGATTTTCTTCTAACCTATATATTTTATAATGATTAATTATGTTTATAAAGCCTTTATAGTAATAAAATGTAGCCTAATAAATTCAAAATAATCAGAAGATTATAAATTAAAAAAATAAATCATACCTTGAGTGTATCATCCGGGATAGAAAAAGTATGAGAAAGATTTTTAGAATAATGGAATCTTTTTCTTCCAATTCCAGCAAACGTTAATTGCTTTAAACTAGGTCTCCTAGACTTAGTACCAGAGTGGAGGCTGTGTGACTGTCCCATGTTGGTGGAGTAAAGTCTCCAATCGACCAAATAAATTAAATAAAATCATCTATGAAATGTGGAATCATTGGAGCTCTGTATCACGTACACGACAAAACACACCTGATGACTAGGAGTAATCCACATGTTGCATAATCTTGCTTTTTGCTTTGAAGCATGAAGTTAGAGTTCTTCTTAGCACGAAGTAAAAAGCACCAACTTCAACCTTAAATAGTAGATATTTGTAAGAATAAATTACTGAGATTAAATTAAATTGAAGGCGTGGAAAAGAGGAAATTGATGAGACATCAGTATTACTTCATTCTACAATCAAAGAGCAAGGTACAAGGTCACTTTAAATGCTACTGATGGAGGTGTATTTAATAATCCATAGATATTGGTAATTGATTAGATTAATTGATAATACGTTTTGTCTAGTTGATAGGAACAATATAAAATTATACTTACATGGTATTTTTGTTACAAAATCATTGATTACTTGAGCACATATGCCTTCGTGGCAAACTTATCAAACTAGTATGATCGTATATGGAATTGACAAGAAAACTCGAGAGCTTGTTTTGGAGCGACATAACCCTACAACGTGTGAAATGGCAGTAGCGCACGGCTGCTGCAAGCGCGCACAAAAGATAAAAATATATTTTACCAGGGATTCATAAGTATTATCCAATGAAACTAAACTAAATATCCCCAGTTTCCTAGTAATCTCAATAGAAAACATGTTTACACTAATTATTCACAACAATAATATATTGATTTGTTTACTACATTCAACAATGATTACAGGTGTCTTAAATATACCGTACGGTACTCGAAATATGTACAATTAAGACTTATTTTTTTAATCAATACATTGTATTTGGTTGTATGTATTTTAGAACTGATATTTTTTTTATCTGGATCCAATTTACATCTAGGTTATGAAAATTATATAATATTTTATTATACATTTTATTTATTAATTTTCACCATGTTTAAAAAATTATTATTATATTCAAAATAAAATTTTAGTCATTAATTTATAGATTTTACAAAATTTAATTTTCGTTGATTCAAAATTAAGTTATTTAAACTCCGGAAATTCATCTTTTATCCAATCACGGCTCTTCAGGTAAAGAATTTGACAGTTACAGATGTCGTAATAATCACTGATGGCGAAAAATTTAACACAAATTGAGCTATTTTTATTATTGTTGCAATTTTTGTAATAATTATTAGAATTCAATTGAGCAACAAGCACTGACTTAACCTGTACGTATTTTTCGTGTTATTTATAATAATTCTACTTATCAATGAAATACATTTTTGTTTATTTTTAGTGAAAATAATCTCTTAAAAGAAGTAATTACTCTATAAAATTTTATTTACATGCTCGTAGCAGGTGTATTCGATAATTGTTTCTAACCTATAAACAAATGTCTCGGATATTTATTTATTATTGTTGTTAAATATCATTGTGGTTATGATAGATATCTAATTAATTTATGTGTTACAGCATTAAATAAAAATGACGACAAGCACTCTCCTAAGGAAACAGTGGATTTTTAATCAACTCATACGACCTGCAAGAAGTCTAGCTTCAAACTTAGGTAACTCTAACAAAAGTATCGAAAATGTAGAAAAAATTCAAAATTGGAAAGATGAACTTTTAACAACTATGAGGGTTTTTCCAAATTTTCTAAGTCAAGAGGAAGAAGATTCGTTATTTCGCGAAGTAGAACCATACATGAAAAGACTTCGATATGAATTCTCTCATTGGGATGACGTTAGTATAAATTCTGAAAAATTATTTGAAAAATTAATCAATTTGTTTTTATCTTTTTTACAGGCGATCCATGGATACCGTGAGACAGAAAAGGCGAATTGGAATAAAGAAAATATGAAAATTCTTGATAAAGTAAGAAAAATAGCTTTTCCACCTGGTATGCCTCAATTAAAATTCGTTCATGTCTTAGACTTGGCCGCTGAAGGAAAAATAAAACCTCATGTTGATAGTATTCGAGTAAGATAATTCAAAGAACTCATTACTTCATGCATTTAGTTATAAAGATTTTCTTTAATCATTACAAAACTACTGATCAATGTTTCAGTTTTGTGGCGATATAATTGCTGGATTAAGTCTTCTTAGTGATTCCGTTATGAGATTAACTTCAGTAGAGAAGGAAAGTGATTGTCGTGAAGATTTTTTTCTACCTAGAAGATCGTTATACATAATGAGGTTGATATTTATAGTTTCATGAATATAAAAAAGTAAACATGATTTTTTTTACGACTTTTTATATTTATTCACAGTGGAGCGGCTCGACACAAGTACAATCATGAAATCCTCGGTCCTGATGAGTCCATATTTGAAGGTAAAAAAGTAGAGAAAACACGAAGAATTTCAATAATTTGCAGATGTGAACCTGAATGCTCTCAAGATCTATGAGCTAAGTATTTTTAAACATTTTTGTTTGTATATAAATGATATTTTTCTTGAAAAAATAGAATTAAAAATTATTAATAAATAAATAACGTGATTTTAAGCATAAAAAACTATTTTACACACCAATTTATTCACATAAGTAAATCACAAAAAACCAGTGTACATTTTGATAGTAGGTATATTTTACCTAAATTAGTGAGTTGTACTTATAAAAAATTATGCACACAAATGCTGTCCAAGAAGCTTGGGGAAGATAGCGATTATGCAATGTTACAAATAATTCCTATGTTCATTTTTATTCAATCTATTGTAGCATCTATTTTATTACTGTTTTCTTTTATCGATAATTATTAAAATCCAATCAATATAATAAATTGGCATCCAAATCAAAAATAAGCATAATTGTAAAATTGGAATAGGAACTAGTATCTTCAATGAGCCTCTTATAGACATTGGTTGTTGAGTAGTCAACCATTGATTGATTTTGTTTATATAGTTTAGATGACATCATTAATGTCAAAAATCAGAAAAATCGGCTCAATCTGATTAAATTTATAAATTTTTATTTGTAAACACATGATTTTAAATGTATCATTGATCTTAAACGCATATATTACAGTATATATTTTTTAGTCGAATTCGCCGATTTTGTAGATCATGTCAATGAACAAATAAACTAAAAGATCAATGTCTCTGTTTTTCAAGTCGTTGTAACTTGTTTCAACTGGCAAAGAGTATAGAAATAAAAAATTATTTATCAAAAGAAATATTTAACAGAATTTCCATCGGTTTCCACAATTATTACATAGCACAAATGTTGTCATAGGTTCATCAGCTGATCGAGTTTGAACTTGATTGTATGTACAATCTCGTTGCTTGCACTTTCCACATTTTAAGAGATCAGTTTTGGTACCTTGAACAGTAGCAAGTTGAGCATCATTGATGGCTTCTTTTTTGAATCTGTCTCGTAATTGTTTAATTTCGTCACTCGCCATCTCTTCTGCAGTCATTACGGCAAGGCGGGCTGGTGTTATTGCTCCAACAAGGAAATTCGTTTTTAAGGTGGGATTTTTTACATCACGTAAATTTGCAACACGACTACGTACCTGAAGAAATATATTATAATTATTAACAATCTTACTTACGATATAATTTCAAAATCTTATTGATTGATAATATTAGAGTATTATTAAATTTCAATTTACTCTGTTTTTATATCTGTTATCAGTGTTCTTAAACTCTGCATAAATAGCCTCTTCCAGTTCTTCAGCTAATTCTTCAGGACTTGCACAAGCTTCTACATTCGCTCCATCAACTCGAAGAGCCGATGCAAGAAGTTCTCGACACTTTAGTCTGACAGCATCAGTTGTGGCAGTAGCGGGAAACGATGATTGTTTTTTGTAAGAATCTTTACTGGAAGTTTTTTCATCTTTCATTTTCATTTCATTATCTGTATGATCTCTGTCTTTTTTGGAGTCATCATCTTTGTTTTTATCTGACTTTTCTTCTTTTTTCTTTGAACTACTTGTTGATCCTGAATCCTTGCCATCTTTATTCGATCCTATTAAGAATTTTTCAATTAATTAATAACTGAAAACTATTTTGCATAGAGCTAATTATTAAAAAATTATAATGAAGAACAAAGTAATACCTGATAAAAACTTTTTCCAATTCTTGATTAAAGTTTTTGACAATGAAATGACTTCTTCATCTTTGCTAGATTTTCGTAGAGCATTTACAGTCATACCAATTCTTGTTTTTGTAAGGAGTTCTAAATCAACTGGTAATTTTTGGAGAACTTTAAGTAATTCCAAAGCTTGTTCTTGTCCCTGCAAATAAACAAAATAAAAAATATCCAACAACGACAGATACTAATTATTACAATAAGCTCCAGCTATGACCGAATATTTTTAAAAATTAATCATTCTATTAATTTTTTAAATATTCTTATGACTAAATTAATGTACATCAACTATTTAGATATTTTGTCCTATCTTCTTAATTTACTCACTCACTCACCGTCCCGTCACCGCTAGACATTTTATTCAACTTCTTCTGAATCCTAAGCACTTCTTCTTCGGCGTTCATATTGATAATCTGTATGTTTTATCAGATAAACAAAACGAAAAGCACGCGGCTTTTTTCAGAAATTAAACGAATCCAACTATTACGCTAGCTGGCAATCAGCAAACTGGCGATTGTAAAGATGGGGGATACGGATGCATGAAATTGATACGAAGAAGTCGAAGTAGAAATACCAACATTACAATGATAGCGTCAGGACGCCAATTGTAACTTAACCTATTTCATTATTACCGCCAAAAATTTAAATATCTATATAAAACATTTTCAACTCATTACAATAAAAATCAACAATAAATACATAATTTTAATCTTAATCATGTATTTTATTACTTATATGAAATATTTTTCTTACAATTTATCCAAATCATATTTCGCACTAATAATTTTGTATAACAAACCACACTTTTTTTGTCTGTATTGTTGATTAATCATTATTAATTGATTAATTGTTACAGTAATTTTATTGCATTAAAATTGTGATATTACTATGTAAAGATTAACATTATAGTTCATATTATCTGTGTAGTACTTTTTCAATTAAGTAGCTAAGTTATTACAAGCAACATCTAAATAAATTTACAGCCATCTGATTGTTATCATTATTATTATTATTATCAATAGTAGTAGTTTAGATTATTTATTTATTATGAAAACAATCGTGATGATACGGAGGACAAAATATGATCTATCACATAGTTAAAATGGAAAATCGAAGAATAATTGAAATTTTTCAACATTGTCATGTTGAATGTATCAAATGCATATATTTTTGCAACTTTCTCAAAGTTAAATAAATCTTTCAATAAATAAGTTAGGCGAGCATATAAGTTACTTATATAGGGAAACAACAATCCCTAATTCAAAATTTATCATTAGTCAAGTTAATTAAGTTAATTGATCTAAAGGAATGTTTGTTTACCTTTTTTTTTAAAAATTTTTTCTTTTTTTTTTATTGACAAACATTAAATATATTATTAAAGTAAACAACTATTGCCAATTTTTCTTACTCAGCTACTAATAAATTATCATATAGTCTCAATTTATTTATTAATAGCAATATCAATTAAAAGACTACTGATATTTCAATAATAACTTAACTTACGTTTTTTAATTTACATATTACGGTTTTAAAACTTTTTCTAGAAAAGCTTTGATATCACACATTTCCTGCAAAAAGAGTTAATGAATTTTTTTATATTGAAAAATAAAATATTAATTTAATCTACAAATGTCAACTATAATGTTAACAATAAAAATAAGTCATTTCACTAACCTCATCACAAGAAGAATGCATCATTTCTCGGTATGTTTTAAATTCAACTTGTGTCATGAATTTTTTTATAAGCGATGCAGTCATTTGTCCCCATTTATAGGGCACTATTGGATCACAATCTCCATGACACAATAATACAGGTGTATCTTTATTACCAACAGCACTCTAATATTAAATTAACATATTAGTAATAATAATAATAAAAAAGATAATTTATCCATTAAGATTTCATTACTTTGAATCTATAAACTTACAGCTGGAAATTTTTTGTGAAGTGGAAGCCAAGCAGAAAGAGCAATCACGCCAGCAAGAGGCTCAGGATAAGTAAGAGCACTGTAAAGAGCTAAAGCACCGCCTTGGCTGAAACCACCAAGGACGATGCGTTTTGTTGGAATTCCAGCTTGAACTTCTTTTTCTATCATTCCGTGTACCATTTCTGCAGCTTTTTGAATACCTTCTTCATCTTCTGGACCGGTTGCTTCTAAAGTTTTTAAATCAAACCTGTAAAATATTTTGCATTCATTACATTTATGTTAATTTTAAATTGATTCTTGAATTATTTTGACCATAATTTAATTTATTAACTTACCAAGAAGGCATCCTAAAGCCTGCATTAAGAGTGACTCGCATGGTAGGACTAAAAAATGGTTGTTTTAAGAATTTTATACTTTAAAATAAAACAAATTAATTTTTTTATTTAAACTTACGCTGTTGGACAGATAACTTTCATATGAGGAGATATAACTGCACCCATAGAGCTTGCCCATCCTTGTCTATAATGATAGATAACATTATTATTCTAGTTTTCAAAAAAATATTCTAATTATGAGTTGAAAAAAGTTATAAATGCTTTTGTCAATGTTAATTAAATGATAAATGTCAGCAAATAGTAACAAAAAATTACCCTGTATCTCCAAGTCCGTGGAAGAATATCAGCTGAAACAGGGCAAATATTGTGCATCAGTAATAATTTCTTAAGTATTTATTTATTAATAGAGTACTGTTTATCTATTTTGATAAAGATAAGTTAAGCTTATTCCTAGATTAATAAATTATGAAGAAATAGCTTTTTATTTTTTAATGCATTTATAAATAGTACTAAAATAATTATTAAATAATAATTAATAATTTTATACAATAACTAAAGAATAAATAAATAAATAAATAATAATAAATGAAGTAGATATAAGTAATTTAGAAATTAACATAATCAATTATGTAAGGGTGTAATGCGTTTTACAAAAGGTTACGTACGTCAACATTGATGCGGCTGTTTAATTAAATTGGTTATAAAATATAGAACAACTTTAATTAGAGATAAAAATATGATAATCTTTACCGTAGCTGTGTGTCGTGCAGATGCTGCAATGACCACTGGAGTCGTCATGTTTTATGAATTAATTTAGTAAATACACGTATGTTTATTAACAATAAAAAAACCAAAAAACGTGGAAGAACACTGATAATAAGTCAAATTCGTAAATACTATTCGTGATGTAGCGGCCGAAATTTTTCACCTAGGGATTGTTTTCAGATTTTTCCAGGGGTATGGTCATTTCTTTGGTGGCATGCATGGGTGGCTACATATAAAAGTAAAATTCCCTAAGATCCCTTGCATGCATTATGGAGCATCAATAAAAATAACATTTATATATTAAAAATAAAGGAAATAAGTATTATTTATAATGAATAAATAATTAGATAAATTAATTCATTTCACATGATAGATGTAATTATATAAAAATATTTGTAAAACTAATTATTGATGTCTACTAAATTTTTCACTTGTTAATTTTTCGCCGCCATGATTCTAGCACTTAAATGGCGTTATTTTTTGAATTCGTAAAAATATTCAATTAATTGTTTGAGCAATTATTTTTATAAAATGATTATTAATATTCGTCTGAAAGTGATAACTATCACCTGATATATGTGAAATAAAAATTATAATAATCTAATAAATATATAATCTTATTAAAAATTAAAACGGAAAATAAATATATTTTTTAAAAATCATCAATACAGTTAATATGTACAGTTATAATACATTTTTTCATATAAAAAGAACATTACTGAAATGTTCACTGCAATAAATTCAATTTCCAAATTGATAAAATACTTCAATAATTAATTGAGATTGTTATTAAACAACAATCAACAATTATTTCTGTATCACAAAAATATTTTGAATGTTATGAACATATATTAAGAATTTCTATACGAGCTAATCGATAATGTTTCGTTTGTGTATTTCTAACTAACACATAATTATTTTTTTTTTCTAGTAAATTTAATAATGTCTGCATTACTACGTAACCCCATCCAACTCCTTTCGATTCAGTGAATGAGAAATCTCCTTGAACTACATAACCCATTACTTCTCGATCACACGATTTTCTAACTTCTTTACATTGAGGAAGCCAAAGTTGTCTAATTTTTTTTAAATACAATTCTTTTATTCCATTTGTTGAAATTCGGGGAAAAAATGGTTTCATATTTTTTCTTGCTTTTGCTCGTTTTCTCATTAAACTTTTTAACAATCTTTTATGCTGCTTTCTCAAATTTTTTCTATCAGCTTCAAATACATCGAGTTTTGGTTGTTGAATAGGCCCATTGAAGTTTCTTTCTTGTTCAAATTTCTTCAAATCTTCGTCTGTCGGAATACAAATTATAGCAAACTTCTTTGGTCTTCCATGTCTTTCTATCATTATTTTGACAGGTATTAGTAAAGATTTATCAATATTTTTTACAAGCTGACTCAAAGTTGATTGTTCATTGGGCAATTTTCTTTTTTTCTTTGAATTATGGTGATTCGAAAAACTTTTAAAAGCAGACATCAATAAAGATAGTATATTTTGGTCTCGCAGAACATTAATAGTTTCTTGACCAGTCCACTCTTTAATTAGAATTTTCCACTCGCAGCAAAAAGGACTAGAAATTGCATATTTAATAAAATTTACTCTTCTATTGGGCGGATATCGAAAATATTTTTCCGTGAGTTCATTTGTAGTTTCTTCAGCTTCTTTTATGTATGAAGGTGTGTCTGGATGGTTGATTTCTGGTGATTTTAACATTAGACTCTCAAAAAGTATCGAACGATATTCTCGGAGTCCACCTGGTCTCACACATCTGTACACAAAACTTAACCAAAATGGTAAGGCCCAACCACTAGGCACAATGATGTCAATTCCAGAATTAAATCCTGAAAAAAAAGTAAAATATTTATATAGATGTTGAAAAAATTTTAATAGTTTTTAAAATTACTGTTAATTATTAATAAATATTTTACCAATAGCTTTATTTGCAACTTCAGTTCCAGGACATTGAATTAATATAATCGGTACTTTCGAAATTATTTTTTCGCTAAATCCTTCATCATGGGCAACACCAGAAACTAAAGCTTGACTTCTTAATTTGTTAATTTCACATGTTTTCTTAAAATGTTTCTTAACATTATTTCTTACACTAGCGTCCCAAAGGGGACTGTGAGAAGTTAATAAATCCAATTGATCAATACTTGGAGCTGGAGCTGAACTAGCAGTAGGTTTTTCTCTTTTTGGTGGTAGAAAAAATCGTGGATCCAAGACGGTTAATCCTATCACACTATTACGAGGTAATTGGCTTACAGAATTAATTTTTTGGAATGTCTCAAAAAATTTTTTTTGGCTCTCAAAGGCTTTTCGATTAATTAAATTTCGATACCAATGAGATTCCCAAGAATTTTCTACTTCTACTTCCATGGAATCAATGTCTGAGCTCATTGATTCTTGATGATTTTGGAGTGATTTTGGTAAGCGTAATGTTTCATTCAATACCGAAAGCGCTAGAGGTCCACGAAGACGAAATCTATTTAAAGAAAATTTTAGCAACTCCATTTTGCATCCTTTAATATTATTATAATTTTTATTTTCTAATAAATTGGAAGAATTCTCAACATTCATAAATGTTGTTGGAGTTTCTTTGAACTCAAAGCTAGAAATAAGCTCATTTAATACATCCTTATAGAAAACGGGATGAATCCAAATCCATATTGATTTTTCCTCTGTTTCTGTAGACTTCCATAAAAAATTAACAACACCTAACGGAATTCCACTTTTTGTATAAAAGGTCACATTACCTTCTCGATTCCCTGATATATAAGCTTTTGCTGCAAAGGATAATTCATTTTTGCAATGACCTTTTAAAGTAGTCGTTAAAATATCTTTGGGCCCACTTATTTCAATACAATTATAGAAAGAAATATCTTGCATCATACAATGTTTAGCTACTGCTCTGTAGTTAGCACGATAACCACGGTCATTGGAGTAATTAGCAATTTTGTATCCCCATTTTTCAATCATATGAAACCTCTTAGCATGCCATATATGAGTTTCTAACCATGTTTTTTCTTGTTGTCTTCTAGTATATTCTGCTAAAAGATTGCTAGGACGTCTCCTATACTTTCTTGAAGGTCGTTTACTCGGTATTGCTAAGCCAGATTTTTTCATCTGTTTTATATGAGCTTCTCTCAATCGTCGAGGCATTCGTTTTGCATTGTGAGACATTACTCGTCTCCTCATATGCATTGGAAGCTTTTGAAAGATCAATTTTGTGTGTTGAGGATTATCTAAAATAATGAAGAAAAAGTAGAAAATAAGTTACTTGTTCATTTTATTATTGTAATTATCAATTTAAAACAGATAATTTGTTAAGGAGTTATTTAAGTAATTTCATTGTAATATTTCATAATAATTCTATTTTATGTAGTTATAATAAAAAATGAATTGAACTCACCTAAACTTTGTGTCATTGTGCAAATTTCACCTGCTCTAGAAATTGCTAATTTAATTACTTCACTATCTCGAGATAAAGAGACATCTTTCCCAAGATATTGATTAAACTCACAATTCTCCATTGTTAAATTGTTAAAATAATTTCTTTACAAAAACTTCGTTTAATAATTTGTAGTTTTTTCACTTCAATACTATTAGCACAAAGCACATTTCTTCAATTTGATTTGATCATAACACACGTGTTACAAGAATTCGCACAAAAGTATACTTTGTGTTTACGAAAATATATAAAATTAAATGTGTGACAACAGCACCACAGTCGGACTACCGCCAAAATTTAAATAAAGTAAATCTAATTATTATAACTGAAATGTACTCTTTTCTCGGATTAATTTGAATATTTATAATTTGATTGATAGATAAATAATACAGTGATTATATAAACACAAAGAAATTTACTATGATATATTTTGAAAAATTATATTTTCACTATAATTTAAGGTTATAATTATCATAAATCAAAAGTATCAGTAACATAGCATGTAGAAATAAAAATCATGACAATTTATTCTTTTAGTTTAACATTTTCATTCGATTATTATTCTTAATTTTATTTTATACAAAAGTTAAGACAAATTTGGTAGTGATTTTGGGTTGAAAATATTTTTAGTGATCATATTACAAATATTGTTATAATTTATTGTAATAAAATGAATAAGTGAAAAAGGCAAATGTTTTTGACTGCTCAACATGTAACAAAAAAATAACGTGAATAAGTAATTATTATTATAAACTAATTACGATGCAATGGCATATAATCATTATGCCATTTACCATTAATTCAATACCAGTATTATTTAGTTATTTTACATCATTTTTATTTTCAACTCAATTAATTAAAATTATTTTTACTATGATAAATAGTAAAAAATAAATATTATAAAATCTTTGAGTTTTTATAAATAATACTGGCTCATGGATGTTTGAGGGTATTTCACAATTTTAATATCAACTTAGTATAGTAAGAATGTGACCTGTACAAAATATAAATTTTGTTTTGATTTTGTTGCAACAATCACAATGTAATTGTGGCACACATATCATATTCAATTTTTTAGCCAGTAAACAAAAACCTTTTTTTTCAAAATGTTTCCATGCTATCAATATCAACACCAATGTCTAAAAAATCTTCACTGTAATCTTGTAATTGTCTTTGAACTGTTACATGTTCAGAATGATCAGGATCATCAGTTACAGGACTTGGCGGAGGGTTGGAAACTGTACGATCTGAATCAACTGGAGTTCTGTTCATACCTTCACCACGTCTTAATCTAGCTTCCTCAGCAATTTGTTGAGTTGATAATTCTGCTCGTGTTAATAATGTCGGCAAATCATTCTCTGAACCATCTTAAAGTATTAAAATAAAAAAAAAAATACAAATTACGTTTGATTATTTAAAAAAAAATATAAAAATTATCTTACTTTCTAAATTTTTCATCAATTGATTTGCTTTTTCGCGAATCTTTGCAGCACCAGCTTTTTTCTTTTGTTCGGCATTTTCTTTCTTATCTACAGCAAATATTTCTCGTATCTTTTCTTGAGGGATGTAATCATCATTTTTGACTAAATATAAATAAACACCTCCTGGTGTTCGTCTTCTCGATCCATTCATTATTAACAGTCCACCATTCTCTTCAATTTCTTTAGTTTTTTGATAAAATTCTATGGCTTTTTGTTTACCAACAATACGTACTATTCTTTCTAAAATAAAATAATTTTTATCGTAGCATGTATAGCAAAAAATATTAATTAATAAATCTTTTTAAATACTTTATCTCAAACAAATCATCATGATAATTTTATAACTAGTTACTTACGAATAAGTGAATCTTTTTTCTCGTGGAGCTTTTCTGTTATATCACATGCAACTTGAGAATCTGAAGATTCAATAGTGATTGATAAATCCGAAATAGTTCTAACACAACCTTTCTGAGAATCTACATCCATTGAGCTAGATTTTTTTCCAAGTCTAAGTTTAACATTACTTCTATCCGCATGAGTTCTCTTGTTAGACGTTCTGATGTTTACGTCTTTTTCATCTTCTTTATCATCATCAGAGCTTCGATTGCCTAAAGTTTTATGACCATTCAGATGATAATGAATTGGTAAATCATAATTTTCTACGTTTCTTCCTTGATATAATTTTTTTGTAACACCACACGAAATTAAATCTGCAGTTAAAGCCTCTTCTTGCACTTGTGTATTCCATATTTTATATTTATCAATCTTATTGGTTGAATCTGATTCTATTTTTCGTCTTTTAGCTCTTAATTTTGGCCTTTTCATCTTTTTTATTCCTGATTGAGAATCCGAATCACTCGCTGATTCTGAAGACTCTTCAGTATCATCACTATAATTTGTTATAATCTTACGATGATTTGTAGGTATATGAGGTCTTTGCAAAATTTTATACGTGTCAAATGCATCAGGCTGTAAAATATAATAACAACAAATATGTAAAAAATATAAACGAGTCAAGACCAAATATTCATTTCTAACGTTTATTTCATTTAAAAAGAAAGTAATTAATTATCATTGTTCTTTAGTTTTGCTTTAGAGGTTATGAAATAATAAATAATTATTTCTTTACCTCTTCATCAACAACTTCACCATCTTCAAGATCGAGTTGTGCAGTATCCATTTTTGATTACTTTAATTTGGAATTGTTTAAAAAATTTTTATAACTTAAGGTTATTAAATTTTTAAGTTTTATAAATAATCATTTGAGCCGCTTTGGCAGCTTGAATGATTAGTTAAGTACATTGGTTTTTTACGCAATATATAAATGAGTATAAGTGAATACATAAATGTGTGTGTGTGTGAGTATAGAATAAAAGTCTATAACAAACTATATCAAATTTTACAATCTATGTATATTATGAGTATATGTTGGAGTAAAGTAATAACAAATACAACATATTTTGTTTTTATTTAGGACAAATGGAACTAGTTTATGTTTCAAAGGAATTTTATTAAAACAAATCATGTTAAGATTGAATTTTGGTGATAAAAATTAATTACTTGTATAATCAAAAAAATTGCTCCAATTTTTGTATATAAATATTGAGATAAAATGATTGAGGTAGTTGGAAAATTATTGAATGGTACTGCATATTTTTCTGGAGAAGTAATAGAATGTTATATTACATTTAGTAATCCGTTAAATCCTTATCATCAAAAATCTCAAAGCCACAGGTAAATGAAACAAACCTATTTGAAAGTAACTCAAATTCATATATTAATAAACTCTAAATATACAGCGATGTTTTTGAAGGATTAGCATGGGCAAGTGCTCAAGTTCATTGCCAATGTTCGGTCAATGATAAAATTGTTTTTGTAGAAAAAATTAATGCTATAAATCGAACAAAAGCTATAAATACAGATACGACATTTGCTCCATGGCAACAAGATAATGGATATGCAGTTGTAAATACTAAGCCAAAAATTTTGTTTTGTGATCTACGTCTATCACCTGGAGAAAGCAAAACATGTGATTTTTTTAAAAGTTATCTTTAATAATATTGATTATTTCTCGTAAATATTAATTTATTCGAGATTTAAATATCAATTTCAGATATTTACAGAGAAACTCTTCCAAGTGATGCACCACCATCATTTCGTGGACATGCAGTTAAATATGTTTATAAAATAACAGTGGGCACTCAAAGAGTAAATTCGCCGATAAAATTACTTAAGATTCCATTTAGAGTATTATCATTAAGTGGTAAATTAATTTATATTTTGTTACAATTGTTTTTTTATTCAGAAAATTATTCTTTTATAATAAGAAATGTATATTAATAATTTTAGAACTACCAGAAGTAACGATATGCAATGATAGTGTAGATTTGAGTCCAAATAATCCTTTTTTGGAAACACAAGAACGTGATACACCCTTAGATGTAGCATTACAAACACTCCAAAATTTGACAGCTCGAAGAAGTCCAAATTTTTATAATATAACAAATGGACGAGGAAGGGTTGTTCGTTTTTGTTTATTTAAAAATTCTTATAAACTAGGGGAAGATATTATCGGCACATTTGATTTTTCTAATGCTGCAGTATCATGTATTCAAGTATCAGTAGGTTTACAATCTGAAGAACATGTCATTGATGAATACAACCGGAGCAAAAGTAATCCAACGCTAGTTAATTATTATAAACATCATGAAGTTTGTTTTGGATTAAAATATTCCCAATTGATACTACCAATTCCACTTCATGTAACACCCGACTTCTCAACAAATTTGATAACTCTCAAATGGCGATTGCATTTCGAATTTGTAACAGCAACAAAATTAGTTGAAATTCCAGACAAGACAACATTTAATTGGCAAGCACCTTCAAATTTAGACGTTGAAACAATGATTTGGGATCTTCCACTACATATTTATCCTTCTACATATCCACCTACTACTGCTTTGTTGACTAAATATAATATTCTTATATAAATATCAGACATAATAAATATAAACTTTTATTTATAAACACAATAATAATATTAATAATATGAATTTGTATGATAAAGTCAATAATAAATCTTTGATAAAAAGTAGCTTTAGTAAATTTTTTAATAATTCCACAGACGTGTAAAAATAAAACATCGTTAAATGAATGAAAATACTTTTAAAAATTACATTTTACACATGTGGGTTATAACGGTACTGATGCTCTTCAGATTCAGGAGATGTAAGTCTTCTTGACGGTGGTAAAGTTGGTGGTGGTGGTGGTGGAATAAAGGGGGTATGATAATCATATCTGTAATACGCTAAAGATTCCCATCTCGGTGGATGTTGAATATCGTAAGAGCTTGTTGTTGAAGAAGTCGCATAATAATTTGTTCCCTCAGATGTACATGGTACATAAGGAGGATACTGAGGTTCCAAAAGACTTTGCAAATGTCTTATATAAGTGATTGCATGTCTCAATGACTCAATCTTTGACAATTTTTTCCCAGGTGGTTTACAAACAGGCAACTTTGATCTTAATAATTCGAAAGCTCGATTCATATCACGCATTCGTGTGCGTTCTCGGTCACAAGCTGATTTTTTATAATCTGAAACAGATTTTTGTCATTATTCTTTTACTTCATTACTGATTATAAAATAATAACTATTTATATTGTTAATAATAGAAATAGTTTATTACTTTTAGTACTCACTAGACATGTATCATGTGTATGTATAATAAACAAGAGAAGACATGTATAAGAAACAAATGAATCAGTTAGTTTAAAATGGCATTAGTAAATTCATAGTTAACCAATAAATATTAATTAATTAAAAAAAAAAAAAATTACTTTTAGATAATTGAAAAAATACAATTTTGCAATGGATGTTTCGATACAAAAAAGTAGAAAAGGAACTCAATTAAATAATACTTATTATTTTCGTCAACCTCTTCCTCGTCCCCGTGAACATATGACACTTTTATATATCATATCAAAAGGATCAAAAAGTAAATTTTCAAAATATAATTTGAATTCAAGAAAATTTAAAAATACTAATAAAGTACATCTTCATCAATCATCTAAACATATTGCCATGATATCTTATGATCATTTTAATCAAAATGATAATAAAAACTCACTGATACATGACCATGAATTGATGAATAATAATAATAATACTAAAATTGTAAAGGAAAATAGTAATTTATGCAATGATTCGAAAAATATAAAAAATATTCCAAGTGAAATTGAAAATAATACGACATTAAAACCAGATTTAATATCCCACGAATCATATTCAACAATTATTCATTCATTAAATTCCGAAGAAAATAAAAATCTTGATGGTGAAGACAAAAAAGTTAATGAGCAAGAAAAAGAAAATAATTTTGAAAATATTATTAAAAAGAATGAAAATTCTGAAAATATCGAACAACCATTAAAATTATGGAAAGAAAATTTTCATGTTAATGAAAATAAATTACATGATTCAATTAATGTAAATAAAATGAAATCGCATAATCATAAGCAACAATTTAATATTGATAATTTAAATTCAATGAAAGAAAAAAAGAAGCATTTACATATGAATAATTTCGAAAAAATATCTGATAATTGCAACAATAATGAAGAATTGAATAATATGGAAATAGAAAAAAGTTGGTGGAGATTAATAATAGATTTTTTTAATTTTTTCTCGGTAAAAAGGGACTGTAATGGAGATAATAATTATAAATCTAATATAAAAAAGTTTAAACTAGAAACAACAATTGCTGCTAAACCTGGCTATCCTGATATCTACAATGCTTATCGATTATCATTAGGGCAAAATATTACATCAGACTATCGTCATCATGAAGACTTTGATAATGTTATTAGTAAGAAAATTTCAAAAAAGAAGAAGAAGAAAATAAATAATAATCAATTTAATGAAAAATCAAAGATGAGAAAAATGAGTAGTCCACTTTGTTAAATAGACTTTAGAAATGAAAGAAAAGATTGCATATAAATATTAAAATATATAAATTTGCTGTACCTGATGATAAATTACCTTTCTCAGATTGAGATGGTTCTCTTTGGACAGATTTAATTTTAGTTTGATGTAAAATTTCCAAATGAGAGTGAGGAGTAACAGTTTCCGGTTCAGGAACTCTGATAACAAGCACACCATCCGAAGGAATCGATCTATTATGAGAATCTTCAACTTGCCAACGTCTTCGTAATGATTGTCGACGCATTAATTGTGTTTCTTCTTTTACTTGGTTCAACGAATTTTCTTCTTTAATATTAAAATGTTGCTGATCTAGACTACTCGCTGATTCAGGTACTTGTTCAATTACCAAACACTGTGATCGTTTTACCATTTTATCTAAATCCAAAAGTACTGGTGATCTTCTAGAAAATTCGTCATCGTTGCTTTCATTACCTGACTAAAATAATATCCAATTGAACCTTTTAATTATTTTAAATAAAATAATTTATTTCCACCATTCTATAATTATATATCAATACCTTACTGTCAGTAAATTCACTTTTACATTTATTTTTCTCTTCCATTATTAATAATTTGACTATTGTTAATATTAAGAATTGATTAAAAATTATTAATTATTATAATTATTTTGCCCACAATATGATAAAATAATAACCACCCAATTTTTATATAGTTGACTGTCTTATCCAAGATGTCACGTGTGACTATTGGAGAACCAAGTTTTTCTTCGGATAAAATGTAGATCGAAGGCGGACAGTTATTATTAATGTTAATTTTATCCGTTTGTTAAGTATTCAGGTGTTCTGCCAGAGGTTCTCATACAATCAGTCATAATTTGTTGGTGTCATCGATTGTTTGATCATCAATCGAAATACAGAATCGAAGTCGTTAAAATATGAACCCAACTTCTTTAATCCGTTTATGAGTCTCTTTCTAATCCTATTAAATTATTTTATGTTCCATCTGTTTAATTACTTAGTCAAACAAAATATTTTATTATTTCATTTCTTTTTAATTGTTATTTAAGATATTTTTAGAAAAATTCATGTAAATAAAGGCAACGGTTGATGACTTTTACGCTATATCTCTAGCCACTTCATTAACATAAGTATTTGTTGTCAGGCTCGTCATCCAGATCGAGCATAAAAGTTGGAATACATATTGCACACAATAAACTTCTTCTTTTTGGATGAATAGAAGCACTAATCAATGACATTTTATCCTAAAGAATTATGTAAAAGTACATCAAACCTTTCTTCCATCCTTTTTTTTTTCTATTCATATTAAGTTATTTTATAAAAGTATTCTTGTAAGAAAATAAATTATATTTTAATTTAAATACGAGTGTCCATATACAATATATCATTACATAATATTATAAACATGGTTAAATATAATAGTTGTTAAATAATTAAATTTTTCTTACTATTGTAAAATCAGTTGTACGATCATGAAATGGATTTCGATAAATTATTGACCCGGCACAACGAAACATAATTCCAACAAATGAAGTTCTTGTACTCGACGGAATATTCGAACTTTCACATGATACTTCTCGCTCTAAAATTAATATTTAACTTTAAGTAATATAAACAATAAAAGCCTATCAAAAACAAGATCTCTTCATCTATTGTACTGATTAAATTATCTATTTTTATGCTTACCGAAATTTTTGAAATTTTTTTGGAAAAAAATATATCGTTTAAAAAACTTGATAACAATTAATCTCAGTTCTTGATTGAATGCCAAATAAATCCAAGGATTTACACAACTTGTAAGACTACTCATCAATGAAAGAATTGTAAATGTTGGACCTATAAAAGAATATGTCTTAATAAATAAATATAAATCATTTACACACTATTTATAAATATACCTGTCAAAAAACTTGAATTATCGGTAGCTGCTGAATCCCAAGTTGCCCATAATTGGCATCCAATAAATGGACTGCTTGTAATGACATAAAAACTAACGACAATAACCATTTGTTTAATTGTTTTTATTTTAGCCTTTGATATCAATGGCTGATTTTTATTTAAATTTATCTTTTGTAAATTATTCGTTTTGTAATTATTTTCAAATGATGTTTTTTCAGTATTCTTTTTAATTTCAATTAAAATACTTATATAGGTAAATAAAAGAACTACAAAAGGTATTAAAAAAACTGTAAAACTATACCTATAAATAATAAAAATAATTAATATTAATAAGAAAATTAAAATAAAATTTATTGTAAACAATAAAATTAATAATTATTTACCATGTAACATAAATTCGTTCACCATGAGGTAATTGGAAAGAAGCCCAACAATCCCAAACTCCAACAGAAATTTCTTGATAGGAAAAAATAATTGTCTAACGAAAATATCGAAAAATATTTAATAGATATTTGAAATATTTTTATTATAAATAAATAATAATTTGATACATACCTGAGGGATACAAAGCACAAATGACAAACACCAAGCGCTGTAAACCATAAATCGAGATTGCAAGGAAGACTTACGGCAATAACTAAAAGGATGACAAATAGCATGATATCGATCAATGGCAGTTGCAGTCAATATGTAGGAACTCAAATAATTTCCAAGAGGTTGAAGAAATTTCACCAATTTGCACAATATAAATCCACCCTGAAATCTATACATATCACCATAAATTATAATTTATTTGATAGTCATAAATATAACAGTAAGTAAATTAGACAAACCTAAATGTAATATCCCATGCTAATTGGGGAAGAACATTAAATAATCCAGTAATTAAATCTGCAATACTTAAATGCATGATAAAAAAAAACATCCGAGTTAATTTTCGTTGACGACCACGATATCGGCGTAGATAAAGAGCTAAAAAAATAAGGCAATTTCCAGTAATTGTAATAAAAAAAATAACACTTAGGATTATAATTTCCCATAATGCAAGGGTTTCATCACGGAAATCTTCGACTGTTGTTGTATTTTCGTTCATTTTTATCATATATTGATACAATATAGATTTTAGATACGTTCTTCACATTATCACAATCACTTAAACTATGTATCTGTATACAACGGAAATCTAAAGGCCAAAATCTAAATATTCATTAATAATTTATTCATTTCACTTTAATTCACAATAATGTTCATTAGCTGGATTGGAGTAGAATACTATCAACACCATTTCACGCACCCATACTTGATGACATTTCAAACTGAATAACTGCTATAGAATGAAAAAAAATATATAACTTAACATAGTAAAAATAATTTTCATATGATTCACGTGTAATATTACCTTGAATTATACTTTATTTATAACATTATCTACTTTTTGTTACACTGTCTGTATTGATAAAAAATCTCTCCAAGGTATCATCTTAGGTTCCGAGTTTTGTATTATTGTCGTAAGATCATTATAGAAATAATCATAAATGCAAATTATTGAAAAATATAATCAACATCCTTACAACAAAAAGATAATCATTGACTCATTACAAACAAAAAAAAACAAGCTTAGATATATACATGAGAAAGCTATTTGAATTTGACATTTTGATCTTATAGCATTTTGCATGTATTTGTTCATTTCCATAATATTATTTATAATATTTTTATATAACGATATTGACTATTCGGCTATGAGAATTGCGTTTTTTCGTATTCAACTTCCCGGGTATGTATATTCACTCTGTAGTATCAACAAATGTTGTAATCATTGTTGTATTTTAGTTCTTTTACCCATCGTCTTATCATTTGGCGCTACTTTCTATTAATTTGGTCTTCCTGGTGTGTGAACCATCTCAATTCTTTTTAACTCAAGCTGTTTAGAACGCATATTTGATATATTTGCTGCAGTCACATCGCCATACTATTCCATTCTAGTCAATTTTTTGTCGTATAATTTTTCCTTTGAACTGACAAGAATATATTCATAATGGAAATGAAGTGTATTATCGTTGATGTTTTAGAAGAAATATAAAATTTTTTTTCTGTTCTCTTCGGTCGTTAATAGAAAATTAAATTGTGATTTATGTTTTTATTAATACGAATCTAAATTAAATGCATCTATATATCGAAAACTTTTGGCAAGTATTGTACTTGAAGGAAAGATGAAAGTTATGTCTGCAGTAGTGAATTCAATCACTAAAGAATAATTTAATTGGCAATGAACCAAATTATGAAGAATTTAGAATTATATTCATTTTTCAAATATACAGTTAATTAACAATTAATTTAATATGATAAAAGAATGGTTTTCTGAAATTCAAAAATGTCTCCATAAATTCGGGTAATAACATGGTCATTTTTTCACGTCGATGATCCGTCATCTCTTACCACTTTACTCGAGCAATTACATAATATTATATACTTCATCGTGAGTCATGATTAAAGACAAAACGCAATAAAATTAAAAAAAGTAGTTAATAAAATTCTTTCAAGTTTATAAAAATTGTATTCATGAGATTTTCCTTTTGTTTCTCGAGTATGGTAAAAATGACACATATTTATTTGTAAACAATATAAAAAACAAAATTATATTATTATCCATAATTAGTATTTTGAACAATTCATTGTAAAACACAGAAGATATTTTATGATTCATTTTAAAGAAACAGTCAACATTTGCTAATTCTAATTGTTTTTCATAACTGCCATTTATTTATTTGCAGATCAATAAGAGAATGGTTTTATAATTCATTTAAAACAATGCCTTAAATTATTCTCGTACTATAATAGTAATATTGATAATAATAAATATAATACCAATCATCATTGGTAATATTTTCATTGTCGTCATAACAGTTGTTCAATAATAAAAATAATTCTATATATTTTAAAAATGTATGAATAATATTCTTAATATTAAATACCTACACTTGAGTATTATACAGTATTGAAAATTGTTTAATTATTATCATATATAAAAAAAGCTCAAAAAATTGTCTCATAAGTTGATGTATACGATGCCTGCTCCTCCACCACCAATGCCGAGTCTTCCTGAAGCTCCGGCATGCGGCAAAAATGAATCAAGTGAAGCTGAAAATTTACCACCTTGGGCCAAGATAACTCTAACTTCAGCTGAAGCTGAAGTTGAAAAATTAATAGCAAGAAATGAACTGAAAGATGCTGAAGTAACATACTTTTGTCAAGTTGAACCTATTCTTCAAGATGGCCCTCAGTAAGTTTGCTCAACTATCATTATTCTTTCAAAATAATTAATATTATTTTTTTGTATTAAATTTTATTTTATTTTTTTCATTTCAACAGATGTGGATTAGTTGCTCTAGCAATGGCTTCTCAAGAATATGCTAAACCAGTCTCTGTGAGTCAATTATTAGCAGAAGCACGCGTGAGAGGATTCACTCAACACGGCGAAGTTTACAGTGTAGATTTTATGGGAACATTAGCAGCTGAATATTTGCCTGACCATAGACCAGATATTTTGGTTGATCTTGGAACATGTCCAGATACTTTAACGCATGCATTAACACATGGTGCTATGGTGTTGATTCCTTATGATTCAGATTTTAATCATGCACCTTGTTTAAAAAGAGGGCATAAAGCACACTGGGCTCTTCTAGTTGGTTTAATATCATCAAGGTATTTATTTTGTATTGAATATTTGATAATCATATCAATTGGTATTATTATTATTATTATTATTATTAAATTTCAGGCAAGGTTACTACGTATTAGCAAGACATGGTAAATCAAGACATTTAGCATGCTGGCCATTGCGAGATCTCATTGAAAGTAACGGAAATTTAGAAGAGGAAGGAACTGCTAGGCATGCCGGTGGATACGTTATTCCAAAAGGTGGTGTGGGTGGGCAAAGAGGCTTACGAGGTCGTGCTTTAGCTCTTCACCCATATATATAAAAAAGTGCAAAAATATTGTGGTCAGGTGAATTATTAATGTGTATCGCAGTGAAAATATAATCTCATTGATACATTAATAGTACGTAGCTATCACGAAAATTTATAACAACCCGCTTTAATCACTATACGTATAAAAAGAAAATAACATTAAAATTAAAATGTATGAAAATTATTGTAATAATTGTAATTAATATTGACAAATGAATTCATGTATGTTTTCCTCTGATTAATCCTTAAAGAGCAATCATGAATTCGTATTGTGTGAATGTTCTGTATATATATAATGAGATTTTTTGAGCTTTGCAATTAAAATTAAATGAGTGTTGCTGTTACTGAATTGATGACCAATTAATTTATTATATTATTATTAGTAATATAATAACATGTTTCAATGAATTTATATTTGATTGTGTTTATTATTTATATAAAATTTCTTATTTTATTTATACGATAACACCATTGTCAGTAAACAAGTCACAACTTCACTGTGATATAAAAACAAATGAATTATAACAATCATCCACAAGAAAAAGTACTTGAAGGAATGATTGTAAAAGCTTTATCACAGCCGTATACATTATGTAATTCATTCATTTATGTGTAGTGTACTAGGACTGAAATAAATTATGGCAACAATTAGCTTAGCAGTCAAAAAGCTAAATAATGTAAATTTTTCAAATTATATGATGAAAATTTGAATCTTTATTGTTGTAAATTACTTTTGTTTTATTATTTATTTTAATCAATCGTTAATAATATTAACTAAAGTCATGTATGTATATTTTTTTTGTTTATTTAATATATAAAACCGTATATTGATTACCCAAATTTTTTTTGTATTCCAAGACATTTTGATTTTCAGAATACGTAAGTTTTAGTAATGTATCTTTGAAAGTTCAAATTATTCCATCTTACTTGCTATATACTTTGTGAATAAACCATTTGAAGTTTACTATTTTTTACTTTTCTTTCAAAAAAAAAAACAGTTACATATTTCATGTAATTATAACAACGATAATAATAGTAAAACAATAAGAAAAAATATGAAAATATTAATACCTTTGAAATTCAAATAAATTCAAGTTAAATACTAAATTTATAAAATGATAGAGTATTAAATTACATACTTATTCCAAAAAATAACTAAAATAATAACAATAAGTATTTTTGTTAAACCGTTATCACTTTGTTAAATTTACAATGAATTTCTTTTAAATAAACTGCTTCATTAATTGAAATTATTTATTTATATTGATTAAATCTTGAAATGTATTTCAAAGCAATTGATTTTAATAAATTGTTATTTAATTTTTTATGATTGAAGGCACAAAATATTATCATGTGAAGTTTAAAAAACAATGAAATATATATTATTAAAATTAAAATTGATGTAAAAATAATTTTTAGTTATCATAAAAATAAATATCAAAATAAAAAATTTCGAATTTTAATGATTTATATTGAGTAATTAAATTTTACGAAGTAATTGAGACATTGAATAACGTTATTGTATATTAAGAAATGCGTTACACTTATATATTTCAAGCTTACAAATATTAACATGGTTTTTTTTTTTACAATTTATTCTTATATTAGAAATTTTTTGCCGGTATTGAGACAATATATTCCCAGTTACATTCTATTTCTAATATTAATTTTTATAGATTTGTATCCATTTAAATATATATTTATTGTAATTCCATTGATTACTTGTGTCCTGAGCTTGGTAATTGAGATTTAATTTTTTTTTTAGACAATCCAAATGGATATAATTAAAAATTCCAATTATGATGAAATAATAATTATGTACTCTTTTTCTTTCTTTTTATTTAAAAAATACTATAAAATTATATTAAAAAAATTTTTTTAAGCGTAATATATTCAATTATTGATTCATTGAATGAATCGAAAGCCCAGAGCACAAGATTCTATTTTTAAAATTAATAATATATGATACTTTGAATATTATATTAAAAATTATATATCACATATAAGTATTTCATATTGTATTCATAATATAATTGTTAAGTTCATTAGAACCTAGCTTTACATATTAGTCTTATGATAAATAAAAAATTGCAACAAATCACTAGCATATTTTTTCGACAATTTTATTTCATCTATCACCGAATATTTACTTCATATTAACTATCATTTGGATATTTATCTGTTTTTCTTTTTCTTGGAATACTGATAAGATTATCATGAATATATGGAGTAGGCACTTTCAAATATTCTGTTCCAATATCAATGTCGAAAGATGAAAGATTATATACATTCACACCTGATCATGCATGCATGGATTTTTAAATTGATATCTATTTAATAATTTTGTTGTATACACTTTTACATTTTTTCTAGCTACTGTCAATAGATGTTTTCGGCCATTTTTAGTAACATTATTACTCATTATTTATCTTATCTTTAAATATTACAATCAATAAAAATTCAATTGTGCAAATGAGTTCATTATGAATGTGAGATATGCTTGTTTGCATTATTTTGAGCTTCACTCTTCATCTCTTCATTCATTAAAACATTTACAGCCTTATTTTATGAAACTTATTTCTGTAATATCTAATTATTGTGATGATGTATCGTTGAAATTATTATAATTATAATCCGTATATATTCATCCTTTAAGGAATATATAGCATCCTATAAGAATAATAATGACATTTAGTTTCTAAACAATTCAAACAACCACCATCTTCTATTTCATTGTTTCAGTGTTATTTATTTATTTTTAAATAATTGATGTTAGGGTTTTTTTTTTAACGCTGAGAAAAAATCTTTCTAAAATCAGAAAAATTTGAGTAGTGAATAATTTCCATGTTTGTAAAATTTGACTATAAGAATGATTTCTTTCTATTTATTTATTAAATCTCATATCCATTGGCAACATAAAATTTTCTTCAAAATGATTGAAAATCTTTTCTAATATTTTGAAAACTTTAACAAAAACATTGTTAGTATTATTTCTTATCATCACATATCTTTCATTATATAATTTATTATTGTAGGCTTTGAGCTTGGGCTTGCCTTTAGCCCTTAACATAAAATGCACATGAAAACAAAATATCAATCATTTGACTAATTCATTTGTTACCTTTTTTTTTTTCTTTTATCTCATGTACTAATGATCATAATTATTTTGTTAAATTCAAGCAACTTCTACAAGTATATATGAAAATTAAAAATAAATTTTCATGACTAGAATTTTATAAAATAAATGATTGCGTTTAATTGCTAACATTTTATACAATTCTTTTCATTTGTCATTAGATCATTAGTACTTATTAAATTTTTAAATATGATGTATATTTTTAATTAACATGATAATAATTACAAACTTATAATGAAAAAAAAAAATAAAAATCTTTAAAGTCTAAAATATATATACAATTAAATATTATCACTATGTATGCTGAAAAATCATTGCTTTTTTATGTTATATAAAAATTGTAAGAATTTTGTGCAAGCTTAGCAAATAAATTCATCTTTCATCATTAAATAGGAATTAATATAGAATTAATAATGATACTCAATAAGATATATTTATTACGCTACGAGATACGTTGCTGAATATTATTTCAGCAAACTGACGGTTATGAATGAGGCAGTCACTCAAGTACATCAGGGCCATTCGGTATTTCAATTCAATTATAAAATACATGTTAATTATTTATTGCAACAAGTTATTTTATCGAAAAAGGAAATTTTTTTTTGAATTATTATTATTATTATTTTATTAATTAATAATCACAGAATGCGTAAACTGAAAAACACCGTTTTCTAATGTACTTGTGATTTAGAAATTACATGAAGACTAGCAAGAAATTTAAGTTATAATAAAATTTATAAGTCTTTTATTCAAATTGTTTTTCTTAAATCAAATCAGCTACTAAAATAATTTTATTCTGTTCAATTTGGCATTAGGCAGTTATTGCAATTAATATGTTACTCAAAAAACTTTTGGGAGCAAAAAATACACTTCTTTATATTAGGTATCGTTAAAAGTCCTAGCGATAAAATATTGCGATAATTACTTTTTTTTTTTTTTAGTTCCAATATTTTTCAATTCATTTTATCATTAATTATCTTAAGATTATTGAATCGTAGAAAGCAATAAAAAAATATTGAATGGTATTTTTAATTTCATTGAGTTAATCGATAAACTGTAGATGATAGAACAAAAGGATTTTTTTAACAAACTGAGTTTTTGCACAACTGTACTATGATACGTTTACTATGTTCAATCACATAAAAATAATAGTACTAAATGATTATATATCATCAAAGTATAATATATTAAACTATAGATTAAAATTAATTAAAATTCAAGAAAATAATATGGAAAAAAAAAAAATTTAAGTAAGATTGGTAGCTTGTTGAAGTGGATTATAAACCAACATAGCTACCGGAAATGTTTTTATGTGCGTTTGCCACTGTGCTGAAAGTTGGAAGAATTTCACACCGTACCACTCGGTTCCATCGATAGTCACTGCATGACATAGTGTATAAAGAATCAATCATGCTATTGTTATATCATGTATTTTTAAATGCCGGTTAGTTAAGCTTTTGAATTTACCTCTCAATGGAATGTTGTGAGTTTTAGCAGAACAAATTAGCCTTGTTACCATCCACTGTTTGACTTTTGGGTTCGTTTTCTTTTTCTTTTTCCTTTTTCTTTCCCAGTCTCATTACTGAAAGAATAATTTTTATTAATTTTTCATGTATGATATAAAAAATTGTTAATTCCTAGTGCTATAATAATATAGTTATGTTGTGATTAAATAATAGATTAATTTTTATTTTAGAGAATTATCTACTTTTTTGTTTCTTTTCTTTTGTCGTATAGTTCATAGAGAGACATGATCCAGGATTTTCGGTGGCAGCTGGTAACCTTTGAACATGAAGAACGCGAAAAGCTTGTCTCAAGCTACTTTTCCCTTTATCACCAAACGCTGATTTACTCCAGTAATCAACTTGAAGTTCAACAGGTTCCCAACCATCTCGAGGTTGGCTTACATTTGGACTACTTGGGGGAGTAAGTCTTCCTGGTGGAGGAATAGATAAACTGGGTGGTGGTAAAGACGGTGGTGAACCAGAAGAAATTCCTGTATTTTCATCAAGATCAACAGATGCAGAAGTGCTACTATCTGGGCATCCAACACGTACATCGTTTATGAATGGAATAAATATTTGACTACTGTCATCTGTCTCCCTTAAAAAGAAAATATTAAAATTTTTGCAATGTTAATAATATTGATCAATAAAATATATTTCATTGTTATTTTAGAAAAATTGTCTCAAATTAACATTTAATCGGCATACCTATAAGTTACCATAGCTTCTGCTATGGGCAACAAAAGAGTAGGCCCTGTTGTTGCTAAATATTCTGATACCCTTACGGCTGCTTCACTTGCACCGCTAACTTCTCTTTCCAATAATTCTCGCCATTCCTCTCCGAAAAGGATCGAATACTTACTGTCTATAGATGCAAGATATTTTGATAAAGTATTTGATCCTAATGGAACGATGAGAAATCTTAAATAGTTTTGCCAATCAGGTGGTCTGAAGCTCAAAAGATCAACATAATGTCTCAAAACAGCATTGATAAAACTATCCCCACCGGCAGTTACTACTTTTATTGGTGCAGGTGGTTTAACTGAACTGTTGCAACTGAAAAAATTTATATAATTTTCTCTTTCAAAATTCCATAAATGTATTTATTAACAGTGATGATAAATTTGGGAAAGAAAAATTTTTTGCTTACAATTTTTGTATTCTAGCAATCAAGCAAGTAAACGTTGCTCGAATATCTGCTGGCGATGCTGTAGTGAGAACTTTAATATTTCGTTCTTGAAGTCGAGCTGCTAATGCTGCACCACCCGGATCTGCTAATGATATCAAAGAAACTGCTTCTGGTAATGAATCATCCGGTAAGACTCGGCTAAGTTGTTCTACAAGAGCTTTTCTAGGCTGAAAAGTACCAAAAATTAAGAACATCATTCAAAATTCACAATAAAGTTTAGAACATACCTCTGTATTATTCAGTTCCACAGAAGGCTTAAGATCAACACTGAGACTGTGTTTTTTAGATTTATTACTTCCAGGAGTTCCTCGATCTCGAGCAAAAAGTCGGCTTCTTCTCTCAGTATTTTCACTTTTATTTGATTGTTGGGGTTCACATTTTGGTGGTGAACCGGGGATTGTATTTGGTAAATCATTTGCTTCATGATCCGTCCAATTCTCCGGATGTGAATCACTGTCGGCTCGTCTCGAACTATCGTCACTTTGTCTGTCTCCCCCGCGTTCTAAAATATTCGATCAATTAAATTATTTGCTAACTAAAAATATATATTTAAGTACAGAAAAAAAGAATAGATTTAAAAAAAAATATAGTGAATATAATAGATTGACATTGATCCAAAATTACAGTGAAGATAAAGAACACTGTAAAGAAATTAACAAGTTACACGTGCTAAAATTTCAATTATCAATAGTACATAAGAAATGTAAATAATGACCAGAAAAATTATTATTGTCATTATTATTATTATTAATAGTACTACTATTAATAATAAATTAATATTAGAATTAAAGAGTAGATAGTAAAGAGTATTAAAAATGAATCAATACCATATTTCGTTTTGTACTTGATAAAAATTGATAATGATTTTTATTGGACTTTTTCTGAAATGCCAGAAAGGTTACTTACATTGTAGATTTATTAGTGTGGGCCATAGATTCAAGAGAAATTATGAAGAGTTTATAGAATGAAAAAGAATATACGTACGTATAGGAGTAGAGAAAAAGACTTCAGTTGAATAATATGAAAAATATATCATATTTTAAATAAATAAAATTTGACAAAAATTAACTATATATATAAATAGGCACATTCATTCAAGTATTTATTAATTCATTGTTTGAATGTAATAAATTAATTTTCTAAAAAAAAAAATGTAATATGCTGTTAACAAAAAAAATTACTTCAACTTGAATTTTAGCACTTAATAATACGTATAAAAAAAAGTGCTACACAATATAATACATAATAAAAATTGTATTAGAAAATATATGAGCATTTTTAATATATACATTAAGCATAATATTGCATGAATAAAGGCAAAATTCAAAAGGAATTCTCTCTTTTATTTGACATTTAATACAAACACATATTTGAACAATCATAAAAGCAAATGAAATGTGTGTAATCTAATTGCAATAATAAATTATTTTAAATATATAGAGTGAATTTTGCAAATTAGGGCTAAATTATTGAATAAATTTAATTAAAAAGGACAATACGTGAACATTAAAACTTGTAATTGAATTTTCTTGATAATAAAACAATTGTAATTTACTTTACGTACCTGGAGTAGTGTGTCCAATACGGGATTTTTCTTTGTTAGGTTGACTTGAAGATGATTGGCTTCCAGCAGGTGCTGTCATTGGATTTACTGCATTCTCCTCTCGCGTAACTACTATCGAATTGTACCATGCAACAGTGCAAAGCCAGCCCACCAAGACTTTCACTTAGTTTATTGATTTTGGTATTCGAGGAATTTGTTAACTAATAATTATACATAGCATGACTTTTTATGTATGTATATCAATTTCATATTTAATTTTTTATTAATTCTCACTGAGTACACAGAGTTAAGATAAATTTTTTTTTTTAATTTTTACTTAATTAACATTGAAATTATTAGATCTAAATTTTATTTTACGTTATGGAAATGTAAAGTTTCATTTAGAAACTCAATTTATCAATTTAATCATTAAGATAACATGCTAATTATTATTTTTAAAAAGCTGACACAATTGTGTATGAAAAAAAAATTGTAACGGGATTGAAGGAAAATAAAAAACTGTAAGCTCGGCGCTCAACGTGCCTTAAAGTCTACTAAGTTAACAATTGAAAAAAAACAAGTTCTCTTACCAGTATGAGGAGGAGCAAGAAGAGATCGACTAGAGCTAAAAAATGGTCTCAGAGAAGGTTTTGGAGTACTGCTTACAGACATTGTATCCAACTCTGGACCACTGTCTGAAAGATCTTCGAGTTCATCAAATAGTTCTTCGATTTCCATATCGCCACCTATAACGAAAAGGTATGTTAATATTCTTTGTTTAATAAAATATAGATAAATCTGAATAAATTTATTAGAAATTTTTTTTACCTGAGAGTTTTTGTCCTATTTCTTCTTGATCATGTTCAAGCTCTTCTGAAACTCTGAAGCGTTTTAATAACGCTATAAACTTTTGTTTTAAATTCCTTTGCTGAAATAATGGAAGCAAAGTAATAATGATTACTGTAAAAAATTATCAACATTTCTAAAAAAAGATTATAAATCGATAATATATTTACCCTTGCATTTGTTGGCATTTTTCCTCTGCTCTTTCTTCGGTGTACCTCCAAGGTAGGCTCACTATCACTTCCTTCAGCTTCACCTTCAGAACTGTACTCTTCCTCTTCATCACTATATTCTGGGCACAATCTTTCATTTGCATCTGTTAATAATCTCTTATCTTGATCAACTGGCTGAGAACTCAAAGCAATAACATTCAATTTAGCCAATACTACAGAATGACCTCCATATTTTTCTGCTTTATCTGATACAAGTTCCAATTCTAGGTCCATTTGTTTTTGTAACACTTGAGCCATATTTATGACACCTTCAGCAAGTGTTTTATATCCTAGCATTGTACGATTCTTATATCTTTTTCTTCTTTGTAGCAAAATTAAAAGCTTATTGCCATCTCTCTTGAGAAAATGAGGATATTGAAGAGCAAATTGTAATTCCAACTCTGTATCTAGAATACCACCTGGTGGAATAGCCATTTCGTTTGAACGTAATGTTCGTTTAGAACTTTGCATTTTTACTGCTATACTAATAGAAGCTAAATCAGCGCCCAGTGGACGAAGAATGACAAGACGTGTGAGAGTCAACGTACATAATCTGAAAAAAAATTTAAAAACAATTTATGATTTATTCATTTTTTTTTAAATGTTTAGGAAGATAATATTTTTGAAAATTCAATAATATTGGTGAGATTGAAAAAAATAGAATGCCAAAAATTGACCTTACAATACATTTCATTACTACTTGGCATAGTTATTTAACACGTGATATTATAAATATATCTCGTTATATACATAAATGATTATAATAAAGAATAATATATATTAAGACTTATGTTAGATGAATTTTAAATTAATTTTAGCAGTATTAGACAATATCAACTTATACAGCACAGTTTAAATTATAGCTATATAGCTAAATTAATCTTATATAAAAATACTATTAAACTAAACTTGAGGAATGATATAAAATATATCAAGATTAAGTAATTAAATCTATTATTTTCGATTTCACAATGAGACTTGGTAATATTAAGACAAAATAGAGGAAGATATTTTGGCTCTCAAATCCCGCATTGCACCATCAACATTACGTCAGTTATACAATATAAAAATTTAGATAATTTGAAGAAAATGTATTGTTACAAAGTTTTGTAAGTTATTTCAATTAAATATATCAATTACTTTTTTTTGTATCATTTGATTTAACGGTAGAATAGTTTGATTAAAAACTCAATGTCAAATTTTCAATAATTTTACCACTAATAAAAATGATATATAATTCTTAATCAAAAATCTTAAAATTCCACTTAAACAACAATAGACATCTCAAGTGTTAATAATACTTTAATTATTGGATTATTACATTGAAGTTATTATCTTCGAACAATATAAATTATCATACTTGAAGTCCATGATAATTTATACGAATGGAATTGGTGTATTTACGCCTGTATAATATATATGTATATATACATTTATCTATACATATTAATGTATTTTTCTAATTAGTAATCTATAATGATATGTAAGCACGTGGTGGAGGGACGTGATTCACATGGAAAATGTAATATTTTGATAGAGACAGCTGTCAAGCAAAGAAAATTGACAGCTTATATCCGCCTGTATTGTAAAATCAGTCACATTCTTTCATTGTCCCGCCATTCTGCTGTGTTTGATTTAATCAAAATTGATTATAACTGATTTGACATAAACTATTGTTTTTATGACATTTTTTCATGATATAAATTGTTTCAAGGTTGATCATGATAAAAGATGATATCATTGATTGAATACATTTTTATAAAAATAAGCAAATTTGGTATTTTTAATTTTTCACGTGAACAATCAACATCACATTAAGTTTATTAAAATCTGTAATAATAAAAATAAGTTTAAATACAAAAAAAATTATGTCTTACCTAGGAATACAATTAGGTGGAGTTCGATCAACTTCCCAAGTGGCAAAAAGCTTCATTGGCACAGGCCGGCTAACTGGAGCCGTCACTTTTGATCGCTCCGCCATTTTTCGGCCGTATATTTTATATCACTACTAACAACATATACTACTTTTGACTACACACACCTATGAATTTCCACTTTCAATAGTCAACTGAATACTGAGGGAACAGTTGATTGCTCACCCAAGCTGAAACAGGGTGATCAAGATTCAGTTTAATTGTTGAATAGTTCTAGATTCGAACTAGGGAAAATTAATGACTCTACAGTTGTACACAGTTTATAATAAATAATTAAGAAACAAAACGATTCTAAATGTCATTCTTTTTCTTTTAATATACACATTATTTAGATTTTATAATTATAAATTTATGTAGCAATTTTGGATTACTCCAAATTAAAAATCTTCCCTACAACTACCAGCAAATTTTATTATTTTAGTGCTTTTTACGCCATCTACTATATTTTGTAATTATTTTTATCGCGGAAAGTTTGATTTTGATAACAATAAACATTTAAACATGTCAATTATAATTAATTGTAACGATTTACGTGGACTTTATTAATTTTATTTCAATTATTTTAATTAATAGTAAATAAAAGATAACACATAAATAGTAGTTGTATCTAAATGATTCTTTTATATTATTATATACAATATTAATGACAATTGAATAGATGAAAAAAAATTTCAATATTTTTATTTTTTATTAATATTTAATATGTTTAAGCATTTATAAAAAAAGTTTATTGTAATTAAATAAGATGGTATGATAACCACCACATAAGACAAGGTTGCAACATTGCGACAAAGAGAATAAAATATAGTCTCCTTTTATTACCTGAAGCTGTATATGAAGAATGTCCTTCAGGAATAACTCTTAATTTCAATGATCTTATGAGGAAAAATGCTAAAGATATACTATAATAAATTAAAATTGTATAGTAACCAAACTTTCCAAACATCAGTGAAAATAATAACGCCACATTAATACCAACATATTTATAGCCACAATAAGCTAGCATATCTAATGTTCTCAAACTTGTTTCTAAATTCATCACATACAGGGTTGTTGTATGAACAACTAATTCTATTACACCCCAAGCTAATGCAGAACTTGCAAGAATTCCTAATTGTTCAGGAGTAAACCGTCCTTGAGTACCTAATGACAAGCCAGCCATCACAACATATGTTAAAAATGCCATTGTTGGGATGTACATGTCTGGTGCATTTTTTTCGTAACGTGGTTGTAAAGGAACATCTTGTTCATACTTTACTGACCAATCCTAAAAAAAAATCATTGAATTACAACTATGATGTAAAATTTATTTAAATAATTCCATCTTATTATTAATATTGAAAATAACTCACTCTATGTGTAAATGGAAAAAAGAGAAGTGCTAATTTGATGAAAACGTAGTCAGTATCAACTGCAAAATAATATTTAAGTGCAGTAACAGGCACGTATTTTTCCAAATGTTGTTTTCCCGATCCTACTAATGTATCACCATATTTCATAGCCATATTAGTAACCATTGGATCAGTTAATAGTTGAGCAGCAAATTGAGGGCTTGCAAATGATTCCCTTGGAGGCTCTGAAGAATAAGGTGGTGGTATTGGAGAACTTGCTCCTCCCATTGGTGGTAATGGAGATGATATTGGTTGCTGAAATCCATATTGTGGAGGAGGTGTTTGTTCTGGTAAACTGAATCCATATTCAGACTGTAAACCATTATTTATGGGCATCTGTGTAACAATAAAATGAATAACAATCTGTTTCGAAGGCTACCTGAAAATCTCCTTTTTACCTGAGAATAAACATATGGATTTGGTGGTGATGTAGGTGTACACAATCCTGTTGATGGATCTAATATCCTTTTAGGTTTACCTGAAAATAATAAATTTATCCATCACTTAAAATAAACATAACCTCTGAGTAGGTCGCTAAATGAACAATTAACCTTATAAGAAATTATTAATTTAAAATAAGCGGTTTATAGTAACAACAAAATATTTTTATGAATATTAAATATAATAATATTTAAATATTATTAGATAAAATATGAACATATGACTTACCCCTTCGTGAATTTGAGTGATTGTAATTCATTATTAGTTTTATTACTTATTGTATATTTATTTGCTTTCTGATTATTGAATTATTGACAAATGGATTAAAAAATATAGGTAAATAATAATGTTGTATTCACATTTAGTATTTAATTAAAGTAGCTAAAGAATTATTTTATTACACAATGGAGTAAAAACAAATTAACCTATACACGTTGCCATTTTATATTTCAATATGTCCCAACATTCATTGCGCGTATGGTTGACTCATCAAATTATTTTTTTTCAACAATGTTATATTCATATTTGCAAAAGTTATTAATTTTCAATAGAATTATCGATAATTATTTCGAAAATTTTTAATATCAAACATATAGCTATTTTTTTTTATTTACAAAAATAGATGTCGATAGACAATAGTCTAAGATGATGAAAAAAAAAACAAAGATTTAACATCTAACATTATTGGCACGTAGAGAAGAAAAAAAATAAGTTTGGAACTAATTTTTTACGTCACAAATAAGGGTTTGGTATCCAATAGCAACATGTGTTAACTAGCCGCGCTGTCTGAATACCTATTCGATGTTTATTACGGTTTAGTATATGTGTAACCAATATCCGATATATTACTACTTACTTTTCAAAAATCCATGATAAAACGATTTTTATGAATAATAACATACATTTTTATTAATAAGATAGATATATTCAGTCCATTAACTATTAAAAATTAAATCATCTTAATTAATTAATAAAAAGTTACTATATTGATTTAACTCATTCACTTTTTACTTAATTTTCTTCTTCAATTGTTAATGTAAATAATGATAAATCTTTGGGCAATTTTATCCTTCAATTATTATTCACTGTGCTACAAATCATCGTAACATTTTTTCTATCTTCTTGTAAGTAAATGGCGAAAATTTTTATCAAATGATGTAATATCAACAATAATGATATTGTTAATAATATTAAAAAACAAAAACATTAATATCAATATTTATATAAATAATTAATATCATAACCAATCTAACATGATCACTCTGATGGTGTTTAATTCATATATTATCAAATGATAAAATTAATGGAAATAACGATTTTTAGTTATCGTACTTGAAATGTCAATTTATAACACGTGCACGTGCAAAATTCATTAAATAGCTATCAGTATATTTTGCAGTTTTATGTCTAAACTAATCGAATACATATATATAAGTATACATGGGTGTACGTATATTTGTTGTGCATGTAAACAATCTGTATACTCCGGAGACTTCAATGCTTGTTTTGTTTTCTCTGCCAGATTTTACCTCTTTTAAATTTCATGATCAAAAGTTTAAACAGAATCGATAAATATAATAATAAAAATGAAATGAGCACATACACTTGTATGCATTGAAAGAAAATATGTTGAAGCCCTTTTGTAGCCCAAGATCTTAAAAAAATGAAATATGTTGATGATGAGATAAGTTTAGACATATCAAAAAATATTTAATTATTGTTATTGCGATATAAATATTTTTTTTGTTACAGAAATGTCACATGAGGCTACAAAGTTTTTATTAGAAGTGTATAATTAAATGATGAATCATTAATTAATGAAATTCATCGGATATTGTGATTAGTGTTACTGGCATCCTAGTAAAACTGTCGAGTATATCATCAGTTCTATACATCTTGAAGTAATGTAAATACATCATGTGGTGACCTTGTCATGTAATCATCTATTACGAGTTTTTTATCAAGCACTATTGTTGTGCAATGAGGTTTCCATGGTAGCCAAGTGACCTGGTCAATTCTCCACGTGGTCAGTAACTTGGAGTTCTATAGTTTTGGCAGTGATTTTAGATGTAAAAGGGTGGAAAGAGTAGTGAAGATATTCCGTGGTGATTTGAGCTGTCGTGTGCTCTACATTTCCAGCGTGGAAATTAGGTCGGAAGTGACGCCAGGACGGTACGATAATACCAGAGGTTCTCTGCAGGTTACAGCATAGTTGAATATTGAAAGCCGTGCAATGAAGGCGAGTACCAGCAATGGTGCGTCGTGTCGTCTCGGCAGCTTAGCCGGACGTTGAGAAAATCGCATTAGCGATTTATTTCCAAACTGGAATGGACACGAAGACTCCACCAATAGTATCAAAGCATTACGAAAAGTTGCCGAATAAGGTGGATAAAAGAGGATCAACTAAATCAGCAGATATTTCATTACCTCCTTTGACACCTTTACCAAATAACTCTCGTCAAAAATCTAAAAGTTTGGGAACACAATGGAATAAACGAGTACCTTGTGTTCATAATCAAGAACGACATAAAAAAAGGCCTTTCAGGTATTTCAAATAAATGTATATCTTTTTTTCAAATTATTATTTCTATCAATTGTTTCATCAATTTTTATCTAATTTTAGAGTTCTTCAAATAGGTGCTACAGCTTTAATGCATGCTTGTCAACAAGGTGATCGAGCTCGTGTCATTCGATTGTTAAAAGAACAAGAAGAAACTGTGGCTTATCGTGATCGCACTTTGAGAAACGCTTTACATTACTGTATGGATGCAGCAACTGGAGGTGTCATCGCTTCTGCGGCACCCGAACTCGTTAATGCACCAGATGCTGAAGGACACACTCCTCTTCATCTGGCAGTCATTGCTGGTGATACGCAGTTAGTTGCCGTTTTACTTGCTAATGGAGCTGATGTTAATGCAAAAGATCTTGAAGGACATAGTGTACTTCATTGGGCTACTGGTATGCAGATCATTTTTGGTTAATATTTCATTAGACTTTATTTATTATTCATTTTAAATGAGCTCATTTTATAAATTATTTTTATCAAAATAATTTTTGAAGTAAATGAATATTCATTCCTTTTTTTGATGTCTTTGATTGGATCAAATTAACTTAATGATCGAGTTATTTTAAAATTTTATTAACAAATTTTTATTCCTACCTGTAGGTATAAAAAGAATAAATGATTTTAAAATGAAATAATAATCTCTAAAGACTTATTAGGGTGATTTAATCTTCTCAACTCCCTTACTATGTTTGGTCAGTTAAGGTCAGTAGGTCATTCGTAGCGGATTACTTCTATAATAATTCTGTGTGTTGACGAATCACGCGATAATACCACGAGCTCTAAGAAAATCCTTATTTCGATCGAATGCCCTTGATTTATTCAATCATAAAAATAAGATTGTAATACTATTTCATGATTATGTCAAAATTTTTATAAATGTAAACAATAATTTATTCATTGAATTGTTTATAGTATTTATTGTTTTATTTATTAACCAAACTATTTTACTTTTATTATTTCAAAGTTTGCGGCGAAGCAGAATGTGTTCGATTAGTCCTGGCATCAGGAGCAAGACCTTCAACACCAGACTTACGAGGTGGCTCTCCTTTACATTATGCAGCTCAATGTTGTGGAGCTGCAGTAACAGCAGAACTTTCAGTTCCAAAAAAAGTAGGCTTAAAAGTTCTTCAGACCTTGTTGGAGTTTGGTGCCGATGTCAATGCTAAAGATGAGGATGGTCGTCAACCAATTTTGTGGGCTGCTAGTGCAGGAAGTGTTGAAGCAGTATTAGCATTAGCTAGGTATATTTTTGTCTATAAAACTTTATTTTGTTATTAAAAAAATACGGTTGTTAATTCTAAATAAATATCACCACTTAAAAATATACAGAACAGGTGGATCTGCAGCTGCAGGAGCAACAGATAAAGATGGATTGACAGCGTTACATTGTGCTGCATCACGAGGTCATACTCGATGTGTAGAAGCCTTAATAAATCTTTGTGGTGCACAACCGGATCATGTGGATGATAATGGATGTTCAGCCCTTCATTATGCTGCTACTCTCGGTCATGCTGACGCTACAGCATTACTTCTTAGACTTGGAGCTGATCCGAATCGTCAAGATCGTAAAGGCAGAACGTAAGGATATACAGCTTATATCAATAGTTAAAAATTTATGTTTAGGATAATTTTTTAAAAAATATCAACTGATATTAATTTTTTTATAGACCCGCACTTTGTGCTGCTGCCAAAGGACAATTGGAAACATTGAAAATACTTGCTCAACATGGTGGTTCTCTACATGCACGAACTGTTAGAGGTACAGGCGTTGCTCATGAGGCGGTTTTATCTGGAAGAATAGAATTGATTGAATGGCTTGCAAAAAAAAAGCCTTCCACTCTCGATGTTGCTACTCACGATGGTAGAACTCCTCTTCATGTAGCCGCACTCTATGGATACCTAGATGTTTGTAAAGTGCTATTAGATCATAACGCACGAATAAATGCGATCTTTCGAACAAGTAAAAGTGGCCCTATGACACCGTTAGATGCTGCTTTATATCGAGGTCATCGAGATTGTGCTAAACTTATTCAAATGCATGGAGGGACAACAGCTCATAATCTTCGAACATACAAAACAGCTCCAAATAAGAGTAGTGTCATATTTATTTGCTTTTAAATTTTTTATCATTTATTTATTTGAAAATTAATTCTATCTTTAAATACTTTTTTAGTTTTTGCAGCAAAACTGAAAGTCAGACAGCCAACATCAAGCTCTGAAAGTGATGATGATTCAGAAAATTGTAAAAAGAGAGAGCCAGAAGTTTACGTTGAAGAACGTTGGATAGAAAAAAGAACTCGAAAAAGAAGTAATCCAAAAAAGTATGGAAATCGTCGTGGTAGTCGTAGTTTTAGTGAAGAAGAAATAAGAATGTCAAAATCTTCATGTAGAAATCAAAATCGTAGGGCTAAGAGTGAATCTGCAAGGTATGACGAAAGCGATTTAGAAAAAGAGCAGAAAAAGGATGACTCTGATAAAAAATATTCCAAGCATGAGTATAGCGAAACTTCTAGTGATTTTGATGATGATAGTTCAGATGAAATTATTGAAAGTAGAACTAACAGAATAAGTAACAAAAAAAAGAGTAAAACAAAGGAAAATGATTACAGTTTAAGTGACGATAGTTTGGAAGTTATTGTAGTACGTCGATCAATGCAAAAAAAAACCGAAAAAATCGAATATTCTGAACGAAAATCAAAAACTCCAAAAGAAATGAAACTAATCGAACGAGAACGAGAAATGGTTAAAAAAATACCAAAAACATCTAGAACAAAAAGTATAAGTAAAAAAAATAATGAAGATAGGCAAAGTAGTAATTCAGAGAAAAATGATGAAGACCAAAAAAACAGACAAGAAAGAAGAATGAGTAGAAAAGATGTTACTGATAGTACAAGTCAAGATACTGTAGAACAAATGACTATCACTGCTTTAATTCACAAAGATCAATCATCTGACACTTCAAAATTAAATAATCTAGATAAAAATAGAAACGATCAAGAAGAATTAAAAATACTCAGTGAATCTGAACTTACGAAACACAAAATTGATGAAATATTAGAAAAAGCTGATGAACTTCAAAATGCGTTAATAGTAAAAGCAGCCGATTTAAAGAAAGATGTTGATGAAATTCGACGTCATATTACTGAAAAAAAATCATTAGAAGATGATAAATATGAAAATGAAAATAACACTGTATCGAAAAGTATAAAAAATGAAAACAATGAATTAGATAAATCTGAAAATATTCAGATAAAACATTTACAATCACAGGATCAATTAGAAGAAACTCATGAAATTGATACTAATGAATCTGATAATCAAGAAGTGATCAAAGGAGAGGAAACAAGAACGCCAATTAATAATATTGATAATATAGAAGAGCATTCTCAAGAAAAACAGTCAAATTCCGATATATCAAAAAACGAAGAAGATGGTGTTGAAGAAGAAGAAGAAGAAGTGAAAAAAAATTCAGAAATACCAATAAAAGAAGTAGAAAAGGAAGATAATTCATTATCTACGCAGAGTATAGAAAATTCTCAAAACAACTTGAATCAAGAATCCATTGAAGACCATGAAATTAAACAAAATCCAGAAAAACTAACAATTCATACTGAGATTCATGATAAATCTCTTTCAAGTTCAATCGAAGAACAAGAAAATAATATAGAAAAAAATAGTGAAAAATTAACAAACTCGCTTAACAAAGAAGAGGTGGATGAAGTAGAAACATCCACCGTTGTAAGTTCAAAAGATGAAAAAGTAAATGAAAAACAATTTAATGATGATAAACATAGTGACGGTGATAATAATAATGATGATGATAGTAATGATAATGTCAATGAAGATGACAATAATGATAATAATATAATCAATAATAAAACACCTCAAACAAAATTAATAAAAAATAATTGTGAAAATTTTCGGTATGCCGATAGTTCATCCAGTTCAGCTAAATCAATAAAAAAAATGAAACGATCAAGATCATCTACTACTAAAAGTAAAAAACGTGATAATAATTCTAAACAAAATTTATTTGAAAGTTCAGGTGAACATTCTTTAGACAGAAGTGCAATTATAGCAGTATTTGAAAGTCCTGAATGGGATGAAGAGGATGAAGAAGTAGCTGAAGAAATTCGTGACGTAATTGGCGATAGTATAGAACCAGAAACAGAGCCTGAAGATGATGATAGTTTGGGAGTTTTAAAAGTATTACCGAGTACAAGTGATGATGAAACTCCAAGAAGACCTAGAAGACTTTTAAAAATGTCCAAAAATGATACATTATTCCGGGTAAATTATTTGATTATTGTTTTAAATAATTCAAGTTAATAACTTGATTAAAAATGTTTTTTATTTCTTTAGGCTGAACAAAAAGTTATAGGAAATTCACGAAAATTCTACCAACAATCAAAACAACGTCGAGATAGCGGTGGAAGAGATAGTGGAATAGAACCGAGTCCTAGAGTTTCAAAGATACCAAAAAGAACATTAAAAAAGTGTTGTCCAAATACAGAAAAACAACAAGCATTAAATATAGATACAATAACTCGTGATGTGCAAATAAATCTGCGTAGATATCACTTAGAAAGGAAAATATTTTTCCAGTTAATGGAATTAAAGAGACTGCAGATAAGACATGGTAGAGCTAATGAACAAGTTTTAGTTAAACGACAGGTATATTTCCAAAATATTATAGTGTTGAGCATTGAATGAGGTTTTTTTTTCTTTTTTTTTTTTGATAATGTTTAATATAGGTTGAAGCTTTTCATAAGGCAGGAATGACTGGACCAACATTAGGAGTAGCAAAATATGATCAACCATATACATTCAAGTGAGTGTATGAAAAATACTAGTATCATTTTGTTTTTAATTAAAAAAAATATATATCATTATAGAAATTTCGAGATATTTCTATATGAACAACTTCGGAAATTACAAAAAAGAACTTCATCACCAGAATGGTGTACAGAAGCGAAACAATGCACTGAAAAAACTCATCGCTGTCATCATGCAACAAGTGCTTACACTTCACTTCCTATTTATACTTATCGTAAGTATAAATAAATTGAAGATATAATTCATTGAAGTTTTCAAATAATATATTAGATGGTTTTAGAACTATTTTTCGTAGTTTGATAGTAGATTATAATTGCAGTGGGTGGAAAAAGTCAAAATCGAGACGAGGGATCACTCCTTCCTAAATTAGAAGGTCGTGGAAAAGGCCACATGACAGTAATAACGATTCAAAGATTATTCTGAAAATAAAGATAATATGAATTACATTATTTTTTATTTCTATATAATTATTTATTATAATATTTCTTTATAGGTCAAAGTAACCAGAGGCGAAGAGAAACAAATTATTGCACTACCAGCGGAAAAACTAGATAGTACAAAAAGATATTTTGTCACATTTACAGTTCGAGATGAAAGCCAATCAAACGGAAACGGGGTGGTGAAGACTTCACATGACGCACAAAGAAACACAAAAAGTGTATAGATAACTGCCCTGAGATAAATGTTCAATTTTTAATTATTTATATAAAATATATCTATTTAATGTCGAATATAAAAAATTATATATATATGAATAACTATGTCAATAAGACTCTATCAAAATAGATATTGGTAATACAGATGATATCTAATATAAATTTAAATATTATAATTTAATAAATGTTATGTAAAAAATATTTTATTTAATGTGAATTATAATTAATTTAACTTTCATTCGCAAAAGAAAAAATGTATCGTGTATTAGTTCAGAAGAATCGAATTTTTGTATGAATATATGATTTTATCATACAAATATAACTTCACAATAATATTGAAAAAATATTTTGTAAATAAAATTAAGACCATTGATAAAGTTGTCCTTGATTTCAATGGATTATCATCATATTATTGAAGAAAGTTGGAATAGTTAAATATTTCTCTTAAAAACTAATTATAATTATCAATAGAAATAAATATTTAAAATGTAATTTGATGACATCAGTATGAAATTTTATTCAATCGTGGCCTCAAACAGTGCATCTACCCTACACTTAAATAAAGAGACTTTGCTTTTTTAACTAACTACATATGTATCGATCTCATGTGACGTAGTTGTTTTCAAAGTATACACATAGAAATAAAAGCTCTCCGGTCAGCCTATATTAATAGTAGAGTTCAACTTTACAACGTAAAAGAATGTTGTCTAAAAAAGTCGCTATTGTTGCAATTTTCATACAAATTATTATCAAAACGTATTTCGTTGAAAATTAAAAAATTAAACATTATGTCATTGACGAATCTCATTAATAAATAATCGTGAGTTTTAGTGAGACATTTTTCGCATGGACAAATGGCTCCAAGACAGAAAGCTCTGGCTTTTCGGCAACACATTGCCATTATTACCTCGAAGGTTTGTTTATTCAATCATTGTTCAAGTCGTTTTTAAGATAACTAACTATTTAAAATGTACACATAATTTAATTTACAATTTATAATTATTGTTCAATCGATTTAACTTTTATTCATTGTACCAAATATAGTTTATTTATATCACCTTATTAAACCTTGTTACATACTTATAATAACTGAAATAACTTTACATTAATAATAAATAAATTTGTTACAAGTACTGAATAGTTGCGATTAAAAAAAAAAATTTATTTGTGTAATTAAAAAGGATTTTATTATTAAAAATTATATGAATTTTTGTTATTTAATTGAAAATTTAGTATCATTCTTTGACTTTTCTTGTGACCTCTAAAGAGTCAGTACAGATCGATGATACATGACGTTTTAAACTTTAGTAGCACGCAATTCAATGTTTACCTTCATATTTATATTGTAGATATAATAGAAAGATGAGTTATTTTTGATATTAAAAATATGTGACATTTATAAATGAAGACATAGTAGCCCTTAAGGATATACACATTAATCAAATATAAACGGAAAAGCTTCTTGACATCTTGGTTTTATGTTTATAAAGAAATTTGATATCCTTGATAATTGTGCTAATAGTAGTTTGTATATTGATTGTCAATATAATCAAGCTTGAGAATCATATATGTATTAACTGTATATGAAAAGTGAATCAGTTTCACTTTATGTGTCAAGAAGTTTTGTTGTCAAGCTCAACAGAATATCTACCAGATGAATTTTGTGTTAGAACTTTTGTTAGTAAATTTCTCAAACTATAATTATTATTACTAGAATGTATCATAACTCGTGATCCAAGATATTATTTAATAAAAAATAAAAGAAATATTAAGATTAATAGAATTTTGAAATAAAATAGACCAATGGTATCGTAGAGTATGATGATATATGAAAAAATAAATAGTAAGGAATGAAAAAATATCATTGGAGTAACATGAGTCATTTGATTCTACCCTTCTTTTAGTATATTTATTATGATATCTATAAATTTTTAAATATTTGCGTGATACCCTCAGTCTGAAGTAAGTAGTGAGTTGCGCGAGCGCAAGACGTCCAGCAGATTTCCCTTCACCTGGTCTGTTGAGGGAGTTGACCTCTGGTCAATGACGAGAAGAAGGACAGTTTTAGTTGCAGTCTCCAACGAGACGGAATGTATTTTGTGGGCCAATTATCCCTTCCTTGCCTAGGAAGACACAAGAAGTCGGTATTCTGATTCTCGTCCCTTATTTTATACAATTTTTTAAAATAATTATACGTACCCTTGGAGTATAAAGTGTCTGCAAGAACTAATCAACTAGTCTATCAGTCATATTAACTACAAAAACAATGTTCTGTGTAATTAGGTCTCGGGCGCCGAGTAAAACCATGGAGAGATATGAAAGACTTGGAAGACTTGGAGAAGGTAGTTATGGAGTAGTTTTTCAATGTAGAGATCGGCAAACAGGAAGACTTGTGGCTGTAAAAAAATTTCAACAGACAGAGGATGATCCACTTATTAGAAAAATTGCACTTCGAGAAATACGATTATTAAAGGTACATATTAATATATTTTATAATATTGAAAGAACAAAAAAAAGTTAACTTTAACAGAGAAATCTTCATTTGACTTTTATTTCTATGACTCTATTAATCAATGTTAAAAATTATTCCGATAAAAATATTTCTATTTTTATTTAAATAATGTTAAAAAACTAATAAATTTATTTTAAAAAAGGCATATCTCGATTTAACAATATAATATTGGTTGAAAGATGGTAATAGTAAGCATGGACGCTGGTCAATAAAGCTAGCGGTCAATATCTTCGCGTGCTATGATCGTCCGGAACAGCTTATCTGTGAAATCGGTTTCTCTCATAGGTGTATACTAATAATTATCATATTCATTATCTTATGGATTTTTATCCTTTTTAGTTTTATAAAATGATTTTTATTTTAAATTTTTCTCAAGGTTTTTCTTTGGTATGAAGAAACAGCTTTAACAATCTTTTTATTTAAATGCTAAATTATTACAATTATTTTTTTCAGAATCTGAAGCATCCAAATCTAGTGAATTTATTAGAAGTATTTAGAAGAAAACGTAAATTACATCTAGTCTTTGAATATTGTGAACACACTTTATTAAATGAAATGGAAAAATACCCACATGGATGTCCAGAAAATATGACACGAAAACTTACATGGCAAATACTTCAAGGAGTTGCTTATTGTCATAGACTTGGATGTGTTCATAGAGATGTAAAGCCAGAAAATATTCTCATAACTGGAGATGGAGTTGTAAAGTTATGTGATTTTGGATTTGCAAGAATGCTTAGTCCGGGTGAAAATTATACAGAATATGTAGCCACACGATGGTATCGAGCACCTGAACTTCTGGTGTGCAATAATTTCCTGTAAAATATAATAATTCATTAAAATAAAAATAAACAATTGTATAATATAGTAATTATCTTAGGTTGGCGATACTCAATATGGAACTCCAGTTGATGTTTGGGCGATTGGTTGTGTATTTGCTGAACTGATAAGAGGAGAAGCTCTTTGGCCAGGTAAATCAGATGTAGATCAGTTGTACTTAATCAGAAGAACTCTTGGGGATTTGCTACCTCGTCATATGGCAATTTTCCAGCAAAATGAATTTTTTTCTGGCGTTACTCTACCCACACCCCAGTCAGTAACAACACTTGAAGCAGTTTTACCAGTAACTTCTAGCTCTCCAATACAAGTTAGTACAATAACTACTTAAATAAATTCAAAAATTTTGTCTTTTTTGTAATTACATTAAATTTTTTAACTCTTTTTTTAGATAGATTTTTTAAAAAAATGTCTAGATAAAGATCCAGATCAAAGATGGACATGTGATCAATTATTACAACATGTATATTTTGAAAATTTTCAATTCAAAATCCCGAGTGATGACTTGGAAGAAGCAGATAAATTGAGAAAATATCGAAATCGATCTAGAGTAAGTTTTAAATTATATTTATATTTTATAATTAAATAAGACGTAATAATACTAATAATTATATTAATTAAAGAATTCCAATTACAATCAAATGGTGTTACCTCAATTAACTTCCAAAGGGGCATATCACAATCAACATGAAAGTAGACCAAAGAGTTCTTCTTTTCAACAACATCAAGATTTCGATCACTTACCAACTATACGTGGTTGTAATTAATATTTTCTAAAGCTTTATAATTTAAATTATTGTAATATAATGTTTATCATATTGTATTATATATTTACAAATCTTTGCATTTGAATTGTATACTTAGAATATCTTATCTACTTTAAACGAATAGTATAAAAAAATAATAATAATATTGTGATTATATTCTTTCATAAAAGAAGCTAAAATTTTTATCTTGTAATGCTGTTGTCTTATTACATAAAATTATATTTCAAATGTTCTTATAATATTCATTAATAATTGATATTAATATTATTACTTCCTACTAAATTATTCAAATAGTTATTTAGTTAAATATCTTTTTTTTTAAACCAAAAAAAATTGTTCATAACAAAAACAAGACTTTTTTCTTAATTAATAAATATTTCAAAAAATTAATTTAATTTAAATTTCAAATAATACTATTCCTTGTTTACGTTTGAAGTTTAAACATGATTAATGTTTTTGTTTTATATTATTATTAATATATTTGATAATTTGTATAATTTATTGAGTTATATCTTTATTTGCATATATTGATTGGTTTATTTTTGTGAATTATCAGCTGGTCTAATATTCTAACGTGCATGCGTCACGATAGACAAATAAAATTGCATCTTCCGGTGGTGTAACGAAACTCGTCTCATTTACAAAGTTCTTCATTTATTTATTTTTTTCATTAGTAATCTATTTTTTTTTACAACAAATGATTTATTAAATATCCTAAATAAAAATACGCATTTAGCAAGAAATATTTAGCTGTGCAAATACTTGAAGACAAGTTGGCAATCCAAGTATTCTAAATATAATTTTCAAGTAATTATAACTCTGTTACAATTAGAACAAGAAAAAGTTTGCAAGTATCTATTTTCCTAAAAAATTGTATACAAAAACTATTCATCAAAAATGAAGTATATGAAATTATCATCAGGTTATGAAATGCCCATTGTAGGGCTTGGTACATGGCAGGTGAATGAGAATATTTATGAATTTATTAAAAATTAATAAATAATATACCAGTTTAACTAATAATAAATAAGAAAAACAAAAACAATTTAATATAATTTTTAAATGTAAATATTCAGTCAAAACCGGAAGAAGTGGAAAATGCTGTGACAACTGCTTTAGAGTGTGGATATAGACATATTGATACAGCATTCAATTACAGAAATGAAGATGCAATTGGTAGAAGCTTAAAGAAGTGGTTCAATGATGGAGGAAAAAGAGAAGATTTATTTATTACAACTAAAGTAAGGAATTGAATAAAGATATTATTTCAATAGTTGATGAAATAATTATCTAACATTGTGAATCCATACCAATGATTTTTTTTCAGTTACCACATTTCGGAAATAAGAGTTCAGAAGTTGAAAAATACTTGAAAATGTCGTTGGAAAGTCTTGGATTAGATTATATCGATATGTATTTAATTCACATGCCTTTTGGATTGGTTTGTGATAAATCCAGTTATGGACCTTTGATAAATGAAGATGGGACATATGAATTAGATCTTGAAACTGATCCCGTATCTATTTGGAAGGTTTGATATTAAATTTAAATTGCTTGATTTTTGATCAATCATCTTAACTGATTAGATAATTATAAAAATGTGTAATGTAATTATTACAGGAAATGGAAAAACATGTTGAAGCAGGACGTATAAAGTCTATTGGATTAAGTAATTTTAATGAAGATCAAGTTAAGGAAGTGTGGGATAACTCAAAAATTAAACCAAGTAATTTACAGGTAAACTAAATAAGAGTTCTAACTCAAAAGAATATATTTCTTTGGTGTCTTAGAAAAATGGAGTATTTATTTAAAATGTTTCTTTAAATCAGGTAGAGCTTCATGCTTATCACCAACAAAAAAAATTACGAGAATTTTGTAAGGCCTATAACATTATTGTGACTGCATACAGTCCATTAGGATCACCTGGAGCAAAAACATACTTTGAAACAAAGTATAATTACAAGCCAGAAAAATACCCCGATTTATTAGAACATCCAGAAATACGAAAACTTGCTACGAAATATAAAAAAGGTGAAGGACAAATTCTACTTCGACACTTGGTGCAAGAGGGAATAGTAGTGATTCCAAAAAGTACATCACCACAAAGAATTCGAGCAAATATTGATATTTTCGACTTTGAATTAACACCTGAAGAAATCAAAATTTTAGACGATTTAGATGGAGGATCAGCACGACGGATTTTTACATTTTTATTTTTTAAAGGGTAAGTATGAATTTATGCTTGCCGTTAGTATAACATAATACGTATTATTTTACTTCTATTTTATTATCTAGGGTTGAAAAGCATCCATATTATCCATTTAAAAGTGAATTATCAAATGTTTAATGAATTATTCATTTACATTTAAAAATTCATGAGTCTCACATGCCTTTAATTGTATAAAAATTACAAAAAATGAAATAAAATAAATTCGATAAAAATAATTTCATAATATTAAATGTTGAATATTATTAAAATATATATAAATTACATGAGTCTATAGAGCATTTTACGTTGCATTCGATGTTGTAATTCACCACGACGTATCATTGTGTGTATAACTTTGTAAATAGCACGTTCTGGATATTTTTGTTTCGTAAAATCATTAACAATACTTTGTTCTGAAACTTGTGAACCAACAGCAAATCGTCGTTTCAACTGTTTTTCAATCTGAGACAATACTTCATGATCTTCTTCTGAAGTGAAACCTTCAGCACCAGCCAAAGAACCGGACATAGCAGCGTCTAGTGTAGAAACTTGAAAAAGTCTTAGAGCCTCATTCACATGAACTTCAGTAGCAAATGGAAGTAAACGCATTTTAGCTAATGATTCTGATATTCTTATAACTGCTTCTAACTGTCGTACGGTTATTGGAATTGATAGCCGTTTTTCAGTATCTCTTTCATGTTCATGAGTTCCAGCACGCATCATAACATATCGATTTTTCAACTTTTCACCAGCTTCTTTATTTAATCTTGGACCGCATCTTGTTCTACAGTAATTAATATATTTTTTTAAAACATTTAAAGGTAATTCCCCTTCTACGGCTTGATCAGTAATTTGTCCAGCATTAGCATGAAGATTTAAAACATGTTTAGCTAGTGTAATATCCCGTTCTTGACTATGCTCATCTTTAACAATAAAAATCATATCGAAACGTGAAAGAATTGTAGGCATGAAATCAATATTATCATCGCCTTTGATATCATCCCATCGTCCAAAGATAGAATTAGCCGCAGCTAAAACAGAGCAACGAGTATTTAAAGTTGTCGTAATACCAGCTTTAGCAATCGAAATAGTTTGTTGTTCCATAGCTTCATGTATTGCTACTCTATCATCCTCTTTCATTTTATCAAATTCATCAATACAAACTACACCTCCATCAGCTAATACCATAGCTCCACCTTCCATGATAAAATTTCTTGATGATGGATCTCTCATTACTGAAGCTGTTAAACCAGCTGCGGAACTACCTTTTCCAGAAGTGTAAATTCCAATTGGAGCAACAGTTTCAACAAATTTTAAAAGTTGAGATTTAGCAGTACCTGGATCACCAAGCATCAAAACATTAATGTCACCTCTTCTACATAAACCATCGGGCATACGTTTTCTAGATCCACCAAACAATAAACAAGCAATAGCTTTTTTAATATCTAAAGCACCGAAAATGCTTGGTGCGATGCTTCGTGCAATTTTATCATAAATTTGGGGATCTGCCGCAAGACGTCGAAACATATCTTCTTCATCGCTGGTAATAGACGGTTGAGTACCGCTTCCAGAATTTTCTCCATCAACAGAAATACCAATTACACGAATATAAGGAGCTCGAACACCTACTAATGCTTTGTCTTTTCCACCTCGTTTTCCACCGCCCATTACTTTTTTTATTGAATATATACCAAGAATAAGAACTCTGTTACCTGGAACTACTCGATCACATAAATAACGATCACAGTATAACTGCAAATGCCGGGGCATTTCTCCTTGTGGTATTAGATCAGGAAGTTCTTGAAGTTTTAATACTTGAAAATCAACACAATGACATAAATCTGGCATTACAAAAAATGGATCCAATTGGCATTTGGGACGTCCTGCTTGCTCTCTAATAAATCAAAATTCAAAATAATTTTCTTAATATAATTAATTATATTATTTACATATAATATGTTTAATTGTAAACTGTAATAATTACGTGGTACATTTCCTGGGCAAAGCATAACCTTCTAAACCAGGTTTAATTGCAATATTACTTTGGATTGTTCGACATGATCTGCATTGAATAGAAATTTTTGTTGCTTTCGAACGTATTCCAGAAGCTGACACAATTATACCCGGAACTTTAATCAATTTAGAAACAATATCAGGCTATAAAACAAAATTTATGTTAGAAAAACTATTATTAAAATTTAATTGTTATTTCCTAAACAAATGATATACCTTCATTCCTCTTAAAGACGTCGGATGCCCATCTGATGACAATAAAATTTGAATATCTTCAATTTTTTCTTCACCAACAGGCCTAGGAGCAGTAAGTTCATCAGCAACATCTTTTGCAGCATCTTCAAATACCGGTAAATACTCAGTTGGCTGTTTATAAATTTTTTCAGCCAATGTTTCATCAAATGCTCCTAAATCTTCGAGATTTATTTCTACCCAATACCGTCCCAAATTATAATTACGTTTTAAGGCATCTCTGTACTTATAATTAAAATTGCCCTCATGAAACTGTCTGATAAATTCTTTAAATTTTTTCTTGAATGTTTGTAATTTTAACTGATCGTCACGTTGTTCATCACCACCAAAATTATCAGAAAAAAATACTTGAGGAGTGTCAAAATCATTCATGATGATTATAAAAAAATTAACCTTTATTTTTCCACTGAACAATTTATAAATTTAGAAAAGAAAATTTATAGCTCTTTCTTATTGTTATTTACTTTGTATAAATTCCAACGTACTAAACAAACAATATTCTGAAGGAGAATTTTAGCGGGAAAATTGGCATAAATTGTACATTGAGACAAAAGTTGCGAAAATTTTATAGATAAGAAACTATAAGCAATATATTTTCACGAATTTATATAGTACACAATTCGACCACTAGATGAAACCTTTGTAAATCATATGGCTAAGGTAGCCATCTTTCAGCAAAAGATTGTAATTTAAACACGTCACTTCCATGTTTCAGTATCTAATATGACATCACTGCGCCATATTTCGTTATTGAAGATTTTATCTATTTTCTTCTTGAAAATTAGTGCAGAATAATACATGTAAGAATAGATTACTGTAAAAAAATATGTAAACATTAATTTAGATAAAACATCTAATGAATAGAGAATTCATAGATAGACACATAAATTCATTAAAATAAAAATTGCTTCAAATATATAATAAAATTAAATATATTAAATAAATTCAGTAGATGTATATTAAATAATAAAATAGTTTGTGTCTATTGAACCAGTAAATTTAAATAATATTATCGATAATTGAAATAATACAAAAATCATAGTTCCTTAAAAAAATATTGTCAATTATGTTTTTTTATATAAATTTTTAACTTTTAAATTTGGTGTATTTTGAAATTTACAAATTACACATACACATTCATTCGTGGCATAGCTTACTTATCATTTATATATTTACACATACACAAATGAATACATACATATATATAGATATGTGTATATATACCACGTGACCATCATATCGACGTATCGGGTACGGTCCATATTCTTTAGCACAAAAATATCTGTCAAATAATGGCTACAGCCAATGAAAAATCGAGCTTTTTGGAGTAAAATTAGTATTATTTTTAGTAATAAAAATGTAGATGTGTAAAGATTTGAAAAATCTTGAATAATGTCAAGTGATTGTGTGTTGGTATAATATCTTTTAAACGAGAAAAAAATAATCATTTAATAGAATCAACGAAAAGGTGTGCTGTTACGACGTATGCGTTGTGGGGCGGTTACCTGTGACGTTTCTAAATGACATTTTGCTTACTATTAGCTGTCGTCGCTCCGATTTGACAGGAGAGAACGACAGCATTGTGAATATATTGAATTGTTAATTTAATTCAAGTGAATAATAATGAACGCAGGACGACGCACGATCATTTACGTGCGTTGTTTTGCGATATATTTCAACAATAATTAAGTAGGTGTGTAGTAATACATTTTTACTATATGATTTGATTGTTTTAGCATGTTTATGTCAAATATTATTCACCTATGTAATTCCAGTAATAGAACTAATTTTTTTTATCTTTAAAATATTTTTATATTAAAAACTTTCTTTTGAAATTTAATCAATTTCAGAGTTGACAGTCAATCGTGGTAAAGTTTTGAACAAATTAAAATCAATAAATATAAATACTTTTCTCTTTTTATTACTTTTGGATTTTGATTTATATTTATTCATCATATCATAGATGACATATATATTTAATGATCTTTTATTTTCAGAGTATAATCATCAAATATGAACATAATGCGAAAATTGCGAGGTGCAAGCACGGTTGGAGGAATGGGTTCCAGTAGTACTGGAAGTGTAGACGACTGTGTCGGTGGTAATAACCCACAACACACAGCTTTAGGATTGATGCATCTAAAAAAATTATTTTCTGAATATACCCATCCGCCACAATCGCTTTCTGACGCAGAACGAGATGATAAACTTTATAATATGTTACCATTATTTTGCAAGGTATTATTTTAAATTTTTAACAACATTATTAATATTTAATTACATTTTTTCTATTAAATTCTTTACAATTATTCAAAAAAATATTTTGTTACAATTTAAATAATACTCAGTTATAAAATATAAATATAAATCAATTTTAATAATTTCTTATAGGTATTTGGATCTAGTCCTTCAACAGATATGAGTGAAAAATTTTGGGATATTTTAGCTTTTACTCAACAAGTGTCCAATCTGATGGTGTCAGAAATAAGAAAAAGAGCTAGTAATCAGAGCACAGAAACGGCCAGTTGTGCTATAGTTAAATTTTTAGAAATTGAAAATAGTGAAGAATCAAGTAATGGATGGATGCTATTGTCAACCTTGAATTTGTTAGCAGCTGGTGATACTTGTTTAATTCAAGCAATGACAACAGCTTCTGTACCATCAACACTTGTGAAATGTCTGTATTTATTCTTTGACTTACCAGAAATGAATGATACAGAAGCTGATGCTACTGATGCCAATAGTGAATTTACTCCTCGCGAACGAAGAATATTGTTACAAAAAATATTTGTTCAATTACTTGTACGATTATGTAGTCATCCTTATCCCGCAGAGGAATTGGCACGAAAGGATGATTTGACACTACTATTTTCAGCAATAACAAGTTGGTGTCCACAATATAATGTAATGTGGCGTAAAAGTGCTGCTGAAGTATTAATGACATTATCACGACATGGTTTAACAAAAAATGTTGTTGCTTATATTCACAATAAAAGATGCATAGCTCTTTGCATTGACAATATGCAACGTGTACCTGAACTAGCACCGCTGGAAGTAGTGGAGATGTTTGTCACGGTATTCTGTTTTTTAAAAGATTCAAGCGAAGTATCACAAACACTGTTGGATGATTTTCGTGCTTGTCAAGGTTATATTTTTTTGTCTGAATTTTTATTAAAACATGCACCTTCAAGATTAGAACAAGATGAAAAGGCAGAAGCTCAAGATGCTATTCGAAATTTAGTATTAATGCTAGCATCTTTAACAATGTGTGGACATACAGAATTAAAACCAAGTCAAGCAAGTATGGATTCATTATTTCAGATGCTTGGATTTACATTACCTCAACCAAGCAATCGTGGTGGAAGTGTGAGAAATATTCAAGCATTTCAAGTACTCCAGTCTGTATTTGTTAAATCAAATTCTCCACTTTTATGTTGTACAATACTTGATGCCATATCCAGTGTATATCATAGCGACAATGCTAATTATTTTATACTTGAAGGTGAAAATACTCTGTCGCAATTTGCCGAAAAAATACATCTAAAAAATCCGGAAATTCAACAGAAATTTTTCCAATTATTAGAATTTATTGTATTTCAGCTTAACTTTGTGCCTTGTAAAGAACTCATATCTCTTTCAATTCTTCTCAAGTCTAATCACTCAGTGAGCTGTAGTATAATGGGCATGGAAACTTTATTAAATATACTGCGTCATAATGTAATATTCAAAGATGTCTATAGAGATGTGGGTATACTTGAAATATTTGTAACGTGTCTACACCGTTATGCTACTTTACTAAAAGATAAACAATCCACAAATGATCAAGGTCTTGAGTACAAAATGTGTCCGGAGCAAGAACGTTTAGGTGCATTAGTAATGGAAGCACTTACAACTCTATTAGCAGGAAATGTACAAAATGCTAAAGTTTTTAGAAAATGTACTGGAGCTCGATGTGCTCATAATCTTGTTCCTTATATAGATTGCCGTTTTCAAGCATTGGGTATCGTTAGAGAACTAATTTTGAGTGCTGGTGGTGATGATGATATGGCTACTCTACTTGGAATTATGCACTCGGCACCACCAAATGCTTTAACTCTCAAAACTCATATTTTGAAGACGTTACTTACATGCCTACGAGAATCTCATCGAACACGAACAGTTTTTCGTAAAGTTGGTGGTTTTGTATACGTAATGTCAGTTCTTGTCTCTTTAGAAGGTCAGTTAGGATCAGCATTAACATCAACATCTTCAGAATCTTGTAATGATACTCCATTAAAAAATTGTCAAGATGAAGCACAACTTTTAACTCTTCTACATGTTGTATTTCATACAATAAGTACTGCAATGCGATTTGAACCAGCAAATGCCAAATTTTTTCATCTAGAAATTTGTCAATCAAGCCTGTGTGATACTCTTCGACTTTTAGGATGTTTTTCATCACAAATTACTCTTACTGAACTTAATATTACTGTGCCACCAATGAATTATCATAATACTCTACAATCATTATTCAATGGTAGTGTTTTAGAGCCATCATTTCCAAGTGAAATGCCAAAAAGTCTTGCTTATGCATGTATACTTTTTCGATTACTTTATGATGTCGCTTTGGATGCTTTTGATCGACCAAATTTTGCAGCTGTTGGTACACGATCACCATGTCATAAACAATCAAGCCTAGAAAACCAAAAGTCACTTGATTCTCCAGGAAGTGGGAAACGTTGCAATGTAAATTCATTGAATTTAAATCCACCAACACCTGAACCTATCATTGTTCATCCAGGAATTGTTGTGGCAATGTTACATTTATTACCATCAATAACAGAACCATCTAATCCTGAATATGCCTTGGCTCTTCAAATTTACATTGCCGAGGTAATTAAAAGTTTAGTTCGATCGGAACGCAATCAACAAGTAATGTGTGATGCTGGAATGGCAGGCGAATTATTAATTATTGGAAGAATTGCACTCCAAGATGAAACTCATCAACTTCATCAACCATTACAATACATTATCGAACGCTTAGCAGCTCAATCGTTGGAACCGAAAGACTTGAGAGAATTTTTACGTCTTGGAGATCCTCTTTGTTGTATTTCCTTGGACGATATTGAACTAAATAAACCCCGAGGTGGACCAGTTCCACTAACTAGAATCAAAACGTTAGTATCCATGACAACACCAAAAGATTTTAGAGCACATGGTTCCTGTACACTACCACCATTTGTAGAATTAGATATGAGTGCTGAAGGTTTTGCATCTCTTTATTTACCTAGTATAGCACCTCAAAGTACAACTCCACCAACAGTAGTTTCAGCAGACAATAGTGTACTTGGTGGAATTGGTTCTGGAGATCGATTTTTTCCACCTCAAACTGGATTAACTTACAGTACATGGATATGTGTTGATAAATTTAGTGATTCCCGTACTGATCCTCACTGTGTCAGACTATTAACATTAGTACGAAGTCCACCATCAGGAGCAAGAGATATTATTTGTTTTACAGCTATTTTAAGTGCTAGAGATAAAGCAATTATTGTTTCAACTCAAGAGACAACAATGCCACAAAATATTGGAGAATGGGAACCGGAGGGCATTGGAGAAAATGGAGCACGAGTCTGGTGTCCAGATCTTCTTCATGAAGGTCAATGGCATCATATAGCAATTGTATTAAATCGAGCTGTTTTAAAAAATTCAAGTTTTTCATTATACCTTGATGGTCAGCATATTCAAAGTCAAAAGCTTCATTACATTACTCAAACTCCTGGTGGTAGCGCATCAAATTTAACAGTTGCATCTCCAGTTTATGGTTACATTGGAACTCCACCATGTTGGAGACGATACTCAAGACTTTGCTGGAAACAAGGACCTTGTCATTTGGTTGAAGAAGTATTTAATTCTCAAAATATTCTTACGCTATTCAAATTAGGCCCTCATTATATGGGTAGTATGCAAGCACCACAATTTCTCAGCCCGGAACCTCTATCATCACTTTTAGCTGAGGAAAAAGTCGTTTTTGGATTAAATGCTAAAGCAATGTCTCAATTAACTTTAGCAAAAATACGAAAAGTTTACAGTAGAACTGATACTAAATTTATTGCTAAACAATTGGGTATGTCATCACATGAAAATGCAACACCAATTCGCGTTCTTCATAATTCTGCTGGACATTTAAGTGGTCCAGCTAGAGCATTAGGAGGTGTTGTAGTGGGTTATCTTGGTGTTCGTGTATTTAATCCACGCCCTGTAGCAACAACAATTGACAATGTTGGTGGATGTTCTGTATTATTAGGTCTTATTGCTATGGCTCAAGATGTGGAATCGCTATATGCTGCTGTAAAAGCTTTAGTTTGTGTAGTACGATCAAATCAAGCTGCCCAACAAGAAATGGATCGCCGTCGAGGATATCAAACTTTAGCAATGTTATTGAGACGAAAATGTCCATTATTGAATAGTCACATTCTCCACTTAACATTTAGTTTAGTTGGAACCGTAGATAGTGGTCGAGAAACGAGTGCAATTCCTAATGTAACTGCATTTCAAGATTTACTATGTGATTTACAAGTTTGGCATGAAGCTCCTGGAGAGTTATTGCGGTCTTTACTTGAACATCTATATGAATTAATAGCAGAATCTAATGAAAAAAGAACTAATTTACGACTTATGCGAGACTTGCAATTGGTTCATAAACTTTTACACATTTTAAGTGATGTCAAACAAAATTCTACCAGACAGGTACTATTAGCTTTATTGAGTATTTTATTAGGACAGCCAAGGCAAGCTGATTTATTGTGGTTTGGTCAGTTCATTGTTGCTACACTGCCAGTAGTATCAGAGAAGCATTTAATTCCACGAGAAAATGAAGGAGGGCTAAAAGAAGGAGAAGGAGAAAGTATTTTATTAAGAAATAGATGCTTACAATTACTACATAATTTATTATTTAATGGATCTAAAGTCAATATTACTATGTGTGATGAATTAGCTAAAATACTTGGACTTGATTGGGTACTTTTATTTCTTCAACCGGGTCTTCATAGTACCACAATTGTCTGGGGATTACGAATACTTGTTGCAGTATGTTCAGTACAATCAATTCTTCAAAAATTTAAAGAAGGAACAAGTAATGGTGGCTGGTTGAGGCACACAGAGCATAATAAAATGGCTATGGCACTTGGATGTCAACAACAAACATCTACTGGAGAAATTAAACCATCTGGACTTCATGTTCCAGGATTTCAACATCTTGGTTGGTTACTCCCACAGCATGTGGATTTAGTTCCTGAACTCTATTTTCTTTTTATTGCCCTAATGATGGGCCAGCCAATAAAATTACTGCCAGCTGATTCAAAATTAGAGCTTGATAATGTGTGGAATTTTATGTTTGGTGTTCCAGCAAGCTATTCACTTTCTTCATTTGCTGGAAAAATTAATATTTGTCCTGAAGCAGTTGTTACACTACTTTCTATGGTACGCACGATGCTTAATATGCATTCTAATAATCCAGAAAGTATACCAGAGTGGCTCAATGATTATCCTGTAACAATAATTCAATTTCTTTTTTTTTTATATCATAATTTTACTGATTTTATGCAAGTTTTCATGTCAGGAGAAGTATTAGGAGCTTTAGCAGGTACATTATTTCCTAAACCATTATCCGGAAGTCAAGATAGTAGTGGAGCAAGCACTCCAGCTGATGAACAAGAACCAGTTTTGGTTAGATCACCATCAAAAGATATTGGTTTAACGAATCATTCTGCCAAAAAATTTGTTATGGATTTTCTACGTGTTATTGTAGTAGATTCATTGTCTCTTCCTGTTACAGCTAAATCACCACCAGTAATTGATTTAATTTTGGAAGCTTGGCCAGAATATGCATCTACTAATCAACAAACTTGTTATCAGACTGAAATTTTATCTCTACTAATGGAGCACCTTTTGGCTGCTGATGTATTGATTGGAGAACAAGCAGCTTTACCTGTAGTACCTGGTGGCTCTGTCAATAATATAACTAATAATGTTTGTTATGTGACTGCTAGAATTGTAGATAAATTATGGCAAGGAGTACTAACTAAAGATCCTCATGAAGTATTTGACTTTATTGTTAAACTTATTGGCCAGGCTAAACGAAGATCAGGAACAGTTAATATGGAAGGTCTTCATCATTGTTTAAATAGAACAATTCTTTTCTTATTGTCAAGAGCAACCGATTCAATTGCTGATCAGATGGCTGTTTTAGAAGCTCTTCATAAATTAACGACTCACAGACTTCTTGTTTTTGGTGCTGGCAATCATGAATTAGAATTTATCAGTTGTTTAACTTATTGTTTACTTCAGTTGACTGCTGATATAAAAATAATGCTTGATACAAATATGAAAACAACTTGGCATGTTAATCCCCAAGTAGAATCAAGTGATGATAGATTAACATCACACCAAGGACATAACTTAATGGCTGTGGCAGCTACAAGAGTTTGGGAAGAGCTTTATGTGTGTAAAAAACCTGCTATTGAAGAGGTATTTAAAATAACTTTACCACCTTCAGTTGGAAATGAACGTGCACCAGATTTAACATTAGTTAGAGATTTAGTACATGAACAAGCAACGAGATTTTGGTTAAATTATGTTGTCTTAGAACGTAAAGCTTCTTACAGAGTGCCTTGGGAGCTACATAATCAGATTCAGTCGAAAATTCAAAAAGTTACTGGAGGATTAACTCGATTAGCAAGTAGAACTAAAGTGAGAAAAGAAGAATCTATTAAACCAAGATTAAGACTTCATCATAGTACTGTTGCTCAATGGACAGAGCAACATGTCGGATTAGTAAGAGAATTAGCTGCAACTCGTAAACTTCAATATCAACAAACATACCAACATACTCAACGTTATGTTTATCAAGAATGGTTACAAACAGAAACAGAATTAACGAGAGAACGTGGACTTTGGGGGCCTCCTACTCCAACAGTTCTTGATAAATGGATGTTAGACATGACCGAAGGGCCATGTAGAATGCGTAAAAAGATGATAAAAAATGAACTTTTTTACATTCACTATCCATATCGACCAGAGTTAGATCATCCAGATAACAAACAACTCAAATATAAAGTAGCAACGAGTTTGGATAGTAAAATATATTATTTGAAACAAGTTGGAAATTCATCAGGAATGTTTGAACGTGAACGTGATCCAGTAATTGATGATATTCCTTTGACAATGAGTGAAGGATCAACTGAAAATGAACCTCCAATGGTTCCTTGTACTCTTGAAAGACATGCAAGTGAACCTGATGAAGCCCCAGAAGATAATGAACAAGAAGAAGAGAACAATCAAGCGGTTCCTGACAATCAAACACTATTAAGATTACTTGAAGAACATGAAAAAATAAGCCATATGTTTAGGTGTGCTAGAATTCAGGGATTAGATACAACAGAAGGTCTCCTCTTATTCGGAAAAGAACATTTTTATGTTATTGATGGTTTTACATTATTAAAATCTCGAGAAATTCGTGACATTGAAAGTCTTCCAGAAGCTTATGAGCCAATTCTTCCATCTCCAGGTTCTCCAAGACGATCACGAGCTATGAGACAATGTTCCAAGTTTAATTATGAAGATATTCGAGAAGTGCATAAACGGCGATATTTATTACAACCAATGGCATTGGAAGTTTTTAGTGCTGATGGACGAAATTATCTTTTAGCATTTCCACGAAAAGTTCGAAATAAAGTTTATCAAAGATTTATGACATTTGCAACAGCCATAGCGGATAGTGCTCATCAATCAGTTGCTGGACAAAAGAGGACTGCTAATGTAGAACAGGCCACTGGTCTATTGTCTAATTTAATCGGTGAAACTTCAGTAACTCAACGATGGGTAAGAGGAGAAATTTCAAACTTTCAATATTTGATGCATTTAAATACCTTAGCAGGCCGAAGTTACAACGATCTCATGCAATATCCAATATTTCCTTGGATATTAGCAGATTATGATTCTGAAGAATTAGATTATAATGATCCATTGACATTTAGAGATTTTACAAAACCTATGGGTGCACAAAGTCCTGAAAGGTTACTTCAATTTAAAAAGAGATATAAAGAATGGGATGATCCACATGGAGAAACTCCACCTTATCATTACGGAACTCATTATTCTTCAGCAATGATTGTTTGTTCTTATTTAGTCAGGATGGAACCTTTTACTCAACATTTTTTAAGACTTCAAGGTGGTCATTTTGATTTAGCTGACAGGATGTTTAACAGTATTAAAGAAGCGTGGTTATCAGCATCAAAGCATAATATGGCTGATGTAAAAGAACTTATTCCTGAATTTTTTTATTTACCAGAATTTTTAGAAAATTCAAATCATTTTGATTTAGGATCAAAACAAAGTGGAGTTCAGCTAGGTGATGTTGTACTACCTCCATGGGCTAAACAAGATCCAAGGGAATTCATTAGAGTTCATAGATTGGCTTTAGAATGTGACTATGTATCGCAAAATCTTCATCATTGGATAGATTTAATATTTGGTTGTAAACAAAATGGACCAGCAGCTGTAGAAGCTGTTAATGTATTTCATCATTTATTTTATGAAGGAAATGTTGATATTTATAACATTGATGATCCTTTGAAGAAAAATGCTACGATTGGATTCATAAATAATTTTGGTCAAATACCAAAACAACTTTTTAAGAAACCTCATCCCTGTAAGAAAATGAATCAAAGAATTAGTGTGATAGATCCTGGGCCAATAACACCTGGATTAAGTATCACAGTATCAGATCGATTATTTTTTCACAATCTTGATAATTTAAAACCTTCATTACAGCCAATTAAAGAACTTAAAGGACCAGTTGGTCAAATATTACATGTAGATAAAACTGTGTTAGCAGTTGAACAAAATAAAACACTTATTCCACCTTCATTTAATAAATACGTAGCTTGGGGATTTGCTGATCATTCATTGAGAATAGGAAATTATGACAGTGAAAAGGCTATTTTTGTTTGTGAAGCAATGATGCAAAGTAGTGGAGAAATAGTTGCTTGTGTTTGTCCGTCACCTAAATTAATAGTCACAGCTGGAACTAGTTCTGTCGTGACAGTCTGGGAGTATTCTAAACGTCAATTGTCTATAAAACAATGTCTTTATGGCCACACTGAAGCTGTAACATGTCTTTCTTCAAGTCCTGCATACAACGTTATTATTTCAGGTTCTAGAGATGGTACAGCTATTATTTGGGATTTATCTCGATGTTTATTTGTAAGGCAATTAAGAGGTCACGCTGGCCCTGTTGCTGCTGTAGCTATAAATGATCTTACTGGAGATATAGCTACTTGTGCTGCTACATGGCTTCACGTTTGGAGCATCAATGGAGAAGAGTTAGCGAGTGTTAATACATGTGTTGGTCGTGCTGATAGAATGCAACAAATATTATGTGTTGCATTTAGTCAAACTCATGAGTGGGATTCACAAAATGTCATTATGACTGGTTCTACTGATGGAGTAGCAAGGATGTGGTCTATGGATTATGTTCAAGTGCCTGCAGAAGAAGAAAAATTAGAAAAAACTTTTGGAGACAAGGCTATTAAACGACAACAAAATATTGAAGAAGATAGAACTCAGAGTACAAAAAAAAGGGTTCATGAATTAGTTAAACAAATGAGTATATCTGCTGAAGAATCAGGGATGCTAATGAAAAGTGGATCTGAAAGTAGTCTTTCTGATGCTGAAAATTCAAAAGAAGCATCAAGGATTCATGAAGAGAAAGAGGAGTGTTCTGATAGTGAATTCAGTAATGAATCTAGTAAAATATCTTCAAAAAAGAATCAATCTTCGACGGTTGTTATGAGAAGGAAAAGTAGAGGAAATCCAATGTTTAGAAAAAGTGAGGGTGGTGGTAGAGCTGATAGTGAAGGAACTCAAGTCAATGAATCACCATGTATTATTAATGATTCTGAAGGTGCTTTGAGAACTAGTAAAAGTGACACTAGTCTTACAGACAGTTTTGTCATGGTAAATGAAGCAGATACTAAACCAAAAAAAATAAATCCACAAAATATTTTAAGGGATGGCTTTAAATGGCAAAGACAATTAGTATTTCGGAGTAAATTAACAATGCATACTGCTTATGATCGTAAAGATAATGCCGAGCCTGCTTCGATAACAGCATTAGCAGTATCTCGAGATCATAGAACTGTTTATGTTGGTGATACACGTGGAAGAGTGTTTTCTTGGAGTGTTTGTGAACAACCAGGACGTACTGTTGCTGATCATTGGTTAAAAGATGAAGGCGCTGACTCTTGTGTTGGATGTGGAGTACGATTTAATCTTTATGAAAGGAGACATCACTGCAGAAATTGTGGTCAAGTTTTTTGCTCAAAGTAAATATAAATATTATTTAAATAATTCCTTTTAATATATTAAAAATTAAATAAATTTACAACTGTAATGATTACAGATGTAGCAGATTCGAGTCTAAAATATCGAGATTAGGAATTCTTAAACCTGTAAGGGTATGTCAAGGATGTTATTCCCAATTAAGATCACAAGGGTCAACAGACAGTAATAATACTTAATACAGATAAAATTTTACATATGACTTAAATTATATAATAAACCACCGTATGTCTTTATTATTATCCACAAAAATCTGTAAGTACTATACAGTTGACATTTTTTTTTTTTATATTAGTAAGATATACTAACGAAATAGATCATATTTATTTTGTGTTTATTTTATTATAAAATTCAAAATCTTCTGTTACTAGATGATATATATATATATATATAATTAATTCTTTAAAAGAATTTCATAATTAAATGGGACACTCCAAACAATACATAATGATATATTCTATTATTTTTTAGGTCTGGAGAATTACTTAAGAAGTATACATAACTTGTTCAATCAATTTTGAAATTATTATTATTTTTAATTTCTATTTTTTATTGATGATAATTTTTATGAAATTTTTACACCTACGAAATGAAATATATATATATGAAAGAAATATTATAAAATATAGACTATTGTATAAATCTTAGAAATTTTATAAGAATAAAACGTATATAAATATTATAGATGTAACATAACTAAGATTTAATACAATTTTTTTGACTTTTATAATATTTCTCACGTATATAAATATCCACAAATCTCAAATAATTATTTATTGATTAAATTTTTTTATAAATGATTATTTTAAAGTTAAATGACATTGTGCTACCATAGACAATACTATAATCACATAAGACAATTTTAAGAATAGATAATGAAATGATAAATAATCACTTTACAACTTAGCATAGATCAATTACGTGTGTATAGAATTTTATGTAAGATTCAGTAGAATGTACTGTATACCTAATACCGATCAAGACCTATTTATTGATAATAACAATAATAATACTAATATAAAATAATTATAATATTAATTAAAATAATAGTAATTGGTAATATTGAACTTTCTTAAAGAGACAAATTAAATTTTAATTGTTTCATAATTAAATTAATTTGGAAATGGGAAACGAAAAATAATTTAATATTGATTTTTGAATGAAGTAATATAAAATATATAATTATAAGATTTCATAAACGATCGATTTTTTATTTAAAAGAAACATAAGAAATCAAATTCTAAAAAAAGAATTCAATTAAACTAAAAGAAAATCTAAGTATTAAAAGGTATTTTCCCATAATAAAGCCAAATGTATCACAAGAACAAGGCTGAATGAATGTTGTAAAAACGTAAATAAAATCAATATTCTTATTGTTATTAGAACATAGTATATATAGATAATTAATAATGCAGAATATTTACTATAGAGAACAATTGCAGTGATCAGTAGGCGTTTCATAAAAAATTATAATAATGAAATTAAATAAAATTTCAGTTGAATATAAATGTGTAGAAATTCATAATATTGATGATATATTGGTGACATTATGTTGAAATATAAATATCTAAAAGTCTTAACTTATTAAATGTCACATCAAAATTTTTTTGTGAAACTAGGATGGAGTTGAACACTAAAAAAAAATAAAATTTATAAATTAATAAATATATATATATATATATAAAATTGATTGATTAATGATTAAATAATATATTATGAATTTTTGTCGTTGCACTGTCAATCAATCATATTTAATGCTATGTATCTATATATAATAAAGGCACGAATAAGTAAACTCTAGTCAGTTGGTGCCTTTACAATAATTTATTTATTTGATATTATAAAGGTAGTTTTGATGATTTATTTATTACTTTTCACAAATATTCAATAAATGTCATAACTATCATTTATCAGTATTATACATAATTGTATATAAAATTTATGGCAATATTATTTTTTATATTTAATCAAATTATTATAATTATTAAATTTCCAACTAAGATTTTAATTAATTTATTAATTATAAAAGTGTTTGATATATTTTAATTTTTATTATGGCTTTGTATATGTATATTTTATGAACTGAAGAAATTATGTTGTGATAATTTTCATTTATTTTGCAGTCAAATTCATTTTGGTAATCATTTAACTTTTACATAAAAACTATGACCAAACTAGAGATAAATATATATCGGCAAGTCTATATATTATTTATTACGTTAATTTTCATAATGTGTATCATGAAATTTTAATTTTTCGTTAAGTTACGAATTATTTGTAGCTTGTGTGTAGGTATGACATTAATATAAGTTTTAAATAGTTAGAGTAATTATTTATCGTGAAAATATGTTATTTATTGTGTTATTGATTGAGAAAATGGAAATAGTGTCAAATGATACTTTGTTACCATCAATATGTCAGATTAATCAACCATGCATAAAAGATGTAAAAAACAAATAAAGTAAATAATGTAAGAAATTACACATTTACTAATGTTCAACATTATTGTAAATCCTTAAATTGTATATAAATACAAGAATAATGATAGAATAGTAAACCAATGGTATGTTATACATATATTCTCATTAAACAGAAATAAAGATATATTATAAAAATATTGACATCTTTACGTCATATATTTATCAAAAGGTTTTTTTGTTTATATGATAGATTCCAAATGATAGATTTTTATGGATTGCTATTGATTTTGATGATCATGTGATACCTCTCAACTATAGTAGTTTTAAGAGTGACGGAGAGTGCGCATTGTATTTCTAGTTCATATTCAACAATTTCATTTAATAATCATAACTTAAACATTCTGATTACTCAAACATTTTGTAACGAATAATTTAATAAATTTATTCTTTATTAATTAATGAAATAAAATTAGCAATAATTTATAACAAAAAAATATTTACATTACATACATATTTTTTCTTTTAGAATGTTTAAATTGTGGTATGTTATGATTAGATAAAAATTTCTCTCTCGGTTCATAGTGCGCTTCAGATGCAGACTTCATAAGAGACGATGATAACCAAGAGTCAGTCTCAGTTAATATTGTAGTCATCACTTGTTGTGTGCTTGATTTACCAATAAACTTTCACCTTATTATTAATAACGATGATTGTGAAAAATAGTTAATAAAGTGTTTAACATGATCGACTAAAAATAAGAAATTTTGTGTTACTATAATGATTCATAAAAAGTGAATAAAATAACTATCGCATTAAAGTATTTTAAAACGATAATAAAGAATGAAAATCAATTATTCTTATTACTATACAGTGATTTTCTAATTATTTATATATAAAATAATGTTTAAATTTTATCAAAGATAAAATAAAATAATCAAACTGAATCGAAATGCCGGCTTGTACAAGTGATAATTCGTTGCATTTACATTTTTCAAGTCCACAAAGATCACGGAGTAGTAGTAGTTCACCTTTATTACCAAGCTCTCCAATTTTTAATTCTCCACCAGAACAAATAACTATGATTAGTACAAAACGTTCTACTTCAGATGTTTCATACTCTTCAAAATGTTCATCATGGCATGAAGCATCGAGTACTTTGAATCCATCAAAAGGAATAACTAATCGACGTAGGGAAAATTTAGAATCTCAATTAACGAATCATACGTTGGTATCGAGACCGAAACCAATTGGATCTCATGTGCAAAGAGGTTTTTTTAAGCAAATTATTTTTTGGTATTTAAATATTATCTTTAAATTATTTAATGGAACAATTAATACAATTATATTTATGATGAGAGCACCAACATTGTGGGCATCAATTTGGTTGTGTATATTTTTTGTTATTCTACAATTACCATTAACACTTTTAAAGTGGTTTATCACAATTTTACATACTCCAGCATCTGAAGTATCTCGTAATAAACGATGTGTATTAATAAGCGGTGGTAGTACTGTGCAAGCAGTGCATTTAGCAAGAAATTTTTACAGAGCTGGTGCTCGAGTAGTTGTGTGTGAAGTAGAAGGACTTTTTAGCCTTTGTAGATTCTCGATAGCTTGCTCCAAGTTCTATACAATACCAAGACCTGGTCCAGGGAATGTAGCAGAATATGTTAAAGCTTTGAAAAATATTGTGGAGAAAGAAAAAGTTGTTTATTATATTCCAGTCAGTTCAACGAATCCAGCTTATTACGATGCTTTAGCGAAACCTCATTTAAAACTATTAGGCTGTGAGTGTTTTATTCCAAATGCAATAGATGTAACGATTTTAGACAATCCATTAGAATTGTTGAAACGTTGTCAATCAATTGGTCTAGCAGTACCAGCTCATTTTATCATAAGATCTGTTGATGATGCTTTAAATCTTTATGAAAGTGGTGTTTTACGATCAGGAAGACATGTTATGCTATCAGCAGCTTCAGCTGGAATAAGAGAACGTGTCAAAGTAACACTACCACCGAATGCACAAGAATTTCAAAATATACGACATGATATCAGTGATAAAAAACCATGGGTTATTATTAAAGATCCAGGTGGTTCCCATTTCATCACTTGTACAACTATTAAACATTCACAAATAGTGGCTAATGTGACATGTCGTGTTGATGAAACAAAAGGATTAATTCCAGAAATGAGAAATGATGTAACAGAATGGTTGGAAAATTTTTTTTCACGTTCATTCAATTGTACGTCTGTTAATGGACATGTAAGCTTCAGATTTGTGCTTTCGGAGAATAATGAACTTGTATCTATTGGATGTCGTGTGGGTATTGGTCTTCCTTATGTTTGCTTTACTAGCATTCATCCTCGTTTAGTTTGGAAACCATGTCGACATTTTTCACGTCAAAATTCTGGACCACTACTAGTTGGTGAAACTTGCCAAAGTAAAGAAAAAGCTTTCCCTAGTGCTGTTAAACAAGCAACTATTAATACAACTAATTATTTCAATAGTGCTATTGATAAAAGAGAGGCTCTTTTTGTTTATTGGGATCCACTTCCTTATTGTGCCTTTTATCATCTTCAGTTACCTTTCTTTCGAATTACTAATGCTCTTAGAGCACGACCACGTCAACATAATCCACCTCTTGCAGTTATTCAATAAATTAAATCATAAATAATTTATTTACTTTTTTCTAAATATTTATTTTATTCTTTTTTATACTATTATTAAATTGTATTTTTTATTATAATTTATCCTTAAATAAAAATGTTCAAGACATTCATCGAAAAATATGTCTACAGAATAATAAATAATATCAAGATCTCAATTAGCGAAAACAACAAAGATGAAAAGAGAGAAAAAATGAACATAAGCATTGGGTTAAACTTGTAAGCTTTATTATCAAGTTGAGTGGTATTTTTTTTTTATTAATCAGCAATATGTATAGAGATTTGGTATTTATGTGTTGGTGTGGTGATTATATTAATACAAACATCCGTGGAAAATTTACAGCATTATCATAACATTTATACATTTATTTAATAAATAATTACCAACAATATCTCCAATCAAGTATACTTGGGCATAATAAATAATTTCAATCCAAACACTCTACTAATTTTATTTATATTATTAAATTTATATATTTATTTATGTAAATATATTATACTCGATATGTACAAATTAATTTGTAAATAAAATTTTTATTATTAAAAATTTAATATATATATATGAAATAAAAAATAAAAAAATAGGAAGCGGAAATGAGTGCACGTGATACAGTAGTAGAAAATAAATCATTAAATGATTTTGTAAAAAGTGTGAATGACTTATTTTAGTACTCTTAATATTTTATAATATAGTATTTTAGTATTTAAATGTCATATGTTTATATAAAATAAATGATAATTAAATTAATATTTTTATTATCATACATAAATAATAATTAAAATTTTTTTTATCATTAACACGAATATGTTTTATCAAAATATTTTTTCAAGTAAATAATATAAAAATAAATGTAAAAAATGAATGAAATTGAAATGTTTATAAATTATAAAACCATTGATTGATAAATATTTCAACATTTCCTGAGGTGTGATTAGATTTAATGTTTATTATAAAATGAGGAATAAACTTGTCATTAATGACCTGAGAATACTTTAGATGGACTTTGACAGGCCGGGGTCGTCTTCAGCGATGCCCGAGACTTTCAAGTTATCATTACTATTACAATATCTTTTTTTTTTCTTCTTTTTTACTTGTGTAAAATTAATTTTAAATTTTTGTTACATTACGTTTATTTAATGTTTCATTTTTTCTCATCTCACAAGATGCTAAATAATAATTATCCTTCAATTTGTGAACAAATCATTGTTTTTTATGAGATTACAATAAATGTTATCAGTATCTATTGATTTTAAATATATTTATTGTTATCAGATAATCTCAATAAAGTTAAATCTTTGATGATATTTATCAACAGTTCTCATTTCATTTTTCTCACGATTTATTATGGTATCTTTTCAATTTTAAATTCGAATAAATTATTTATCTAAATACTTTTTCGAGAAAAAAATAAAATTTTAACATTCACTAAATATATATCATTTATTCGTAATAATAATGAATACAATTAATTTATTTACCAAATTATTATTATTATTATTACAATGTAAGATAAATATTTAGATATTTATTAGAATAATCAAGATAGTATCAATTGGTATGTAAAATAAATAATTTATTTAAAAAGATTCATGAAATGTCATAAAGAATAATATTAATAATAAGCACAGATAAAAGATAGATTATTGTATGGAAATTTGGCTTAATAATATTTCTTTCTTCAGCATCGTTGTGCCATGAAGGACCAGGTACCAGTTATATTCATGATGGGAAATAATCCATTTGCTTTCTACATACCAATAGTTTAATTTTAAATTTATATACACGCATATGAAATTTTAGTTTCATTTTTATTTTTAATTTTAATCATTTATTAATATTCATCGATGAATATTTTGTTATTTAAAATAATTAATTTAAATATAAGAGTAACAAACATTGCGTGCATTTAGAAAATACGGTAGTATTTCAGTATTATTTCCTCGATATCATTTTTTGACATTGATGTAACTGGAAGAATACTCACACTTTTAGTCTTTTAATTCAACATTACAATATTCTGTACCCTAAAAAAAAAAAATAACACTCTTAACATACAAAAGATTTAATAGTAAAAAAAATATATTGTACAAACAATACTACACTGATAATAAAATTTATTGTGTCTCAATGAAATATGTAATTGACATGGTAACATTTTTATAAAATCAGTTTTAATGATTATTTAAAATCCTATCTATTAAAACTCATGACTTACTGTCAGACAAAGAGGTACAATTACAGAAATCGTTCGTGTGAATATAATTAAATGTTTATAATATTTTTTTTTTTTTAATAAAATCATAGAGAATACAATTCAATAATGATAATAACAAAGAAAAAATTTTTAAATTACCGTAAAAATTGTGATTAACATATTTAACATTAACATTTGGTATTTAAATACCAAAAAATAATAATTAAAGAATACAAAATTAAATCGACCAATCAGAAAATCGTAACCATTTTATTCGTACGTTAATTGGTCAATTTTATTTTTAAATATTCGAAATGAATAAAAATAAAAATTAAAATAATTTTTTACGTTGTTAACTTGCGACAGTGCGCTCGGAAAGCACGCATTGTATTTCTAGTAATTTATTAAAAAATATACATTTTTATTGTGCTCAATTATTTTATACTAATATTTTATAGAATAGATGATTTTTTTTTTTTTTTGCCAAGACCCATAGTTAGTACCCATAGTTAGTTAGACATCTATAGTGTCTTAGAAAGTAAGAATTAATCTAAAGTCACTTGTATTTAAACTCATCATAATCTTGAACCAAATATAACTAATAAAATATTTTATTACAAGTATTTAAAATTATTGTCATTGATTAAATCAAAAATTATTCTCTTAATCTATTGACCTAAATGTCATGACAACAACTATTTTAATTGATTTAATAAATAATATGAAATTTAAAATACATAAATGGTTAAATACAGAAATCATTATTCTTCATCTTGACTAAAATTAAAAAGTCGTCTTGTTACAACTATTGGTATGTAAAGTAATAATAAATATAATTTTTTTCTACGAATAAAATGCGTGATAAAGAAAGGTATCAATCACAACCGGAGCAAAGCGATGAAACAACCCCCCTATGCTTGGTACCACACGCGGTTTTGTTGAGAAGAGTGGTCTACTGACACGCGATCGGTGATGGTGGTAAAAGTGGTGGTAGTTTCACCCAACAGTCTACAATCAGTCAGTAAAGACCTGTCTTTCGTCACGAACACACCGGAAGTACGTTTTCTCTTCTGTCCTCGAGCTGATAACGAACCCTTCTAAAGCTGTTGGACCACCCGTCTGATCAAACTGTTCCAACTCTACTGAAGATATTCCTTCAAAATCATTACAATGCCGAGAGTAAGATTTCATTATTTTTTATTATACACATTATCATCATACACTTAATAAAATTAAAATACTTTAGTAGTGATTGGATGTTGTAGATGATAATTGATGTGTAAGTATTTAATTGTGCATACATTAATATTCAAAATAAGAGATAACAGTTATCACTCAAATGACGATAAGATTTTATATTTATTACCATCTTGAAAATAATTTGCTGTCAATAATGAATTAAATATTAATATTCATATATATTTTATTTATAATAATTAAAAAATTTAATATGAATAAAATAAATGAAATAAGTGAATTATTGAGTATTCAATTGACCAATGGTCACTTTCTCATATATTGATGACGCATACACTGAAATTTATTAATAAATAATATAAAAGAGGGGTGATGACTGCATGTTTTACATGTTGCTCCCTTATATATTTTACCCCTCAAGTACATACACCCTTATCTTCCTATAACATTTGAATCAAATTGACGTAGTGATTCAACGATCATTAAATATATTTTAGGGCTATATTATCGTCAAAAAGGCATTATTATAATTCATTTTATTATCAAATTATTTTTAAATAAAATAATTGATATTACACTAATAAACACATGTGTTTTGAAGTACATAACATAACATGTTAATATTTTTTGATAAAAAGTCATGAAAACATATTTATTTTCTTTCTTTTTTTTTTTTGCATGAGATGAATCCAATAAAATTGGGAGTCGTTGGATGATAATTTATGATCGTAATTTAAATGATAGTTGTAGACTAAACAAGCTGTCCGATTACCCATATCTAATCAGTTTTTTTTTTGGCAAAATTACAACATTATAAGTGTTCAAAGAACTGATACATTTCAAGGACTTGAGACAAGAATTGCCGTCACGTTTATTATAATTTGATAATAACGTCGCAAACTTGTATTGAACATTGATCACATTCTGTATAGTTTTTGTCTTATTGTTATTTACATCAAATAAATGTCAATATTGTCATCATTTCATCTCTTTAGACTTTGATCAACGATAATAAATTCAAATATTCATTTAGACTTTTAAAGTGATCATTATTTCTCTCATTTTCTTCATCTAATGTTCTATTGGTAAAATAAAAAATTTTATTTAAAAAAAAAATGCTTTTAAATGATGTGAAAAATAATAATAATTTTATCTTTTTATGTAAAATTAAAATTCATTACAACTTGTCTATACTTGGGAAATTAACGATATCTCGTAAAAAATGTTTTCTCAATTGAGCTTTGATTAGGATAAGGGCATTGCTCTGGCAAACATATATCTTTGATTTGGTATCCTCGGTAGTAGTCTCGTAACTTGGTACATTATATATCGATTGGTACCATACTGTGCCAGGTGTTACCTCTTACTTCTCTTCTTCCTCTAACTTTTAAAGCACATCAAATCAGGTAAAAGAAAAAAATAAATATTTGACAAGTTATATTTATCTTATCTGATACTGATTGAATTTTTAATTGATTTTTATGACACATTATTATTTTTTTTATTTACAGGCAATATCAAAGGGTGCCCCTCGTTTGACGCTACGAGGACAGATGGAAAAACGCCGACCATCATATCTTCGAACCTCTTCTAAACCTAATGAGGTATAACATTTTTAATTTATCACTTCTTTTTGTATCTCATATAAAATTATTAAACACAATATATATAAATTCAAATTTAAATTACGCGCTATTTTTATGATACTGTCACGCTATGGTGAAGCTGGTGGTCAAATCGTAAATTAACACCGAGGAAAACAAACAAATATCTAACCTTCAAATTATAATTTAACATGTAGTAATTTTATTGAATAATTATTCAACAAATTATGTTGTTCATTATATTATTATAAGTTTTATTCAATTTTTTATATAAAATATGTAAATATTTTAATGGTTTTTTTATAACATGTTTCGACGACGTCTTGATTTTTTGGTAAAAAATATATATTATAATATTTGATGCTAATTAATAGAGCGAGAAATATTTTAAAAAATAATATTATTTCTTACAGGCAGGAACCACCACCGGGACCAAAATGGAAATTGGCCAAGTCGCAGGATTAGATACTGGAATGATAGGAGAACGAGGAAGTGATGAAGATTTAAATCCTGATATGCTTATAAGACAAAATTTTGAACTTCGACATAGATTAGAGGAAGAAACTGCGAGTTATAAACGACGATTAAATACTTATCGGCAAGCTCAACAACATCAAGCAGCTTTAGTGTCTCGATTACAAGCTAAAGTTTTACAATACAAACAACGATGTTCAGAACTTGAACATCAAATGGCAGAATCCTTACCTATTGAAATGTCTAGAATTCCAGTTCATTCATCAACGAGTAATTCTGCTTTAGAAGCAGCTCAACAAACTTTACGTGATTTAAGAGAAGAAGAAATTCAAGACTTAGAAACAGCTCTTCGTAAACTTTCTGAAGAACGAAAACGAACAGAAAAACTTATTGAACTTAATACAGCATTAAAAAATCAACTTGAAGAGTCACATAAAACTAATGAATCCTTGACAAATGATTTACAAAAATTAAGTACAGATTGGGATGTTTTAAGAGAAGAAATGGCTATTAAAGAAGATGAATGGAAAGAAGAAGAAATTGCATTTAACGAATATTATACTTCAGAACATCATAGATTATTGAATTTATGGCGAGATGTTATTTCTTTAAAACGATTTTTCTCTGAAATAAAATCAAATACTGAACGAGATTTAAATAAATTTGTAAACAAATTATCAACAGCAACCAATGACATGACCTCAGCATGTAGTAGTGTAAAATTAGCTCTACAAATACAAGCAAGTACTTTACAAACTTCGACTGTTCAACAATTTAAAGCCCACGAATCAACAGATTCAAAAACAGAGATAGAAAATATAAAGCAACAATGGGAAATAGCACAAAATGATATTAGAATAAAAGACGATAGAATAAATCAATTAATTCGAGAAATACATAATCTTGAAGAAAGATGTAGTGAAGCTGAAGCAAGAATTGGACAAGCAACAAAGATTCAAGAGGATGTTGAAATTTTAGAATCTGCTTTAAGAGACATTGCTCATGCTGTTATTCAAGATGCTGAAAATAGAGACATTGATAATATTCAAGCATCTCCTCATATTCATTTATCACCTCCAATTATTCCTCAACGTTCTCCAAAGCGTGTAGTTCGGAGTAATACCATTCCAGCATTTGCCGAGAGTACTATTAGTGCCGTTCAAGCTTCTTTACATAAATATCAGCTTACAATTCATGAACTTCAAGTTAAATTACAAACTAATGGAGAACAATTAAGTTTAATAAAAAAACAATGTGATTCGGCTGAAGAGAATGTTCAATTATTAGAAGAGAGAACGACTGAATTAATCACACAATTGGATTCTACACGAGCTCAATGTACACAACTTTCTCAAGAACGAGATATGCTTCAAAAAGGATTAGATACAATTAGAAGTGATAAAAATTTGTTGGAAAAGAATAAAGTTGAATTAAATCATACTATTGAAGATCTCACTGGAGATTATGAAAAACTTGAAAAAATAAATACTAAATTGCAAAAATTGTGTGATAATTTAGAGGATGAAAAGATATATCTTCAGAATGAATTGTCAAGAATTAATAAAGAATTTGAAATAAGAGAATCGAATTTTAGATCTGAAGAAGAACGTTGCAGTCGAATTAGAGAAGAATTATTGACAGTACGAGAAGAACTAAATAAAGTATATTTAGCCAAAGATATGTTAGAACAACAAAAAATAGAATCAGATAATTTAATTATTCAAATTGAAAAGAACAAAAATGATATAGAATTAGAATTAGAAAAAATTATATTGGATAAATCAGACATTCAAAATGAATTAATAAAGATGGTGACAGTTTGTGAAAATCATGAAAAAGATAAACAACGACTTCAAGATGAATTAAATAGAATGGAAGAAGAAAAGAATAAATTAATAAATCAATGTTCTGATCAACAAAGTGATTTAGGATCTTTACGAAAAGAATTATTACAAGCAGAACAAATAAGATTAGATTTAGAGGCAGATAAAGTGACTTTAAGTGAAAAAATTAAGTTTTTGGAAATTGAAAAAGAAAAAATAGAAATAGAATTAGGTCAAGTAATGCGAGAAAGAAGTGATTTAAGTAATCAATTATCATTATTAGCAAGAAAAAAAGAATCATTGAATGAAGAATTATTGAGAACAAGACAGAGATTAGAACAAGCTAATGAAGTGAATGCTCGAATTAATCGAAATTTGGAAGATCTTATTAAAGATAATGAAGAGAAGCAAGTCATTTTAGAAACAAACGATAAAGAATTTCAGAGAATGCAAGAACTGTTGGCTTCAATGAGAAGTGAAAAAGAAACACTTGAAGGAGTACTATTCGATACTCAAACGAATCTTGAAGAGACTCATTTAAAAAGAATTCAATTAGAAAAAGAACAACAAGAATTATTAGTAAAACAAGAAAGTTTAAAAGGACAAATAGTTCGATTAACCAAAGATCTTGAAAATAGTGAAAAACGTACACAAGATATTAAACAAAGTCTCACTCAACAACAAGGCAATCAGGAAGCTGAATTTCAACAAATTGTTATGAATTTAAAAAAACAACATGAAGATACAAATAAAAAACTACATGATGAAAAAGAGCAAATAAGAATATCACTGGAGAAAAAATTTCAACAAAATATTAATAATTTAGAAAGTCAAAAGGATGAAGAATTAAATCAATTACAAAATAGAATTGAAGAATTACAACAACATATTGATAATTTGTGTCAACAACATGAAGAGGCTTTACTTAGAGCAGAAAATGATAAACAGCAAGCTCTACTTATTGCACATCATGATCAAAAAGCGTTAATGGAAAAATTAGAAAATCTACTACAGGAATTAGAAGTTGAAAAAAATTCCCTTGAACGATTAAGAAGAGAAGCTAATTCACGAGCTGAACAAGATCGAACAAATATTAATCAATTAAGAGATGAATTAAATCGAATGAAAACAAAATACGAAGAAACAAAACTTCAAGATGATGAAGAAAAATTGAAATTGGAATTAAAAATTGAAGAAATATGGAAGGAAAGAGAAAATGCACAAAAAGAATGTGAGGAATTAAATATCCAGCTTCATGTTGCTGAAGATAAAGTAGACAGTTTACAAAACCAATGGCAAGAAACAACACGCAAACTTCGCGATGCTGAAAATACCATTGAATCATTAAGGAAAGATTTAGTTGATGTTAGGAGACAGTTGACAGATTCTAATTATGCAATGGAAAAGTATAATAACACTAACAAAGAATTACGAGAGCATGTGAAACGTATCGAAGGAGAAAAGAGAGAACAATCAAGAGCTTTAGAAGATGCTTATCAAAAAATAACAACTATGGAAGATACAAAAACAACTATGGAAGCAGAAAAAAATCGACTTCAAGGTCAAATAAGAGATATGGAACATAAATTAATTCAAGTTCAACAACAACTTAATTTTACCCAAGATGAACTCCAGAAAAGTCAATCAGCTAATTCTCAAGCACAAAATGAAGAAAGAGAGTTACAAGCAAGATTAATGAACGAAACAGAAGAAAGAGAACGACTTCAACTTCAACTACATCAACTTAAAAAACAAGTGATTGATTTGGATAATAATTTAGAAGTTACAAGACAAGAATTAGGTAAACTAAGATCAAGAACAGATGAAGAAGATGAGCGATGGCGAGCTAGAGAACAAGAATTACTTCTACGATTAGAAGACAGTCGATGCAAAGAAAGAAAACTCGAAGATCAAAAGCATAATCTAGAAGTGTGTTTAGCTGATGCTTCTCAACAAATTCAAGAACTAAAAGCACGACTCGGCGGTGCTGAAGGCCGTGTAAGAGCTCTAGATGGGCAATTATCACAGTTAGAAACAGCTAAAAAAGAAGTTGAGCAAAAATTGAGCAGTGTTGGTTCAACATTACGAAGAATTGCTGGAATTCAATTAGATGGTACTGTTAATATGCCATTTAAATTGACTAGCCCATCGAGAAGATGGAGTCCGGCGCGAACATCTCATCAAGATCATGAAATTAATAGAGATCATGTAATACTTGATGTTGATCCAGAAATAGTAAGAAAAGGAGTTAGGTCTTTGATGCAACAAGTTTTACAAATTGAAAGAGAAAGAGATGATTATAAGAATGAACTTAATACTATTAAAAAACAATTAATTGAAGCACAAGAATGTCAGAATAAATTAGAATCAAAAATGAATCACGTAAATGTTACATTAAGGGCTCTTCAAGATGAAAAAGCATCATTAGAAACTCAATTATCTCAAAAACAAAATTCACATCAATCATTACATGAAACATTAAATCAAAAGAATCAAGAAATCGAGCATTTGAAAGAAAAAGTAACAACTCTAGAACATGTAATAAGTAATGAATCTGATAATAAAATTCAATATGAAGAAAAATTCGACAAAATGAAGCAAGCACTTAATAAATTAGAAAATGAAAAACGAGGATTACAAGAAGATTTAGGAAGATCTGAAGCAAGAGCTACGAAATTGGAATTACAACGTATGTCACTGGAAGGTGATTTACAACGCTTACAAATGATATTACAAGAAAAAGATAGTAATCTTCAAAAACTTCAAGATCGATTAGATGCTCAATTAAAAACATCTACAGGTTTAGAAGAACGTTGTGCATCATTAAAATCTACAATAGAACAATTAAATCTTTGTTTAGAAAGAGCATCAGCTACTGAAAATGAATTAAAAAGTGAAATAAATAATTTACGGCGATCAATAATGGAAAATAATGCTTTAACACAAACTAGTAATGAAAAAATAAAACATTTACAAAAACAATTAGCTAGTGCGGAAAATGAAAGAAGAATTTTATCAGAACGATTAGATACGACTCAACAGCAAATCATGGAATTGAAACATTCCAATCAAACTCTTATGGATCAAAATGCTAGATTGCAGAATGATTTAGCTAATAATGAAGTACAGCGATCTGGATTAGAATCTCAATTAAGATTAGCTAATTGGTCACAAGACAGCCCATCAAATAAAGATGACGAATTAATACGTCAGTTGCATACAGCTCAAAGGGATAGAAGTGAAATGAGAGGAAAAGTTGATGCGTTACATGAAAAAGTAAGGCTTTTAGAGTCAGATAAGAGAAATTTGGAAAGACAATTAGCATCAATTAAATCTAGTAGTGGTCGTAGTAAGAGCTATGAACGTCCCGAAAAAGCACATATAGAATTAAAAGGATCAAATATAAATGTAGAATTATTAGAGCAGGAAAATCGTGATCTTCGAATGCGAATACGTCGATTAGAAACTTTAATGGCAGAAAAAGAAGCTGAAATTATAAGATTTAAAACACAAGTTCATTCCCATTCGAATCTTGATTCAAGTCGAGATAGGATGATTGAATTAGAAACCTCACGAGCTAGACAATTACAGGCAGAAAAATTACTAGTAGCTAGAGAACAAAGTCACCGACAACAAGTTTTACGATTAGAAAATCAGATTCACGAGCTTCGAGATAAACTTAATCAAGAAATTAAACGACGACAGTCATATGTACTTCGTAGCTCAAGAGCTGGTCGAGAAATGGAACATTTACGAAAAGCTTTAGGAGATTCATTGAGAACGGTGGCACAGGATCCATCACTCGATGCCGTTTTATTGGAACATGAATCACGAAAATTGGATACTACAGTTGCCAGTACTACGAGTTTACCACCATCTTTAGCTTTACCAGCTCCTTCCCTTGATCGAATGTCTCCTATTTCTCCTTCTATTAAATAGATATTTTTTTTAATCATTTTATTCAGGTAATTATTATTCAATTCATTTTTATTGTATGAGATTTTAAATTTAAACGTGTTCATATAACTTTGAAGATGCTAAGAATTTTTTATTTAAATCTAATAAGAAAGCAAATCATTTTAAACATTGATAGAAAAGTATCAGTATTTCAGATTTGAAAAAATGACAGAAAAGTCAAAAGAATATTTAATCAATTGTGAAAAGGTTTTGTACTTAAAGTGCCTTCAGTAAATTTTTGAAATTTTATATATTAAAAAATAAAACATCAAATGATGTTAAATGTAATACTTATTATACAACAATCGACTTTGGAAAAATAGTACTAATATTTCTGCCAATAATCTTTAGTCAATTTTTTCGAAAATTTTATAAATATTTACTGAATTAGCATATTAATTATTTATTTATTATTTTTATCGTTAAATGATGAATTAATAGTATTATTTATTTTAGAATTTTCCAAAAATCCGTCCATATTAAGTAAATAGTACAAATGCTTTCTTCTTTTTTTATCAATATTTATTTTTATTTTATTGTAGAAAATAAACGACTGATTTATTATTATAGAAATATATATTAATTTATTTAATTTCGGTTATGGACGAAAAAATGCTACGTTTGGTCTTATTAAGAGACTAAGAACAATTTTTTGTAGCATAAATCATGTAGAGAATATCATCTTACAAGTTTAATCACTGATTGATTGTAATCGGGTAATAAAAATGCAATTGGAATAGTAAAATAATAACGAAATGCTTAGAATTTGTAGGTACAACGACTGTGTCGGTTCTTTAGTAAAGAGAACAAAAGACATTCAGTCATTATTTAAATGTCACGATGAATATTTGACATGCTCCATAGTCTGGTTTGAAACTTATCAGTTGATGATGATTTATGTATTTAATAATTTTTAATTATTAACAAAAAAACGTTCAATTATTTATTTATTTATTCTTTAAAAGAAACTGATATATGAAATATCAGAAGAATAATTTATCACTTTTAAAAACAACATTTTCAATCAAACTACACCATTTTTATACCTCTTTTATAAATTATTGATGTAAAATTATTGTTACTACCAGTATGTATTGTTTGTGATGTAATAGCATAAATATGTCATTTATATAATATTATTTAAAATATTACGATTAATCTACTTTATGTACTACTAATCAAAATATTTTGTAGACTGGAAATGATAGCAAAATAAATTTTAAAAAATCTCTAGTAAAATTATACATTATATTTCAATGCAATTCATTCAGGCAAAAAGAAAGATGAAAAATTTATCGTAAACTAATAATTTATAAAATATTTACCTTACATCCATTATATTTCGGCATTGTGTAGCTGCTCTTAAAAATGCATGTCTGTAAGTAAAAAAAATTCTCATTAATTAATTGAATGTAAATAAGATCACTCATATGCGATAATTTTTATATTTTATTTAATAATGTTAAATATTACTTTGTTCTACATACGATGTTTCTTAGTTCATCGTTTTGAAAGAAATTTTGTTCATTTTTGCACACATACAAGTTAAATAAAAACGTTCACATCTTTTTTATGATAAAAACAATGAGTTAAATTTTATATGTTAACGTAAATAATAAAATTATTTAAATTAAAATAATATATAGATATTACACGAAAAATTGGTATTCAAGTATGAAACGAACGTTACAGTATTGCGCAGTGTCGGCTTCCAAGAAATAAACGATTGATGGTAACCATTGGTCGAAAGTTTGTGAGAATAATCCGACAGAGGGCGCGACGACACAAGTCTGTGTATTAAACATATGTTTTTTTTCATAAAGTCGGCAGAAGCACATGTTTTACGCATGCATATTTTGACAGTGATAATTACACTTTTTTTGCTATAAATAATTTATACAAATTACTAAAAAATTTACAAAATGATTATTTTTACTAATGATAATAACCCCAATGTACTCAAATTAGTTATTGTATCAAAAGTAAAACAACATTCGTACACTGTAAAAAATGTTGCTCCAAAAGGTAAAATGTTATCATGCAATTGTTAATTTTTATTATTAAAAATAATTAATGTTATTATTTTATTCTTTATTATAGACTCGTCTGATAAATTACCTTTTTTAAAACTTCCTTGTGGAACAAAGATAGACAGTGTATCAGCTGCAATTCAGTACCTTTGGTCGAATGAAAATCAAGAAATTGATATTTTTGTCAATCAATGGCTTGAATGGGACTCTACTCAGCTACAAGTGAATTGAAATATTTAAAAATATCAATCATTTTTACTGTAAATGTTTAAATTACAATTGAATTTAAATAATTTCATTTGTTATAGCCAACTTTAATTGCTTTTGGAAGCTCTGGATCGTACGATAACTCGCATAAACCAAAAGTATGGTCTTTGTTAAACAATTTAAATTTGAGATTATCATCGAATAAATTTTTAGTTGAAAATGATTTAACAACGGCTGATGTATCAATTTGGGTTACGTTATGGATGACAGTTGCAGCAACTGATATAATAAATAAAATTCAAACTGAATTCAATTACATTGAAGAGTGGATGAAAAATATGGAACAATTATCAATAGTCCAGGTAATGAATAAGAATAATTAATTTTTTTATTTTTAATAATTTTTGATTCAGCAAAATTCAATAACTAACAAAAATCTTCTATTGTCAGGAGACTTTAAATGAATTTAAAATCGAAAGAGGTTTCAAATCTCTATTAAGTATGAATGCAGTATCTTGGTTTCCCGTTAATTCATATAATTATGAAAAAACGCGCAAATTAACAAATAATGAGGTAATTATTTAATAATAAAACTTGTAGGTGCTAATTGTATTGATATAATTTAAATATTCTTCAGGAAAATCAATCAAATGCTTCGAAAGAAAAAGAATTAGAAATAATAACGCCACAAGAAATTGAAAGTATAAAAAAACAATGGGATTCACCTACACCATTATCAATGATACAACCTCCACATACGGTGTTACCGAAAAAAGGAGAACGTAATATTCTGATAACATCAGCACTTCCTTATGTCAATAATGTTCCACATTTAGGCAATATAATTGGTTGTGTTCTTTCTGCTGATATATTTGCAAGATATTGTCGTCAAAAGAATTATAATACATTGTATATTAGTGGTACTGATGAATACGGAACGGCAACAGAAGCTAAAGCTTTCCAAGAAAAAATGACTCCGAAAGAAATTTGTGATAAATATTTTGATATTCATAACGATATATATCGTTGGTTTAACATTGGATTTGACTATTTCGGTAGAACAACAACAACCGAACAAACTGAGATAGTTCAAAATATGTTTTTAAAAATAAAATCAGAAGGCTATATTTTAACAGATTCAATTGATCAATTATTTTGTGAAAGTTGTCAAAAATTTTTAGCTGATCGTTTTGTTGAAGGATTATGTCCGAGATGTAAATATCCAGATGCTCGAGGTGACCAATGTGATGGTTGTGGGCATTTAGTTAATGCCACTGAACTCATTAACCCACGATGTAAAATTTGTAGTAAAACACCTATTATTCGATCATCAACACAATTTTTCCTCGATTTGCCAAAGGTGTGTTATTTTTTTTTTCTTTATTTACTTTATACTATTTTTTTTAATAAATAAAATTATGATTATTTAAGATTGAGTCAAAATTGAGAAACTGGGCATCAGAAGTTAAAAAAGGCTGGTCGTCTGTGGCTCGATCAGTCGCAAAACCATGGCTTCGTGATGGATTAAAACCTCGATGTATTACTAGGGATCTAAAATGGGGAATCCCGGTACCCCTTGAAAATTATCGTAACAAAGTGTTTTATGTTTGGTTCGATGCTCCATTAGGTTACATTAGTATTACTAAAAAGTATACTGATCAATATGAGCAGTGGTGGAAGCCAGAAAATGATGTGAATGTTAATTTGTATCAATTTATGGCTAAAGATAACGTTCCGTTCCATGCTATTATGTTTCCGGCTACACTTCTTGCTGCAAATCAAAATCATGTTCTTGTCAAACATATAATGGCTACTGAATATCTTAATTATGAAGATACTAAATTTTCAAAATCACGTGGAACTGGTGTTTTTGGTAATGATGCAAAAGAAACTAACATTCCTGCTGATGTATGGCGATTTTATTTAGCTTATATTAGACCGGAAACTCAAGATTCTAACTTCAATTGGTTAGATCTTGCTACGAAAGTTAATTCCGAATTGTTAAACACTTTTGGCAATTTTGTTAATAGGTAATGTTAAATGTTTTTAACAAATTTATACATAAATTTTGATTTTAAAATTTATATTACAGAGCATTAGTGTTTCTTGAAAATAATTTTGCCTCTCAAATACCAGAAATAAAATTACGTGATGAAGATGTAAACTTATTAGCATTAATTCAGCGTGAATTGACACAATACAATGCTTCTATGGAAGAAGCAAAAATGAGAGATGCTTTGCGTCATATATTAACAATTTCGAAACTTGGTAACCAATACATGCAATCTCAACAACCGTGGGTTCAAATCAAGGGGAATGATAATGATAAGTAATGTCAATTGAATTTAACAATATCAGTTATAGTAAAAATCATTATTTAATTTTGATTTATTTCTTTCAGACAAAATGCTAAAACAGTAATTGGCCTTTCTTGTAACTTGGTTTGTTTACTTTCATCTCTAATAGCTCCTTTTATGCCCAATATTTCGCGAAATTTACGATCACAGCTAGGAATTGATGCATCAACTTATGGTTATATACCAGAAAAAGTATCAATTTTATTATCTTCAGGGCATAAAGTTGGTAAACCATCACCTCTTTTTACAAAAATTGATGAAAAACAAGTAGAACAATTGCGTATCAAATATAGTGGACAACAACAAAATGAAATAGATCAAAAATCAGAAAGCTGTCCAGAACACGACATTTCATCCCTGGAATCTCTTATAATGAAACAGGTATTTAGTAAATTTAATTTTGAAATCTTACATATTAACTTTAATGTTCCTTTATTTTTAGGGTAATATCGTAAGAGAATTGAAAAAAAAAGAACCCAAAACTGTATGGCAACCGCAAGTTAAAATTTTATTGGATTTAAAAGAAAAGCTGTCTAACTTGCAAAAAAAGAAATGAATAATTTATGAGAAAGTAATTATCAATTGAATAGCCCATTATTTATTTATATAAAATCACTGGGAATAATAATTTATTTTTTTCTCAAATATTTATTTTTTAATATTCTGGTTTTCCTACTCTGTAAAGTGAACCAGTCTTTTTACAAATCATTTCATCATCAGTCGGAATCATATTTTTCATTAATGGCATAAATTGTTCAAAAGGACACAAAATTGTGCATCCAGGTATTTTTAAATCTTCCAACTCTGACTCTGAAGGTATTCCTTTATAATATCGTATCTAAAGTAACGAATAAAAATAATAAATTAATTAATTTCAAAACATGTTCATTAAGAATTGTCAGCATTTTATACTTTTAACTTACCTTTACAAAGTAAGAAGTATTGTTCTGAAGTAATTCAACGACAACAGCACTACTATACTCAGGTACATGAGGTTTAAAAACTTTCAAAGTATTCAGAATTGCTACAACATTTGTCTCATGGCCACTTAATAAATGAACTTTTGGTGTTTTTTTATTCTGCTGAATATTCTTCATATTTTCAACTAAATGTCTGAGTATCATACCTAAATAATAAAGTCTAATTACTTTCTACTCATGACTCAGTGACCACCAGAACCTATAAAATTGGTTTTTTATTCCATTATGTTCATTAATCATTTTACCTCCATTCAATCTTAAAAGTTTCTCATTATAATGAACTATTTTATAATTAAAAAGAATGCCATCCAGCAATGGGCCATCAGGAATCATATCTTCTGCCCAACGTGGAAGTTCTAATCCCATGGATTTTTGAGCCGATAAGCTATTATAAAGATCATACATATCGGTGCTGGTATTAATCAATTTTCCAGTTAAATTTGTCAAATTCTTCAATAAGGGTCCAAAATCCTTTAATTTTTGTTGTATTTCTGGTAATTTCTGTACTGTTTCGAGTTCTTTTAGAAACCTTGTAAAAAGTCCTAAGTAAGATAATATTTTTTTTTGTTTATATAAAATTAAAAAATATAGAAATACTCTTACTGTGGGCATTCTTCGGGAATTAAAAGATTATCGTAGTCGCCATGAACGTATGTTGTAATAGTAGGTTGCCAATTGAGATAAGGATTCCAAATTTGAGTCTTTTTAGGTGGATATAATCCGCTTAATACAAGCTGTAAGGACATTTTTGTCCGTCGATAATCGGTAGAACGAGCAAATACATCTCTATGATAATAAATATCACCCAGAAAATCATCATATTCTTTTCTTAATTGTATTCCTAAATTAAATTCATGTTGTTTGCCTGACTAAAAATTATAAATAATATAACTTATTTATGTACTTAATAATTTAATTATTTACATTTAATATAAGAGATGTATCACTTACATTATTAAGCTCTCCATGTATCAATGGATAATAACTGTCATTTTTGTATGGATCATTTGGGTATGATTCTCTACCCGAATCAGGTACTCTATCACCATGACGAAATACCTAAAATTTAATAAAAAAAATTAATCAATGAAAATAAATGTTACACGAATCCTTGAAAATTTTCAATATAAAAACTAAAAAGTTAACTTGCAACTCCAAGAAGTTTAACAGTCAATGGTTCAGACTTTGAATAAATTATTAATTGTAAAATAAATATATAAAAGATGTATTCCATGATGAATCTCATGTTATAGTTGCTCATTCTTTGACTGTTAAAATTGAAATAAATCCACTTTCATACATAAATGAGCTACAAGCTTAACACAACTCATAGAGATATCATAACTTTATAGATGAATAAATAAATGTCTCAAAAGTAAAAGTGTATATGTTAAAATAATCTTTAGTTAACATTTTGAGAGATAACATTACGTGGATTAATGAATAATAAAAAGCTTCGTTTATCATTTAAAAATCGCATAAACGTATTTTAATCTGTTCATTTATAAATGCAATATATTTATATAAATAATATATAATTCTTATATAATATTATATATTTATAAAACTATGATATCTTTTTTTAAGAGGAAATAAATAACTGTTTAAAATATTTTCCACCTTACTGTTTATTACTTCATGTACAGTTTATTTCATAATCGCTATCTACGAATAGTAATCCTTTCAGATAGAAAAGCAAATAATTACGTATTACTATTGGATTCTTTTTTTCAAATGATGAAAGAAGATAAATGAATAGAACAATGATAAGTAATTACTATACGTCATATATATTTCATTTTTCTGAAATACTAATTAAATCGTTTTACTTATTTTTTAGTGTTATTGTGTAGTAATAAAAAACGTATATAGTGATTCTTAAATTTTCAATTCTTCACGATAAATCGTCAGAAGATAGATGAATGATGCAAACTTAATATACTTAGTTTAAAATAGTTATTATTAAATATTGCAACATAACAGATAGTTTTGTTTATAATTATTCATGAAAATTATCACTAAATAAAGAAGATGTTGAGGGTGTGGATTCTTTTGCTTCTTATTAGATCAACAATATCAGAACTAGAATTAAAACTAGTACATATTGTAAGTTATCTTTTAAATAATAAATAATATTTTTATTCGTAAATAGTTAATAATTTTTAAAAACTTTTGGAATATTTAGGTTTTCTCTCACAAGTTGTATGCACCGATTGAACGTGATGATGCAAATCAAATTGTCTTGCCAAAAAAATTAGATTATCAATACTTTTTAGAGAATGCTGATACTATGGTGAATGTATGAATAAATTTTTCAATTTAAATTTTCTATTATTAAAATAGTTATGAAAAAAAATAATAAACAATATATATTTCAGTCAGCTAAGCTCGATTTGTTTAATTTTGGTCGTTTTCTACGACATAACTATAATGATTATCTTGGAGATACTTATCATCCGGACATTATGGAGATGCGTACAACAGAGCATGATTTATCCATGATTTCTGGATTATTAGTAGATGCTGGTCTTTGGCCTCCTATCGGTCCACAGAAATGGAATAAAGAGCTTGATTGGCAACCTATACCAACAGGTTAATACTTCATTAATAATACTTATTAATGATCATAATATGTAAAACTAATTATTACCTGTTATTATATAGATTACGTACCAGCGAAATATGATTATTTATTGTTAGGAGCTTTGTGTCCAACATTCGTAGATGATATTCAAGAAACACCTTTTGCAAAAGAAATTATCAACTATAAACCATTGTTTAATTATCTTACAAAAAATCTTGGATTTCAAATAAGTCACCTTTATGAAGTAGAAATGCTTTATGCTTATTTTGATACATTAGTAAGTATTTCAACAAAAAACAATATAAAGTTATTTGTAATGAAAGAATAAATTTAATTTAATTTAGGTAGATTATAACATTTCTCTTCCTCGGTGGGTTGATACAAATTTATATCCAGATGGACACATGAAAACTGTTACATTGTTATCTTATAATTTACTTTCTCAAACATTACTCCAAAAACAACTCAATGGTGGGACGCTTTTAAAAAGAATTATAAATAAATCATTCGATCATCAAAACAGTAATGGTACAAGCAAGCTTAAAATTTCATTGTTTAGTGTTGAACAAAGAAATATTATTGGTCTGTTACAAGCAATGGATAAGTGGAATGAACATATTTTAAATCGAAATACAGCAATTTTTTTTGAACTGTATGCTAATACTACTGATCATTATTTAATAAAGGTAAAAAAAAAATTTTTTTAATAATTAAATAAAATAATTATCATAAAAATAACTACGTATTTTACAGATGTACTATTGGAGCGATGGCAAACTTGAATCATTTAAGCTTAATGATTGTGATGACTATTGTTCATTGGATCATTTTCAAAAACTTTTACATTTTGTTCTTCCAGAAGATGAAAAAAGTTTATGTACTTTTTCTAGAGCTAATTCTAAAGAAAGTACCTACTTTGGTTTATTCATTATATTTATGTTATATTTATTGAATAATTCTTGAATATATTTATGATTGAAGAGTAAAAATATAATATATTATTTCATTATTTCTTTATTTCGTAGAAAATAAGTATATACCATGAATAATTTTCAATGTTTCACTGAATAAATCTGTAAAGCACTTTTTCGAAATTGGTTTAAATATTTTTACTGGACATTTACACATATTAGTACATATATATATATATATACATATACGTACACGTATGTATGTATTTTTCGATTCACAACAACTTCAAGTGAATTAAAAAGCACATGAGTGTATTAGTTCACCGGCTCGATACACATAGCTCCTAAAAGAATTCAAAAATAGCTAATATTTATAAATTAATAAATTGAATGACATTGAATTAGACTATTTAATTAAAGTAATGATGGATTCTATTCAAGCCGGATCATTATCAGGAGCAGAACGAGATGAGTTTATACAACAAGTTAAACAAGAAATTGCTGTAGCTAGTGCTCAAGAATTACTTACAGTAAGAATTCGTCAACTTTTATTTTATAAAAGATTTTTTAATTATTATTATATTAATGTATAATATTTTTATTGTTTAATAGAAAATCACAGAGAAGTGTTTTAAAAAATGCGTCAATAAACCTGGTACTTCTTTGGATAGCTCTGAACAGGTGTAGTAAAATATAACCTCTTTTAAAAATTATGTATTAATAAGTTATTTAATTATTATTAATTAATCAATATAATTGACTATTGAGAACAAAAATTAATTGATAATGAAATTGGCCAATAATTATTGTCAATTCATAGAGACATATAGGTTATTATTTCATGTTAATAAATACAGTACATGAGATATAGTTAATGTTTTCCCGGATTACAATACATTTATTTGTTTAAAAATATTATCAGTTTAATTAATTATCATACATCGATTTAATTATTTTAAAAATACCAAAATTACTGTAATAAACTTTTTTCAGAAATGCGTTGCAATGTGTATGGATCGTTATATGGATGCATTTACTGTCGTTTCGAAAGCTTATGGTAATCGATTACAAAGAGAGCGTAATAATATGGGAATGAGTGGATTATAATAAAAAAAATATCAATTTTATTGTATATACCAATCATATATGTAATATTATAATTAGTATATGCAACAAAGTAAATTAAAAAAAAAAATGTTCTAATGATATTAATTATTTTAGTTCGCTTTGACTGTTATGAATAAAATATTGATTTTTCATTGTATATAATTATTTACAAAATGAAGTAAATAATATGATATTTATTTATAAGTCCAAATACAATGTTTTAAATAAATAAAATCGAATCCACCCTAGGTAATGTAACATATTACTTGTACAAACAATATGAGAGAAAAAACAAATATTTAGTTAAATTTATCAGATGTAAATTTCACTTGAATAAAATATTGTTACAATTTTACTAAAGTAAATACATATTACATAATTGTAAGAACTTCTTGACATAAATTATGTAATTATCAATAATAACTAAATAGATACATTTTTATTTTTACACTAAATACGTTCATACAGCAATAAGAAATTGCTTATTTCCTATTATACATCTATGTATATACGAATTTAACATGATTAATTTTATAAGGTTTGCCTGAATTATAGTAAATCAATTCCATTATCTTATATTATTATTATTGAAATTGTTAATATATAATATTGTATACACATTCTTAGAAAATAATATAAATACATGGTATTTTTATTTTTTCAGCTTTTTTTTTATACTCATATGGAATAATTCTTATTTTAATAAACATCAGTTAAAAAGACTGAAAAATACAAAACATTGATTGATAAAATTAATTTTTAACAATGAAAAAATTTTCATTACTATCTTATTCTTTTAAATAAAAATCAAATAATATTTGAATAATACACAATTCTATAATATTAAATTATGTTTATTTAGTCAACTAACACTAAAAGGCACAATATCGCTACCAATACTTAAACGTGGTTACAAAATGATTATCTCTGTAAATAATTTATAAAAAATATGAATTATAAATTCATATATATTTATATATTAATTAAATGCTTAATTATTTTTATAAGGATAAATAATAATCAGTTAATCAATCGGTTAATGGATACAAAAAAATTATTTGTATCAGGAATAATTTAACAATATTGTTTAGCTGTTCATTCAAACAATTTATATATCAAATAAAAATACAAACATTCTATATACACGTGATGTTTTTTCACTTGTTACTTATTAACATTAATCAAATAAAACCTAAAGATGGAATGTAAAAATGAAATATTGTATTGTTACATAAGTAGGAATGTTTCATGCAGTCGAAAATAATTCTATTATTATCTATGATCATGTTTTTTATATATTCGTGAAAAATAAACTTAATATATTTCATTATCCTATTTTTCTTACATGCATACACACATACTCAACAATTAAAATTTTTTTAAATTAAACAAATTAAAAAGAAAAAAAAAAATTTAATGAGATTTTGAAATTTTAATGTAACCACGTTAATTGGCTAGGAACACACCTACAATTTTATTCAATTACACACTTGATTTTTTTTTTTTTTCAGTCCCTATTCTTTGTTCTATTTGCTTAATATTTAATAATCTTAATTCACAGTTAAGATGTTTAAGTGAATGTAACATTAAATTTTATAAAAGTAAACAATTGAAAAATCCATTATTAATAAATTTTCAAATTTTATTTATGATAATTTACTTTAATAGAATAATTATTTTTTAAGTTTTGAAAAAATTTTTTACACATCATCAATGCTGAAATTTTATGAATTGTTCAATAGTTTGATCTCACAATATATGTTAATCACAACTATAATTGGATTTTGTTGCAGTTTATTATTTAAATTTAGATGGTTTAAGATTCAAATTATTGAATCAAAATTCTTTACTAATTAGTTGTTATTAACATCATCGTGAAAATCATCAGAATATATATATAAAGTGACTCATCCCTAATATGTTTATAGGATTGCCCTGAAATTAAAATACTTTGAACACGTACTAGTTCAATTATTTCATTTTTTATATTCTTGCAAATAAGCAAGAGAAATATACAAGTACTTATCGTTACTTAATTCACATAAATAATTTAAATTTTTTATTACTTAGCACCATATTATCATCGTCAAGATAAAATAATTTAATAAATTTATTACTTTTTTTCAGGCAATCCATTTTTAGACGGATAATTCTCTAGTATCTTTTAAGATACTTTAGCAGTTAGTTTCAAGTCAAATGAGGTAATATATTACAGTCGTGTATATATCATTAATCATTATTAAAATGATGGGCAATAAAATGAATTAAAATCTATTTTATAATTTCTAGTTTTTAAAAAACAAAATTGATTCACAATAGTAATAATGATAACAAACATAATAGCAGTAGTAATAGTAGTGATTGTAATTAGAGTGAAAGTAATAGTAATAGTAGCAATATTAGCAGTAAAAACAGCAATAGTAATAAATAGCAGTGATAATAATTATAAAAATAATCATAATAATACTACACACATTAGCAGTATAACGCAGGAGGAAATTTGTCCAAATTGATATAAAATAAAATTATTGTTTTCGTTATTTTTGTATAATAGTTTGTATACCAAAATTTGGCATGCTTTATACATTTATATTAATTATAATAAATCTTCTTTGTACTACAAAATGTAGAAAAATATAATTTTATCTGGAATAATTCTCTGTACAAAAAGAGATTAAAATCGTTCTCTGTGAATAAATTTAGACATATTCCTTCTACGTTTATTTTTATAACACAACTTACCAGATATTGAGCCACAACTAGCAGTATTGTCCTATTATAAGGGCATCAAACTGCTCAAGTGTCTTTCATCGTTTCCTATTTGTTAAATTAATTATGTTGAACTGAAGAATTATTACGAATTAATAGCTTTGAAAATAATTTATGAATTTTAATTGTTTTATCATTGCAATAAAACTACTTGATATTCTAAGAAAAATAAATTAACGACTATGGTTTTTTAACACATTCAAGGGATGTACCCACAGTAAAATTTGTTATACTTTTATCTTCAGTTACGTCGTCTAACTGCAATAAAATAATACGTATATTGTAAAGCATTATTTAAATCATCAATTTTTATAAAATCTTCAATTAATTGGTAACAATTAATAAGGAATATCTAATACCTCCTCTAGGTCATCAATTTCTTCACTTATTTCATCACTTTTTGTGCTTTGACTTTTTTCTTCACCAGTATTTGAATGCTTCAATGGACTTTGACACAAATTTTTCATAGAATCTTTCGCCGGACTTTGTTCATTTGTACTTCCAGATGCTGATGATGCAAAATCTTCTTCATAATTGTCAACGTCACTAGCTATAAAGCAATCAATTATTATTATAAATTAATTAATTAGAAAATAAAAATAATCTAACGATTATTTTAACATACTTGATCCAATATCCATTAATTCTTTTAAATTATTAATATCATTTTTTTTACCATTTAAAGAAGGTAAATTATTAAAAATAGAATGTGTTTTCGAAACAAAAGGCGGCAAATTTTCTAACAACTGATCTGATTGTTTTGTATTTCCCACTTTTTCTGATTTTCCATCTACAATTAATTCTTCAAAATAAACTGTTTTACCAAAACTATTTTCTACATCAATTTTATGATTTTTTTGAGTATTATTTGTATTTTGTAATTCAACACAGTTTAATAATTTTGATTTTTCCTCATGTAAATTTCTGTCCGATTCAATTATTACAGATTCTTCGAATTTCAATAATTGCTTATCACTATCTAACATTTTTAAACCATCATTATTGTTTGATTTATGATTAGGGCAGTTTTCTGTTACAGTTTGATTGTTTACAGTAAAAGAAACATGTGAATTGTTATTGCTTGTTTCTTCAACTAATTGATCAGGTTCATTATTTTTTTCTGTATTTTCCCTGAGAGATTTATTTTGCGTCTCAAACTTCGAGGTATTTTTTAATACATTATTGAGATTTTCAGATGATTTTTTATCTGTTATTGTCACATTAATTGGAATTTCTTGACTGAAATCCGATATACTATTATCTTTTTCGGACATATCATTGTCATTTAAGACCAATGAATTTTTTTCAAAGACTTTTGGAACTGATACGTCAAAAGTGGTGTTGTTTATATTGCCTGTTTCTTCGTTGGACTTATTAAATGTACTATTGTTTGTTTGCTCATTCTGAAAAAATAAATTTTTTCCTTATACATCAAATCAAAAATTAATTATTATTATGAATATATATGTGTATATATTATACTTTTGAATTTGTAAAGGCACGATTGATGCTATTTTTTAAAAGTTCTCCAAGTAATGGTTCAGTTGAATTAATACCCAACTTTTCGCATAATTTTTTTCTGCCCATATAGTTGTATTCTTTACCAATATAAGTTTCTGGATCATAAACAGATATTGTATAATCCAAACCAAAATACTCTAAAAATTCTCTAACTAATGAAAATAGTAATTTCCCTTCAGATTTAGCCAGGTACTGTTTTACTGTTTTGTTTAAGAGTGGTTCAGGATTCTAAAAGTTTAAATAATTATGATAATTAAAATTACCAAATTTTCATATTTTAATTTTTAAGTATTTTACTTACGATTACTGATTCTTGTTCTTCTAAAGCTAAAAAAACACTAGCTCGAAGTTCCGCCTGTAAAAAATTATTGAAAATTATAAAAAAATGTTTCAATGTACATACATTCAACGCAATAATTTTAAAATATCAATAACTTTGTTGCGTTACTTTACGTAAAGATAACCTAAAAAAAAAAAATAATACTTAAACAAAAACCTTACTCGAACTTTGGCAAGAACTCCATTATTTTCAAGTGTTTGTACTACTAAATCTCGCAATTCTGTGTCCTCCTCCATTGATATGTTTCCGTCTATCATTATGACAAATAAAAAAATTATCCCCACAACTCTAATAAGATGTAAATATTTAGGCTGCCTTCGGCTGCCTTTTCAATGCGCGCGCATGTATATTATTTCCAAGAGCTCATGCGCACCATACAGCTGGTGTTATCACACACATGTAAATCTTATTTGTTTCAATACATGCAAATTCGGAGTATAATAGTATGTACAGGGTGAGTCAATACTTGTTTCCAAACCGAATTCTACAGGTGCAAAAAAAAAATTTTGTATTAAATTGATATTAAAGTACAGACAATATAAAATTGAATTTTTATTAAAAATTATAATGAATATATACACTAGTATTTGTTGTTATCAATAACAAACCATCAAATATGAAGGAAAAAATTTCAAAGTAATTGATATGTATTTCATTCACAATTATTTGAATCCCGGAAGTAACATCACTACTATATCATTTTACACACAACGCCACTCGAATTCATGATATCACTGTTGGATGTTTTTATTAACAGAAAATCCATTCTATAAATGCACATTAATTCAAGATTGTTAAAACGAATATTTGTACATTTTAAATAATATCCATATAAAATATTTCGAATAATTATTAATCGTACCATAAAAAAGTAAAATGTCTTTAATGTGTCAGATATTATGTTCTTCGTTGAAAAATAGTAAACAAAATTTTCTGAGTCCTCTTGTTACGAGTGAAAATTACAGTAAGTTTAATAAACTACTTATTTATAATTATATTTAATTTGTATTAATATTCATATTATTTTTTAGTCAATGTAAGGAATAAAGCAGTGAAAGTGGGAACAACAACACGTAATAGAGGTGGTAATATGCGAAAACCGAAACACAGAGGTTGGAAGGTTCAGGATGGAGAAGTTGTTCGGTCTGGAACTTTACTTGCCACCCAAATGACCACAAGATTTCATCCTGGACTTTATGTATGTGTACAATAATGAATTTAATTAAGAAGACAACATCAAATTGTTTTTTTGAAATTTATCATCAATCAATTCATGAATTCACATGTTGTGTAGGTTGGTTTTGGTAAGAATGGAACACTTTATGCTATGGAACCAGGAAAAGTAATGGTTACTTGTGAAAAAACAAATCTCAAATGGGATCATACCTGGATTCAAAGGTGTTATAGCGGACGAGAAAATCAAGTTATCTATAAAAAACATTTTAATGTAATTCCTGAGAAACAACATAATCGTTTTAAACTAATAGATACTATTTAAAATAATAAAAGTATTTTTACAACTAAGTCAGATTAATATTATCGTAATAAAATGATTGATACATCAAGTTTTCGGTACTACTATTAATATATGCATAAACCTGTGTCTTTCTAACACTACAAGCCACTCGACACTGTCCAATTAAATCCAGAATAGGAAGGTCATCATCACCATTCTTGCATGTAATTACGTACTGAGAGTGAAACATAATCGGATCGCCTGCAATTAATAACTTTATGAAGTGTGTTGTTGGGGAAGTAATGATTATTTTTTATTTATTATATTAAAATACCTGGATAGGCAAGAAAATCGCCACCAAATTTATCTCCATATGTTACATAAAATCCTCTTTCCCATAAATCTTTAAAAACTGTATATCTTATATTTTCTTCCGGAGATTGAGGATAATTCCATTTTACTTCTTTTACATCATCCTTTCCAGACCAAGGGTAAGCTAATTAATATTTATAAATTAATTATATTGTCAAAATCAAAATAATAAAAAATTTTCTATTACCTGTATGAATTTGAATTAATGCTTCTGATGGTTCTAATTTTGGAATTTTCTCCAATTCTTCAGTTAAAAGAACCTCTCGATTTATTTCAATTTGTTCGGCATTTTCGATCAGGTTAAGATCAACATTTTTTTTTAATTGTTTTTTAGATCTCTTCAATCCTAATAATTTTCTGCGTTTTCCTTCAACAATTTTATCCATAAATGCAATAATCTACAAAAAATGAGCATCATTTAAAGCATTTGATATCTGTTGATGATATTGAATGAAAAAAAAAATTATCTTCTCCTTTAACGAATACTACGAACCTGTTTTTTTCGTTCTTCTTTCAAACGTTCCTCTTGTTGGCTAAACAATTTATTTCTATAATTATTAAATTTTTGTTTTAATTTATCATTTGGCTTCATTTGAATATCATTAATTTGTACAAGTCGCACAATTTTTTTTTCCAAAAGTAAAGTGACTTCTTCCGGCATTAATAGCATAGGTAATCCATGAAAAATTTCTTGTCTAGGTAGTTTTGACAAACAACCTATTAATGAACCAATTATTTTATATTTTTGTCTAAGTTCTAGCCAATCTAAAATTTAAGGATAAAAATAATTAAACAAAATTAATAACAAATTACCAATATTTCAATCAAACGACAGTAAATATTTTAAATTATACCATCAGCATTCCATACAAATGCTTGTCCATTAGAAAATACTAAATCAATCATTGTAAAATTTGGAAATATTTTTTTTAAATGTCAAAAATTTTGGAGTGCCGCAACGAAAACAATTCTATTTTTGGACTTGAGCACATGGTATGATCAAATAATGTATACTTATGTATTTTTTCTTTAGTATAGTATGATAATATTCTTCTCTCTGTCTACGGCCCTACCATGTTGTTTATTTCAGCATTCACTTCCGGTATTTAAAATAAAAATGTAAAATATATCTCAATCCACAAAACACGTTTATAATTATAAATAATCTAAAAAAAATGTATATAAATTTATTCTCATAATATCATAAGAACACATGAATTATTATTATATTCTTCTACTCGTCTTACTCTGTAAATGTCAATAATGATAAAGATCTAATTGTGAAATAATTTCTCTTTTTTTTTTTTGGTTTTTAAATAACAAAAAATACATGTAATGAATGTTTTTTATATTTTGGAATTATTTTTTTCCAACTGGTTGATACCACTTTTGTAACCTGAAAAATTATATTTGGAATTTATTCTTGAAAATCTCAATCTAAATTAGGATTAAATTTAACATGAGCTTGAATTGAACCTGTTTTTTTCCTCGCAATCTTCTGCTAGCGATATTCTAGCTCGAAAATCAATAACTAATTCAATATCATCTCTGATCATCTTCAAACGTGCACATTTTGCTGATATTATTGACCCAATCGGAAATTTGACATTCTCTGCTACATTTTCCCATAATGAAACAAGTACTGAGCCTGATTCATCTTTAATTCGAATATTGCGACATTTTGCACGCTTGTTGTTACTATAAACATCGATCAATTGAGACATCCATATCAAGACACCTATAGCATCTAAGAAATTCAAATAAACATTCTATTATCAATGATTGTTTTCTTTAAGTGAGATCTTTCTTCATAAAATTTATCTCTCAGAGAATACATACCAACACGCTCACCAGACCGTACAGAACTTTTTATATTTTGCAATGATTTATATTTTTCTCTACTACTACTAGTTATGATACTACTAGTTATGATGGACGGCATTATTGGAGGATGTTTATATACACATTTATTATCAAGATAAAGTGCGACATTTGAAGCCAAACGAAAGTTTAACTTGTATTTTTCATTTCCAGATAACATTGTGACAGGAAGTTCATCTACTGTACCATTTTCTATTTCTACTATGGCACCAATCTACGAAAAAAAATTTTTTAATAATTCTACAATCAGTATTACATGTATAAAATCATCCTATTACCTTAATAAAATTATTTATATCAGTACAAATAGGCTCAAAAATTACACAAGAAATTTCTCCAGATGAATCTTTCAAACGGCATCGTCTATAACTGCATCCTCGAGCACTTACAGTTATTGCTCCACAAATATTAACACATCCTCGAATTAAAGGGCTAAAATTTATATTCATTAGTTCTCCTGTTTTACTGATTTAAAAAATAAACAGTTTAGAAAATTTCAATATTTACCTGCTTTTTGTTAATGTTAACGATGCTATTGGTGCAGCTGTCTTGCCATTTCCAACAAAGGCTTCAGGTTCAACAGAAGTCGTTTGTATATTTGGACTATCATTTTTTAATGGTTGAGAAACATTTTCTTTAGCTTGTGATGTGTCATTTCTTACATCTGTACTATTTTTTTCTGATGGTTGAACAGTATTTTCAGCTATTGGCTTATTATTTCTTTTATCTGCAAGTACTCTGAAAAAATTTTATTTCATCAATTAATATATGAGTGAAAGATCGTTATCAACCAATCTAACTGCTACTGATAATTACTGATTTAAATTTTGATTTTTATTTCCTAATGGTTGAATACTCTCCGTCACAGTAACTATACTATTTAATTCAGTCTTTGGTTCCCTAAAAATATTTATATTCATTAATTTTCAATTATTCACATAAATAATTACTGAAGATGAAAATAGCACTAATATTTACGGCTTATTCTCTGTAATCTTTCGTTTATTGATTACGGAATCATCATCAGATTCATCTGTACTTTCTAATTCAGGTTCACAACGTCTTTTTTTTCTTTTTTGATATGAAAGTATTTGGAGTTGTTCAACATTATATTGGTCTGTTATCTTTTTCCAAGGATGTTTAAAGACGAATCCATTAAAAATTTCTATGTCATTTATCCCAAGAACATTTATATAAGTTTCTCTAGAAATTACTTTGATTTATCTTTATTGTGATATACTTGAAGAGATGGATATTAAATACTTACGATGGATTCTCTACAAAATCTTTAGCTTCAAATTGATGTAAATAATAATGTTTTAGTTTGATAACTGGATTAAACATATAATTGCTTTTTACTCCAAGTTTTTCAGTAAGGAATACTGAAAACATTGCCCATATTTCTTTTCCACCTTTCTCTTGGAGTATTAACCAATACCTATCTTTCTCTATCTCAAAATCCTTCAAAAATGTATTTCAATAAATTAATAGACAATTTTTTATTATAAAAATAAACAATTAAAACATAATTTACTTACTTTAACTTTGAGAATAAATGTTGGGCATGGTTTGTCATCACTTTTTTTTGTATATTCATGAATTTCCTGTTTAACATTAGAGATGAAGTTATTATATTGCGATTACAAGAACTGTCTTTTTATTTATTTCCATAAAAGTTACCTCTATGACATTCGATGACAATTGAAATTGAGTTTTCGTGCGATTTTTCATAATTGTTTACTTTACTATAATATAGTATCGACTTTGTAAACATTAGAATACGACTTGTCAACTTTAGTAATATTGTGTAATTGACTTATAAAATACACAAAAAGATCATGTCAATGTGAATTAAATGAAAATAATGTCTATTTTTTGTAACTTCTTTTATATAAAAAAATATAAGGCACAAATGATCACGTGCCCGGTAAACAAAGTCTTTTCGCTAATTATAGTTCAATGCTAAAGAGAACAGATGGCGTAAACAGTATTTTCTTGAATTTTGGTAGAGTTGACAACAACGCAATTACACTATAGTGCCAAGAGTCGTACAATCGCCATTTTTACATCGTGTAAGATCATCTACTCATGCTTATCAGTCCAAAGTGTATGAAATTTTGTTTCGCTTTTTCATATAAAGAAGATAAAAATTCCCGTCATTGAATCAAAAATTTTTATAAATAATTGTGACACTGTGATGAATCAATCACGGAATTATACATCATTACTGAATCCGAGTTACTTGCAAAATGCTCAGAATTCAACATCAAGTAATAGTGCAGCGGCAGCTGCTGCTGCCGCTGCTGCAGCTGCAGCGGCTGTATCTGCTGCAATTGCAAACGGAACAGCATTAAATTCTAACTCTTCAACTCCAAAAAAGCGTGAAGTCGAAGGTAATTTATTGTCATTCGACTCCAAAATGTACCATGAGAAAAAGGCCGACATTATTATAGATGTTCGTTATTTAGTATAAGATATGTATGTACTTATTGAATAAGACAATTTTAATTTTGTTTATAGATGATAATAAACAAGAAAAAGAGTCAAAGGAAGAGCGACGTAAACGACGAAAGACGAGATGGGGAGGGAGTGAACATGATAAAACATTTATTCCAGGAATGCCTACTGTTCTACCAACAAACTTAACTCCTGAACAAGAAAAGGCTTATCTTTGTAAGTTAATTAATTATTTATACACAATAGCTAATTTTTATTCAAACAGCCAAACATTAGTTCATTATTGATTAAATACATTATAATAACCATTATTGTTCTTATAGTTGTTATTATCATTATTATTATCATTATCATCACTATTATTAATAATCTTAATATTATTATTATTTATATGATTTTATATATTAATAAACATTTACTTTTAATTTAACATTTAAAGGTAAAAATGTTTTTACGTATCCTGAGTACTATAATCCAATATACAGTGAATTACAGCTTAAAAATATGTGCGGTATTTTTAAATAATTATTGTAAATATTATTTATTTTTTTGAAATGAGTATAGATTAATTTATAAATACCTCACATTTTTTTAGAAAAAAACATAGAAATCATATAGGTTGTTTAAAAATGAAAATAAAACGTATAGTTTTTAGCATATTGACATTGTCTAACTGTTGGGGTTTCTGCCCCCTCTAACCCATTGGTTTACAGTTCAGCTGCAGATAGAGGAAATCAGCAGGAAGCTGAGGACGGGAGATCTTGGGATTCCACTAAACCCAGAAGAAAGGTTTGAATGAATACTTCTATTCAGAAAGTGACCATAACATGTAACTACCTAGTGACCTACCATTCAACAAACTAACGGCAATTATAACCGTAAAAGGCTAAAATTAAGGAAAACTTCATGATCAATTGAAAAATACCAAGGCTCAAACATAACTTCTCCACTGAAGAACAATTATGATAAATATTGGTTTGCTCTAATCAATTTATTTTATTTATTCCTTTTTTCGTTTATTACAAAATGTTTAATGCCTTAATGCAATCACTTATATTTTGCTAAAACTCGAAACAAAGGATTTGATTTTTTTTATCAACTGAACATTAATTATCTAATGATAGATTATATATTCATTATTATTATTGTTAGTCGATAATTAGTTTATTTAAACTAATATCAATATAATATTGATTATTATAGATAATTTTTTCTTCTGAAAGTTTTCAAACGTGGGTCACCTTGGTAAGAGAATATTCGTTATGAATTTAACATAAAAATTAACAAGTTCTTGAGCGAAAAATTATTATATTAGGAATTTTTTAAAATTCGACAAAAGCCCAATAATTCGTTTAATATTTGAAAATTAATCGAGCTAATTACAGGAAAAAATATTCATAAGTTAAAATTGAATTTGATATTACTTTCAGGTACATCTTTAAATAATTAATATCTTTCTTTTTCTCATTTCTTAACAATTAATTTACTCCAATAGGTTATAACTTTTATAATTATAGCAGGACCTGTTTATTCTCTATCTTATTATTATTATTATTATTATTATTATTTGTACAGTATTACAACGAAAAATTTAAATTAAATTTATTGTCGACTAATGAAACAATAGGTATTTTTCTAATAATCACAGGATTTATCATAGCAGCTGACATCAAACCCAAATTCGCTGTATTCAATCGTGCAGTCTTCCAGTGGTATTCTACAATAGTTTAATATTTATTCAATTCACACTATTTTTCACAGCAGTGTGACTTCTCATACTTAATGTTGATACCCGGGAAATGTTGGAAGTTAAATTTTTTATCCAAAATTAAATAAAATAGACAAAACTATCTACTTAAAATTATTTTTACTCAGTTTTAAATGATCTTTTATGTTTTTTCCACTTCTTACATTCTTAATTATGAGCCTTTTATTTATTTTTTTTCAACTGCGATTAGTATATCGTTGTTTAGGCAAAGTTAATGTATTATAAGGTCGCTTATATGCTAGTAATATTTTCCATTTTAACATAACATAATAACAATGATTTATTTTATTTTTCAGATCACCGTCTCCTGAGCCAATTTACAGTAGTGATGGTAAACGATTAAATACACGAGAATACCGTACAAGACGTAAATTAGAGGAAGAACGACATAATCTTATTCAAAAAATTTTAAAAATCAATCCTGATTTTAAACCTCCCCCAGATTATAAGTAAATATACATATGATTAGTAAAATAATATTTAGATGTGCGGTTTATTAATTATATTTTTAATTAATTTGTTTTACATTTTAGACCACCTATAATTCGTGTACACGACAAAGTAATGATTCCTCAAGAAGAACATCCAGACATTAATTTTGTCGGATTACTTATTGGACCGCGTGGAAATACTTTAAAATGTTTGTATATTATTTTATATTTTAAATAAATAAATCGTATGTTTTAATTCAATTAATTTCTGTGTAGCAATGGAAAAAGAAACAGGAGCAAAGATTATAATACGTGGTAAGGGATCTGTAAAAGAAGGAAAAGTTGGAAGAAAAGATGGACAGCCTTTACCTGGTGAAGATGAACCTTTACATGCATACATTACTGCCAATAATTTAGAAGCTGTCAAAAAAGCAGTTGAAAGAGTGAGTTAATGAATTTTTAATTCGTTATAAAATGATGTTATATTAATTTTTAATATTTAGATACATGAGATAATTAGACAAGGAGTTGAAGTTCCTGAAGGACAAAATGATTTAAGACGCAATCAATTACGTGAATTAGCATTACTAAATGGAACTTTACGAGAAAATGATGGGCCACGATGTACGAATTGTGGAGCTTCTGATCATAAATCATGGCTGGTAAATATTACATAATCATTTTATGGCAATTGTGTACAACAAAGAGAATAATGAATAAAAATAAATTCTTTTCCAGTGTCCTGATAAACCAAATGTTACAAATAATATAGTATGCTCGAGTTGTGGTGGTGCAGGACATATCGCTCGCGATTGTCGATCAAAACGTCCTGGTCAAGGTGGACCTGCAGCAGCTGGAATAGGCGGGATGGGTCCAGCTGGTGATAAAGCTAAAATTGATGAAGAATATATGTCTTTGATGGCAGAATTAGGAGAAGGCCCCCCACCCGATAGATCTAAAACAAATCAAATTCGTCCAAATACACAAGCTAATCCTAATTATCCAGGATTATTTGATAGACAACAAACACCGAGAGCTTTGATGGCTGCACCAGCACATCCACCGCCACAAATGATGCAAAGTGGACCAATGATGCCTCCTCCTGGAATAGCACCCCCTCCATGGAGTCAAGGTGATCCTAATAGTATGAATAATATGAATGGAATGAATATGCAGTGGCAACAACCTCCAGTTAGTATGCCACCACCACCTGGAGTAATGCAGCCACCTCCACCACCACCAGGATCCACTCCAACGCAGGCAAATATTCCACCATTGATGCCTTGGATGGCTGGTAATAATCAACCTCCTCCACCGGGTCAGATGCCTCCAACACAAATACCTCCACCAGGAATGGGTATTCCACCATGGCAACAAGTACAACAAACCTCTATGAGACCACCTCCACCTGGTACTGCCCCTCCGCCTGGATATCCCAGTTGGCAACCACAACCTATGGGAACTTGGCCACCAGCAGCACCGGTACCACCACCTCCTCAACAACAGCAACAACCACCACCACAACAACAAAATCCAGCACCACCTGGAATTGATCTTAATACATTACCAACTTTACTGGCTCAACCTCCACCACCGCCACCACCTACGAGTTAGTTTGTAATCGATAAAACTCGGTAGATTTTGGCGATTTTATTGATAGTTGGATGAAATCAGTCAAATTGAATAATTAAATGTGTATTTATGAAATTTCAGTGTATTTTTCAGTAACCAATTGTTACTATTTCAGATTTATTTTCTATTAATTTAAATTGCACATATTTTAATAATTACGGCACATGGTTTATCAATATTGTAATAAGTTTTAATATTATCAATTTAATCCATTGACACTTCAACCTTTTACATTTCATAATTCCATGGATTACGTTTTTGATTAAACTGTGTAGCTTGTACACAATAAAAATTCTTTAAAGATATATCTTGATCGTATTTCATTCACTCTATTTATTTCAATGCTACAGAATTATTTACATCACTGAAACTTATTTGAATGCCTCAGAATAATTTTTTTCTGTTGTGAGACAAAATTATTATTCGGAGCATCATATTCGATAATGCATCGATGCTTATTGTACGATAGCAAAAAGGGAGCAATTCGGTATCAAAATGGTAATAGTAATAACAGTAGCAGGAAGAGTTTTAAAAATTAAGGCACAACATACATTGAAATTATAACAAAGGTAAATCAATTACTTGCAATGATTGTTTTTTTTTGCTATCTATTTATTAAACCTTTTGCATTTTTTTTTTTATAAAATAATAGTCTTAAGAGACGGTACAAAGTACGTGAAATATTTTAAACAATGTTAACAAAACTAATTAATGATAAAATTACTTATAGTACAGGCATTGTGCTCGGTAGTTATAAATAAATAAATATATAAATAAATCTTTAAACTATTATAAATAAATTTAACATTACAATTAATCAAGTAGCTTATTTTACTAAAATTATGCATGATTAAATCATTATTTCTGTATTTTACAAAAGTGGTGTTTTGTACGAAAGTCCCATGAGATTTTATACTTTTTTATTCTCTCAAGTCGTATTCACTTTTTCATCTATTCTTCCAATAGCAAGCTTATGAAAAGCATAGACGTAAAAAGTAGGCACGTTTTTAAAATAGAAAAGTAAAAATTCTATAGTTGGACTTTTTTTCTTCATTCTTTGTTAAAATTTTTTTCTTTATATATTTTTCTTTCAACGGATTTTATTCTCCTCTACTTTTAAAGTTTTACAATTTACCCTGTGCTTTAGATCATAAAAGTTTTTTTTTAAGGTAAACAAATCACGTTTAGACGTGAATGTAAAATGATTCAAAATATGGCAGCAATTTTCATAGAGATTGAACACATTGGTATATTTATATATTTCTATAAATTTTTTAAAATGTTTTTTCTTATATGTTTTCTATGTTTTATATTTCATTAAATATTCTGATATAGATTTTACTTTAATTCATTTATATCTCTATTAATAAACTCTATTATATTTGTTAAATTGGCCACAGCTTGATGGCTTGACATATATTCATGCTTTGATTATTTTGTCTGTATTATTTCATCACGATATTAATGCATTATTTTTTTAAATTAAAATGCAGAATTCTATCACATTTTTATAGACATTTAGTAAACCATCAGTAACATTACTTAAATTTTCTTATTGTTATATATCTTTCCATTAAATCTAAAATACTACTTACATTCTTGAAGAAAGCTGCTTACGTATACAGTCATCTTATTATTTCAGACTTGATAATGAATTCTTAAGTTAAATTAAACACTAGGTGGATCCATAGCATAGATGATGGATTTTACAACACTTGCGGCAGCTAAAGCAGCATAAGGTTGCCATTCTTTGCCTCGTGATCCATCTTTGTAATCAGAAATTCCTCGAACAACTGCAAAACTTTCGCGACAGTTACCTAAAATGCTCTCAACTACAGCATCCATTTCTCCATCAAAGGCTAGACAGCCAAACCGTGATGCGAATTTCTGTCGTAATTGATCGTCTCGAGAAATTTGACGACCAGAAGCTATTGATGCTAAATGAATACGTGGACAGCCCATCATTCTGTGATAAAAAATATTTTTTTATCAGTATTCGACAAATGATGACTTATTCAGTTGAGTAAGAAAAAACGGAAGAACCTTTTATTTGAGATATCTTGAGGAGCGGCCGGATGAGCAACCTCAATAACATCTCTTTCACCGATAGCCATATACAGCTTATCAGATTCTAATGGTGGTTGCTTAAAGTCATGCTCTGATTGAAGATTATCCAAGTTTTCGAGACCTTCCTTTAAATATGTTTTCCACGGTGTATCAGACTTTTCATCTGCCTGTCAAAACATAAAATAACATTATTAATTGCTATTATAAATTAATATTTAACATTGATTAAATTTCTTTATTACATTTTTTTTCAAATTCATAGCTAATTCTTGTAATCCTAAATTAACTGGACAATATTCTTTGGTATCAAAATGATAACTGCCATTCTCATCTGCCTTGGCATTTTCACAGTAAATATAAACGTATTTTTTATTTGTCATAGTAGGATATGACACAACCACATCTCCCAATCTCACATGTTTATTATAATCTGTATAATGAGGCACACCACCGCCAACCCCGACTAGAAAAACATAATCAACCTTCTGGAATGTACCTAAAAGTAACAACAAAAAAATAGTTATTTTCATTCTTCTCCTACATCAAAAATTATTCTATAAGCAAATGTAAAAAAATAATCTGTTATTTTTATAAGATAAAAATATTTTGCTTGCAAACATCAGCACATTAGTAAAATACACTAGTCTATAGCAAAATATCGTTCAATAAAAAATATTTGATTGGCTTTTAATAGAATTTCAATCCAATTACCAAGTAATCTTGTTGTGGTATTTCCTGCTGCCGTTATTGCTTCCCTCGTGTGCCCCACGGTAGGAAGTTTTGTGCAAACTATTCGGTGATCACCAATATTTCCCAAAGTATAAACATTCGATTCACCTGTAATTGAATAATGCTCATATAAGTATCAAGTTTTATTTTATACAGTTTACATATTTGTTTTATCATAGACTTGGTGTATAATACAATAATCAATTCGGAGTGCAATCACAAATAAAAAGAGATAATAATTTTTATCTCTTTGAATAAATAGAATATACAATAATTAAATACAAACATGTAAACAAATAAACAGGAACAGAATATTAACGAAGAAAATATATTAACAATAAATAAATGATTATTTTTTCATAGGGTGTAGGATGTATGATGATCTGCTGTGACACCTGACCCTGCCAACGACCTGAGATATAAGCACTTTGATGAAGCATCTGATGATATGACTGACTCGTGATTATTATGAGAAAAATACGAAGAAAATCAGACATAAACAAATATAAATAATCGAGTTTTATTATTTTCTACTTTACCGAATCGACAAATGACTCTTGGTACACCATTATCAGTAGTATCAGGAGAGCTTGCAGTACCTAAGATTTCATGCATCATAAAATATAAATAAAAAATAAGTATTTAATAATTTCTAAAGAAAGTAAAGAACAATTAAATCCGTTAAATAATTAAAAGGTTATTAATGTCTAGAAAATAAATTGCCCGAGTTAAATTAATTCTACTGATAGTTAAAACATATTAAAGGTTCTTTTCATTTTCTTAATCTAAAGATGTATTTAAAAAGAAAATTTCCCAGTAGTTGATAATAATAAATAATAATTATGGGAATATAAATAAATTGATTGCTCACCAACAGTCGTATAGCGTACAAAGGTTTCTTTATTCTCAATCATTGAATCCACTGCTAGTTTTTCGCAGTATTGAGCTGTAATGATGGCTATTGTTGGTTGTTTAGCATTAGCCATCGCTGGCATCTGTTTTACGACTTTAATCTGCGTGTCTTGATGAGCAACTCTCGTGAATGCTCCATGCTCCATAGCTTTTACCACTCCTTTCTTTTGGAGTTCTATCATTATAGTATTTACCGCATCAACATCCCAGTTATATTCTCTATTTAAATTAAAAAAAAAAAAAATCATTCAAATAAAAATTGTTTTTTAGAATAATGAATTTTTCTTTAATACTAAGTGAACACTTACTTAGCCATGTCTGCAATGGTAACAGGGTTTGGATACGCTGATTCAATAAGTTCAAGTACCTTTTCTGAAGTGAGTTCTACAATTTGGCCCATTATTGTTTCATCAGCAGATACTAAATTGAAAAATTAAATCAATAGATCAATCACAAAATAGAAGATAATTATTAGTCTATATGAAAATGATTGACGATATTTCAGATTTTATATAAAATGAATTATGGCGATGGTTGATTAAATGACTTGATGATAATATCAAACGTTTAACAAATATATTATGAAAATTAATTCTTTGCAAAAAAATTGTTTCATGTTTATACGTTACTTATTTTCAAAGATTATTGATTTATTAAAAACATTTTTTTGCAAGGAATAATAAAGTTTTTTGAGCTAGCATGACGAAAAAATGAAATAGATGTGCTAATTATTTAAAAATCAGGTCAATGTAGCAGTTATTGATTATGTTTATCATATTTTCAGGCAACGGATAAATATTGTTAAGTCAATACTGTTATGGTAACATATTACTGTGTAATAGAAAAAACAATTATAAATCTAATTTTCCCAATGACGTGGTTCGAACTAAGTCAATAGGGAAACAACGGAATGAAAAGAATTAGAAGATAAATTAATTGAATGCAAAAACTATTTATTCAACTATTTAATGATATGAGAAATGATGTGCCATCTAATTAATGTAAGTAAGATTTTAAATCGTGCTAATTAATTGATAAATTTTTTCTAGATTAATGGATGGATCATGATCGTTGATATGATATAGAATCTACTCTGATATATATATATATATGGAAATTCAGTCGTTTAATATGCCTTGCAGTGTTATAATAAACAAACTTTCAACTAAGAGCATGAATGAAAAGTTGTTCTGGTGTTATGTAAAAAAAAAAAAACATTCATAGAGCATAAATATTTGATAGCTAAGAGCGATGACAACAAAAAGATCCAACTGAGAAAAACATTTCATTTTTTTTGGCTACATCGAACCTGCTATCCGAACAGTTTTCTTAGACCGAGGGAGAGTGAATAGTACGTAGCCAGTCTGAGCTGTGAATAACAAGTCAATAAAACATTTTTATTCCACTAAATTAAATTATTATGATAAAAATAATGCCTAAGAGGATATATTATTTTACGCCACTTGAATGAATGTATGTATAATTTATACATGGGGATTTATATTGTTCAAATTAACGAGTTTGATTATTTGCTCATTGAATCTTATTAATTGATGACTATAAAACATTAAAAAAAAATTATCTTCCATTTAATCAGCTATCACTCTTACTGCCAATGAGTCTAATTAAATTAGCGATGACCCCATACTAACGTTCAACCAATTACTTGCTTAACCACTTAAAATCACCGTTTTAACAAATGGCTTTACAACTATCTACCAGATGATTGATGTACTCACATGGTCTGCTTGGTAATGTAATCGGTTCTTCAAGTTGCTTTAATTCAACTTCTAATTTCTTTATACCAACGTATTTATGCTGCATTAATTTCATTATTTTCTTGATGAATCCAACGTAATCTGCATAATTAAAAGTGTGAAAGTTTTAGAAAGATTATTGAGAATCATTACTTTTATGATATCATTAAAAAGGCATTATATACCTCGTGGAAATTCTTGAGGGCTTACGAGCTCTTTAAAAAATTCTTGTGCTACACTAGCATGTTCAGTCTCTGGCAATGAATTTACAAACCAAAATTTTAGAGTCCGGGATTCCTGGGTGTGCTTTTTAGTTTGTGCACTGACCAGAAAAACACGAAATTCAAGACATAAATGAGCGGGTGTATTATCAGACAAACCATTGGCAACTGTAAAATTTTTTATTTAATATCATGTTAATCATTGAATGAAATAAATGAATAAATAAATAGATAAGAAATTAAGTATATGAGTCATTACCTGCATTAGCATGTTTGTTGATAACAATTCCTTTATGGTCACCACCTGCTACATAAGCATCCTGTTGATTGGATTTGTCAATTGACGAAGTGATAGCTTGACGTTCAATTACTAATGTTGTTGACTTGGCTGTCTTGCATTTAGGTGTCATTACAATGTGCTCTGTGAATGGATAACCAATATTTGAATAACAATAATTATTTCATCATATTTTTTAAATATCATTTGAATTACCTAATCGACTGATAAATTCTAAAAATAATTTCATACATCAACAAAAACGATAAATTTACCCACCATCAAACATGAAATGAGTCACATTTAATTATGACGTAATTGAAAAATATCCAATAATTCGAAATGATATAAAATAGTTAATTGGAGCGTGAATTTTAAATTAAAGACAAAACAAGAACTTAATAAAATTGCAATAACTAACCAGTCTGTTTGTCGTCCATCCTTGCAGCTGGATAATAAATGATGTGATGTAATGGCAAAAAATACACCAAAATTGGTAAAGTAAATCAATGTCACGGCACGTGAGTAAGATAACACGTTATTGTCGAGTAGTTAAAAACAACTGATGACTTATCGAAAGCCTCAACGTGTAGCGCCGATCAGCACTGCAATGACTGATTTGGAATCCCACTACTACTTTGCTCTTCCAGTTTCTGGTGCCTATCTAAATCCACCACTATTCACCCACGAGCCCCTCCACAGTTCCCGCCATCACCTGGTTTCTAGCACTACTGTGTTCAATTCCCTTCTTTTTAAAAATTTCATTATGCTTCGTGCGTCGGCGCTGAACCCATCAATGGTGCAGTATCCTCCTGTCTATTTCTACCTGAGGTATTCTATAGACACCACAGGCTGCTTCACATCGATGAAACCTATCATGTAAATGTCTCCAAGTCTTCCCATCACGTTCCTCCCTTCCGGACAATGCACGGGAGCAATAAACGGTCAATTTTCTGGGGCACTGCTCTCTATACCTCAGATGTAAGGCTTATTATATTACTGAGGCATAATCGATTTCCTAGGTTTTATATATTACCAATTACATTCAGATATGCTTAATTAACTTTGAATATATTTTATGAGATAAATCAAATTTAAATATTGACTGTCAATGATCTATAACAATTAGTTTTTTTTTTTAAATCTATTACAAATTCGACATGAATAATCCTGTGATGTCAGCGGACTATCTTTTTTTACTATGTGACATCATTGCCGAATGATATCATTTGTATGTCTATATATGGAATAATTTTTATTCTAAACTTATATGTTGCAAACAATTAAAATAGTTATTAGAATGAAATACAAAAGTCTATATTTTTTTCAATTCAGTGGCTGTCTGTGTTGTGTCATGAGTTTTTTTTAGTTTGTTTTTCAATTACGAAAGTGTTACAAGAACAGTCTGTCGATTCAATATCTTTATTTTAGTTTTTTTACAACTATTTATACTTTCAATATACTCTATTTTATTTTAAAGACAAAATTACACTTTTAAATTTTATATTTATTTGATATATTTTTATTCATTAATTATTATTTAGTATTTATAAGTATGAAACAGAGAAAAGCTTAGAAATATACTAGGAAATGAACCCAAAAAAAAAAGTAATAAAAAATATAGAGCTCAGTATCTAATGACATATTAGAATATTTCAAAATTATTTTTAATTAAATCTTATATTATTATCTATATGAATAAAATTGCAAGAATTAAATATATCTAGAGTATTTTTTATCTTATTGGAGTTGATATCATTGATAACATGGAACTGAAACTAGACGGACCAGTTGAATTTAAGCTAGGTTTATCTAATTCCTCATCTGCTTGATTATTCTTCAAGTCTTGTTGAGTATACAAGAATTTATTCCATTCATCTCCACGAGGATGAGCAACATTTTCTGCCACATCATAGACCCAAATTTTTCCAGAATCATCACCAACAGTAACATGCAATCCACTGGGTGTCCAAGAAACGCGATTCAAAGCTGGACAGCCATCAACAATAACACTAGCTGTTGGCACTTCAGTGTCCTGATTGAGATTCCACAAATCAAGCCTGCCGGAATCATCAACTGCTGCAAATAGAGCAGGATGTGTTGGAGACCAAGCAACATCATAAACATAGTCGCCATTGTGTTCAAATGAATATAAAGGTTTATTTCCTTTTAGACTCCAAAGCTTAATAGTCCAGTCAATGGATGAAGTGAGGAAAAGATGAGAGAAATCGATACCACCTTGTACAGCATGAGCACTTACAGCTGTCACCGGTCCTTGATGTCCTTCGTATGTTTCTGTTACACCAGCTCTTATTCCATGACGACATGCTAAACAGACGCATAAAAAATATCAGAATAACAGTGAATATTAATTTTATTAACAGAAATGATTATTTGAAAATATATTAACTAAAAAATGAAAGATGTAAAAGTAGTTTGAATAAATGTCAAATACTAACCAGAATAGACAGTACCATCTTCACTACCAATAACGAAATTATTAACATCCCCATGCGGAAACGCTAAACAAGTAACGGCAATAGGCTTGGACTGTTTCGCTTGAAGATCTAAGGTTTCTTGTGGCTGAGATAACATGTCAAGACTCCATGAGCACATTTTACCATCTGTTGAAATACTTATAAGATTATGTGCGTTTTGTGTTCCAACGACGCTCAGACAATAAACAGGATGCTAAAATATTCAATAAATAATCCAATCAATTAACTAATAGAAAGCAATAAAACATGACTAATAAAAATAAATGAATGAATAAATCATACAGTATGTGCGCTAGCTGATAGTGGGGTTCGTTGAATAGGAGTTCGTTTTTGAACTCGATTATCCCATAATACAATTTGACCAGCATAAGTACCACCTAGGATTAAATTTGGATGAAACCTAGCAAAAGTAGTAGACATAACAGCTGATTGACATTGAAATATAAATTCAGGTGTTGTTTTCTTAAATTTAGTGTTCCAAACTAAACAAATTCCATCTGGATCATTTGGAGCATCTTCATTACAATTATATGAAGCTACTAGTAATTCTGGAAATTGTGGAGACCAGTCCATAGACGTTACACAACGATTGCGTGACCAACGTTCACAATAAAATGATCTATTCAACCATAATCTTTGGTGGTTCTTTTCATCCCTAAAAATGATGTAATTAATTTTTAGAAAATTTATTCTTCTATCTTATTATTTAACTTGAATAAAATGAAAATAACATACATTCCTTCCTCTCCATCGAGAGTACCAGTATAATCAGTATAAATATCTACACTTTCAGCAAGAGCTCGTTCTGCTAAACGACTTGTTTTATCAAGAAACCGTTGAAAGTCTTCCGAAAGTATGATCATCTGCTTTTCTTCCTCGCTAAGTTCCCGTACTAAACAAATAGATATAAATTATTATTAATAAGGTCATAAAGTAGTACAAGCATATAAAATAAATTAATAAAAACATTTATTAGAGTTGAATAAAAAAGGTAATAACCTTCTTTGGGTTTTTCTTGTTCCGTTTGCTGTTCAACTTGAGTGACTGCTGGCTGGACTTCTTTGACTTGTGGCAGACCATGAGGCAGAATTCCTGGTGGGAGTTTGCTTTGGAAACCATCCATATGCGGGAGACTGTTCTCCTCATCTTCAGCTTGGCCATCATCATATGTCAAAACTGTGGTGAATAAGCTACTCCCCGATATGTCTTCCTAATCTTACTACTCACACTATGCTCAACCTACTCTTAACTAGCTAATTTTGCTTTTTCTATGACACTTAATTAACATTTAACTATTTCTAAATCTAACTTTTATTTTATTTGACAAACTTTTAAAAACATCTACTAACTTTATATTTACTTTGATAATGATAAATACTACTGATGCTTGAATTTTATTATTGCTAAGCTTAAATAAAGCTTTTAAATCGCACGACTATTGACATGCAGTAACATAAAATGTTTATTTAAAAATAAAATTAATGAAGAAATAAATATGAAGTCTTTTGACACTTTTTATTCATCATGCATTAAATTTACTTACGTATAGAGAGTGACGGTAGAACATTAATATTGATATATTGAAAGCTCATTAATTAAATGATTTTTTATAAATGATTATTCAATTAATGTTAAAATTTATTTATAAATACGAGATCATGTTCCGTATCTCTCCACCCTCTATTTATTGTGCAAGTTTTATTAATGACTAATTGATGAGCAAATGGAGTAAAATATGATGAAAGTTTGAAAATAAATTAGCACAATTCCAGCTGACAAAAATATTTATATAGATATCATGCATCTAAGTTTGTAGGATTGTTAAGTATAAATGTCATCTCAATACTAATAATTATGTGGGTATAACATAAATACACTACTATGATTGGGATTTTTTTTCATCAATAACATTTGATTCTTTGATGCATGCAGGTATTTACTACACAATAGATAGAGAAAATAATTTCAACTACTTAAGCATTTCTATATTCTGACAATTAAGGAATTATTTAATTATTTAAACAAAAATAAATTTAAATTTTGATTGATTATTGTTTATAATTTTTCTATACTATTCTGATAATTTCTTTTAGTACTGACATTAATCGTGCATTTAATAAAATTCACAGGTAGACAAAACGGGTGTATCAAAAGATATCTTACAATAAATAAATTTAAATTACTCATGAAATTAATGTTAAAAGAAGATACTACTTAAAAAAAAATAAAAGTCAAAAGAAACAAATAATTATTCCAATTTAAATTCATTAAAAATCATCATTTATCATTTTAAAATTAAATTTTGATTTTTAATGAACTAATTATTGAATAAAAATTAATTTCCTTTAAGACTTGAATTTTTTTTATTTCATGTAATAATTAAACACAAATACTCAATACTGACATTATTTTCTATGAAACAAATAGCAGACATTTTAAACGAGCATTTGTGACATTTGATGAGCCTGAAAAGTCTCAAGACATAACAAGTGCAAGAGAAAGCAATTTTTAATGAACCTTAATTAATAAAGTACGTAATATAATACACATTAGACTTTTAAACAGGCTCGTAAATAAATGAATAAAATAAACGTGATAGTGATAATTAGCTCGAGATGCTCGTGACACAATTAATAAACGGATTCACCTTTAGAGTAGATCACCTACCTGTGAATTCGTCCTCCCACTCTAAACCAGGATTTAGATTGTACTCGTCTTGAAGGAGGGAAAAGAAAATTTCAATGAATTTTTTATCTCATACTTTGAACGTTCCATATAGACTCCATGCGATTGTCAATGGACAAGATTAACGATTAATTTGTTCATCATCAATCAACGTAATAAAATTCCATGCATCGACAATCGTTAAGAAGTATTTGGAACGAGTATTTCAAATGGGTGAATCAATAATTTATTTCATGCATTATAATTGCCCTGCTCAAAGCTCTAGCCTTTATTTATTTATTACTTATTATTTCTAATATATGTCAATAAGGTTTTATTTTAAATCCATTTTCAACTATTAAGCCATTTTAAATTCTTTGAGTAGTCAGAATACCTCTTCAAACAAAATACCCTTATCCCCAAGCATATTAGAATAGAATTTGCACCTTTTAAACCAATTAACTTTTGATAAATTTTATTGAATTAGTTGCCCAAAGATCAAGTTAGTTTGTTAGTTAATTACACTAATGTTATTGAAATTTTTTAATTAATTATTAATTAAGTAAAAGCTTCATTAAGCTTTGTAGTTTTACAAACTTTCCATTGATCATCAATTAGTAAAATCTAGATGTTGAAAAAAAAATGCAGTCTAATGAAGTAATTACTGCTAAATAATGACGTGAACATCATCCTGAGAACTCTGGAAGGTGCGTTAAGTTGTGACAAGATATTCATTGTAAATATATATATATCCTGGTGTCCTACATCAATAAACTTGAACTTTCATTTTATTAATTATCATATATTAATAATAAATAGAACAAGTGTAACTTTAATTTCACTTAATATTGCTTTTCATGCATAGATAAAAATTCACAGACACATTTTATAAATATAGTGAATTTGACATTTTTTATTTTTAGTCAAAAATTTATTTATTATCAATTTTGATAAATAAACGTGCAATTTTAATAATACCAATTTGAAGAATTGAATTTGAAATACGTGCATCAATAAGTACCGGAAAGAAAGAAGAGCAAAAGAGTAGTCGAGTAGCTTTAGTATTAGTTTCACTTAGGTATTCAACTTTGAAGTAATAATTGTTACCGGGTGGAGAGTATAATAAAAATGTGTCGTGACGAATTTATTTAAATAAATTTTATCTTTAATTTATAATTATTCATTACCTTGATTATTAATTAATAAACTTATTCTATCAACTTTGACTAATGTTTCATTGAAATCTGATAGGAAACTAGAAATCTGATAGGAATTATCTATGTAAACTATTTGAATAAAAAAATTTCAATCTAATCTGCTATTAAAAAACAATAAAAAGCAAGAGAAATCATAACTTACCGTAATAGTCGAATGCATGAGCTGAGGAGGGGAGGGAAAAAATAGTACTTAGTTAAGATACTCTTGTCTGAATATGATGTATGGTATGTGAACAAAAAAACCTCCCTACACTCAGAGCATGATTCTTAAATCAAGACATTTATATCAATAAAAAAAATGGATTTCCAAACGAAGCATGTAACTATTGATCAACAAATCTTGTCCAATAAATACATCTAATTATAAAATGTTGATTATCATCAATAAAACAATACTAATGATAAAAAAACAAAAACCAATTCAAATAATTGCATTAAAACATACACTGAATGTAGTAAGGTTTAATTGTATGTTTCGAAATAGTGTATATAACTATATTAATACTGACTGAATATTAGAGGAAACATACATATTCATGATAAAACTATCACCTACCTAGAGAATAAATAAAATAATTTATAGTTTACGTGCAAACATAAATAATTAATTCATTATAATAAATATTTATACATATATATATATATGTATGTATGTATGTTGCTAAATATTAAATGTTTTTTTTTCTTTTTTTAAATCAATGATCGTAGCCCAAAACTACTATTGCTCTTCTCAGCAAACCGGAAACTGAATGCCACTAATTACTGAATGTTTATTGTATATATGATAAGCAATATGACAATACATGCCTTGTCACACTTATGCTAACCCCCCTAAGTTTCTTCACAATCGATTTCACTATCATTTGTTCTTTTTTACAATTAATTTATCAACGAATTAATAATATTATTGATGAATTTAATTATAATCAATAAATAAATTAATGTTCATTAGAAATTACGGAAATACAGTAATTATTTTAAGTAAATAAAAAAATAAAGTAAGTTTTAAGGGTCCAAAGCCTGCTTTTTTTGCTGTGAAATAAATACTCAAATTCCGTCTCCATTTGAGTAATGAACGTTATTAAGTTTGTTAATGTTATGGGTGCATGTTCTGGTAGCATTTAATAATAAGATTTTGACAATAGAAAGGCGTAATAAAGCGTAAAATGTGCAGGCGATTTACCATTATAAGCGTGCTTATCAATGCCATCAGACTTATATTCTAATTTATTAACTATCAGAAAGAATTTCGCGATTTTGTATAATAATCTCAGAGCAAGGTGTTGATAATTAATCAAAGATCATTGATTAATTAGTTTTGATATTGAAGAAAGATGTCGATGATTATTATTATCTGACCAAGTTGATACTTGGTACAGTAAATGATATCAACATCTTGCCAATGATTAAAAACCAAATCTACCTCTATAATAAATATTAATAATAGTACAGATACAGTTATGGGAGGAAAGAATAAAAGTAGACAAAACATACATAGGTAGTTTGGTGTAGACCCACCTTTCCTGGGACGCCACCAGTCAGTCTCAAAGTAGCCTGCGGAGCAAGAGTGAGTTGGTGACGTTGTCGTACAGTAGGAGTAGACGGAAGAGGAGGCGGACAGTCCTTGTGTCCAACACCAGTTGTTTCGACCAAATGTATAATAAAAGACCAAGGGAACACGCGTATGTTAGATTGAACCGCAAAATCAGTTGTACCAATTAAGACAATTAACAAAATAATTAATAAATAAATTACAATTAAACATCACTTATTTTTTTTCCCAGCACAAATACAACATTAATTTGACGATACATAAAAAAAAATTATTTAATTAAAAATCATAAACAATTTTGAGTATATATAAATATTTTTGTCTAATTTTGCGGTAAAATCATCAGAAATTGATCATATTTACGAAATTTTGTCATATTTATCTCCATTAGGCCGATCATTTAATTATTTATTATTACTAATAATATTATTATTGTTATGATAATAATCATAATCATTAGTACTCTTATAATTATCTCGATTATTTGTTGCTATTAATAGTATGTATCCAGCCCGCTACCAGTAATAAATAGAAGAATAAAAACTAAATAAATAGAAATAAATTACAAGAAGATGAAAATGTTAAAAAAACAAATGGTAACGAAATGATTGATGAGGTATTGTGACTTCAATGAATGATAAAATATGTCATGAATTAAATAAATTATAATAATAAACCGCGCATTATGAAGTATTTGTCTTAGTAATAATTAAAAAAAAAAAAAATTAAAGTTAGATGTGTTGTGTAGAGCATACAAGATATACTTAAAGTAACTGTCATTAACATAAACGTAATAAGAGTTAAAAAATGTTGATTGTTATTGTTAAGATTAACATTATTATATGTGAATATGTAAGTTTCCTCGGCAATGTAAATAAATGATTTAAAAAAATAATTAAAACCTGAACTAATTAATAGTATAAATTAACAAAATAAATGAGTATTTTTAAAATATTTTGTTTCAGAATGATTGATTTTGCGGTTATGAGATTACTACTATTATTAAGTATATTACTTATATTCTAGTAAGAAATAACGTTCAGTGGAGAATTAATATTTTTATGAATAGACTTTAATTGAAAATAAATAAACTCACCGTCATGAGATGTCTGTGTGGTTTGTGCTGTCTGAGTTTGCTTGCTATAAACTACTGGCTCTTTGGGAGGAATGTTAGTGTGGGCCACTGAGACTATTGTAAGTTCTCGATTTGGTTTCCTTTTTAATAAACTAAAAAAATATTATAAATTTCATAAATAATTATTCTTGATATTTACCTTTAAAGAAATGAATATAAAAAATCAATATTATACCTGTGTGATGTACTAGTTGAAGATGGTTGCATACTTGTATCAGGTGTGCCACTTGTGCTATGATCTGATGTCAAAGAATTCATACTTGAAAGACTAGAGAGAACATCTACATAAAAATAACAACAAGTTAAGAATATTGCAATATAAAATGAAACATTTTAATGTAATAATAATAGATAATTTTGTTAAATATGGATTGTAAAGTACCAGATACTGGAGCTACTCCAAGGGATGACAGCATTGCATCCAATTCTTTACGTTGATCTTTGTCGGCACTGGCCGCTCGGCCTGTAGCTTCTTCAACCTTTTTTGTATTAGAAAATATAAAAATAAGATTAATTGTAATGAAAAAATAATAATTAAAAATAACAGATTGACAGATATGCATACATCTTTCTGTTCCTTTTCCCTTTTACGTCGTTCTTTTTCTTCTCTGATAGCTTGGAGCTTTGCCTTCTTTTGCTCCAATTGTGCCTTTCGATCAGACATCATTTTTGCACGGAGATTAGCGTAATTTTCTGAGACAGAAGACATTTATTTACACTTGTAAGGCGTTGATTTTATTGATTCCTCCCAATACCATACTGAGTAATACTACATCTATAGATGTAGGAAAGGTTAGTTTGTACTACTTGAGTTTTTATTATAAAAAATTCATGTTAGTAAATTTATGAATATTATTTGATGAATTACTTGAAAATTATTATGAAAAGAACAAGCATTTTCAAATTTAAACTAAAGAGAATAGTAATTCTAGGTTCAATGTACAAATAAGCTTCACTGTCAAACACTTACATAAAAATGTTCTCACTAGATACTTAGTAGCTATGTGTTTATACTCTTTATAATCAATAGTTAAAGGTATAGAGGCTACAAAAAATAGACATATTATTTTTATTTAATCGACAAAATAAATCTTTTTATGTATTTTATAAGTCTATCACACAATATCAGGAACAACGAGACGATAATTTCGTAGGTAATATTTTTGCCAATTTGGCCATTGCTAATTTCAAAATTCCCTATGTAATGGCCGAATATTTTTGTTTATAACGTTGGCATCACTGTTGAATGCGCTCTTGCGTTCCCGCCAATGAACTACTCTTTTCAAATGACATTTAAAACATTTTTTTCTGTTTTTTGACTTTAATCGAAAATAAATAAAAATAATAATTTTTGTTTATCAAAAAATTTAACAGTTTTACATCAAAAATCTATTTATTACTAAATTTCTAACTACTAATGCGTTACAATCGAGAAAACAAAATGGAGTTAATTCTCTGAAATACATTGTTTGGTGACTGTGAGTATTCAATATTAATGACATGGAATACTGCCTTATTTTTACGTAATTTTTAGTAATTCATCATTACTATTTACAGTAAATTAGTAATAAATATATCATAGTTATTGTTGACAACATTTTTTACCACTTATTAAGTCATGGGAATTATTAAGTAAGTAGTTAATGTATAGTCTTTAATACTCAATAACCTATAAACCAATTGGTTAAGTAAAAAATACACAATATATTTTTTAAACACAGATTTGCAATAAAATCCAGTTTGGCTGGTGGAATCGTTTATTATACTGCCCAAGAAGGTTTATGGTCTGATGCAGATCATAGTATAAAATTTTACAACAAACTTTACACTGGAATTGCTCCTTATGTTAAAGAACAAATGCCCAAAGAAGTTATGGATGAGGTAATAATTGTCAATTAGTATTTAATTGATAATTAATTCATACAAATTCTATTTTATACTGATGAATTATTTAATTACTTTTATTTAGCTTCCAGAACTACCTAGCGTAAATAACATGTCACAATGTGCTGGAGCTATGTGGAATAATGGAGTTAAATCAACTTTTAAAGTTCTTGTTGATTTACCTTCTTATGTTTCAAGTGGTATTGAATCAATTAAAGGTTCTTTAGAGAATTTGAATGAAAAACCTAAAACGATTCCTGATAAAAAGGAATAAATCAATGAATAATATTTTAATTATATCAACTAATTTCAATAAGAATAGTATTTATTACAAATTTATGTATATAGATTGTTATTAAGAATTGTAATTGTATGAATGGTTCGTTCTATTAATTATGGAATGAACAAATAAGAAACAGTCGGAGAAAAGGAATAAAAAATCATGTTTGTAGGCTACTCAATTGTAATAATGAATAATAATGTAATTAAGGAAAATTTTATGTTAATTTAAAAGTAATTCAACTATTTAGCATCGGAAAAAGCTGAATCGTTTTTAAATTAATCATATTAAGCAAGTGATATGTCACTCTAAGTATTTTGAAGTTGAATTTAAGTCATGATAGAAATGGATCCAAAGTATTCAAGTCAGAAATAGATTTAGTTGTTAGATTAAAGTGCAAAGAAGGAATTTTCTTTGAATTAAAGTTGTGAATTGACTTGGTAAATGATGCTTGAAATTATTGATACTTTGAGTGAGTTTCTCTCTGATGATACAGCAAGTAAATCAGGTTATAGATCAACAACAGATGCCGCTGAATTGTTGAAGAAAATTGAAATGTACATCAAGCTCTTAGGTATCGTGTTGTTTAAGTTTTATCGATTATTATAGCCGGGAATCTAGAAGGCTTAGAGAACACCACCGGCACAATAGTGTAACTGCAAGTTTAATTTTGACCTTCACTGTCCTCGAATGTTAAATTTCCGGTTAGTCAGCTGAATTTTACTGAACGAGTTTGCAGCAGTTCATCTATTCGAAACCAGGTCGTCATTTAAACTAGCCTTTTGATTGTTGTAACATTCAAAGCATCACAAGTATCTATTTAAGGTAATTTTTTAAGTTACAAATTATTAAAAATTTGAGTGATCAATATTTTAATTATCATTTATTCTTGGGTACTCATAAATACTAAAAAATAAAAACGGTTAATCATTATTGTCACGTCGTAGAAGCCGGTGATTTGTCATATAAAATCAAATAACATAAAAGTTTTTGCGGTTTGACACATCATTAAATACATAAATTTCTCAGAGTATTTGATACCTTTTATGAATATTGCATTTTCATTACATAATCGCGTGATTGTTTTATTCTCCCGTAAATAAAAATCAATAAATTTAAAAATATCGAACTAAGTATTAACTGATTAAGTTGAACTTATTTATTATCTTCGATAATTATTGTTAAATTTAAAATCTGAGTAATTTAGATGATGCAATTCTTTATAAGTAACATTGATTTTTTACTTCAGTCACGATGCTTCAAATAATTCGATTTTTTTTTTCTTAAGGTTAGAAAAATGAATTTATTTGAAATACTAAAGGATACTTGATGATATTAAATTATAAATATTGACAAAAAAAGATATAAAATAGATAAAAAATGTCTGGAGTAATAAATTAAAAGATTAAAATTGGAAAAAGATATTCTGCATGTCATAAAAAAAGATATGTGTAAATTGTTTTGTCAGCTATTGATAAATTAACACGTGCTCTTTGTGCATGTGAATTGCATATAATCTTTGAATAAAATTATTTATTGATATAGATCAAAAGATTAAAACTTGTAAGATAATAAATTGACTGATTAGAGAACTATACAAAAAAATTTTTAAGATCACAGAGGTCATAATCACACCACGAATACGAGTAACCTTGAAATGGATGCGATAAAAATCTTTACTATGAATCATTTTTGAAACATCTCACAATACTTTCTGTGACATTTATCAAATAATTGAACACACTATGTAGTAATTAATTGTAAGTTATTCATTAATATTTCAAGATACTTTTTAAAAATATTATAACCCTAATGAATACAGTTGAAAGAAGTTTAGAAAGAAAGATGTCTTACATTGGAAACTTGGTTAATAAAATTTTTTGGGAAGATTTACTTGAAGATGCCAACTGTAAATGAGTGTTTGTACATAAATGCAATATATAACAATTGCTTGTAGGTTGTCAAACATAGCCAAGGTACAAATTTATCAGTCCTAACTTTACAGGCAATTATAACTGTTATCCGAATGCGCATAAGTAGAAGCAGCATTGTCATATGTCTACGTCTGCTCATTCACGAAAGTCACGTTTATCCAAATCAAAGCGCTCACTATTCACACATAGCATTTTATTTATCAAATTCAATATCATTATCGCGTAAATTTTGTGTTAAAAATTCCAAACTAATTAAAAACTTATATCCTTTATTCTCGCAGCCCTTCAAAATGGTCTGGATTACCAGCGATGATAAGGTATCATACTCTTGTCAAAATTAAAGTGTTGACATTTTTTTCTTGTATTATCTTTTAAATATTTTTCCCTTGTTTTAAATGTTTCAAAAAAGCTTTTAGTGACTGGCTCTTTACAATTTAGTTTTTATTATTTATTCACTATTATTTTTACATAAATTTTGTATTTTTTTTGTGGCCATTATTTAACCTATTTTTATTAGATAATTCGTGGGTCTGGCTGCACAGTAGTTTCCAAGTCGAAATGTCTATTTTCGTTGTCCTTGACCACTACCTTTACTCAATGATGTACATATAAACCTACACTATGATGATAGTAAAAGTCACAAATTATGTAATGGAATTCACCATCATCTTATTAGCACCATTATTATCATAATTTTTATTTGCATATATGATATAATATTTCATTGATAAAAATTCAAATCAATTCATTTATAAATACGTTATATTTTATTTTATATTTTACTTTTTATCATTCATTAAATAGAATATTTAACCAAAAATCTTTCATTTTTGCATCGTTTTGTTTTTGAATGGGGTTGAAGTTACGTCAAAATCTTATTACTGCATGTTTATTATTATTTTCAATCTATTAAATGATTTTACTCTACTGAACTAACCTTGAGCTACATTGTATTGCAAGACATTGAAATAAAAACATGATTATTAATGCATTGTGCTTATTTATTTTGTTATATTTGATATGTTTCATGAAACAATTGATCATAAAAATTTTTATTCAATACTTCAAGATTTTTTTGCAACTCATCTTTTTATTTTTTACAGTAAATTATGGACGTCAATTAAAAGCCATTTAAATTATTTATTCTAATTAATTGTTATATAGACTAGAGTTAAATGCATCGTTATTTCTTATTGATTAATATAAAGCAGATTTTAATAATTAAATGATATTTCAGATGGACGGACCATCAAGCATCCGAGCACAAAATGCTCAGACTCATTTGGATCACATGTGCGCACTGGACACTGAGTCTCCGGCTGCTTTTTACCGGCTTTCAGGTATCATTTGTACAATTGGACCGGCTTCAAGATCAGTAGAAATGTTGGAGAAGATGATCGAAACTGGAATGAACATTGCCAGAATGAATTTCTCTCATGGATCTCATGAATATCATGCTGAAACCATTGCCAATGTTAGACAAGCTCAAAAAAATTTGTCTGAACGCAATAAAATGAATGTTCCTGTCGCGATTGCTTTAGATACAAAAGGACCGGAAATTCGTACTGGTCTTTTGGAAGGTGTAAGTAAATTCTAAATATTATTTTAAACAATTATTAAGTAGTCAAATTGCATTTTAAGGCTTTCTTTTTATTTTGTTTAATAACAATCGCAAAAAAGTTATTGAAAAATCATTAAACTTTTTTAGGGCGGTTCAGCAGAAGTTGAATTAGTCAAAGGTCAGAAATTCGAACTTTCTACCGACAAAGCTTATGCAGAAAAAGGCAATGCTGCAACAGTATATGTTGATTATGAAAATATTTCCAAAGTTTTAAAAGTTGGAAACCGTGTATTTGTTGATGATGGCCTTATTTCATTAATCGTTACTGGTGTTGGTAAGTTTTATCACATTATCTAATCAATAATATATAATTGTAAATAAACAATTTATGAAAATATTTTGAAATTTAGAACCAACTTCAGTTATAACAACTGTTGAAAACGGTGGAATGCTTGGATCTCGTAAGGGAGTTAATCTTCCGGGAGTCCCAGTAGATCTTCCTGCAGTGTCAGCCAAAGACAAGTCTGACTTGCAATTTGGTGTTGATCAAGAAGTCGATATGATTTTTGCTTCATTCATCCGAAATGCTGCTGCCTTAACTGAAATTCGCAGTATTTTAGGAGAAAAAGGAAAAAATATTAAGATTATTTCAAAAATTGAAAATCAACAAGGAATGACGAATCTTGATGAGATTATTGCAGCTTCTGATGGTATCATGGTTGCTCGTGGTGATTTAGGTATTGAAATTCCACCAGAAAAAGTTTTCCTTGCACAGAAATGCATGATTAGTCGATGCAACAAGGTTGGAAAACCTGTCATTTGTGCTACACAAATGTTGGAATCAATGGTAAAGAAACCACGTGCTACACGTGCTGAAACTTCTGATGTTGCCAATGCCATATTGGATGGAGCTGACTGTGTAATGTTGTCAGGTAATTTTTTATAATTTAAATAATTGTTATCTATAAAAGTATTGTATTAACATAAAATAATACTTATATATAATTTTCAGGGGAAACTGCCAAAGGTGATTATCCTCTAGAATGTGTCCGCACTATGGCAAATATTTGTAAAGAAGCTGAGGCTGCAATCTGGCACAATCAACTATTCCGTGATTTGTCTGCTAAGGCAGTTCCACCAATTGATGCAACCCACGCTGTAGCCATTGCCGCAGTAGAGGCTTCTGCCAAGTGTTTGGCTACGGCAATCATTGTTATTACAACAAGTGGTCGCTCAGCGCATCTCATTTCCAAGTACAGACCTCGCTGTCCAATTATTGCTGTTACTCGTTTCCCTCAGGTCGCACGGCAGGCTCATTTGTACCGGGGAATTTTACCTCTTTATTATACTGGTATGATAATTTTTTTATCATTTCAAGAAATATACAACTGAAATATTAAAATTTGTCTTTCGATAAAACAGCAATTTTATTGTTTTGTGTAAATAACGATTAGGATAATTGAGATAGAGGGTTTTGTCGTTAAAAATAAAAGTTTCGGGGAACTTTTGTCATTATTTTAATTCCAAGAATTTTCTTATATTTTATTTTTATCAAAGCATGACGAATATTTCACAATAAATTAGAAATTTATAACTTTTATGAGCAATTCCAAATTCATTCTAATCGACGCAAAACATGAAAAATTCAGAACAAAATAAGGCAATCGATTTATCAATATAATTAGATGTGTATGTTTATAATTTAGTTTAATAATGATGTCAAATTAATTACATATGAAAAATAATTTTTGAATTATGTAGATCCTCAACAGCCAGACTGGTTGAAGGATGTTGATGTACGTGTACAATACGGAATGACATTTGGAAAGAGCCGTGGATTCTTGAAAACTGGTGATACCGTTGTTCTTGTGACTGGATGGCAAAAAGGCTCTGGATTTACCAATACACTTCGTATAGTGTATGTAGAAGAGGATTTACTTCTTGATTATTCTTCAAGTCCTGTAGTTAGCGATGATGATTTTGAAGATCTCTCTTAGAAATCCCATGCATGACTTATTTTCTTTTCCACTAACAGTTCTGTTATGTTTAACTCTAGTTGTGTGTACTTTTTAGTTTTTCAATACTTTATTTCACATTATTAATTTACTCTTCTATGCTTTCCTATGTAAATAAAATTGTTGAGTAATTCCTTGTATTATAATTTATTATTAATCATTTACTTTTCTTTAATACAGAACCGTTGATTGAGCAGAAGAAGAGGAAGTGAAGTAAAACATAAAAAGAGAACGAAAAAAAAGAAGAAAAAAGTTTTGAAGTTATTTAAAGTTTCTAGCCTTAAATGAAGGTAAAATAAATTATTTAATTTAATAACAATACATTCTAAAGAATGTACAAAGTGTCGCCGTTCTATATTAGATTCAGTATTATTTAACTGTTGAAATAAATAGTACGAAAATAAATGTGCATTGAGCTGTAATAAACATTGTGTAGTATCCCAAAATTAATAAATTAATCAAACAGTTATGGATAATTTTATGTTTTTATTTAATATTTAAATTATCCTATTTTTATTTTCTGAATTATTTATAATTTCAACAAATCCTTTGTTGAAATATAATTTAAATGTACGTAATTGTTTTTTCATTATTCATCTCCTAGACTTAATTGTCATTCGAGGTTCATTTATGTTACATTAAAAGTTACAAAAAAAACTTTTACAATTAGACACGATATCGAACCCACTCAGCCATTAAAGTATGAACAATATTCACACTGAAGGGAACAGAAAGTTTCAATGATATTTTTGGCTCTTATTGATGGGATTTCGATAAATTATAGAGGGTCTTTTATTCGAAGTATTGAACATAAACTAAACAAGAAGTATCAGCATTATTATTAAACGTTTATCTAAGCTTCTGTACTAATAACTTTTTATAGTTAAAAAAAATTTTGACGTCATAAGCTGTGAAAGTTATTAAATGAGTAATTAAATCTCTCCATTATAATATCGTGATCAAGATGACCAAAAAAAAAATGCTTATCGTTCAATAACTTTTCATCCATGAATGATAAAGTTTTTTTACAATTTTACTGTTGATAAAAAAAAGGGGAAACCTCATGTACAAATCTGATTGATTAATAAGAGATAAAAAATAAAAATCATCATATTAACTGCTAATAATAATTAAACTTCCTGTGTAATTGTTATGGATAACAGGATAAGAATACTGTTTATTGCGTGTCAGATGATGGATAGTTAAATATTGACCCCGACCTTGTATGAAATAAAATCGTTAGGGGTGTGGTGACGTAAAGTAGACTAGATGTCAGATGACATTTTTTCATCAAGTTATAAAAATACTTTCTTCATCTTATCACCGGAAGTAATACAGATTTTACTATCCTTTAACAGTTCCTTCTGGTAAATAAAAATGATGAAAGTGCTTGTTTAAGGAGGAACACAAGATCAAAGAGACTCTAAATAGAGTGCAGAGAAAATGGAAAAAATAGTAAGATGTGTACTTACAGGTCATCTAATGATATTTGATAGATTACTTTATCTGGTAAAATTATTTTTTCTATATGATTCTACATTATCTTATATATATATCTAATGATTACAAATGATAATGAATAAATAATAATTGAATTATCTGTCTGAACACTCATGATCAAGTTACTTATTCAATGTTTACGTCAATGGATGTCTGTCGCAATTACTAAAAGAACTTGATGAACATGAGTATTTGTAATCGATCGTTTCTCATATAGGTTTAATCTATTAACCCAAACGTCAACGATGAAAGTTAGCAACTCATTCTGAAACTTTATCTCTATACCTGCATCTGTCACAAACTGTCTACAATCGTTCATTATCAATGATTTCTATAACAAAAAATGTGAAAGTCTACAAAGAATTTTATTTAATCATACATTTCCCTAGAAATATATGTAGAATATTCGATTTTTTTTTATCAGTTTACATTCATTTTGTCCAATATTCAATCAGTGGTAGGAGTAAATAATTGAATTACACAATTAACTTATATTATATGTGTTGATATAAATAACTTAATTGTAGATAATGCTAAGAACAATACATACATGCAAAATTAATGTTATAAATAATTATTTTTGTCATATGTAGAATTTTTATTAAGTATAGATTCACTTTTTCTTAATAAATTTTTCCTTTAACCTAAAAAAAATTAAGATTGGTTTAAGTATAAATGTTTGATTCGTTAAAGTAATGAATTTTTATTACTTTCTATCAATTACAGTCTTTTTCTTTCAAATACACTCATTGTAAATTCACCTAGATTGATTTTTATTACATTATTTTCCAATTACCAGCACCCAGTGAGTTTTTTGATAGCTCTATTCTATAATCTACTTTTTAATTATCATCATTAGAAAATATGATTCATTTAATCGATGAACCACTAGAATGATTATCCATCGTTAAAATTGAAGTATGATGGATATAAAATTCTTATCAGTGTGTCTACAAATGTTACGATTTATAAAATAATTTCAAGTAGAATCTGGAAAAATGAACAGTTGTGACAGATTATTATTTTTTTTTTTTTTTCACTTTCAAAGTTGTAACACCATCATTTTTAAGTAAAACTTTTTCGCAATTGAATTTTTATTAATCCATACAATTTATGATAGAACTTTTAAAAGAATTCTCCTTTACATTGGTGATCCTCTAGGTAGCATCATAGTGACCTTTATTCTTGTGACTTTTTATCATTCCTTCCGTCGTAGTTGTATGTAAATGTAAAGGAAAAAGAATATTCCTGGTTGTTGAATCCAATGCTCAACCACCTCCTACATACCACTGTTCAGTAGAATAATAAATCGATAGTAAAACTGATTAGATATCATTCGTAACTTATTTTGAATGAATAAAAGCCTACTCACAGTATGTAAGAATGACGAAGTCAAACTGATTTAATGCAACATAAAGGGTCCTGGGAACACTAGAAATTTGTACCATTTATCATTATGTGAATATACTTTTTTATTTGTTTATTGCTAATGACAGAAAGACTTCGACAAGTGAATATAATACTAAAAAAATATCTGCACCATCATCACTATATTCTACGTCATTGTTATAAACATTTGTTTCCATTATTGTAAATATTTTTGAAAAGCTTTTAATTCTTATTGCATTTTATATCTCTTGTCAGGAGTTCACCACAAATTTCTCGACGAACTTTTAAAAATCTTTCGAATTTTTTGAAGCCAATCTTGACATTAGTGCTACTGATATATATTTAAAAAAAAAACATTTGATCAGATGACTGATTGAATATAAAATTATTTGGACAATTAAAAAAGCTTTTAAAAATGATAAAGTTTTTTTTAAATATAAATGTTCAAAGCTTTATAAAAAAACTCAATAATTATGACAATGTTTATTAACTTTTTTAAAATTAATTTCAATGTTACCTTGATATCTTTGATTGTTTCCATAAATTAGATATTCATGATAGAAGCCTAATGTTCAATAATATTTATTATTTTAAAATATCAAATGACAGAATTAATTCCATAATCCATTAATATTTTATTCAAAAAAAGTAAGTAAAAGAAAAAACTTATTTTTTAAAGTTAAAAATGCTTCCATAAATTCTCTTCCTCTGGAGAATTTAAATATAAATTTTATTTATTTGATTTAAAAAACCATTGAGATGCTTGCAAAAGGCAAATATAAAAGTAGTAAAACAAGTAAAATCGTTTCTCTGATATTACTTTCCATTCTTACATTATCACGTGAATCAATAGACATTAAAGCTGAATGGAGAGGGTTCAAGAAGCAAAGTATGATGATTCAGAGGAATATTATTTGATATTTCAAGTTTCAAAAGATTATTGAATATTGAATTTTTAATTTGATAGTGATTTTATTAAATTCAATATAATTCTTTTAATTAAATTAGATAACAAGAAGTTTGATGATAATTAAGTGGACAAATGTACTCATCCTCCACGTGTAAACTTCAAGTAAAATATAATAATAATTTTATATCATAAGATTCTCCTATTTATCTTGATCATCTCTGTATGTAAGATTAAATTCATCGTCCAAGATCCCTAATTTCATTCACCATAAACTTGTTATGCCACTAATTTAGCTCTATACGTGTTTCATTAACATTCATATTCATATAAAGCTTCAAATAGAAAAGTATCAGACTCCATTTGGACAAAAATAAATAGCTAGATAGACATGCTTTACAGTAGAAAGACCATTACAATCAAAAAAGTACTAATTCATTTCAAAAGTAACGAAATGGAATTAAAAAATATTGATTCGAATTAAATATATTGATTTAAAACATATATATACTTAAGGAAGGTTCCAAAAAAACTATGAGATCGTAAAAAATATTTTTTTTTCAAGGCAAGATGATGATTACTATTATTCATCGATAAATAAATTTTTTTGAAGAATTTATGGAAAAAATAAATTTTATGTGCAAGGTGAGCAATATATTATCTACAAACTATACCTGGTACATTTAGCCATTGAACCGTTTTCAATCTAGTATATTTTTTTATATTATTTCCAGATATTTATTTTTTACAATACATTGATATGAAAAACCAATGGGATAAATTTAGAAGAGAGTAGCAAATTTGATGAATTACAAGATATAACTTAATTTCATTTAAAAAAAAATAATGAGAAAACTATACGTTAAAAAAAGTATCAAGACATTTGTTGATGTGTTGAATGAAATAGATTGGAGATCTGTAAGAAGGATTGATGTGATTCTATCTGCTTGAATTTTATCACTATCTATCTAATCATAAGTATATGATTTTAGGAAAGATCGCCACATGGATGTCAATTTTGATTTTTTGAGCTTTTTTCACGTGTTAATTAAAAATTGAAATTGATTGGTAAATTAATGCCAAGTTAGACTGTTGTGTCAGAAACTTCATTTCCACATATGACCTGGTGAGAAAGAATCTATACAAAGATGGCTGTTATTTTTTTTTGTCGTACTGTTGTTCAATAATTTGTCAATTTATTCCGTAGATACGTCGCTCTTGAACTTTATTCCATTTTGTTAGACTTTTTTTCTGTTAAAAAGGAATTCTATTTGGTTTTGAGGAGCTTCTGAAGAAAACATTCAATCATTTTTGATCATGTGAGATGTTAGGATCCAATATTTGTCTGAATGTAAGAATCTAACATCAATGTTGGAATAATTTGTGCTATCAGATTGTATTTATTAGTATACAAATCATAGCTCTGGACCCCGAAATAATGTTAATTACTTTATTGTCATAAGTAATAAGAGGACCTAAATCCATCTATTTTAAATTCTGGTTAGTTCTGAACAAGTATTCAATAACAGCAGCTGTCTGACAATTTACGACAGTTGTGAATAATTTCCACATGTAGTGAAATTTCCCTTCGAGTTCTCTGATTTTCTTCAAAAGGAACAAGAGTTCCTCCCTTAACTCTCAGGTCTGATGGTTTCAATGACCGAATTACTCTTCTATGGTATGGTGGAATCATGCTGTAACAATATTGAACAAGAGTTAGCGTTAGAATTCTGTCATAAATTATCAAAAAGAGAATGTCATCATTTGAACTCTACCTTGATAATAAAAACTTTTATGAACTTGTTTCATCAAAGCTTATTTATTAACATGATTCAAAGTAATGTTTCATTATTGTGAATATTTAATCAATGGCAACAAATTGTATCATTTATTTTGATTTATTTAGAACCAAGGTTTGTAACTTACTTTTGCCCAAAGGTCTTTAAATGAGCAATTTACCACAATTAATTATAACTTTCGAGTTACAAACATTACATTAACGAAAAATAAATCAACTTATTTAATAGTAAAAGTTATAAATAATTAGCGTACTCATGATAAACCTGTCAACTGTCCTAACTTGACCTTTTATTCAGAAGAGAATGAAATAAACATGAACATAAAGTAATTATGGATCTATTAGTTGTGATCTGTTGACGAAGATGGGCTAACTACTCAGAAAGGAAATAGCCTTCAGAGTAAAGAACAAATTGACATTATGATGTTAGAGATTCTGGATGATATCAGAATACATTTAATTTTTGACATGATCTTACATTGCTGTACTCTATGATAACTTTATATATAATATATTCTCAGCGTAATGATGAAATGAAATAGACATTATTGATGTTGAAAAAATATTTGATTTTTTTTTTTAGGTTAAAAACATCTTTTGCCTCTAATTCAATTTCCTTTGCCGATTTTCAAAGTGACATGAGATATTTTGTGATACATCTAAATTCTTCCTTGTAAAATATACCCTTGAATGTAGAAAATATGTTGCTGTTATCATAATTATCATATTTATAGAACAAAAATTTGATTTTGCGTAGAATTTTTATATAAAAAGATAAAAATAATATAAGATGAGATAGATAAATATAAAAATAATTATTTATTGAACAAAGAAAGATGTGAATGCAACATTTGTTCAGTTTACTTATCCTATTATGACTTTTTTCATACATTTTCTACCCTACTACCTTGTCTCAATCATAATATACTCACTTGCGTCACATTATTGTGTGTATATAAAAACTTTACAATACAACTTACTATAATAAATTTGGCATGAAATATGTGATTATATTTTTATATGGATTTAAGTCATTCGTTTTTTTGTAACAAAAGCAAACATTGCTTTGATAAATTTCATTTATGATTATACTATTGGAATGAATTTAAATCTGCAAATTAGTCTAATTACTGAATCGTTCGATAAAGTACAACTGTTATTATATTTTTATTCGGCACTTTTTGCTTTCAACATACGAAAATTTTATTTTTATGTTGCATTAAATTAAACACATTATGTTTGTTGATTAAACTTTTGTTATCATTTATTTATATCGATGATCTTTGTATTTGATGTACAGATGTGTCTACATGTTCAAGAAAATCAAATCTAGTTGAAAAAAATAACCTCTACTGTAGAAAAAAAAAAGTATTATTAAAAAGGTTTTTATTGAAACTTTGATTAATTTTATTTAGCTACAGTAAAGTTAATTTATTGTAAATGAATATTGAAAAAAGGTTTTTTAATGTAGACACACATAACGAGAAGAGTAATGAAAAAGATATCAACGTACATATTTGATAAAAGTGAGTATGAATTTTAATTAAAAAATATATATTTTAGTACAAATTTGTTGTATGTTTTTTATTTGAAAAACAGGTTTCTTCAATATATGGACAGGAAATTTCAAAAGGAGAGAAGAAAAAACAAGTCACGTATATGTAAAAGTAGGTGTAGAGTCTTGACGAATTGGGGGAAATTAAAAGCTGTCGTAAGGCCTATGAGCTTTCTCGTTAGGGTAAAAAATTCTTATTCTCGAATACTTTTGAAAGATTCCGTAATGAAGATAGCAAGTCTTAGATAATGTACATTGCGGGGGTGAGTCAAAGCTAGTGACGAAAAAAGAAAAATAGTTGATGATACATAACAAGTATAAATGACCAGAGTGTGCGCATCACTAGTGATACTCACTTACACGTTTTTCCCGCCCTTTTACCCTCACCACTTACAGCCACCTGTCAACCACCCTGTGCTCCCACTTCCTCAAGTATATATACAAAGCTCCGGCAGACTTTGACCACATTTGAGTACGTAGACATCGTAGCAAATTATTCAAAGGGTTTGTTGATTGGTGAGTCTATCATTTTGTGGGTACTTTGTCGGATCAACAACGAGTTTCGTATTCGCGGAAATTTTTATTTCTGGTAAGTTTGAAATCATTTTTTTTTTTTAACAAAAAATGCTTTTATATTTATTTAAAAAATAAATAAATAAATCAATCCAATTATTGAACTAAAATATCCGAAAGAATCGGTAGTAAATAACCTTTAAATATTTATCATAGAAACAATTGATCAAAAAACAATCAGATTTATATCCAACCAATTCTAAAAATTTTTAATTGAATAATCGTACGCAATTTAGTGGAACAACTTGGCGGATTTAATTATTTTTTTAAACTCGTTAGTTTTTTGAAGTTTTTCTTAAATTAATCACAAGCAATTACAAGTGAAAATATTTAGTTTTATTCCGACATTAGGTATGCTATAATAATGACTCTTATTTCTTTTAAAATTTTCACACTCATCCTCTTCCCTGAACGAATTTTCCAATATTAGAAAGTAGAAATCTCCTCTCATAATCAGACGCTCCGTCGTTCTCACAACTCAATTGAGCATACTGTCAAAACAAAAATTATACATAATAAAAAAAATTAAATTAAATTTTAAATTAATCATTATTCTATTTGAACACATTGAACTTGTAAAATGATGTAATTTAATTAAGTAGAACAAGAGTATCGATAGTTAGACATAAAATAGATAAATTTGTTTAATTGAATTATTTAATGATTACTCATTTACTTATCACTTTAAATTCAATTGTATTACATTTTATTATTATCTAGTAAATTACACAGAAGTGTGATAATTTTTATCGTATTACATTACAAAGTTTTTATGTATTTTAATTAACCAGTGACAGAATATTATCAAATCAATACAGATTACATTAACATGATGTTAAAGAATAGAAAAATAGATTTTAATATATAAATTAAATAATTGTATATCTTTTATGATCACTTTTTGACTTATTCAATGCTAATGCATTTTTTAAAGACAGTAAATATCTGATAATGAAGTCATTACTGACCATCAGTCATCATAGATATTCAATCTATTTGAATATAACTTTAAAATGTAATAAAAGAAAAAATAATATGACATTATTGTACATTAAGTTTTATAATGTTTCATTTAAATTGTTTTCTAATGATACAAAATTTTTAAATTGTTCTCATCATGACTAAACGATACTAATCAAGTAATAAAATATAACCATGAATGATGTTGCATATATAGAAAATAATGTAAAACAATTTAATATTAAGAATGAAAATGTTTTAAAAATATCCAAGTACTGAATTTTAGTCTTTTCTCACCCTGTGATATTTAACGACCCTATTTCGACTTTGAATGTTTTTTTAATATTTGTGTCATCCAGAGACGTGAGAGAATGATAAAAGATATTTTTAATTTTAGATTGTCTTTAAATGATTATAAATTAAATATGACTATGTACATTTTTTTAAATTTTACAATCGATTTTTCATTAAATTAATTTAATGTATATTTGTATCAGGTAATTTAATAATATAAAATAAACTTTAGAAAGTACAAGAACTTCTTTGGTATATAGATTCCACATAGTTATCTTACATTCAAGAAGAACAAGCATCATGTTGCCTCTAATTAAATCTTAAACTGGTGATAGCAGAGCAATGAACATCTTATTATGAACTATTGAAGAAGCTGATAATTAAATTATCAAAAATTCTATTTATTTTTTACTAATTTTTTTTTTCTTTTATTTTATATTTATTGGAGAAACTGTGGAAATTATTCAAATTTATAACAAAGTTATCTTAAAAATATTAAAATTACTGAAAGATTTAACTTAAGCTAAACATGTTTAATAAATCCATATGGATTTTATTCAAAAAATTTTGCTCAAAACTTTTGACTAAATCACTTTTTTAAGATAAGTAGACCAGGCATAACATGATATTGCACCATAAAAGTTTGGATAAATTACTTATTTTTGACTTAAATAAAATTCATAATAAAGATTGTCAATTTTTATGCAATTATTCTAGTAATATCATTTTTTTCTAATGATAAAACAGTTCTTATCTTATTAAAATCTTATCATTTAATATAATAGCCAGAACAGATTTGAACAAGTCCATCATCACAACAAAAATGCAGCTCCCAAGATGATGAATATATTTACTCTTCAAGTTTTAAATCTTTTTTATCAACTTTTTTTATAAGACTATCAGTTATTTTGAAGTACATAACCGGTAATGAGTATTAGAGTGAAGCAAGTAAATAAGTATTTACTCAAATTTTTTACAATGATTTTTTTTTCCAATCCTTAAACATCTCTTGACACAGAAAAAACCTTTGAGAGATACTTGACAGTTGCTTTCATAATGAAGATGAATTTAATCAAGAATATCTCTTTATGAATCGATTTTCGTTAAACATAATCATTTTCTGTCCTGATGATATAATAATATTGGAGGTAATCTGTAAAAAATATCTCATTTTTAAGACTTCAGTAACTGTTAAATAAAAGCTAAATTATTTCAAGATGTTTTAAAATCTTTCTATTTCTATTTTAAAGTATTTTATTATTTTTTTACACCTCATTTTGGAGTATAATAGGTTAGGAGAAATAAATTAATAAGCTGTTAGGGTGTGATTTTTGGAGCAATGGAATTTAATTTCGAGTGTAGACAAAAGTGATTTATGAAATTTTATTATAAATTAATTATTTAAGTAATAAATAAATTTTTAAGATTTTTTTTCAATAATCAGTTATTGTTTGGTTTTTTTTTTGCAGGAAATTAAGCGTAAAATTATCACATTCTTGATACAATCTCTGAGTAGAGAAAAAGTGAAAGTAATTCTGAAAGTTTTTGTCTTCGAAGCTGTTATGTGTATTGTAAAATAACTGTTCCAACATTGGAATTTTAGTAAAAGAATTAAAAAACTGAAATTCATAATACAGATTCACAAAAAGTTTGAGAGTAATTTACTAATGGAACTATTTGAATATTTTTATTTTCATAAAGTTTTTTTAATCACAGTCATCTGTCAAGTAAGGAAATTAATTTCTCCAAGTTCTTTAGATTGACAGTACTATAAATTATTTTTAATTATAAAACTGACGTTAGTTAACTAATTAATGAATTAAAAAATTTCTTGTATGATTTAATCATTAATAAGAATTTTTATTTATCTGCCTTTATCACAAACCATCCAATTTTTTCTATATCTAAATAATTGTTTACTCTGGTGTTTATTATTCTATATTTATTAGCTAATTGTTCTCACAAAGCTACCATTTTTCTAGCGTGTTTAAAATTACTGGTTGATCAACCGAATAATTTTCTCATTCTATTTTGCAAAGCAATGTCAAAAAAAAAAAAAAAAAGAAACAAAATCAAAAAATTTTTCATAAAAGAAAGAAACTATTTTAAATAAATATATTAAAAATATCATATAATAAATAAAAAAAAAAATGAACATTTATTTTATTTAGTTCAATTGGAGAAAATATTGATTATAAATAAAGAAATAATATAATGGAAGTAAAATAAACTGATATTTACTTATTCTGAAATACATATTAATATTATGTAATTTCAAGTGTAGCTTAATTAACCAGGTATTATAGTATAATATAAATAAATAATGAATATGAATATAGTTAATGGAAACAACAATAACAACCGAATCAAAAATAATAAACAATATGGAATGAATTATTAAAATTTTTTTTCCATATAAATATCATACATTTTATATTCCAGACTAAAATTTTCTCTAAAATGGCACCAAATGTATTTCCACGTGAAATTTGTTTGATTAAAAATTCATATGGTTATGGGTAAAATGGCTTGGGGTTAAAAAAAAAAACTCTAAGAATGAAGAAAGAATTATTCTTTGGGTTCTTTTGACATTTTTTCGTGCCATATTTTTAGACTCATCAAACACTGATGATGTTGTATGCATGAAAATCGCGTGCAGCTAATCCAAGATCCAACTAGAAGGTGGATGTGAAAATGTCCACGGATAAGCGAACATAAAAGAGATGAAAAAAGTAACCCAAGGGTTATAGTAGACTTGTCACTGTGTGGTCATACGCTTCATCAAATTAATTACTCGGTGTTACAGGTGAACTACACCAATGGATCACTTAATCTTTATTTCCCTCAAATAAAATCTTACTTAGCTAAATCATCAATTATTACCATTAGTCAATTTCAAGCTCTTAATGATGAAAGAAATTCGCTGTGATCATCGCGTGGGAAGTTAATTAGACTAGTTCTCAGATAATATGAGAATATTCAGAATAGTAATACTCTACCGGAAGCTTCAAGTATCCTTCAAGAGAATTCATTAGAGGATCAAAAGGTGTTTGCTGTTTCTATAGAAATTGACCGGAAATACAAGTCAATAATCCTGTGTAGAAGTTTGGATAAATAGATAATGTCTTGAATTTCACGAATTCGATGCAGGATAAAATTATTTATCTAATTGTTGGACTCTGATCAACCACATGGCTGATCATAGGTTTACTGTTACTACTTAATTGGATGCTTTAACTTTTAAAATAAAATTAAATCGTACTTATATTAAGTCTTTGCAAAGTTTCATTATTAACATTTTCATAATGAAGAGTTGTTATGTTGTATTCATATTAGCAAATAACATGTATTACTAATAAAGAAGCTTATCTTTTTTTTTTTGTTTCGACGGCGTTGAATGGTTGATTAGTAGACAGAGAATTTTAAACTATTTACTTTTACAACATCCTCGTCTAGACTTTAATTTTTATTCATACTTTATGTTTGAACTGAAACACCTGAACATACATTTGCTATTGCTGTTCTTTATCTGTGGATCCAATTATCAGATAGTATTTATATTTCAAGACCTTTTTCTGGATCTAGATGATCAGCCAAGACGATCTTTCTGAAAATCTAAAGCTTCTATGAACAAACTAATATGGCAACTGAATACTACCAATTAACACTTTTTTCTTCATTTAAATGCTTATCCACTCATTGATTTTTTCATTTTACTCACAACCAAGCTTACAAATTATCCTTCATCTTCAAAATTCATTATTTATAAACACACTGTATCTATTTTAATTTTATTTTATGACTTACATTATACATGTATGGATTTTTTGTTTAAATTTTTGGACAATTAATCTTCTATCCCATTTACATTTTTTCATGGATATTAATTAATAATTTTTTGCTATTGAAGGATTATTAATAACTTTAACCTAAATTAAATTTATGATGATCAAGATAAATAAATATTTGATAACAATTTAGTTCTATCAATCATACAGATACTGTTTTTTGTGGGCTTATGGAAATTTTGAAACCCCCTCTGACCAAAATTTATTTAACTCTATTTTTAGAATTAAAAATCATCAAGTTATGATAGTTATTTATGAATCTAAAAATATTATAGATAATGATTATTAATAGATGATATCAATTAATTTGCATTCTTATTGATTCTTCATTAACTCATCATATTCTTAATTAATCATCACAAAAGTACAATTTTTTTTTTAGAATCAAATAGTGAACATATAATTATTGAAAACATTATAAACTTTCCAATAATAAATATCAACTTATTATAATTCAAATTATTTTCTAATGATAATTAGAATTCGAAGTTGAAGATGAAATTGTCTAGCATTATTAATAATTTCCCTTTAAATATTTTATAACAAGGACTGAAATATAATTCTAAAGAATAATAAACATCTTCAATGTCTCTTTGTTCATCAAAATTTAATTATTTTATATTAAAATATAGAGTTTAACTCACTATCTTAGCTTTCACAAACATCTTTGTCTCTTGATAAAGAAAATTCCACACAATAAATATATTATAAAGTGTTCAATGGATTGGAATAAAACAAAATAACTATTTGAAGACCTCTGAATTAAATAAATTACTACTGCCAATATTTTTACAAAATTAATTTGTTTAAATTTAAACAAAAAAACAACATAATTTCAATTTTAATAAAAAATATAAATAAAATGTAGTGTCCAAGTGTTATTTAAATATTATTGATTATTCAACAAACTCATCGAACACCACTACCCTTGAAACTCACTGTAATTTTATTTTTTCAACTCCCATCTTGTTTTTATTTCACCAAAAGAGAAATTCTATCCAAAAAATACTTTATTTCCTACATGTTTTTTACCAACTACCATCAACTCTATTCCATCTAAAAATATATTTCACAAAAATAGCACTGTTATCACCGATAAATCAAAAACAGATAAATAAACAGTGTCATAATAATAATTATCACATTACATTCAAGTGCTAATTTCGCCTTAGTTTCCCCTAACTTTAAATAAGAATCATAATTTTTTAATTTTATCACTCACTAAAATGGATTATATTCAAATGAATTTCTACAATTTCAATCACGCACAGCAATACTTAAAAGCATCAAATTGAATTGAGATTGGAGATCTAAAAAACATAATTATAAATTTCATCATCTATCACATATCAATCTGATACAGAAGCTCGTTAGTTCTGTCAAAAGTTGAAAGTAGACATTTGCGTGATGCTACTTATTTGAGGGCATTAATTTATAGCTTGTTGAATAATTCAGACCTAAGCATGGTGGACTTTTTCTTCCAACATGTATACTAACGATTTAAATGGTAATTGCAATGAAGGTACAGTGACCAAGTGCTAGCCAACAAGTACGCAGTATTCATTTTAATAACGTAATCGTTGTACTTTTTAAAAACATCTTTTTTTTTCTATCTCTAGCCACTTTTACTTGATATTTTTTTCACAACATGTAGCAGATTTAACCACAGAATTATTTCCGCTGTTTTAGACCAGAATTTGATAAAACAAATATGGTAACAGTTTTTATTCATGGTTTCCCACATATGTAGATTAGAGCTTCATAAAAGAGATTCGTTATTTTATTTTTCTTTTTTACTTTTACTTAGCTATTTACAAAACGTAAGCATTAACTTTTACAGTAATTAGCTTAACTTGGCCTTTGTGGTTGTCGTGATGACTTATTTTAATTATTAAAATATTATAAATAAGTAAAGTTATTTGTACTAGTGGAAAATACTGATAAAACTTTTCTCATAATTTTATTCATGTATATAGGATTCTCAAGTGTCACCTGTGCTCTTGTATTTCTGTTTCATTTTAAATTCCTTCCAACATTCATTTTCTTGTATACATATTTTTCTTCCTGATGCTGAGATATATTTCATGTAATATTTACTAATTTTTGCCATGGCTTAGTGTTGACTTAATATTCATACTTATTTGCCAGGTATATTTATCTCTTTGGAAAACACAGTTCATCTCATTTATGTCTATTTTGCCACACATGATTTGTGATCTTGTTTGTTTAATGGTGATTATTATATCAAAGAGTTTCAATATATGACATTTATGCTGTACTTTATTCATAACTATACAAGTAGAGTATGTAATGTATGGTCAGACATATTTTTTTTCTCTATGTCTGGATGATTCCTTATCTTTCAATAAGTGTACTCATCTCTGAACAACTGCACACTACTTAACAATCAGTAATTATGAGTTGCATTGCAACTTCAAGCATGTAAGAAGCTTTAATTGTTTCACTTGTTGCACAATACACTACTTCAATTCAGTAAACAAATCCTAAACTGAAAAACATTTATAATCGTTTCTGCACACTTTGTTATTTTCAAGTAAGATTCTTTTTTTTTTCTCTTATTTATGATTCATTTGATGGACAAATAAGAAAATAATAGTGTGAATACGTTCTCATACGATAAAATTTATAAGCAAAGAAAAGTATAAAGAGAAATGATTGCATAAGTTGCAATTATTCATACAATTTTTAATACATACTGATATTATATAGCACATTTGTATTGAAGATCAAGAATAATACCGATATTTTTATGTGCTATTATTTAACATTTTATTTTTTTTAAAGAGTATTGTTATTCAACGACTCTAATAATTTTTATTTCTTGCTAACACATATTTTGTTAATAAAAAAAAATTTTTTTTCTTCAGATAAAACATAAAAATCACGATGAAAAGAAGTTACATCTATACAATTGTATTCGTTCTATTGGTGGGAGTTGCTGTTGGTAGTGAGAATTATGCAGATTACGGAGGTAAGCACTTTGTTTTTCAGAAAGATCTATTTAATCTAACTGATAACATATGTTAGAAATAATTATTATCAATTCTATATAAATTCACAATTAATTCTATTTGTTTTTTTTATCATCCTATTATATATAAATTTAACAAAATATAATAACGAAATTTTTTAATTAAAATAGCAAATAAAAATAAATTGAATTGATAATTAAATTGAATGATGAGAAATAAAGATTGAAAATTAATTGATTTTCGCACAGTTTCTAGTTAATTAAAACAATATCCAGTTAAATGTGATTTTTATGAACAAAATTCAATGATGTATCACATCTGCTTTAATTCATTTCATTCATAAATTGATATTGATCAAGCTGATGAGTCAATTTACATTGAATATCTCAAAAAATATTTTATACATCACTATTTTCAAGTAATACAATCAAAGATTTTTTTTGTCGAATAATTTATTAGATTAAAATATCCTGATAGGAAACATTATAATACATAACTAAATAGGATTTATTTATATTGCATTAATATCTTATTAAAACACCAATTCCATTAATATTTGTTAATAAATAATAAACAGTCATTTGTAGGATTCATTAAGGTTAAATGAATATTTGATAATAAATAATAAATTTATTAACTATTAATATACATTTGTGATCTCATGAGAATTGAGCCTCATCAAGAATCTAAAGGGTTATATTGGTTTTATTCCTCCCAGAAGACGAATCATTATTTCAGATTCATCAAAAGAAAATAAATTTGGAGTAGACAAGTAATAAGCAAAATAAAAAAGAACAATTACAAAATAACTATTGAAATAAAAATCAATTTTTAATTTGTTCTATATGTAAATCAATTGATAAAACCTGAATGTTCAGTTTCAGATGTCATTTTTCAAATAAATATTTTAATGATTTTATCAAAAATATTTGGATAATTTTTAAATAAATTTAAAAAGAAAAACAAACCTATTAAAAGAATAAAATATTCATTTTATAATTTTCATCATGTAAAAGCAATTAGTTGACTGGATTAATAAATTGACCTATTGATTATCAAGTTAGAAATGAATACGATAATCCTACCAATAAAATTTAGATTAAAATTCCAAAAGGTTAAAGCAGGAAATTAAATGTAATCATTTAATAATAAAATCACATAATTATCATTATATCGAAATTTAAAAATGTATAACAGTAGAAATTAATTTTGTAATAATTAATCACTGACTAAATTAAATCTAAATTATCTCATTTAATAAACGACAGTAATATTAAATACTAAGTATAAAAAATGGTCTAGAACTTCATCAAAAGTATATGGATATGGTGTTTTAATAAGTAACGTGACAAAAAAGTATTAATCATGTTCACGTTAATCGATAATATTCTTTGTCTCTAACTCAGTACCAACTACCTTTAGTAAGTTAAAACTTAAGATAGATATTTCCATCATTAAATACTTTTATAGATAATAAACTATTATTTGATACATTAAAAAGTTATTAAATAATAACTAAAAAACCCTTTTATGATCAATACATAATTCCCCTGATAATATCATCGAACGTGTTGCTTTTAAAAGTATTGTCTTCATAAATCTTTGAAAAATTGATCAATGAAAAACTTTTTTTACAAACGATATTATTATAGAAGATAACTAAGTAATGAATAGCTTGAAGTTTTTACAAATTAAAAAAGTTCCCAGTTTTAATTAATTGTTTGCAGATTTTTCAATGTTAAACCATTCTCTAAACTCTAAAAGCACACCTCCATAATAGCAATCAAAAAATTGCAAAAACTGATACTAAAAATATTTTGTTTATATTTTATAAATTAAATTCACGTTTAATTGATTCAGTACATCTAAAACATACTAGACAACGATCTTTCGATATCATAAACATGTGCTTTTATTCATATACCCTTGTCAAACAGTATCTTAGCTAAAGTATCATCAATGATACCAATAAATGCAATTTCATATAAATTCTTCCTAGTAGATAACTTTTTATTTAATTCGACGAATATTTCTATTGAATTATTGATAATCTGATGTTCATATTTGTTAAATCGGGTGTAAACTTGTCATCTACTGACAGTTTTTAAAGTTGATCAGCTTCACAATCTGAAAAAAAATTATTTTAGAAAATGCTTTGTAGTTTTTATTTAAAAGTATTTTAATTAAGAATAAAATTATCTTTAATCCAGGAATATAATTTTGTTATTGTTATACTGGAGAATAAAAACAATAATTTTAACAACTACTAGCTTTGTTTATAATTTTTACGTTAATTATTTTAATTGATTTTTACCTAACAAGTCGGTTAAATCTCCCAAAATTGAATAAAAAAGATACTCAAAGCCTTCACTTTCACTGTGCATTAAAATTCAATCTCTTTATAATCTTGATAAATTTTTATTGATTTTTTCAGAGGAAAATGTAGGCAGGAACCTCGAAAATTTACGAGAAATATATAGCCTTTTATTACGTCGTAATTCATATGACAATAACATTAGATCACCCCTGGCATTGGATACACCTTTGGAACATCTGATGATTCGAAAATCTCAACGATCTCCTTCACTACGTCTTCGCTTTGGACGTTCAGATCCATCGATGCCTCAGGTAATTTAATTTCTCTTTCTCCACTATCGTATTATATTCTTCATACAATGATACGATAAATCATAATTCATAATGACGACATTAACGGCTTCCATTATATGCATTCATCTGTAAAAAAAATAAAACAAAATTTTGTAGAACAAACGTATAAAAGAAATACATGTCATATAAAGAAGAATATACTACTGAAATTTATTACAACCACGCCTATTATTTTTTGTATAACACTTTTGTTCGTGACCAATTTCAAGAATTATTGCATAAAAATATTAATCTTTGTCTCATACAATTCTGTTGAGAATACTAAGCTTTTAAATTCACAAATTGCAAAATAATTGTCATCTACCTGATATATGTATACATCCCTGAGGGTAGTTTTTTTCAAATTAATTTTTTTTTTAACTCAAACACAGGTAAATAAACTTGTTAATGAACTGTTGAATAAATTCTTTCAAAAGTTTAAACAATTTTTTATCGTTATCACTGATTATAAAAATACATAATTTTTTTTACAATAATATTTATTGTAAAAATAACAATTAATATTTTAAAATTTTTTTTCAAGTCTTTGAAAAAATCCATGACGTCAAAAGATATTTTTGGAAGTGATAAAAAATATTTCCAAAAAGAAATAAACTCTGATTTTTTCTTGACGATAATTTGAAATTTCCTTTCTCATAGTGATAGAAAGTAATAAAAAATTTTCAGAATTCTTTATATTCTACCCTCCTAAAATTATTTCATATCGATTCCCAGGAATATATTTAAATTCTTTATATATTTATTCCATATTTGTTAACAGTTACTCTCTCTGCAATTTATGAATTGTTTATCAATACATCAAAATTATTATATTTATAATTATTCCACGTTTATACTCACCCTACTTTCTGTGACTAATTATTTTTACATTTAGGGTGACAATTAAAACAAAGAAAGCACCAGGTTGAGGGTAGTTTACTCTACACCCTTCAGAAAAAATTGATTGTCCTTTAATACTCTGAAATTAATTTTTTTAAATAATTTAAATATTAAAAAATTGACATTCAAGATAAATCCTATATTAAATGTTTTATAATTTTTTAATTTCATTACACTATTAACTTTTTTAATTCCTAATAATTATTGATTAATTAATATAAATAAGTTAATAAATCTTTTTAATGATTTAAAGAAAAAATGACACTTGTTTCCATTATCTTACCTTATATAATATCAATTGAACTTTAATTTATTGATTCTCTCATCACCCTCTTTTATAAAATTTATCTTTAAATAATATATCATTTAATTCCATACCCTAGGGCATTTAAAACTATCTCTTTCAACCATAACCATCCTTTACCAAATTTTAATGGAAAACATTTGTATGTATTACAGGGGAATCCATTCATGAAAGCAGGATCAAATGTTGCATCTTTTGAAGACAACTAAAATGAACGGCTCTATTCTATGCATAAACCTTAATAATTTTCACACTACAAAAAAGCTTTCCTTTAATTAAAATATTATAAAATTATATAAAAAAAATTTAAAAAATATGTATAATTGTAAAATGATAAAATATGTTAATCCTAGTCAGTGAATCAAGTTCTCTCGCGCATTTATTTTCATCTTTTCTTAGAAATTAAAATAATTATTAATTAATAAAATCTCATTTTACTTACATTAACTGTAAGATAAAATATAAATTAGTCTAAGAGATGTCTTATAATTAATCTATTTTTGTTCCTACATCACACAATTATTCTTCTCGTTCTTTTCATTCTTATATCATCATTTATTAAATAAAAATCAATAATTATTATCTGTTATTATTTACTGATCAATACTTGAATAATTTAACCAAAGCTGTGCCAAATATTGTGATTATTGTGCATACCAATAAATATTTATATTCATTCCTCCCAACTTATTTTGTAACAATAATTGTATTATTCAAATTTAACAGTCTGTGGAATTGAACACAATCGTTTAACAGCAATTGCAATATCTTTATCATCTAAAGATAATTCTTCAAGATGTTTAAATTCAGGTCTTGCGCTTATTTGAGTTTTCAAATGTTCAAGAGTTGCAGATAAAGGCATGTTCAATACCATTTGCCAGCTTGCTTCATCAAAGTTTGTTAACCACTATATATATAAGACATAATAAACTTGGGTATAATTTATTTATTTTATATTAGAATGAGAGATATGTTGATATGTTTGGTTTAGTACTTACTCGATCAAAGGGATCATCGTCAATGTGAAACATGATAAATGTTAACGGTTTAGAGGGAATGTAAGCATCTGTAGTATTTATGAAATCCTTATCACTGGTTTCTGATTTATTTATAAGATTATTTAAAATCCAATCAGAAGCCCGAATCAAATATTCATATGTAATCTGAAAGTTTAGAATAGAATAAATAAAATTAGAATTTTGTCTAGTGGTGTTAATGAATAAAATATTTGGAGTATTTACTTTTAAAGATCGTCGTCCAATTTCTGTAAACAATAACTTATCTACATATGTTTCGATCCATGTGTTGTATCCATTCAGTTCTTTTGCTGCTGAATTTTCCTCATTCCTTATAATCCTATTTAATAATTTATAAATATTTCATTATCATCTAAAGTAAATTTATCAAAATATTTAAATAATAATAATCATTTGTGAAATTATGTTTCAATGATTAATAGAAAACATTTTTTGTTCCATTAATGTTTTAGTTGATAAAACACTTGTTTCTTTTTATTGTATCGTCTGCAATGCTATGGTTTCAATAAAAAAAAAAACTTGTACTAACATAGAATTCAATTTAGCACCAATTTCGGTTGGACTATCACCAAAAACATGATAGATTAAGTGTCATTCAAATAATTTGCAATTCTTTTGTTAGCATCAAAATAAGCATTGTATTTCATTCAAATGAAATTCTAAATTCTTCTTTAGATAAAAAAAAAAATAGGATGACAACAAATTAAAATGATAACAAAACTCTTTTGTGTATAGGATTATTTATCTGAAGATGAAATTTAGACAGAAAAATCCCTTAAATAATGATAAAAAAAAATAATTATTAATGATTAATGTATCTCTTACCACTCATCGACAAGTTTTAATAGCGCTTGAATGTGATCAGTATGTTTATTATCTTCGTCAATACTACAAAGAGCTTCACCAAGAGCTATAGCTGCAGCAGATTTGTCTTGTGGATCAAAAGAATAAGACTCAGCAATATTTCTTGAATTTTTCTGATCATCTATCATTTTTGATGTATCATTAATGACAGAAGTTTCAAGTAAAGCTGAATAAAGTGCAGCACAAAATACTTGAAGAACTACTGATCCACCAATTGGATGACAATTAATAGGGATATTGTCATTGATAGAAGATAGTGTTCGTAGAATATTGATTGGAGTGCAGATAAAAAGTTCAGAAAAACAAGCAAGTGTTAGAGACATTGCTTGGTAGATACTTGCACCTGTCTAAAAAATATTATTTCTTTGAAAAAGTAGTTTTGACAGATATCACTCATGAGAGTTAGACAGTAGGAATTTTTTTAATAAGTCAAGTCTCTTACAAGACGTCTATGTGACTATTATAAAGCATCTTATTTTACTCAGAAGCATCAAAAAAGTTATTTCGTTTTTTAATAAAGTAAAAAAAAAAAATAAGAATAAAGAAGTAAACCTTCACAGCATCCAAAAGTGTTTCAACGATAGGCATCATCATATCCTTGAAAGGTAAGAGTAAAGCATTAAGCCATGGTGGTCGGCATTGATTCCATACCTTTATTAAAGTATAAAAACTTTATTGAAATATATTAGTATAATTTTAATTTATTTAAGAGATTTCGAACATAATTAACAATGTAACTAGCATTATATCAACCGCTACCATGACACATGGCATGTAATCTATTACCTGTTGTCTATCAAAATAGCTAGACCAATTAGCGTCTTGCTTCAATGCAGGAATGACGACATTCAGCGGACACATAGCTGTATTAATCGATACATACATAAGGCTATAAAGACACAAAGACGGTGGTAGTTTAGCAAGATTTTTTTGACAACCAGTGCACAAAAATCCACCGCAATCTTCTTCCGTGTCTTTGGATTTATTCTTTGTTGGATTTACAACCTCTTTGATATCTTTACATTGACGTATTAATGTGCACATTAGCATTCTGGCGACTGAATAATTATTCATTGAAAGAACCTGGAAAGAAATTTTTCCGAATAAAAATTATTTCACATTTTAAATCAATCCGTTAAAAATAATCAATTTTGTAATTTAATTACTTTCAACAATTGAGTCCAATTAGCTTGAGGTTGTGATCTGAGAACGTTGATTTCTAAAATTATTCTTTGATCATCCGGTAAATTTTCCTCATTATTTAATGATGGAGAACCAAATAATTTTGGAGCACTGACCATCATCCATGCTGCTGGACCTTTGCGTTTTTGGAGCATTGCCATATTTTCAAATCCATTACGGCAGACCTATATATTTTTGTCTATTATACTTAACCATTTATCATATTTATCAGGATTGTAATGTAATTAACAAATGTGACCTTTTCAATTGATTGATTGAATTATTGATATGGTCAAATATCCAAGCAATTTATTTTTTCACCAATAATTATTGAAATTAGTGAACGAAAAATTATTTTTTATTTTATGCTGATCACATTTCGTTAATCAAAGGATTAATTTTCATAAATGATTAATTACTAAGGCTCGTTAATTAGCTTACTTGGTACAAAATTCTTAATGGTATTCCTCGAAGAAGTAAACAAATAAGAAGTTCATTACATTTTGTGTGGATATCTCTTATAGCGATAGGCAATTTATTCGTTCTTGATCCAATAAGTTCTTCACCATCAACGCATGCTGCTAGAGAGAGATAAGCAGTGCAACTGAGAACATTCAATGCATCTGCCCAAAATTGTTGAGATCGTACTAAGCTCAAACGTCCCTAATAAATTGTTTTAAATTAATTCAAATAATTTTTTCAATTAAATTAACTCGTGATAAATAAATTCTTACATGAATAAAACGAGTAACAATAATGGTGAGTGATTCATTAAGCATACCAGAGAAAATTCTCTGTGCCATTTTAGGTGATACAGTATTCCACAAATCGGCCTTTGTTCCTATCAACCCATCAGTCATAATAGTAGATGAGAGAAAAGATTTATTTAGCAACAATTTTTTTTTTTAGAGAATTCTATAGAAATACCTTGCATATATAACCACCACATTTGTATAATAAATGATGATCTTTCTTTCTCAAAAAAAGGCTTATCACTCTGCCAATCTAATGAGTCAGCTTCATTTAAAATATAAAGAGAAATTAATCTGCAATGGAGATCGAGGAGACGTTCTGCTACAGCTTCAGCCATTTCTTGGTATGATTTGTAACATTGATGAAGTTTATCACTAATGGAAATTTACCATAAAATCAATTAAGTATCGTAAATGATTCGAAGAAAATATTATTTAAGAAAACATAGCAAATCAATCAAATGGGAAATATGTCTCAATGTCAAGGGTATTTTAGTGATTAGTTATTAAGCAAAGGCCAAAATACCTTGTTTGTGCAGGAATTTTATTTTTAGACTCTTTATTATAACACCATAAACAGTTTCTCACTAATGCTGCAGCACCAAGTGTTGCGGTTAAAACAGTCAAGTCAGCATGATCTAGAGATTCTTGAATAAGGGTATGCAAATGTTCTGATAATAAAACGAAACGATGTTATAATTAAAATAGATAAATACAAGTGTTGAAAAATTAACCATATAAATACCAATAAGTTGTTGAGATGTATCCACAACAAGTAGAATAAATTCTGAAGGTTTGGTCTTTTTCACAACTTGATCATCAGCTGTTTCCGATAAATCGTCTTCATTAGCTAGACAAAGTCCTGATGGGTATCTAAATGCAATCAGAAATTCTGCTTCCCACCATTTGACAATCTTAACTGCAGCAAATGATGCAAGACGTGGAAAGTCAAGCTTTCCTCCACTTACTTTGGTACACAATGACTCTCGAAGAACTGTCTGCATTGCCTAAAATAATATTATTTATTGTAATGTTAATTTAAAAAAAAATTATTTACAATTTTTATTAAAAATATCAATTTATAACTTGAATTATTTTATAGCACACCTGATAATATTGCATGTCTCTTTGTAATAGAATCCTGACCCGATCAACGAGATTTCCATCTTCCATAATCTCATCCATGTTCTCCTAAGAGAAAAAATTTAATTTCCCTTTGAAATCACACACCATCCATCTATTTTCGTTTACCAAAAAAGGTATAAAAAAAAAAAAAATAGTGTAGACATAAATGAGGAGTTTTGGGATCACAGGTTTTTCTTACTTGCGTGTAAAAAAATCTCTCACGAAAGCCTTTTCAAAGTTTGACAGTTTACTGATCAATTTTTACCTACGAAAATTCGAGTCTACGAAAATAAATTAGGATAATAACAGGTCTTTTTTTAAATTATAGAAATAATCATTCTTACAAGAATAATTTATTTAATTCTCTTGCTGAAAGTACATTTACTAAATGATGTTGGCCCTTTTATAATAACTGGTATTTCTTCGTCTAGTAAATCATGCATGCTTTTTCCATCATGCTTATAAATCCAAGTGTGATCAATAAAATCATAGCGTTTTGGTCCTGATGTTGGGGAAGACAACCAGATTTGTTTATTGGGAGTCTGACGATTTATAACATACGTTCCGTAATTACTTCCAAATTTTACGGTTAAAACTCCATCCTAGTAAGTGTCAATAGAAATATAAAATTATTATCTTTTTCAAAATAACCCTTTTGAGACTGATTGTATTAACTTATGACTAAAACCAATTATTTCTATAAATAATTTAATAAAAAGTTCAATAAATAGAATCAAAAAAATCTTTGCCCAATAGTTTCATGTGTGGGTAACAAATTGCATTAACTGATGAATTTTCTCCTGGGGACATTGCTTGTCAATAAAATTTTAATTAACATCGTCATTGTACTCTCTTTAAATATATCATTCAAATCTATTTAGAAAAATTAATGATTAACATTCTACTTATTGATATTGATTTAAATGGTAATTTATTTATTGGAAATAAACAAAATAAAATTATCAATTTACCCCATATGATACATCAGCATCATCTAAATGTTCAGCTTTTTCAATGAGTTCATCAAAATATTCTGTTAATGAATCTAGAGTTTCATTAGAAATTCTTTCAAATTGTACAAAGTCCAATTCTCTAAAAGCAAATATGAATATTATTAATAACAATAGTTGTTATAAATACCAAAAAAAGTGAATAATTTAAATTCATTTTTCAAAAGTAATACTCATTAACAACAATCAATAACTTACTTTTCAGATAAATCTGAATAATTAGTTACAATATTTTTAAATAATTTATTATTGCAAAATTGATTCACACTCCTAGATTGATTTAAACAATTAATATTCTGTGATAACGCAATATAACCTCTTGACAATCTTTTGTAAGAATATTTCAACTGATTATTTACACATTTATGACAAAATATAACAAACTTTCGAGAACATTCATTATTTATTCCTCGTCTAACTATTGTTAAAAACATAATCGATTTTATTTGGCCTCTTTATTGTTATTTATTGATCAAACAATTGTTGACAAAATTTCAAGTCTTATTCCCTGTATCTGTGATCAGCTGATCACTTCGAGGAATTTAATTTTCGCGCTTTCTAAAGCACTTTCGCAAGATTGATATTTACCCGCGAAAAAATATGAAAAAATGATTATTGACGACATAATATTATTTTTATTTATATAACAAAAACAGGAAAAATAATGATTCATCTTCACGTTATGCATAAAGTGGGGAATTTCTCTTATATGATTGCGATAAATTAAATATAAAATCAGTTACATAAATAAGTTAATTTATAATATTACTTACCACTTACTTGAACAATCAATAAATAATGGAGATTTTTTTTTCTCTGAGAATACTCAAATATATTTTTATAACATTCATTGCAATTAATTCAGTTGACTTTGTTTATTCTAGTAATTCATGTAGAAAAAGTATCACAACTGTAAATAACACAAAAATAAAGTGCAAAAATGAATTAATTTTTGAAGAAAACTTTGAAAGAATTGACAATGACGAGTATTTTGTTTCAAGAGATTCTTATCATTACCTTAATACTTCATTATGGAAAAAAGAGATTAAAATTCCTCTAGATCCAGTAATTTACTTCAATAATAACTAATCCAATTATGAATGAAGTTTAACAGCTGTCATTTGTTTCAGGATTATGAGTTTTGTATTTACCACACATTAGGAAAAGTTTTAAAAGTTGAAAATGGTGTTCTCAAAATAATTCCAACTTTGTTCGAGAATTCTTATGGAATTAACACTACATTTCATGGTGAACTTCGATTGACCGAGTTAGTTAATATCTTGTGTACTTTATTCCTTATGGACTAATTCAAAATTTACCAATAATCATTGTGTTTAATAGATGTACTGGAATCTATGCAGGTGAATGCTCTCGCAAAGCAATGGGATTTAGTATTCTTCATCCAGTAATATCAACACGTTTAATGACAAAAGATAGTTTTTCTTTTTGCTATGGAAAAATTGAAATTCGTGCTAAATTTCCAGAAGGTGACTGGCTTTATCCAGGTACTTATTATCAAAGTACACCATATGTATGATGAAATTGTGTTGATAAATAATATAAATTAATTTTTCTATCACAAAGAAATGTGGCTCCAGCCAAAATATACTACTCATGATAGTGGATATCTCAGTGGACGAGTAATCCTGGGCATGGCTCGAGGTAATGATCATTTGAAAAACTCCACCAATTCATCTCAAGAATTTGGTGCTAAACGTCTAGAATTTGGTTTACGAACTGGTCCATATAATAATATTACTGAAGAAATAGTTACAAAAATTAATGATCACAATTCATGGACAAGAGATTATCATATTTATACTACCACTTGGACCGATAAAGGGTTCAAATTTGAAGTTGATGGTGAAGTTGTAGGACGACTCCGACAACAGCTTAAAAATTCTGACAATGAAAATTGGATGTCACCCTACGATTTAGAAGTAAATAAAAATTAATAGAATAAAATATCTTCATTCTAGGAGTTGATATAGAATTATGATAAAATGATTGGTTGCAGTTTTACCTAAAATTAGGAGTAGGTGTAGGTGGAGTTCGAGTATTCCCAGATAAAACAAAAAGCGGCTATTATCAAAAGCCTTGGAAAAATGTTGGTGCCAAGGTCAGTAGTGATCTTAATTTGCAATGAAACCAAATGTGGTAGAAAACCAGTTAATTTTATAGCTTTCTGGTTTTTATAGGCAATGTACCATTTTTGGGAAGCCAAGGATCAGTGGCTACCTAATTGGCAACGTAATGGACAAAAGACAGCTTTCGAAATAGATTACATAAAAATTTGGTCAGTTTAAATAAAAATATAGAACAAAGCTACCAGCACAGTGGACCCACTCAAATCTCCTTGAATTCGCACACATTAGAAAAGAAGGGATAATTTTATTTGTCTGCTAATCTGAAAAACCGGTTCCCAATATGGTGATTCCGTTATGATGAATTATTTTCTGAGAGTCGACTGACAATGAATTCTTTAGTTGTGGAATATCCTTTCTTACAACGTTAACGCATTATTTACTTTATTTTGTAAAATTCTGAAAAATGACAATAAAAAATTTTTAAAACTGTGATTTTTATCATCTTACTTTTTAATATATTCAAAGTGGAAACTGATATTGATAAATATTTTTTGGTTTTATCATAATTAAGAGAACTTACTTTAATTCTTTTAATTCATTGTCACTTTGTCAAAGAAGTATTTTGAACCATGAGAAACATTTTTTACTTTACAATAATTTTTTTTATAATATTATCAACAAATATTATTGTTGCTAAAAAAAATCTTCCCATTATTGGTAAGCTTAAAAAAATTAATTATGATTAATTTAATTTTAAATTTATCATTGAATTGTTTTGTCAATTAAATATTTTAGTGACAGCAAGGGACTACATTCTCCGCAGTTGTATAGCCACTGTTGAATTCAAGTATCCCAAAAAAATAATGTCTCACACAGAAAAAATATTTAACATTCCACCGGGATTTGTCAGAAGCATCTCCACAACATCTGAGAAAACTTACACACCATTAATTCAGGAAAACATTCAAAATCGTTATTAAGAAGTAACTGATGTTAATTCACCTTTAATGGCTTTGAAAATCTTTGATCCAAATAATAATAAAAAACAAATTATTCATTAAACGAATAGGCAATAAAATTTATGCCAATTGTTATCATAATTATTACACTCTTGTGTGAAAAAATTTGAACAACATTTAACATTATTTCAATAAAAATCTATTACCTAATATTTTTTTGAGTACATTAATTTATGTAACAATACTCATGTGTTTGTTTGAGGTGGATTACGAATATGTTCAGGTATTGGTTGAATTTCATGCTGAAAAGAATGATAATATTAATAATTATTTCTTTGATAAATAAGTGAATAAGTTAAATTTTAATATATATTAAAAATCTGAACCTTTGTAACTTTCATAGCAACACCTTCAGGTAAATTTCTCTGTAAATATTCCAATAATGTATCTGCTGTGGATTCAGTAAGTCTTGCAAAATCAATAAATCGAAAATATGTCCTAAATTCATACTGAACACGATGATCTTTGTGTACAAATGCTGATTTTAAAATTGTATAACGTTCATGATGGGGTTTTCTTGGAGCCGAGCTTTTTATAATAATAAGTTTCTGATTAAAATTATATAATAAAATTTTCGTTATATATTATAAAATGACAATATGACTCTACATACTTTCTTGTAATTTCAAGTCCTAAATGTTTAGCTGTTGTTGAAGCAAATATACCATAACTTTTTAAGACAGCTACATCGTTACCTCTCAATTCAATTTCTACTTTTTTATAAAGTTTATCAGGTGTGCCCTAAGAATTAGAAATTCATAAATAATTATTTTTCGTTAAAAATATTTGATAGAATTTGTTGACATGAAAAATAATATATTAAATTACCGTTTCTGTTTGTGGTACAGAAGCTTTGGAGGCACTTTCTGCCTCAGTTTGCAAAAATCTTTGTGATTTGGTAAAAATTAAATTTCGCACACAAGGAATATTCTGAAAACATTAAATAAATTACCTTTAATAAACAATTATTGAAACCAATTGTAGCTAGAAATATCTAATGCTTGACAAACTATCATTAAAGTAATAAATTATAATAATTACCTTTGACAAAAACATTTCTCGATTGTAGGGAAATTTTTTAGTAATTGGAATTTATAAAAAAGTTACTAAATCAAATAAATAATTCTTAATTTATTCATTAATCATCAACAGTAATTCTAATAATCACTTTTCAATTTTGAGGTTAAGAGACAACTTATTTACAACAGAGAGCGACTTAGGAAAATTCATAGAATCAGATGGCGTCACACTTTGATGGTATTATTTTTCAAATGATATAAATTTTCTACATTTGGGTACTATTTGTAAAGATGCTAATTTTCATAAAAATATAAATTTAAAGGAACTAATTTAGTGATTTATTAAGAGAAAAAAAAAACAAAAAAAATTTATTTATTAATTTAATTAAATAAAAAATAGTTATTAAGAGCACTCATTTCATACAATATACTTTTCTATTTTTGTGATTTTTATTAAAACAACTTATTGTAAGCCACTTTAGCATATAAATACAATTAAAACTAAAACATTCGAAAAAAGAAATGAAGAGTGATCAGCAGGTATTAAGTCATATTTTATTATTATTGTTATCATTATTATTCCAATAATAAAAAATTAATTCAAACATACGAATCATGTTTTATTTGGGACAAAAATTATGTACCCATGATGAAATTCATTTATTTTATTTTTATTTAATTATTCTGGCAAATAATTCGCAAAAACCTATACACATACTCAGTCCCAGTGTTATAATTATAATTTAAAAAAAAAAACACACGAAAATGTGTGAATTTTTTTTTCATGTTTTTATTTTGTTAATTTTTCACTCGGTCACTTTCTCACTCTTCTCCGACCCGAGCAAGAAAATTTACGCTTACAGCCTTTTTTTCTTTAACTTTACGATTTGTGAATTTATTCTTATTGTTGTTATTCATTTAATTGTTTTTCGTTTGCATTGACACAATCACTTGAAGGTTCACTATAGTTTTTTCCAACATTTCCAACCAAGAAATATTTGTGAGAGAACATAGCAATTGATTATTACAGCTACCAGCTGTTGAAGGAGACATGAGAGTTGGTGATAAGGACATTCCATCAACACTACCTGATCCTTTTGAATTTTGAATTTTGTTGTCCTCACTAGTTGTCCGTTCTTCTTCTGAACTCATTGATTTTTCTTCCTGCTTTTCTGTTTTCGTTTTATCTTCTACATCCATAACAGCATTTGTTTCAACATGTTCCGTATGATTAGTAAGAGTTTCTTCATTTTTATTTGGTGAATTAGCTATTCTTCTCGAACTTTCATCTTCACAATCACTATTCGATGTGAATTTTCGTTTCTTTGCTGGTGCTTCAACTTCTTGCTGCTGTTGACTCGTTTCTTTCAATCTAATGGCCCTCGTTCGAGTTAAAAGTGTTTCTAAAGTTTGATGAAGTGACTTTGGTGGCTCCAATTGACTACCACTGCTGTATACAAGTGCAAGAGCTCGTAAATCACCAGTTAATCTGTGGGCTGATGATTTAATATCGACAGCATCAACCATTGCACTCAAAGTACTGACTAAATTATCAATTAATGAACACGTTTGTTGTGTCAGTACATGAGTAGCTAATTTAGGGAAAAAGGTCTTGAGAAAAGCATGAATTGCTGGTACTCCGAGTGAAGATCTTTCATCTAATAGCACAGCATCGACATAATCCACTGTGTAAGATGAGCATAAAAGGGCGACAATGTGTTTTCTATCAATATGAGAAGCTGCATGTACATCAAGCCATAAGCGAGGAAATAAAGCTAGATGCAGTGGAACACCTTCGAAGCCTAACATAGCACTCAAATTGACCAAAGTATCAGTCATACAATCATGATTGATGGCAAGACGACACATAACATCGATAAGTTCATGATAAGGCAAATAAAACTCCAACAATGCAGTGTCATATTCTGGATCGACACCTTTCGTAGCTTCTAATTGAGAATGTGGAACTGCCATCTGAATCATTGGCCTTGCAGGACGTGCTGATATTTTTCCAGAAGATGTAGATCGTCTTGGTAGAAAAGGACCAGGTGGTACAGCAGCAAGGGCTTCTTGAAGAGCAGCATGGCAATGTGATAGTAATGGTACTAATATCAATATAGCTTCAGCAGGTACCAGCATAACTAATTCTTTTAATAAATCAATCGCCAAATTACGAATTTCGGGTGGATTGTAAGTGTTGAGTAAAGTTGCAAGTTTTCGAAGTATCTCTGGCCATTCTTTACAGGTAGCAAGAATACTTCTAGCATCTGGACCTTCTCGTGCAGTTCTCATACATCTTACAAGATCAACAATAATAGCAATTAATTCAGCTAAATCATTGGCAACATGACATGCTGTTGCTTCATGATACATGATATGAAGCATGTGAAAAGCTTCCAATGCTGTAGCCAATCCACCGTTGTAAACTACATACAGTCTGTCATCATCAGATTCAATGAGAATTCTGAATGCTGATATGAGTGTAGCCCAACAAGATCTTCCATCAAGTCCTTGAAGATATGACGATAGAGTACTACGTCTGAATGAAGCTATCTCTGCTTCTTCTTGCTCAGTTTGATCTGGATGCCTAGCAACTAATAAGTGCATTAATTTAAACAGCTCATCGACAGCTGTTGAATACTGCGTAGGATGTGGAGTTATATTTTTAAAAGCCCATTGGATATTTTGGTGTGCTGCAAGCTGTCTTGTAAATGCACGAGATTGTTGACAGCACAGTCTTAAAAGTCCATAATATGCCGGAAGCATTACTCGATTAAACAGAACAACATCTTGATCTTCGTGGTCCGCTAAAATATAATTAAAAGCGATATTTTTAGTGATATGAGGATTATGAAGAATCAATGTAACATTTTCTGGGCAATCTATACAGACATGATGCCAAAATAATAAAACTGCTTGTTTATTGTGATGAACGGGAATACTGGGCTCCGAAAGTTTCGGATGGAATAATGTCCAAAGATCATTTAAATACTGTCCGAACATGAGTTTTTCTGTTTTAGAAACAACACAATAACTCATCAAAGCAAAATATGCTGTGAGTTTCATTGTTCCATGTGTCTGAATATCTATATGATGTCTTGCTGGTTGTAGTAGTCGTAATAGTGCTGTATAAATTTGATGAAGAATTATTGTAGCTTCTGGAGACAGTTGAAAATCACGAGTTGAATTACAACTCAATCCAAGCCGATGGGCACTTCTATAGCCCTGACGAAAATGCGTTGAAGGCACTAGAGATACAAGAACAAATGCAGCTGCAGAACGTACTCGTTGATTAGAATGTCCAATAAGAAAATGTTGAAGCCATATATCCAATTCTTGGAGTACCCAAGTGTGAGCCAATTTACTTCTTGTAACTGCTAATGCTAACCAATCAAGAGCAGCATGAGGTGCGACTCTTGCAGCATCCCATACTCGATTTAAAATTAATTGAGTCATTGATGGTAATCCAGTAGGTCCTGAACCTTCAGTTAATAATGTCAAGAGTTTGAAAAACGGCTGACACATATCAGTATGTTTTGTAATTGCTTGAAAAATCATAGTAACAATGTGTATAGCTAATCGATCATTCCAACGGCATAGTGATTGAATTAAATTTCGGGTTTGATTAAGATTTATAACGTCACGAGTTTGCTGGTACAAAAACGGAAAGCCTTTTCCACCTGCTACTGCACTTAAATCTGCTGGAGATAAAGTGAGTCGATGATCAGGTCCTCGACTTTTTTCTACTAGTGTGGCAATTAAAGTTATCATTTTATCTAAAGATGCTGGACGAAGTTTTTCAGCTGGTACAGCAACTACTATCTCTTCTTCCTCTTCCTCTTCTTCTTCACTTACTGTATCAACCATCTCATGAGTTTTATGACCTAGATAAAAATTAATCATCGTTGATATTGCTTGAACTCTTATTAAAAATAATGTTTCTTCTTCTCCCATCTTACAAAATTCATAAAGGAAACTAAAATATTCTGTAAGATGTTTTAAATGTTGTTTAGCATGATCCATTAATGATAATAACATTCTAACAAATTTCGTAACACACGAGTGAATACCAACGCCAACATATTGACTATCTGAGCCATCATCTTCATTTTCACAAAGTAAATAAAGAGGAGCTTGGGAAGGTCTTAATCGTTGAATAACATGAATGCATAGCCTTTGAAACATTTGTCGTACCATCTGATTCGGACACTTGACTAGAATTTGAATAGGCCACCAAGAATCAGAAGCCATACGTTCTAAAAATCGTGCACAAGCACCAGTAGAAGCATTAAATTGTTTCGTTAATAATTCTACCCATTGAACCATTGTTGGTTTTTCTTTAGCATGAATAAAAGTTTCCATGAAGAAGGATGTTGATAATTCAGCTGACATTTCAGTTACATCCGGTTGTACTGATAATAAAGTTTGCGGTATATATCCACAAATTTGCCACATAAAACTAAAATATGTATGTTCGAATATATTTTTATCTTGAAGAAAATGCATATTGTCTTGCCAAATCCAGTCTTCTAATTCTTTATTAAGTTCCAATTGAAGTTTATTTTCATTAAACCGATTAGTATCTTCATGAACAGTAACAGCACTGGGACTTGATACTGTAGCTTCTTCTTCTTTATGTTCAGTAGCTGTATCTGCACATAATTCATAAAATAACATATAAGCAGAATTAGTTTTTTCAAAACTAAAGTCCATAAATTTATCAGTAACTGAATCGTAGGTTTTACTTGTCATTTCACCACCAAAACATTCAGCTGCTATTTGACTAGGATCAAAAGGTTTTACTTCAGCATCATTAAATAAAAACCATTTATCCTTATTTGCTGAAGTACGATCTCTAATAAAACTGTAATAATGTCCACCATCAGCAGTTCCTGTATGAACTGTAACACCGATTAAATCATATTGATAATTTTCAGTTCTCTGATCATCTTCATCACAATCATCTTTATTAAAAGTCTCTTTATCACACTCATTTTCACACTCTGTATTTTCACTTTCACCAACAGTTTTTTCATTTTCACGATAATGCTGTGGTATAAGTTTTTTCTCAATATATCCAGACATATCTAACCTCAATGGAAAACTGAAATGAGTATTGACCTTTTCTTTTAGCATTGTTCCCATATTAAATGTGTACCGCATCGTATTGAAACACATAATCCGTGGCAATTTTTTGAAGCATGCTCTCTTTTCAGCTCTTGCTTTCTTTCCACATTGTGAACATGTATACATATTATCCCCTTCTAAAGTATCTTTCACTGTCACTTCATCAAGGCTTTCATAAAGATTTCTCATGTCTGCCACTTGACAGCGAACTGTATAAAATTCTTCTAAAGTTCTAGAAACGTGTTCGCAATCTAAAGACACCACATTGTTAGATATAACACCACAAAAAAGATTTTTAACGAGAGTTTTCAAGTCAGATGTCATTTCTTCAAGTTTTGATACAAGATCTATAAAAAATTCAGCCATGTCTTTTTGTTCACCTGTATTCAAAGGCTCATGGTTCATTGTATACACTCTACAGAAACTTCGTGGATTATATGCTTTTCTTTCAGATTCTAATAAATACGCAAACATTCTCTGAAGTTCTCTTAATGTTAATTGGTGCTTATTTGCACGATTACAGTCTGCATTCAAGATTGCCATTCTTGCTTGTGGCATCATATAGAGATGTTGCATGCAGCTAGCCATATAGCAAGTAGCTCCTAAATTAGTTAAGCCAACGTATCCACAATCAGCACGTCCATCCTCATGAGGCCAATAATCCCAAGGGTATGGAGAATGTGGTCCTGGTTTGTGTTGTAATAAAAGCTTTTCATGAAGGATCCTATAATTGTCTGGAGCAGATTTCACTAACTCAACTAAAAGATCAAAAGCTGCTGATCTAGATACTTGACTCTTACACTTTGGTACATGTTTCATCCGAGAGTTTGGTAGAGCAAAAAGAAAATCAAATACTCGGTTAAGTAAATTTTCTCCCACTTTAGACTGTTTGCATGGTGGATTGTGTGACATTATATTGCAAGTGAGATTCAGAAGTCCAACTAAAGCATCATCTTCAACAGTATTGTGACGAGTTTCCAAAGTTTCTCTATTAAGAAGTGAATCAATTACTCTACTTGCTAAACTTTCTAAGTCAATAGTTCCTTCTGATCCGTCAACATCATCACTACCAGATTCTCTAATGGCTTCTGCTGGTAAAGCATCAACTAATCGACATACCAACCAAAAATAATCTCGACAAGCTGGTCCATAAGGTTCTTTTCCATCTTCATGAATTGCTGAATGAAGATGAAGAGGAATATCAGGACGACGTCGATGAGATGGCTGCATTGCTTCCGCAATTACTAAATGTTGTAATAAAATATTTAGCATTGAAACAATTAATCTAATTGTATCACTTTTTTCAGTAGCTTTTGCCTCATCATCATCTTGACTTAATGTTGTACCCAAACATAATCTATACAAAGCCGTACAAACTTCTCGTCTAACAGCTGGTTCAGGATCTTCTAAGACTAATCTTCTTAACCATGTTTTTCCAAATGATTCAGAAGAAGAAAAAATAATTTGCCTTACTCTTATATCACTGTGTACCCAACAAACGAGCAGCGCCATGGTATAATGAATAACTTGCGATCTTCCAAAAAGTCCAGTTTTGTAGTGATTAGGATCTCGAGGCATAGAAGCTGTATTTAAAATACTCGTAATTCTTTTCATTACTGCGTCAACATTCATCATTGATAACATTACATCACTTAATCTTGGAACAATAAGTTTCTCTACCTTTGGCTTCTTTTTGTCTTCTCGGATTACTCCCAAGTGACAGAGTTGTTTAAGTAAACTTGCAAGACAATCTTGTTGCCATTCACTTCCATCATGTCGTTCTAAACAACCAGACATAAAAATGTCAAAGAGATGACGTAGACCACCATTTTGAACAAAATGTACTGACCAAGGAATATTTTCTTCTTGTCCTGATTGATCTTTGTTGTCACTTTGAATATCTTCAGATCCATCACCATCATGAAGAGGAGTGATGGTGAGTTTATTCGAGGAAGAAACTGGTGGAGTGGATGGATTTCTCCTACTCAACGATTCAACAATATATAAAGAATACATGAGTTTTTGAGGACTTATGGGATCTAATAATTCAGGAAGAGACGCTTCTTCAAGTTTTTGAAAGCCTTGGAGTAATGTAGGACTCGTGGGTAATAACATCAATGTATCCCAAACTCTTCGTGATAAAACTTGTGCTTTAGTATGTGGTATTTTTTGTCCACCTGCTTTGACTGTTGCTTTCATTGCACTCAAAGTTCTCATAAGATTGAAAAGTTGCTCAAAATACTGAGGTCTAAGAAGAAGTAAGGTCGGTAATGAATCTCTTGGTGGTGGAGGTAATAACGAAGCGGACGAATCAGTATCTCTTTTTCCACGACCACTATTACCTCCTCTATTTCCAGCAGCTCCTAATGAAATAAATACTAATTGTCCATCCTTAAAACCCATTTCTTGAAGAGTTTTTTCATCATAATCAAATGTCAATTCTTGACCTTGGGTGATCATTCTAATAGGTCCATCTGTAAGCAGTGTTCCAAGAACTGATGAATTAACATTTCCTCCACCAGAAGAACCTGCTGTAGATTCAGTTGTTGTTGTAATTTTTTGAGTATCATCCCACCATTTAGCCACTTCTGCTCTTAAATCTGCCACATAATCAGTACTTGATAATGTAAATTGAGTTTTTTCAGGAATTCCTGCGGGTTGAACAAAAATTTTGAGTTGTTGTCCTTTTTCAGATGTACTCATAGCAACATGTGAGCCAGCTCCACGATCTTCTAATGCCCATCGACGTAAATGATACGCATAACGTTTTCTAAAAGCTTCCAAATGTGTCCTCAAAAGTAAAAGAGCTCTTTGAATACATCGTAAACTTGCTTCTTCATTATTTTCAAGATCGGAACTTGCTGCAGCTAAATGTGTCATACATTGAGATACGAATTCTGCTTCTTGAGTCAATTGACGAGACATATAATATCCATTCAAATATTGTATAGCAGCCATACTAACATCAGTTGATTTAGCACGTAATGCAATTCTCCAAAGGAAATCCATACCAACAGAATCAACATCTCTTAGTGGTCGATCTAAATGAGCTGCTGCAAGTCGAGCAAGATTACACAGTTGTTGAAATAAGCTTAATCCTGTCATACTGATTGTTTCTGGTGGTAAACTAGGTAATTTTTTCATACATAAATGCTTTAAAGTATCCATTCCAAGTGCATGTTGTTCTGTTGATTTAGCTTGACTCAATAACCAGCTAAAAAGTTCATCAGCACATATTGGATCTTGAGATAAACACTGCCAAAGGATATCCACTTGTTCTAGACTCAATCGAAAACAATCTGGTGATCCTAACGGAGAGAATATTGATGAAAGGAATTGTAATCTTACTTGAACTTCAGTTTGATGGGAATATAAATTTGTATTAGATCCATTATTGATATTTGCAGCATAATTACTGGTATAAGTCTTTAAATTATTAAAGAAATGCTTCATCATTCCACGCTCTCGATCAGCCCAAGTGGTAATTGTATGTGCGTCCATTGCGCTAAATTGTTGAAAGCTACTGAGAAGTTTTGGTAATAATCTCAATGATACTACCACAGAACGATTTCCAGCTAAATTTTCTAAACAACCTTCAATAAATTTCATCGGTATCAAACGGTCGACATTAAAGCACAAAAGATTACACAAAGCTTTTTCCGCTTCCAAAGCTAAACCTTCACTCAACTGGCCAATCTTGTCATCTTGAAGTAAATCCCAAAGTAAAGTATTTCCAGGTTTGCAAACTGTTTCTAAATTAAATTGAGATGTGAGTCTTGAAGTCATTGATTGTTGTCTCATTGCTCTTCTTCTAACTTGCGGAGGTCGGAAGACTGATCTTCTCATAGTCATAGCATTTTGTGCGTTGTTATGATGATGGTGATGATGATGATGATTGTGATGATGGTGATGGTGATGATGATGATGTGGATGGTGATGATGCGAATGAGGATGGTACGATTGCATCTGCATTGTACTTAAATGTCTGGCAGCAAGTTGAGCTAATTCCTCTTCACAACCACTTTCTTCTCCGTCGAAATCCGCCATATTTTTTTCACTTTTGTTAGAGATTCGACTGCTAGGATAAGAACCTTCTTCATCAGATAGCATTTCATCAAGACCTGAAGGGAGAAAAGACTGACCAGTTGCGTGAACAAGACCAGCAAGTTCCGAAATAACGGCACCTGTAGTATCAGCAGCACCAACAACCACACCAGTTGTCACATTATCACTGTCCTCTTCATCATGAGAATCATCCACGGAATCGAGATCCCTGGCTAAAGATCCATGCTCTACGAGAGATACATATTTCTCACTATCTTTACTAGTACTTCTCAACAAAGCTGTTGTAGGAACTTGTTGATCATTTGGTTCTAATAAAGATCTTTGTTGTTGTTTTACTGAATCCAAGGTATCTTGTATTTTTGGCTGCTTCAATGAACGATCTAACAATGTTGTTTCTAATCTTGATTTCTCTTCAATATCAACTGAATTTTGTCCTTCATTTGGTAAATCTTTTCTCTCTTCTGAAATAATAACATTACCTTGTATATTTTCTTCCACATTCGCTGCTAATCGTTTTTGAGGAGTTTTACGTTTTCTCAAAACCTTTCGTTTTCGTTTTTCATGTACAACTGATTCTTCAGCTGCAGATTTTTCCGTATCAGCTTCAGCATCTGAACCACTTTGATGTTTAATTTTTGAATCATAAAGCCTTACTTGACCATTTCCTTCATCATCAATTGGACTTGTGGTTATCAAAGGTTCATCTCTATCTATTTTCTCTGCAGTAAATTCATTGATTTCTAAATTCGATTCTACAGGCATTCTGTCTATACTTTTCGTTTTACAATTACCCTCACAATCACTACTATCTCCACGAGCTTGTTTTCGTGGAGAAGGACCTTCTGAAGGAGCTGGACTTGGTTCTTCTTCATCTTCTTCTGGACTACTACCGTCCATACCACTTGGATCACTGCTACTACTTTCAATGTCTTCGGGACCACGAGAAATATCACGATTTTTAATTGACAAACCAACTGAATATCTGGGTGCCCCCGAAGTCCAAATAAATTTAATTAATGCTGAAGCTAAAAACAAACTTTGCTCGGTATGGTCCTTTGGTTCGAGTTTTCCCAGAAGAGAATATAGATGAAGAACAGGTGTAGGTGCTAAATGTTTAACTAAGGGTGCTAAAAGATCATAAACTGGACGTGCACAATGTTTTAGCTGTGCAGCTTGCCAAATAGTATCCATATCAGCTGATGATATTCTTCCTTCCATGGCTAAAAAGCTTAAGACAATGTGGCTTTGTTTTATTACTTCGACGTGTAAATTTGGACCAAATATATGAGAAATAATGTTATTTTCAGTCAACCAAGCAGCTAAAGCATGTCCAACTTGTTCTACTTCAGCAACAGTTTCACTATTACATAATTCATTAAACGCAGTAATGTGGACATTAATTTGGGCAATACCAGCTAATCTCATGGTAAGAGTAGTACTCGTAAAATACTTGAAAGCAAGATCTAAACCATCACGATCAAATGTTGGCATTACAGCATCAATTGGATCCTTTACTGCATTCCACATAAACTCAGCCATTGTTCTGACTGCTTGAGTTCGGAGTTCCTTGTCAGCCAAACGACACATATACTTCATTACACGACCACGTAATGGTACGAAAAGTTGTATAACACTGTTATAATTTAACCACAATTTCAAATTACAAATAACAGCTACCATGTATTGTGCAAGGCCAACTGGAAGGGGTTCTTCCATGTCGAAGCAGGAAGACATTAAGTTGAAACCACCATGATGACAAAATACTGATACTGCACGAATCAAAGGGGCTGGAACATCTGGATCATGAGGTTCACAGTAACCACCTTCATCTTTTACTGGTGCTAATGGATTTAACGTACCACTATGTTTCATAGCAATGTAAAGAGGGAAGCTAAGGAGAAATATTTTTGACAGAAGATGAAAGAGTTTTTCACGCTCTTTTTGTGACCATCGACATTTACTTGATTTGCTACTTGTCTCTGATGTTGATGATCCATTATCTTCCTGTGTTTTCCCACTTTCTTCCTTTTGCTTTTGCTTATCAAGCACTTGCTCTTCACTTGTTGCTTGAGTTTTCTCTGCATTTTCAAATTCAGTTGCTTTATTATTAGCTTCATTATCTTCTTGTTGTATTTCTTGAAGTTGTTGAAGTGTACTAAACACAACGCTTTGTGTCAAACGTATAAATCTATCGAAATTTTTGGATTCTCTGTAGCAACACATACATTGTCTGAAAAGAAGATAAAAATTAAATTAAAAAATTTTCAAATAATTGATCATTATTAAATATGTAAATTTTTACATAAATTAAATACCTCTGAACCCATTGATTAACATAATGAAGAACTGTATCTACATCTATGGCATTAAGAGAAGCAACTTCGTCTTGCTCTTTCGAGGATCTTTCCTCGTCTGAAAATAAAAAAAGACTTTACTATATAGTTGTGACTTGAGTAAAAACAAGATGAAAAGTAACAATAGCGTTTGTTAAAGTAATAAAAAAGAAAAAAAAAATAATGGAAAATATCTTTTCATATAACCAAGAAATTTATCATCGACAACAAAGATTCACTGTCATTTTAGCAACAAAAAAACATCAAAGCACGATCTCATTGTCATTCATTCGTGCAATTAATGATGTTGATAAACTGATTGTACCGAAACTGAGGAAAAACACGAAAAATAATTTTTGCTTACACGAGAGCAGAAGGTCGTGAAAGTCAACGCATACATCGCACATGATTCTCTATCTCGTGCCTAAACGACGACCAATGATCCCCTACAATTCATCACTCAATTTTAACATTTTGTCCACCTTAATTACAAACACCAAACAACTTCAACATTCTATACTTAATACTCTTGATAATCGTCAACAGTTGATTAATCGTAGAGTTACCATATTGGTGTGCAGAATTTTACTTGCTTGCTCTTTCTACTTCTTTCTCTGTTTGACTTTACTCTATAGTTTGTTGTATATTCATATATATGTGCACTTGGGCCTGGTTGGTATGATTGTGCCTGACGTTATATCCAATGAGCAATTACCGATTGTGGAAAAAATTATTTTTTGCTTCATATTGAAAAAATTTTGAATTTGTTAAGATTGGACTGAATTAGAAAACTTTCAAAATTCTAATTTTTTTTCCAAGTTTTTCAAACACCGTATCATATTCTCTATTCTGCGATTTGAATGCGTTTGTGATTTAGTCAGACATTAATCCGCTACGTGGCGCTAATAGCCACTTCTCTGTGGACAAAGTTGCGCAAAAATATGCGCACAAAGCCGATTAGTGTCTGATTAAATTACAAGCGTACCCAAACTGTAGTATTGGAGTAGATTCAGAGTTGAAAAGGGTTGTTTTGGAAAAAATTCATCCAAAAAATCATGGCATCTTTAATTCAATATTTTAAGTCGATCCCAACTCATATGGTAAAGAAATGTTGATTATTTTATCATTAAAATTGAAAATATAAATATCAAGTCTCTTTAAAGATGTAAAAAAGTGCTATTTCAGTTTAGTTGTTGACATTTATTCAGTGCCACATAAACACATTTTATTACAAACATATTTTATGGAGTATTTATTTACCATTTCAGGATTATGATGGCCAAGCAAGAGCAGAAAAATTATCGAGAATTATTGTAACTCTTTTTGGAGTAAGTACATCGATTGTTTATTGTAATTTGAACAAAATCTAATCCAATTATAATAAAATTATCAAGAAATCATAATTATTTAATATTTTTACAGGCTGTAGGTTTTATTTGGGGCTTTATAATACAAGAATTTTCTCAGTCATTATATATTCTGGGAGCTGGATGTTTGATGGCAATGATCATCACTGTTCCTCCTTGGCCAATGTACAGGAGAAAACCATTAGATTGGCAAAAACCACAGAGTGAAGCTGCTCCAAAAAATAAAAAGAAAAAACAATAATGAAATATTAATATCCAACATCTTAATTAATGCCAATAAATCTTCAAACATTTACCTGTGATTTTCTGAGCTATTGAAAGTTTGTCATAAATCATTCTATAAATAGGTTCATCTTATTTAAAAGATATAAAAATTACCATTATTTATATTGTTTTGTAAACAAAGTAAAAATAGTCAGCAGAAAATGATATTTAATTACAGATACAGTAATGTAAAATCAAGAGGCTCATAGCAAAGAAATCTTTCGGTGGTATAAATTCATTATCTTTATTATTATAATTTACATTTTATTTTGCTTTTTTCTAATCATTTTGTATAATTTATAAATTAATATATATTTTGTTTATATAAGTTCTTGTACATGTTCACATTCGATTTTATTTATAATAGTATAAAATTTTTATTCTGCAAGAGTTTAATTAGAATTAAATAGCGAAATAAATTTTAGTTCAAAAACAATACATATGTGTATTTACAAAAATTGTCATAGTACATGCGTATTAAAGTATATGTTATATATTTATATCCTTTTTATGACAGGATGAGGATGTACTTACTATAAATATATACTTCATGTTTGCTGAACCAAAACTCGTTTTTTTTCATAACCTCTAATCTTACATTCATTTTATTTAGTAGAAGGTTAATTTAACTGGCCTCATATTTTTGAGAAAAATTAGATCATAAGAGCATACAGTTTTTAATTAGATCAATTTTATTACATCATATTAAAATATTTGAAGTAAATTCGAATTAATAACGGTATTCAATTGACAGATTTCAGCTGATTTTCGATTATGGAGTTTGTGGTTGCGTTCAAAATTTTAATTTCATTTTTGATTATAATTATTTTTTAAATAAACGAATAAACTTTGAAAACTTATATATAAATAAAGATTAGAAATTATTACAATTTTATTACTAAATTATAAGGTCAATAATTTTTATGCAATTTTTAGAAATAATTATTATTAAATTTAGAATTTGAAAATTCGTGTTTTTTTTGACAGGAGAAGACAGATGATCAATGCAGGGCTGTACGTAAAATTCTAACGTTCATTTTTTGAATTTCTTCAGTTATTTTACGTTATATTTAATCAAATTCGATATAAAAATTATTATTATTCATTGTTTACTCATAAAAGAGTAGAAAGAAGATAAACTTGGGTTTATTTTTGTCGAGAAAAGAAAAAAAATATTTTTTTTATAAATACAGCCCTGTAAGAGAGAGTAGTGCTCTTCCCTCCCAATAACGTTGGTATACCAGCCGCATAAAATCTAGATAGCTAATAAACAAAATTGTAAGCTCTTAAAAACTTAAATAAAAGTTAATTTAAGTGAGAAATAAGTTTGACGATTAAATAATTGATTTGATAACTTAATTTTTTTTAAATCGTAAATATAACCATCACATTGTGGGTGAATTAAATAATATAAACAATTTAGTAAGCTGTTTAAGTGACGATCAGAAAGGTGACAGATTTGCGTGGGAGGCCCAAGAATGGGTAGTACAGATAAAGCTGTGATTACTGGGTTCATTTGTCGACTTTGTTCTAAAATGAATCGTTTTGTGATTCATATTTATGGAGAAGAAGGCGAAAGGATGAAACTTGCTGAGAAAATTAATGCTTATTTACCTATCACTGTAAGTAACTATTTTTTATTCATCGAGTATGCATTTTTATTATTATTATTTATTTACGACCATTGGCGTTTGTTTACTTAAAAATCATTTCCCATGTAATGAAATTATTATTATTATTCTTTTATTATTATTTTTAAAGTTTAATGCTTAGATTTTTTTAACGGAAGATGATTTCATTTTATTTTTGTTCATTTCAGGTAAAAATAAACGATCCACTACCGAAAACAGCTTGCCTCCATTGCATCGAACGGTTAGAGGCCCATCATGAATTAATGGAGAAAATATTGATAGCTAGGAAACGATTAGGAATCGAATCAGATATTAATCAAGTACCAACATCATCACCATCAACACAAACTGTCGTCGTGGATCCACCACCTGCTTCGAATTCACCTCCGTGTTGACATTCATCAGTTAAAAGTAATCAAATAATCGCTCAATTATGTCAACAGTTTGATACATTCTCTTCTGTTTATTATGTTCCTGTTGATTATTGAATGTTTTTTCATCTATACACTTATATAATTTTAGCACTGAATCATTTTACAAAAGTAAGTCAAATAACAGAAAAAATTAAATTCAGGAGTGCCAAGCAAAAGCCAATTTTAGATATATGTATATGCTTGTAATTCTAATTGGAGTAATTGACAAAATTACTGATTAACTTTGATATTCTTAAACAATTGAGTACCTTCTATTTATTTTTCTGATGAAAATTCGAAGGGATAAGTGCAACTATTGCCGTCATTATGTTTATTTTTGTAATTTTGTTTTCCTTTTTTTTTTTCTCCTTTTATAAATCAAGTCTTTATCTTCTGATTATATTTTTGTGACCGTATACATTATTTATTTTGTTTTTTGAACAATTTTAGAGGTTATAACATTGTAATAATGATAAGAATAAATATAAATAACAATTTTTAATAATGAAAAAAATGAGACTTTGGATGTTTCAATTTTTTTGGATTAATATATTTAGGTAGAAATCTATTGACATTAATTGTATATCTTAAAAATATTTAGTATATTTACAGAATTGCGCTTTAAAACGCAAAAAGGAAAAAAAAATCAAATATTAAGCAGAAAATTTCACAGGATGATAATTTTTTAAAATGTAATATTCATTTAATTGTAGAAAAAATTTGTAGTAAATTAACTGTTTAATATATCGCTATATATATATATATATATATATATATATATATATATATATATATATAATAAAATTTGTTTTTTCATTCAAGCAAATGTTCATGCTTGTTTGGAACAAAAAACATTGTATAGTTTAATAAATAATTTAATCAATAGATATATGTTAATTTTTTTAATAAAATTTCGATAACTGTAATAAAATAGTGTAAAAATCAATGAACAAAAATGAAATATTAATTTCTTTCTCGATATATCAATCGAAAATGAATTTATTTTAAAGAAACGAGAAAATAACTCAATTACTGCGTACAATTAAGTTTGTACAATATATACAATATAATTTCGATCCCATCAAGAACAAGCTTGTTGCATCTCTGCTTTAGCTGCTTTCATTGCTAAAAATAAAAAATTATTATTATCTTTTTTTGTTGTCGCAGATAAAACAAACTAAATACATTAATTATATTTTTGCATACCTTCTCTTTCTCTTCTTCGAAGTTTTTTTCTCCGCCTTTCAATAGCTGCAAGTTCAATCTTAACTAAATTATAAGTTTTCTTCAATTCAGCAAGTTTCTGCTGTAGTACGGCTATTCTCTGACTACCATCAAGTTCAGGATCTATCAAAAGTAATGAAAAAAATTATTTAAAGAAAAAAAAGAAAGTATTAAAGTAATGATTTAAAAAGTTAAATAAAAACTTACCAAGTTCGACATAAAAATTATATTTAGTTGGTTTGGGAGATCTTGATGTATTACTAAGCTCGGTTAATCCATTTGTATTAGTTTCCCCAGTAATTGTACTAGTAGAATTACTTATAACAGGATTAGAGCCTTCACTAGTATCATCGCTGTCACTTCCAACTGCACCCCCTTGTCGAGTTTGTCTAGCAGATTGTCTGACAGATACTTTTTTCCCAGCATTACTTCCACATTCAGAACTCTTTCTATTTCTTTTCTTTTTCTTTGGGGAAATAGGGTCTTCAGTTGCCGACCTTTTATTTGCTTTAGTTGTTCGTTCGGCTACAGTCCCTTCGGTATTCAATGTCGCATCATCTTCACTGTATCCGGATAAAGCTTTTCCACCGTTGTCATTATCAGCCTCTGAACTATCTCTGTTAAGTTTAACATTGTCCTCAGAGAGTGGTGATGATCCTCCAGTTCTTTCTTCACCTCTTGGAGATCCTGATATATTTGAAATAGTTGATTCTGGTGTATCAGGTGGGGTATTATCCATTACAGGTGCAGCTTCGTTACTTTCTCTTCGTTGAGCTGGAACAACAACTGGAGGTGGAATATGTTGTTGTGGTTCTGGTTGTTGTTGTATTTGCTGTTGTCGAGGATTGGAAATTATATTTTGTTGCATTGGCATTTGTGGAGGTACAGAAACACCACAAGCTGTTGAGACAGTCATCGTTAAAGATCCTTGACTAGTACTTTGAGTACCTGAAGCTGGTGCACTTGCAAATGGCATTTCTAAAAGTACTAATTTCTTTTCAGTAGGTTCATTTTTCATGAGAGCATGTTCAACACTAACTTCCTGTTCCGTTATATCTATTGCTGGTGCTGGAGATCCAGGAATTTCTTCTTCACAGAGCAAATTCATATTTTCTCCTTCCTCTTCTGTTTTAACATTAATCAAACCTTTAGGATTTATTAGCTGATCTTGTTGAGATATTGGAAGGGATTGTGATGGTATTTGTGGTTGATTATGAGATTGCTGAGCTTCTTGAAGAAGTTCCAACTCAGCTTTAAGTTTAACATCAAAGTTTGATGAAGATTCATTTCGTTCCTCTCGTAATTCTGAATTATCTATTACAAGTTTTTGCTCTGAATCACTACTATCAGTAGAATCAACAAATTCTTGACTTAAAATTTTTTTCCTTTTTTGTTTTTCAATTTCTTTCGATTCTACTAATTCTTTCGAAACTTCAAATTCTTGTTCCATTTTTTCATTCTTTTTCCAATCATCGTCACGCTTTTCTATAACTTTTCGATGTTCTACTTTTACCTCAATAGATTTCTTTGACTCCATTTCTTTTTTTACTTTCACTTGTGCTTCCTCATTTTCTTCATCATCTTTTTGCTTTATTGTTGATTTTATTAATTCCCTAGATCGTTCTTCCTCTTTTCTTAAAGCTTCTTCAGTTTCTTTCTTTTTCTCATATTCATATTTAAATTTATTTTGTTCTTCATTGGCAGCCTTTGATCTTTTCATAAATGCATCAGTCTTCTTTGATGTCTCTTTACTGCTTTTTCTCGTGTCTCTATCTTCGTCACGTTTATCTCGTGGCTTTGACTGTCTAAATGCAGCTGATAATTTTTCTTCTATAGATGATGTAGCAGGTAATCGTGCACTTATTGGAGCAAGAATTAGAGGAGTCGTAAGAGTAGTTGTAGCTAAAGAAGCTACTGATACTTTAGTTTCTAAAATTTTCTTTTCAACTATTGATGCTGTTGTGGCAGTTGCTGATGTTACTAATGGTGCTATTGGTGTTACAACACTGGTAGAAATAACAGAACTAGCAACTGAAGGTTTTTCTTCTTTTATTTGAATTAGCTCTTCTTTAACAGGCTCCTTATTATCAGACGTTTCATTACTTGAAAATGCTTCTTGTTGATAATTGTATACACTACTTTCATCAGCTTCTGTAACTTCAGTCTCTGAAATCACTAATCTATCGTCGAGATCATCAACATCACCAACAGTATTTTCATTGCTTGGAGAATCACTAAATATTATATCTACATTAGTATTATTCTTTACATGTTCTTCAATAGTATTAGTTGTTGATGCTGGTGTTGATGGTCGAATAGCAACAGAAGAGGCAGTTTTAGATGTATTAAGAACAGATGATTCAGTAATTTTATCAAATTCTTTAGACGGATTGGACACATTGATTTTAAGATTAACGGATGATTCTGGATTTTCATCAGGACGTTTTACTGGAGTTCTTTTGACTTTTCGTTTTAAATCAGTATCAATATCAGACTTACTTTCTTTCGGAATTGGCGTTATCACTTTTTGCTTCTTTTTTGGACTCTTCGGTTCTTCATCAAATACTCGTTTTTTACCTTTATCTTTATCTGCAGTAGGATCACGTTTATTTCTTACTTCAAATTCAAATGGTTCGGGTTCTTTAAATTCATAAACATCTTCAGTAGGTGATGGAGATGGATCAGGTTTGATAGAAACAGTGTCTACTACTGGTTTAACATCTATATGCTCTTCTACTTTAATTTCCTTCTTTTCATCTTTAGATTCTTGAGCATTTTCATTCACACGTGGTTTGGTATCTTCATCTCCAGAATGTTCAGGTTCCATTCTGATCACTTCCATCTTTACTGCTTTATCAAAACCTTTAAGCTCAGATCTTATTTGATTTAGATCGAAATCTCTACCTTTTGGTTGTTCTTCACTCGTATGATTACGATCACCTGAGTCTGTAACTTCATCCTCATCGTTTTCATCTTCATCATTGTCTTCATGGTCTTCATCTTCTACATCACCTTCTTCATCATCATCTCCTCCAGCACCACCACTATCTACTTCTGATTTACCCTGTAATTTAGTTAAATTTCTTCTCAATCTTCTAGTTCTTCGTGGTTCGTCAGAATTATCTTTATCATCTTCAATTTCACTATTTTCATCGGGTTTTATTCTATCTTCAACCCTTCGTCTTACTTCTCTCCTTCTTCGTTCTTCAGTTCCTTTAGATCTAGTTCTTGCTCTTTCTGGTTCAGTTGCATCGGTTTCATAAGCATCACTATCTTCACTCTCACTAGCTACCGATAAATCTGTATGTCCAGACATTCTCCTAGTACGTCGACGCAATTCAATACCCATCATTTCAGTATTTCGAGTATTATTTCTGGTAGGACGATTGCCAGCTGGTGTTGCTGGACTCTTTGTCCTAGAACTAGAACTGGCTACAGATAAAGGAGTAGTTGAACGCACCAATTGTGAATTATCTTTTTCTTTGTTATTTACAGCAAAACTATTACTACTACTTGAAGATGTCATTGATGATGACGTCTTTGAGCTGGAAGGTGCAACACTTTGGGCTCGCCGTCGACTTTGTACAGTAGAATTAGAATTTTTAGTAGATTTACTTAAATTAGTACTCGGAGTTTGTGGTCTTGGTGTTGCTTTCGTTCTCTTAACTCGACCCTGTGTTTGCGTAAAATTTTGTGCTATCCTTGTTGCTTTAATCCATTCATCATATCTGGTATTCCATCCAGTATAATGAACTAGATAATCTAATTCAGAGCTATCATCAACTTGTTGAATGTCAATCACTTTTGCTTCGTATGTAACTTTAGATTCATGTGTTGGGCCATAATAGACTTTTAATTTATCTCCTAATTCTACTGGACCTTTATAGCATGGTACAGAAGAGCTCTCAGTACCACTACTTTCATCTTTATCAGCTCTTACTTTATCAGTATCTTCTTTTTTCTTTCGCCCACGTTGCTGCTTCTTCAAATCATCATCCGTAAATCGTCTTTGTTTTGATGGATTCGCCCGAGTCTTTTCAGACTCTCGTGACGGTGTTCTTGTTTCTCTAGAATCTTTGCCTTTTGTATCTTCCTTAGATTTTGAACGAGTTTTCGTAGTTTCTTCATCTTTTTTGATGTTTCTTTTTTGCTTGTAGAAATTGCACTTGGATTAGATGATGAACTATTACTCTCTTGTTTCTTTTTCTCATATGTTTTCTTTTTAGGCTCATCTTTACTTTTCATCGTCAATTTAGCACGATTAATCACTGGAGTATATCTTGCTGGAGGCTTTTGAGATTTTTCACTACTAGATGATTCTGCATTTTCAGCTTCAACATTTGGATCACTCTCTTGTCCACTAACCGATTCATCATCTCTTTTTTTTACTATTTTTATATCCTCTTCTTTAATAATGTCTTTTGCTGGAATACTATTTACATCACTATTGACTTTTTCTTCTTCAACTATATGTTTTTTTTCTTCCTCATTTTCGACTTTTTCTTTCTCTTTTGGAAGGGTTTGTTGAGGAGTTGGGACAGGTGTATTGCGATCTTTATCCCTTATTAAACTTCTACCAGGTCTTTGCTTTCTAGTACTACCTCGTGGATGATTAACCATTGTACAACCAAGCTTTCTATAAAAATCTTCAAAAGAATGTAAAAATTTTTTGTACGCTTGTTTCACAAGATTGTGCGTTGTTGGTGTTGGTTGCATAGAAATTCCAAGTCTTCTAGTAATTGATTTCCACTGATTTTGATTAGTCACACGATTGTAACCACCAAGTTTTTCAACAGCACGAAATAATCTATACAAATCTACATCTTCATTACCAATCATCGGACAATTATTTATAGGAGTACCTCTATCATCCATAAATTTATACAATTGTGCTACAAAATGATCTTTTTCTTCTCTCGGTTCATCATCCGAACTATCTGAATCAAGATCTGCATCAGAATCACTATTACCACTAGACATTATATTCCCAAAGAGTGAATCTCGATCCCAATGAGGTGGTAATTCATTTTTTTCTAAAAATAACAATGCTTTCTCAACAGCTACTTTTAAAGCACTATTTTCGACTTTCATTCCCATTTCTTTGGTGAATTCAGTCGCTTCTTTCTTCGGAACCGTGTAATATCGAGCATCTTTAAATGATCTAACAAGGTAATCATCGCGGACACGTATTCGTACAGTATCTTGTGCTGTAGGAGCAACAACAAGCCCTGGAAACCAATTATCTTTTTTCTTCTTATCACCAAGTTCAACACAAACTACTCTGCCAATTTCAGGTTCTGTTTCTACACCTTCCTTACCACCTGATCCAGAGACTGATGGACTTCCTCGCGGTGGACTACCTTCATCTTCACTACTATCATCTCTGTAATAAAACAGATAGAATAATGATGAATGAATACATAAAACAATTAACATTTCAGAAAAAAAAGAGAAAACTAATAATGAAGTAGAAGAGGAAACGGTTGCAATTAAAAGTTTTCATGCAAAAATAATAAACTCACTGCGCTTGCCTCGAGCGTCTGCCGCGTCTACCGCCAATTACTGGATTTCCAAAGTGCTCCGGATGTGTAAGTGGTAACTGGTCCAATGTTTCACTTTCAGCAAAGTGTCGACCACTTTTCAAACATAGTGCTGTCCTCCTTAATGTAGTTATGTCTCCATCATCAAACACCACAGTGTATTGACTGCAATCTTGGATCTTTGTTATTGTAGCTTCAACAAAATCTTTTTTATCCACATGTCTAGCTTCAACTGCTGCTCCAACTCGAAGTGTCCCCTTTATTTGATCATCAGTTACCGTGGCAGTACCTAAACCTTGTTTGTATGTCACTCTGCACTTGACTGTTCGTACAACCTTACGAATCTTTGCTTCACAGAAGGCACCTTTGTACTTAGCACTCACTTCAGTGCCCTCCGATAAATACGGTGGATCGTCTCCCTGAAAACAGTCGTAATTACAATATCCATTATTAAGAGAACAATATTAATATAAATTTATATACAACGAAAGGAGGTAATTTGTGTCATGTTGGAAGTTGAGACTCCTCCTATTGTTCACATTACACCACAGTATTTACGTATATTGACCGAGAATCAGTAACCTCGAAAATGATTTAAAAAAAATGTAGGATTTATCTCAAGCTATGTGACAAAATGAAAACAAACACAACAGAAAAATAAAACTTTTGTCATAAAAAAATTATCAACTTGATGATTAATTTTATAATAAACCATAACTTATAATCAGCACGTAAGACAAACGACTATTATAAAGGAAAAACTTGACGCATTTCGCTCTCTCCCGCCCGATTGCTTACCAACATTTTCTATCGTTCCACAGGCTCCATGAACGCAAACTTGTGACTATTAACCAGATGAAACATTAAAATGATTTCCGTGAACAGATTTTTTTCTTTGACACAGACGTCCGTGTACCACTAGAACTTCTTTTAGCTTAGAGAAAGAAAAATATCGTGACCCGCTTCCAAAGTCAACTTCGAAGTCGTACACACACTGAGCCACACTGATCACAGTAGCTAGCAACTCTACCTTCACCCCTCTTCATCCTTCTCCAGCTTTTTATTTGCTTTCTCTCTCTTATATACAAGTTAAAAATACAAGAGCCTGGACAAGCACTAACTTATATCCAACTCTGTTCGGGTAACTTCGATGCCGCGCATTCTCTCTCAGTTCATGCAATCGAATTTGTCCTCGGATACAGTCGGCTCGTCATCCCCACTTGTCATTTATAAACACGACCAACGGGGACAAAAGGCAATAAGTATTATATACATGTATGAATGTATGTATAGTGCGTAATCATTGACCCACGCTGTGAGAATAATTTATATATAAACTTATTAGTGAATATAAAGAATGAAATTAGATAAATATAGGATAGTTTTACTGTAATAATAAATAATATAAAAAATGAAAATAAAAAATAACGTCAAAATAGTCTTTTTTACATATTTGCAAATCCTCTACTGTGGATAAAACAGTTATATCGTGCAGAAAAGATATTCGCTAATATGCCGGAAATACGTCGCAGAAATATGCATTGCGATTGGCCGTAATTGTAAAAAAAAAAAATGGCGTCTAACTTAGTTAATTCCTGGGCGGGAGAATTTAAAATGTACTACATTGATGTGTGAAAAAAATTTTTCATAAATATTAAATAATATTTTTATTTAATTTATTCAAAGACGTGATAAATTTAATTAAATTTAATTTATATTTAAGCTTGGAGGAATTTTTTAATAATTAAATTAATTCAATTATAAAAGAGAAATTGATCGGTGAGTGTTGAATTCACACGGTATAAAACAAAATGGCGACGAGTAATGAAGTGCCGGGAGGCATCACAGAGAACAATTCAATATCCGTTAAAAATTCCGTGAGTAATTACACGACACTGTTATAAGAGTGTTTAATACATTTTTATCTAATCCTGCATTTAATTTTATGTTTTTCTTGTGCTGTCTATCAATATTAATTTATTTTACTGTTCAAAGCGCCTTTGATGTCAATTTTTTTTTGTAAAACCATGCTTTGTTGAATCACGACATTTTCGTAAATTTAAAAATTTTTTTTTTTATTCGTGAATATTCGAGAGGTTAGAAGATGACAATTATATGTCATTTATGCCAATAACTAAACTTTTTATTTGACCTTGAAAATTATTATTACGGTGAAGAAAGTCATCTGAATACAATAACAATAAACGGGTAAAAATACAAAAGTAGAATTGTATAAGTGATAGAAAATTCGATTATAAGTCTGAATAGACGCCATTTATTTTGGCGGGCACGTGGACGCTGTGTGTTGCACATGAATTTTTGCAAATTCACATTATAATACTCTTTATTTCAGCAAAAAGAACGTGCCTTTTTTAATTTAGTTTGAACGATTGTTATAGACTAATACCTGAATCACTTATGAAGAACATAGTAATTACTCTTTTGTTAATTTTTAAATAATGTATTCATTAACAGCAGAATTAACAGCTTTTTAGCAATTATAGTTTCCTGCTTTTTATCTAAATTTGTCATTGATTTATTTTGTTAAAGACTGTTTTTAAATTTACTAATAATTAAATGTTTAATTATAAAATTTTCAGACATCAAAAATGGAATCAATGGAAGTTGGTGAGCCAGCAACAATTAAAGATCAAAATAATGTGGCCGAAAACAATGCCACAAATTCAACAAATGAAGAAGATGCATCGAACAAAAAGATTTCTGTTGACGAAATGACGTCACGGGATTATTATTTTGATTCTTATGCACACTACGCAATCCATGAAGAAATGTTAAAAGATGAAGTGAGAACAGTTACTTACCGCAATTCAATGTATCACAACAAACATTTATTTAAAGGAAAAACTGTACTCGATATTGGCTGTGGAACAGGAATTTTATCAATGTTTGCTGCAAAAGCTGGAGCGGCTAAAGTTATCGGAATTGAGTGCTCTAATATTGTTGAACATGCTGAAAAAATAGTAGAAGCTAATCATTTATCACACATAATCACAATAGTTAAAGGTAAAGTTGAGGAAATAGTGTTACCTGATGGGATTGAAAAAGTTGATATTATCATATCTGAATGGATGGGTTATTGCCTTTTCTATGAATCAATGTTGGATACTGTTCTATTTGCTCGGGATAAATGGCTTAAACCCGATGGAATGCTTTTCCCAGACAAAGCAACGCTATTCATTTGTGGAATTGAAGATCGTCAATACAAAGACGAAAAAATCAATTGGTGGGATGATGTGTATGGCTTCGATATGAGTAGTATTCGTCAGGTAGCGATAAGCGAACCTCTCGTGGATGTTGTTGATCCGAAACAAGTAGTTACAAACTCTTGTCTCATAAAGGAAGTTGATCTCTATACTGTAACAAAGGCTGATCTAGATTTTTCATCGCCATTTACTCTTCAAGTAAGACGTAATGATTATGTTCAAGCTCTAGTGACATTCTTTAACATTGAATTCACCAAGTGCCACAAACGCGTAGGCTTCAGTACAGCACCAGAAGGCCAATACACACATTGGAAGCAGACTGTATTTTATTTCGACTCGTACATGACTGTCAAAAAAGGGGAAGAAATATATGGAGTGTTTTCCATGAAACCAAACGCAAGAAATTATCGAGATCTGGATTTTAGTATTCAATTGGATTTCAAAGGAGAGCTGTGCCAAATAAATGAAACGAATACTTATCGTATGCGCTGATAACAGTTATAATGAAAAGCTAATGTGTCCTTATACTCACTGTATCATCTTGTCATAGAATCAAACGTTTTTAGCCGGATTTAGAATGACAGGAAAACAAACAGAAGTGATCATCAGTTCACGTTCCAGTCACATCAATTCTTTGAATAATTATCGACTTCTTCCTTCAATATGATGAACTGTTTTAATTAATAAACATTTCTTGGGAAAACTCGAAGGAAATTTTATTGATAAATTAATTTTTTTTAAATTTACGTTAGATTTGTTATTAAAACGGTAGTAGTTGTCTCGGTATCATAGAATAATATTTAGCATTGGAAATCTGAAAGTGTATCGTCTATATTCTACTATGTCAATTATTTAATAATTATTCATGTGCATAATTGAAAATAAAAAGAAAAAATTAACTCCAATTTGTAACATATATGTATTTAAAAATAATACCATTGCTAAATAACTGTTCTATATTTATGAGACAACTACGTAAAAATTATGTTAGTTAATTAGACAGTTCAATTAAGATTAATGATCAAAAGAAATATGTTATAATTGTATCAGAAAAAATTGATCATGGATCTATAATTATCCAAAAGAATTTGGTTATTATAGAAAAATAAAATTCACTGCTTTTTTTAAATACTGATAACAATTATGCCTCGAATTAATGGAAATAAAAAATTTATAAATTTGCTACATTAATTGGGTTTTTCTTTTTTTTTTATTGAAAAGATTATTGTTGTTATTTAAAAAATTTAATTCTCCAATTTTATAAACAAATCTTTTTCTTTACACTATTCAAATTCATTTTGTTCTTAAATAGCTGCAAGACCTTTCAGAAGATTTGCTAATTTTTGTGTTTTGTAATCTGTTCTCAACTGGATAAAGTTCATGAGTGTTGATCGATCAAGCATTGCCTACAAAAAGAATGAAGAAAATTTAATATCAAAAATTAAAAAAAAAAAAAGATAAATGTAATAATATATTTCGTTTAAATATTTACCAATTGATCACCATTACAGACTTGTTTTAAATTCGCTGGCTTTACCAGTAATAAATTGCATAAAGCATGTAGAGTGTCAAATAATGATGTAACTAAGCCGACATTAATTTCTTTTACACAATTTTTATATTCATTCATATCACAAATAGCACACATAGCTCCAGCAGAATTAAATTGGAATTGCTGGAGATGTTCATAGATAACACGATGGAAGCGTATTCCCAATTCTGTCAAGATATTTTCAACATTTTTACCATCAAGACTATCCCTTATATGTCGAATCATTCCTGTGACATATTGACATACTACTAAACAAGCAGGTGTGCTAAGGGTATCAACATCAGTGTCAGGTTTAAAATCTGTCTTGCGTTGTTCACTTTGCAGATATAATTTTACCCATCCAACAATAGCGTTCAAACTTCGATCAAGTCCTGTATCAAGTTTCATTTCTATTTGTGCTAAAACTGCTTTCTGTCGAGCTAAACAATCTCCATGTTTAGGTGTCGAACTGAAAAAAATTAAATGATTATTGACATGAAATTTAATTCAAAGAAAAATATAGTAATAAAAAATTTTCATATTTACATAACAAGAGGTACAAGACTATCATTGAATTGTTCTTCTAAAAGTTTAACAATAACATTGCATTGTCGAACAACACTGAAAAAATGTATGTCAGGTGGAGTTCTACTCTCTGGTATGGGTACACTTTGAAGACCCAACTCCAAAGCATAGTCTACATGCTCATTCATCAAATACTGTAGCAAAATTTCAAGTATTTGAAGAGCATTAATTGGTACATCTGGAGGTTGTGATAAAACTTGACATCGATGAAATGCCAATTTAGTTCTTTGAAGAAGTGCAATTGCCAATTCTTCTGATAAAAATGTTTCACCACCATAATCTTCAATTTGTGCAATATTAATATTCGTCCTAGTTCCAATAACTGCTTGTAAATCTCGTCGAAGTTCTTGAAATCCACCCGTTTGAAGTTGTTTCTTCTGATGGTTTTTCGAATCATAGTATTCAATTAGCAATGCTGTACACTTTTCTCTTAAAGCTTTTAACTCAACATTGATATAAGTGTCCAAATGTTTTTGGAAAATATTTCGAGTCAATTTCATTAAATAAGCATCATCAGTGCCCATTTCAAAACGTTTTAAGTCAGCTGAAAGCTTGGTCGTTTTACAGTACAAGTCGTGTAAATTATTTAAATACTTATCAGAGTCTGATTTGTCAGCTAACTTGGCGATAGCGTATTTTTGTAACCGTAGATGATAAATATTTAGCACAAATTTAGCCATAACTTGTTCGGGATTGTTAAACACTTGTTGCATAAGTTTATAATTTTTTGTACACATTGGAACGACATCTTGAAAAACATCTTTTCCACCAAATGATCCCATTTGGCTTTGTTCAATGAATGCATCTACACACTGAGAATATCCTTTAAAATGAGAAAGAACTGATGCTAATTCTTTCATTCGTTCAGCATCATCACTATTGTGAGCACGTACAAATTCTTCAATTAAACTTCGTTCAATTTCGTCATATTTAGCTGATATTTTAGCTTTTGCTTGATCAAATTTATCTGATGGCAATTCTTGTGAAATAAGATGAAGTTTTTGTATCACATCTGCGGCTACATCTAACTGTAATAATTAATAGTAGTCATCCATAAAAGTCATCATTATTATAATCATTATTTTTATTACTTACTGTAGACTTATCTGCAAATATAGGATCAGTTAGTGGTCCCGGATTAAGGAATTCACTAAAATGTTTCATTAATTTTTGAGCTTCAACTGCTCTAGCTCTTGGAGTATTTACACTTTCTAGCTGATCGCCTAAATGAAGAACTTTCGTAGCAACAAAGTTTATCCTTTCATCTAATTGATGAAACAGATCCATAGCTTTTTTATTTTTATCTTGGAGTTCAATTATTTCATACGCATGACGAGTTTCCTCTTCTTTGAGCGCTACTTCTAGCTTTTCACATTTTTTCTGTTGACGTTCTTCTAGAACTTGGAGATCTTTTATTGCATGTAGAAAAGTTTCATGGACTAATAAAGGATCGAATTTGCCTTTAAGACCATCAACCATGGAATCATTGACTGTACGCCAAGCTAAACGTTCGACAAATTCTTCTGGATCAAAAGGCTCCTGAAAAATTATTTATATAATTAATAAATTATGAAACAATTGAGTAGTTTAAACAAAAATACCTGCTCCAATTCTTTCATGTATTGTTGCATCATCTTGAAGCCGGTTTATTAATTTCTATAATTGCTTTTAAATTGATAGAATAACAGTTAATTTATTTAAATTGAAGTTTCAATTATTTATTAGCATTATTCATGTCGTTGTTAATATTCTTGTAACATAGTTTTTCTGACTATTTCTAAAGTAAATTTTTAATATTTTCTTATCATCACTACAGATAGTTTTTGGTTTAATAAAAATAATAACATTATTATTACATTGTTCACTTAAAAATTATTTTACTAAAAATAGCTTTTTATTTTTTTCTTCAAATGTCACTCGTTTTTTATTATCATAAAAATAATCTTATCGGCAGTTGGTTTATAACCAAAAATTTTTTGACAGATTGTTAATTTGTCTAACCTCACTAAGTCCGTCAGTTTAATCCATGAGTCTAAAGACACGGTAATTTTTTTGTTGTTTGTATGTGTTTTGAATATTTATTATTAAATAATTAATGTAATCAGTAAAAATTATAAAAATAATTTACAAGTGAACAAATAAAAAGTAAAAAAAGGAACAAATTAATAATTTAGTGCAATTTTTTTTCTAACTGAATAGATATTTATCTCACCTTAGAAGTGAGGTTGGAAAAAAAAACAACAATAATTAAATTTTGCTGATAGTTGCTATAATATACAATATGAATTAATTAATTATCATCTTTGAGTGCTATTAAAAAGGTTTATATTATTAAATCAAAATGATGCCTGGACGAGTTGCTATTTCTGGTAAATAATGTTAATAAATTCATTAACTTTCTATGAAATGAATGAATTTAATTAATTAAACAATTTTCCTTTTGTTACAGATCCATTGGGATTATCCTGGCATGACAGTGCATGGATTCCCATGTTGAATCCTAGTAACATAATGGATTATTTTTCTGAAAGAAGTAATCCATTTTATGATAGAACCTGTAATAATGAAATCGTTAAAATGCAACGTTTAAGCTTGGAACAATTGCAGTAAGTTTTCAATAAATCATACATATATATATTTTTTTTAATCATAATAAATATAAATTCTAGAAATATGACGGGCGTGGAATACATCCTTTTGCATGTCCAAGAACCCATTTTATATGTGATAAGAAAACAACATCGTTATTCTCCTACTCAAGTAACTCCTCAGGCTGATTATTATATCATTGCTGGAGTAGTTTATCAAGCACCAGACTTGGCATCAGTCGTAAATTCTCGGTTACTATCGACGATTCATCACTTGCAATCGGCATTTGAAGAAGCGAGTTCGTGTTCAAGGTATCATCCTAGTAAAGGATATTCGTGGGACTTTAAAAATGGAAAATCATTATCGACAAAGAAAGAAGCACCATCGAGGGAAGAGCCGAGCTCATTATTTCAACGTCAAAGAGTGGATATGTTACTAGCTGAAATCACTCGTAAATTTCCTCTACCCGTTCCAAAACCTGCTCAGCCACCTGCTGAACCTGGTAACTATTTATCTTTTTGTGAATAATTGGTAAATCAATTACTTTACTTCTTTAGCAAAATGAAATTTTTTACTTTTAGCAGTTGAAATTAAGCAGGAGATAAAAACGGAGAAAAAAGACATGAAGCCACCGCCAGAGAGGAAGCCTAGAGTTAATTAGAAATGAATTTTTATTATATTTATTATATTTATAAGATATAAAATTAAAAGCTCAAGTATTTAATTATAAAACAAATGAATAAAAGATAAAAATGTGAAAATCGATCTCAAATTAGTTTCAATTTAATTCTAATTTCACAGCATGTTTTTGCCAAGAGTTTTGCGGATACAATAACCTCATATTTGTGATAATTATTTTAAAAATTCAATTCATCTAAATGTAAAAATGATATGTAATCGTAGTATTTGTGAGAAACGTCACCTTAATTTCGCAGCTGCTGCTGAAGAAATAATCAGTTCCAATGAAGAATTCGTAAATTATGTAAGACACCTCAAGTGCCGAGTTACTAATTTAGTACGAAAACAAATAAAAAAGGTTTTCCAATAAAGTACACAAAATTTATTATTTAGATATGCTTTTTCAAAATGTTTAAATTATCACGCTAGCATCGAATTCAATAGATTATGTAATTTCAGAATATTTCAAATTCACAAAACATGGATAATTCTAATTCTGATGATTTTTCTGAACTGAGTCGTGATAATTCAAGAGAAATTTTATCACCTGAGAAAAAAAATGAAAAAATTCAATTTGATAAAACAGATAATAAAAAGAAAGCAGGTAAAAAATCACGTTCAAAAACTCCTCCAAAACGTCCTATTACTCCAAAAAGTTCTTCGCACAAAAGTCATAAACCTTCACAACGTACAGCTGATGGACAAGATCTATCAGATTCAGGATTAGGCACTTCGAGATTTGAACCAGACAATACTGAATTAGTATTAGACCATTCAACACCACGTTCAAGCACACAAATTTCTTTCCATGATTTATCAAATAATGTAACACTTCCTGAACAAATAACTAGAGTTCGACGAACACCAGACGTTTCTCCAATACGTCCATTGTCTGCGAGAAAACGTGATATTCTTGATAAATTTGTAGATAAAGCATCATCTGCGGTTACTCCGACAGATACAATATCTGAAATACGAAGTACATGGACACAAAGAAGCGCTACTTTGGCTAATCATGTCAGAAGTCGTTTTTATGAACGTATGCACATCTTTGTAAGAGCTCTAATTGTTGGAGTTCTTCTATGGATGGCTTTAATTTACGGAGCTCTTCTTGGCGCGTCACTTTGTAATTACGGTAGATTTTCCATTTTCCCGGGATCGTCATTACAAAAACCTCGTATGGTTTTTTATTAGTCTATTCATTTTTGTAATACAAAATAATTATTGTAATACAAATTTTTTACTCTCACGATTGCAATACATTAGTAACATAATTGCACAACTTGAGACTTCCAATAAAACATTAGATCTTATACGATTCAATTATAAATTATTTTTATTTCATTGCAATATTATGCTTTAGTAAAAAAATGTACACCTTATAAAATTGTTTATTCTTTTTTCAATATTTTAAGATTGAAAATCTCAAGTTTAAAAGGAAAATCGACATAAAATAACTAAAAAATTTACTTCAAGACTTGACACAAAATATATTAAACTTGGAATAATACACGGTACGTGTTTAGTACAAGTAAATGCGACATCAGAAAGACATTTCTCATCTCTAATGTCACATTATATTTTAATGTTTATGACAGAATGGGTATCAAATTCGTTGCAATGGCATTTACCATTTTTCGATCGTTACTTTATATCGTTTTTTGTATTTACGAATATTTTTTTTTATGATTCGTAAAAGAATAAGGATCGTCAAATATGAAATTTCACGGCTTGTGCGTGTTGTTGATCTTCTTCTTCTTCTTGTTCTTTATCTTATGATATGTTTTTTTTACTTTTTTTTGTTTTATTACACGCAACTCTCTGGACCAGGTATAGAGTTTGCGATTATTATTTCTTTCATTAAATTACGGTCCGTTTTGAAACTTATAGGTTCCCACGATTTCGTTGAAAATGGATTTAACTAAAATATAAGTACATTATTTAATAAATAAAGCATCAAAATTTCTAAAGTAACTAAATATTAATTTACTTACACTACATTTATTCGTTTGCAGTCCTTGTTTATTAATATCATAAGGAGCAAACAATGTGTCCGGTCTAACCGGTAAAAATAATTGCGGCTCCTTTTTCATCTTATCTTGGTCTACATTCAAGCAAAGTATCAGTTAGAATAGTAAATGAAAAGAATATTTAAGTACAAAAGCACAAACTTTTGAAAATTACCTTGAGGAGATTGTATAATATCAGGTTGATTGAGCGCATAATCTCCAACTTGCTTTAAAGTATACTCTACAAAATATGTATGATCCCCATGGGTAACATCAAGCATCGAATTATTTCGAGAATCAGGTGGACTGATGATTGGTTGCTTCATGTATGGTTCAACATGTACAGGAGATGTAGTACCACGACGTCGATACATCATAAGCATCACCGACAAAGCTGTTATTCCAAGTGCTATAAGACATCCGATGAATAAAAGCACCAGAGGAACCACATTGACTCCGCTATCTGTGAAAAACATCAAAAAGAATAGTAGAGTGATAAAATATGAGATAAGTTTAATGGAAGTGTTGGTGAAAAAGAGGGATTTTCTAATCGTTCTCATCAATCTAAATTGTCGACTCATTAATTATTACCAGGTTGTTTTCCAGAGTCCCGAAGTATAATATCTTCCAAAAGGGATACTTCGCTCTTTCCCTTGGCATTAATCGCGTAGACAATCAGATAAAAATGAGTGGCTGGCAGAAGATCAGCTACGGGAATACGAAATACAGGCACCTCGGGGTTATTACTCGAGATGTTTACACGGAGGGTGTTGGTTTGCGCTTCATAAGCTTCTAGACGAAAATCTTGTCGTAAACCTCCGTCGTAACCAGGCGTACATTCAATTTCCAGAGTCTCTAAGCTTTGATTTAATGAAGCTTTTATCGTGCAGTTGTTTAAAGGATTTGGTTTGGCTGAAAATAAACAAGAGAAAAATAGTAATTAATCGTTAGTTAATTATTTATTTTTGTATAATAGAATTCTTAGAATAAAAAACTAAAAATTGAATCATTGAAGATAAGATGGTTTTCAAGTGAACAAAAGAGTTCAATAGATTGAATAGGTTATGCATACCTGCTGGAATTACTTGGTAGACACAAGGCGTCTTTTGCTTTCCAATCGCATTCCTTCCCCAACAGGTCAATGCACCATAATCCCTCTCAGATATGGGCGTGTAGATGAATTCACTGGCTGTTCCGTTGTTCCCATCAAACTTGGCGGGTGCGAGCTCGAAATTCTCGCCGCTATTGTTAAACTCCCATACGAAGTCAACCTCATTCGGATCAGCGTCTACCTCACAACGAATCTTGACTGATTCGTCTAAAGAAGCTCCAATTATTGTAACATCCTTTGTTCTGCAAACTGGAGTAACTAAAAATAATAATAACAATAATAGTAGAATCCAAAAATCAATTTAAACTCAACTATTGACTAATTTAATTGATAGAAAAGCATGAATAAAATATTACATTGAACTCGCAATGGAACAACTGAACTCGTCGTTTCTCCTCTATCATTGCTTGCTAAACAGGTATAATTTCCACCATTTTCACGACTTATTTTTTGTAACACTAAATTCTGAGAACTCATCAAAATCCCTGCCGTGGAGTTTTGTGTAAGAATATGACCCTGAAAGCAATCAATTGAAAATATTAATAAGTGATATTGTATAAATAGATAATCTAAAATTATAATTGAAGAGTAATTTACATTGTGCTTCCAAGTTATCCTGTTGTGCTGTGGATTGGCGCGAACTTTACATTCAAAATAAACATCATCTTCTTCTTTGATATTTTCAGGATTAAGAGTATTGCCTAATTCCAGCTGCACCTTCGGTGGAACTACGATCAATTTCTATTATTATCAATGGCGGTAATTGAATTCATTTCATTCATAAAATGATTCCTTTTGCTTTATATCAACTACTGTTCAAAGAGTGAAACTAAACAGAAAAAAAAAAATCGTCGAAAAAGAAAATTTTAAAAAATGAGGAGATAAAAAAAATAGAAAGATTAAAAGTAGAATTTTTATACTCAATTTATATTCATAGAAAAAAGGAGCAAACGGCTTGGGTATTCACTCCATTAATTCAATAGAATTAGACTCACAGACGACATTCAAGTGGTAAAGATCCTCGAGAAAAGCGTTGCTCAGCACCGGATTTTCTCCTCGACATCTCAACTGTTTGCTGTGATCTTCGGGCACTGGTGTAAATTCTAATGTACTGTATACCACTGTAGAATTATCATGTTCTATAATATTTCCGTTTTTAAATTCGTCATTTCCTTCTAGCCAAAGTACTCGTGCACGTGGATGTGATCCAGTTACTCTGCAGGTCAAGTTGTACGTTTTACCCGATTCCAATATCGATGGTTTGGATGGTATCGTAACACTGAGTGGCTTCACTGAAAGTATTTTAGCCATTAAAAGCTACTTTTCAACACTTAACAGTACTATTAAGACTTATTATTATTTTATTTATGTTTTTATTATACGATGCAATAAAGACTCGTAATTTTTTTTCTCTTTATTCTCTTAACAAAAGAAGAATAGAGGAAAAGTTGTAGCTATTAAAAAGTTGACAATAACGAGAAGACTGAACTTACGATAGACATCTAGTATGACAGACTTTTCTAAAGGCGGTACGAGGTCGGTACTAGAAGCACGACACTTGTATGTTGTATTAAGGTGTTCTCTTCTCAACGGGAAAACTCGTAGAGTACTGGATATGACATTTTCGCCTTTCGCACTACTGTGCCCATCTACTTGTTTGCCATTCACGAACCACGTTATAGTAGGTGGCGGTTTTCCTGTCGCATAAATATGGAGGAATAATAATGTTATTAGTGCATTAATTAATCTTTAAGCTCTATCATTTTAATATGATGGATTATATTATCACTATTTAGCACTAATTTTTATCACATCACTGATTTTATCTTCAAGGGTCTCACATTCCATAGTGTGCAAAAAAATAAGTCATTCAAAGTCTTCAATCTGAGGTATCGCTTGGTTTCTTACCTCCTCGAACTTCACAAGATAACTTGAACTCGTCGCCAACTTGATAAGAACCAACCACTGAGTCAATTTCCCTTCCGGACGTGTCCAACATCAAAAGTTGATGTGGTTGATCTATGAAGATAAATCATAGATATAATGAACAAGTATTTCTATTTATAATTTACTTTAGAAAATAATCCTCTAAAGAATTATTTTAAAATTATTCTATAATAAAAATAAGTTGAATGATTCATTTATAGATAACAACTTACAAGTAACTGTGAGATTAACTTGAAAGTTTCTCGTTGGTGATTTACGAAAATCAACACGACACCGATAAATACCCTCATCAGAGAGTTGGATATTTTCTAGAATAAGAGCAGCTGGTTTTGTTCCCGTAACGAATTGAGCACGAGGCCTGACATCATCATTTGACCAATTTAATGCTTGATTAAAGGATCTCCCTCGTACATCAATGCTGTAAATTAACCGTTGAATAAATAATTATCGTCATTATTACTTTAGCTATTTTTTCATCGAGGTTACCTATAAAGTGGCTTGGCTGAATTGTCACGGAACCAAAGAACCATGTAAACTCCGTCATTCCTTGTGGACGGTTCAATGTCACAGGGTAAAGATGCATTTCTGTCAAGTACAGCAATTACTTCTGATGTTGATACTAAAATGAATAAATCAAAATCGACGTAATTATTATTATTATTAATGTAAATATTTAGCTTTTAATATGGCAATCCAAGCATATTTTTTTTATTCAGATTGTATATAAGAATTATTAAAAACGTCAAGCAAGTTAATAATAAATAAGGTAGTAATATAACTTACTTGGATCATCATCCCTATCCCAGTTTTCATCAGCGTATACACAAAAGAAGATGATGAAAAAATAGAGTCCTCCTAGTATGAGTCTCACTGAGAGTGTAGATAGTTTAGCATCAACTGCCATTCCAGCTTGCTAAATGGTTTTCTGGCAAGAGCAGCAACAATGAAAGAAGAAAAAAACCGGAAATGTAGTGAGGATTGAGGAAGTGATTCCTCCTAAATGTGATGAGTATCGGCAAGTAATGACGCCTGTTCCGGCCGCAGCCGTTTCTTTATTGTCATTCCACAACTTTCGAGAGGAAGGGAATGTTGATCCCTCCACCCTCAGTCTCTGCACACTCCAGTTCTTGAAGGAAATGTTCTCTGGCAATTTTACTTGTCGTTATTCTCTGGTCTAGAGACCTTTTAAAAGTCCCCACGATCCGATAAGCAACACAACTCAATTTATTGTCGAATGTATTATATGTAATACAATTATGTCTCAAAAAGTCAAACATTCAAGGATTGGAATTATAATCTTGGATTCATTCCCTCGGTTATCGGGATCATATCGGTACTCAACCCAAACATAACTGCTTAACATCCTATTCCTTTTGATAGCACACATATACTTGAATAAATGGACACACGTGCAGGCAGAAAAATCACCAAGCGGTTTTACGATGCGTCGATGCTTCTTCCGCTGTCAAAAGGCTCTAATCGATTAGAACCCTCTTCCTTATAGGTTGTTGTCCTACAAGCGAGAGTAAAAATTAGTAAAAGATATATTTACTGAAGGATTAACTTGGAGTAGATCAAGGGGGAGACTAGAGAGCAGCAAAAACTCAAGAGTGAGATAGAACGTGAGGTGAAAGACACTTACTTATGATTATACAGTATACATAATTTTGGACCACATGACACTTTTAGAGTTATTTGGTAAATGAAGTAACGTTCCAACTGATAAAATGCACTTACAACACACTAACGGCACCAGTCTCTCTGATCTCTGAGAAGGCTCTTTGTCTTTTTTGTCTCTTCTTTGCGTCCCTGGAACGTACCACTCAGATCTCCCTTTCACAGCCGAACGACTTCGCGCATTTTATCGCACCCCCGTCGTCTCTCTCGTCGCGACGGGCTCGTTCGCTTGGAACTTATGCCCCGCCGCTGCTCTGCCAGTGCTTGTTCACCTCTCACTCGCTCTTGTTCCCTCGCCGACGTGCCAAGTAAATGTATGTAGCCATCCCCTGCCCCACTCTTTCAAACCTACTCTCTCTCCCTTAACCGTCGAAAACGAACCGACGACGTCGACCACGACGACGCGTTCAAATCCGTGGTGTTTCGGGCGTTTCCGTGGCCCGATCGTTAGATGAGCGCGCTTCCTGTCACACACAGCGCACACTCACTGTTTTCTACCGTGTGCTTATAATACCAATCCCCCAATTCTGTATGCTTTCACATGATTGTGTGTAGAAATTTCTGCAGCAAACCCTGTTGCCTTCTTTTCTTTTCTCTCTCTCTCTCTTCTTCTTATGCTGCTTATACTTTTCTTTAAAGCCCTGCTACTACTTCAGCTTGTCGAGAATTATCGTGTTTTTCTTTTAACCTATCCATGGCGTTACTTGTATCACTGCCGCCGCGTGATGACTCGAGAGTTGCGGCCACGCGAATTTTATTTCCTCCACTGTATTCTACTTTACACACACACACACATTTAAAATGTATAAATGTCGAACATACATATCTATACATCTACTTTTTCATCCTTTTTTTTTTTAATCCTTTTTCATCGTTTACCCTTCACTCTTTTCTGCTATTATAAAGATAAACTCACCCCTTTATTACTAACTAACCGCAAATCCCATTACAACACTACTCTTTTATTTCCATTCGTCACTCGTGACATTTTCGAAACACTTCCAGCTGTTGCAATGCTAGGAAAAATTGTAGACCATAAAATAATAGTCATTCTTTTTCTTTAGCTATTCCATCATGAAAATACTATTTGAGAAGTATTTTTTTTTGTTTCGCATGAGAGGGGCGAGGGAGAAGCGGGGGGGGGGAAGAAAAAGAAATATTCATTTAGTTCAAAAACTTGTTTTTCTCAGATATTATATTTTTCTCTTGTCACGTTTTTATGTTATTATATAAAAAGACAAAAACTTAAATAGGGGGAAAAAAGTTAAAGATCATATGTATTTGTATGTGGATATAAAAATATATAGTGTAGTACATATGTTGAGGAATTTTTCGAACGATTAATATATTCACAAGGAGAATTTTTCTGTCAGTGATAATGGCCTCGTGGCATTTCGATTCGTTCAGTATTGTCCGCTTCTAATGACGCCTACGGCTTTTCAACAATAGCAAAGAGGGTTGGAGGAATATCTGGTTATCGGATTCGATTTTTTTTTTTACTCCATCAGAATTGAGAATGAATGCTTTTTAATTGTCCTGTTTGATTTAATTGTAGAAATTCATGTAACCAGTCTGCTTTTCGTGTTTTCTATAACAAAGAGTACAAAAAAGTCAAATCTGTGGATATTTATATGAATATTTTTGTGTCGAGACAAAATGTATTAAAAGAAAAGGCATTTTTGTTGTTGCCTGTTGTTTCATTACAATGGCGAGAACATTCATGAGAGAATTTTGGAGCATCAATTGATTTTAAAAATAATTTAATTATCATCCCCCTTTTCCGAGAGTAAAAGCAATTTGTCTACCACGAAAATGAAGAGAACAAAGAAAATGAAATTATTGTAGTTATATTTTCATCTATATAATATACGAAGAAAAATTACTCTATGTAGATTATTATTGTTTTGTTTTTAATATGTGAATATAAACACTATGATAATTGAAAGAAGAATTTATTAGAGATCTCATAGATTTAGTGATAGATGTTTTCATTATTTATTTATTAACTTATCACACTGTAGGAAATTAATTTTGAATACTTAATTAAGGATTTCCGGTCAGTGAGAATACATTGAATGAAATATTTATGAGAAATAATTTATTTTTGAATTCATTTGTCATTAATTTATCAATTTAATTACCTTTTTATCAATAAAAGTTATTTTCATTATTACTCTATTTATTCACTGTTTTTATTTTTTAATTACTTCAAATTTTATCACATTTAAATAATATCCTGAATAATCTCATTAATAACAATTAATTATTTTAAAAGTTTTGCAATTAAAAATTTTTGTTTTATATTAATTAATATGTTTCCGATATTGAAAGATTTTTTGTTTTTATATAGAGATATCTATCATAATAATAATTACACTTAATACTGGGATAGACTGTATTAATATTGAAATTTATTATACACCATTTTAGGTAATTTTGAACCATTGGGGTAATATTGACCACACCTACTACACTTATAAATTATCTTTGATTTTAATATGTTGTTATTCAATAAAGTAGTATAAAATTATTTCAGTTCGACAGTCAAATAAACACTGAGAAAAAAATATATTCTGTATTAAAAAAAAGTTCATTTAATCAATGAAACAAATTTGAAATATTTTTAATAAAATATTTAATTGTATTTCAATATTAAAAATGATCAATCACAATAAAAATGTATTTTTGTAACTAATTCTTTTAAATGAACATCGAAACATGAATTCGTAAAAATATTACCATGTCAATGACAAAAAATATTTTATTATGATTATTTAAAATTTTTATATTATAAATTGAAATTAATATGACTTGTTCACCGTCAAATTTTTTCTCAGTGTAGTTTTAAAAAGGGAGTAAGTAGTGAGAGTCAATATTATGTGCGACATCCCTCAAGGCAATGAAAAATGACTATATAGAAATACTATTCAATACATATTATCATCATGAAATTTATTAAAATATTTTATGAACACATTATTTTTTATTCGTAATAAAATTCGTGTAATATTAATTTATTTTCGTTTTTTAAATTATTATTAATATTTCCTTCGATATCAATTATACGTAAAAAACAGGATTTACTTTGACAAATATTTAAAAAAAAAAAATAGTATTTAAATAAATTAAAAAATTTATCAATCAAATTGCAAATAAAAAATCAAATTTTTTTTTTTAAAATAAAATTGTTTGAGTTGAAAAATTCGATAAAAATAAATTTATTTTTAATTTAATTTATATAATATTGAAAGAGGTAAATATCGATGATGCAAATATGATTAATTGTTTAAAAAAAAAAAACAAATCACACAGTATGGGCAGTTTTTGTTAAAAGATGTTAGCTTAATAGTAGAGTAAAACAACGTGCAACATTTGGCACATCCAGTGAAATATGAAAATAGTTTGCGTGTGTGTGTGTGTGTTGTTGATGTCATGTCGACTAGTGCAGTTTATGAAAAATAATAACTAATCAAATACTCGTAACATAAACAAAAACAAAAAAAAAAAAATTAAATTATTACAAGTTAATAAATAATATTTTTATGCTATTAAGGTCAATTAAAAATAAAATTATCAAGAAATATTAATATTATTCAACTATTGAGATTGTTTTAATGTAAAATAAAATATTTCCTTGTTTCACTAGTGATTTCAAGATATTTTAATATAATAGATTAAGTATAAATTATTTGCGACATTTATGTTCAGAATATTTTAATTAAAATAATAATAAACACTTAAAATACATTAAGGATTTGTTTTTATGGATTAAATATAACTCGATAATCGTTCATTTGCTTCTCTAGAGAAAATGAACAGAATAAAATAGATTCCATCATGATAGAATTATCATCATTCCTTTGACATTATATCGAAGAGCTAATAAATATTGTGTAAATATTTAACTGAGTTTGTACATAAAACCGTAAGTCATATTTTATACATAATTTTTAAATATTCATCAATTGAATTGTTAGATAATTCATTTTAACATATTATTATAATAATAATAAAGATTTATTAATACTTAGTATTAAAAAACAATTGATATTTTTTCACAATAGTCAGAGAAATAGTTTTTTTTCTTTTAATAAATTTAAAAAAAAATTATTAAAAATTTTCTTTCGGTTTAAAAGTTTTATTTTTGAAATAAATTATTGCAGCCTTTGTAGGAAAAATAATTTATAATTAGACGAGTTCGATTTTAAATTTATTCGCTTGGAGAAAGTTTGAAAGATTTTAAAAACTCACAAGTTATATAGTATTATTTTTTAAGAAAATAATATTGTAAATGTAAAAAGTTTTTTAAAAGACGAAAATATATATATGTCATACTTAAAAAATAATCACTAATACACTTGAAGACATTACTGGATATTCGATATATTTGGCTACAGAAAATGTCGGAACACATTAAAACTATTCTACTTGTTGGAATTTTTAATGAACTAATCTATGAAGTAGTTGAGCATGTATTGAATAAAAATATTTATTCAACTTTATATAAAGTTAAAGAATAAATAATTCAAAGTGTGATATTGATAAAGAATAATTGAATAAAAATAAACAATGTTGAGCATGTGAAGAGATGAATTTAGTGAATAAAAGTGAAGGTTACATTGGAACCAGTAATTAATCGGTGATCAACAGGGACATTGAATCAAAGCAGATAGTCAATGATTTGGAGTGACTTTTAATGATCTATTCAAAAAGAGTATTACCCTAAAGCCAGTTACAAGTGAGTGTAAAAATGATAAACACTCTTCAGAACGTTTATTACTATCTATACGGTCCACTCCATACACAGTACATACTTCATCAAAAATGATATTGCAGAGTGTCATGTTCACTACAGCTCACATCATTTTTAGCAATAAAAAAATTGCGAAAACAAAATTAGTGAAAGATAATGAGATATATTTTAAAATAACAATTATAGACTTATTTGTGATGATTTACTTTTTTTTTTAATTGGAATAATTAAATTATCAAATTAAGATCATTATTATTTTTTCATCAAAGCTAGTAAAGTCTTAGTTGAGACTTATATAAGTGTTTTACAAGAATAAATTGTATTGTTTTAATTTAATTTATTTATCGAAATTTTTCTTAAAAAACTAGACTTTAATCACTGTAAATCTCAGTTTTCCAAAATGCATTATTTTAATGCGGATAAGTGTGTTAAATATGACGTCACCCATTTGATTAATATTGTAGTCACTTTTTATACACTTAGATCTGTGTTAAAATAATACATTGTGGAAAACTAGGATTTACAGTGAGTATGACTGTGGATCAATATAAATTGACTTTAAATATTCTCAAGCATCTTTTTCATGCTCAAGGAAGGCTGATGATTCATTTTAAGAATTTTTATTGATATTTTTTGGTTTTTTTTTATTATCCGTGACCCTTTATTGGCTCATCTAGGGTGGCAGTTTAAGTCTGGTCCTATTTTGTAGTTTCAAACACGATCCACTTGATTTTGAAGATACATCACCTGATATTGGACTTATAAAAGAGTAGGTTTAGGCTCAGAAAAATTAATAAGAAAATGCTACTAGGTCTTTATAATTGTTTAAATAAATGTTACAAATAACAAAATAATAAAAACTGGATCAATTTATTATTAAAACTCAATAATTTAATTTTATCTTTAAAATCATCTCGATTTGGAATAAATTAAAATATAAAACTCAAAGAAGTTTTTATAAAATTTTCGCGATAATATTGAACTAAAAATAAATATTTCATCAAACTGCAGATCTTTTACTATCTAAACATTCATCAAAAAAAAAAACGTAACGACGTGAAATTTCCAACAGATAATTTTAAAAGCTGGAAAAAAAACTCTCAAAAGTGCTTCAGATCTCCAAAAATTTTGTCATTTTTTATCAAAAATTTTTCATCTCTTTTTTTTTCGAGTTTCAACGGTTAATCGATTGGTCTTCCTACCCTATATTTAGAAGAAAAAATTTTAGAATTCACCCAATCGAATCTCTCTCAC